CTTCCCCTCTTGCTGCTCAGGCAAGGCTTACATGAGATAGTGAGAGATGACAGGGAATTTTGAGACATTCGATTGTAAATAATAGTGTGATATCTGATCCTTCATTACTGATGGTGGATGCAACCAAAAAGGAAATCGTTTGCCGAACTGAGACCGCATATTGATCACGTCGCTCTCTATCCCAACGTTTTTTTCTTTTTCTTTTTCTTCCTTCTCACTCTTCTTTTTTAACATTGAGGAAGAGAGACATGGTGGCATGTGGCCAGGAAATATGGGCAAATGGCGGATCGGCCACCGCCGATCTAATATTATACTTGTTATTGTTCTCTCTGTAAGTTCTCTTTCCATTCTCGGGAGCTATGTATGTCGATTGTTTGTTCCTAGACTGAGTGGTAAAACCGTCGTGCAGTACATCACTTGTTCTTGACGCGTTAGCGTTTAACGCGTGCATGCGCTAGCATAGCTTGTGACATCTTCGTGTTTCTCTACTCTACACATATCTCTCTTAGCTAGAAAAAGATAGACGTGCGTAAGAGTCGACTACTGTTGTACTTTTGCATTTCGTTGACAGTGCGTTGCTCAAACGTGCTTTTTCCCTCTCAGTCTCCCTTTTCCCTGTCAAGCACACAGTCGACTTATTAATGTCCACACCTTAAATCGCCGAGCTCTCCCGAATTCTAATATCTCCATACATGACCATTGTCAAGGCAACAAGCAAGCAGGGGGTAGAGAATAAAAACCATAGCCATAACTGCAAATACCGGATACTCGACGTCGCTACTTCTTTTTTTCTTCGCTTGTGGACAGTCCTTACCCTTCCCATGCCTTTCATCTACCGTAACCCCCCTTGTCGTGTGAGAGAGAGCATGGACACATGCCATGGACCAACTACAATCTAGCAACGACCAAGTGCGCTCCAAAATGGCAAACAACCCCACACTCTCATTGATGCAATCCAACTTTCACCTAACCTATTCGTCGTTCTCCCATTTTTCACACTCCTACTACAATGCCAACCTATCTACCCTGCATCTGTTCTACTTTGTCATTTGAATTCTCACGTTTCATTGATTATTATTGCCTGTCAGCTCTCTCCCGCTGTCTGACCCTAACCTTGACCTGAAGGTTCAACAGCCAGGGCTCCATTGTCGTATCGATACGGCAGTATACGTCTCCCTCCTCCTCCTATCGTTTTATCCTTGTTCCCCAATAGGACCTATCAATGTGATCTAACGAGGACTGGTACAGTGCAACAGAAACGAGGAGTTTGGGGCAGCCTTAATACTACACCACAATTACTCCATCCTCACAATACGACTGTGGACTCTTCTTCCTCCTTATGTTCTTGTGGAGAAGAAGACGCCCACTCCTTTTCAGTGCTGAAATAGTGCAGTTATCCTCCCCCACTTCTTCCTCCTTTTCTCTCTCTCTCCTTTCTTTACAAAACTCCGCCTCCCTTCTAACTATTTTCTTCCCTTACTCTCTATCCGGCCCAATTGCTGGACTGGGCTGGACTGAACTAGCCTGGCTCTCTCCCCAGGGTCGCATGTGTCGACATGCTCGCTCTCTAGAAACGAAAGAGGAAATAATGAGGAGGGGAGGAGGAGGACCGGTCCGTTCTAACCCGACCCAGATGGGGAGAATGACGATCAAATGGTACATCTGCTGTTTGCACTTTTGCATTTCTGCTCAAAGGAGGACGGATAGGAGACGGCGTCGAAAAATAAGGCATGGAAAGGGTATGTGTACATGTGAACTGGGCGAACAGAGAACAATGCATACAATTCATGTGCTATGCGAAAATAAACAACGAGAAAAAAAGATGAACGAACGGAATGTCGACCAAATGCATTGTTTGCATTTTTTATTTGCATTTGAATTAAAGCAACAATCTACTGGTTGCATGGGAGTCAAGAAAGTAGGGAGCATGGAGGAGATGAGAGGGTAGGAGTGGCAGAGGTAGGCGCACGGACGCAATGGCCATGGCTTGTGTTTTGGGTTAGGGAGGTGGTCAAGCTAGGTGTTGACGAAGGCGTTTTTTTGCATTGCTCCTGAGCAAACGACAAACCCGATGCAGGATTGACCATATCTGGAAACAACAACAGGAAAAAGAGAGGGATAACATATTCGTCTGGTTAGATTCAGGTATGTGAGTAGGCGACAATATTACAAACAATAAAACAACAATGCTCCTTCGGTGCCTTTTCTTTTGTTGTTGTCTCGCCGTAATTCTCTTTGTGATCTTGTCTACTGCTGTCTGGCTCTTCCCGCCCATTGTCCTTTTCTTTAACCTTGACCAGTAACGGATGATCAAGAAGGACGAACGAGTAATCTACGCAGACATTATTTGTTTTTTATTCTCATCGCAATCAACCTTACCCCCTTACCCTTCTTTCTTGACAAGAGCAGCAAACTTTGCATTCCTTTTTTGTTTATCATTCTTCATTCTCCATCCACACCATACATTTTGAACCAATTGGCTGGTTATGCATATATCCTGTTCAGTTTTCAGTTCAAACCTTCAACAAAGAAAAGCAGAAAAAAAAGGGGATGGATGGAAGGAGGGAAAGGGTAGGACAAGGGGTAAGTTGAACGTTGATAGTGGTTAGTGTAGTAGTTTGAGGATTTAGGTATGGGATGTGGGATATGAGGCTCTCAAGTACTCAACGATGTGGTGATTGTAAGGCATGAACGAGCAGTCGAACAGTGGCATTTTGGTTCGCCTTTTGCCGCCCGCAAGCCAACAAGCAGTAAAGGCAAACTTTCGCTATTTGACTCACGCTTCACGGATCACGGATCACCGACACGGTAGGTTGAGTACTTGCGGCATGCAAAGTAGCATGGCCCATTTCACCCCGTCTCTAATGGCATAATTGAATGCAAGAGTGCAGGTGGGTGAGAGATATGCAAAGGGAGAGAGGGGAAGGAGGGAAGGAAAACAGGAGGCAGAGGGAGCAAAGGAGCACTACCTATTAGGAGTGAATGTGTGATAGAGGAGAACAAAGAGGATGCTGGACTGGGCTAGGCAGGGCTGGGCTGCGATAGCTCGTTGGGATGGGGCTGGATGACTGGATGGCTCACTTCCATTCCCTCGGAAATGCATCGCTGTTTTTTATTGCTGGTGCTAAATTTTTTCTCCATTTTTCGTACTGCTGGCCTGTTGAGAGAGAGAGAGAGAGAGATTCGAATGCCCTACTTAGACCGAGAGATCGGTTTCGTTGATCTCACAGACATATCACAGACATTAGTTTAAACCAGGGGAGGTGTATTTGCCTGCAAGGTGCGCCCTAGTAAACGAGTATTGGAAGACAGAGTAAGATGACTGTTTTGATGGGCTTGGGAACTGAGTGTATGCAGTTTTGTTTATGCAATTGCCTCTGTGTCCTCTCTTGATCCCTCAGAGCTGTGGGTTGTGAAGTAAACCAAATGTAATTTCACGGACAAGAGAGGTAAAGGAAGAGGAGAATTGAAAGATCTACAGACTAGCAATATGGTACTTGACAGGAAAATCCAAGAAATGGCGATCCGGGGCCAGCTAGGACAACAATAAAGTTATCCATGGATTTGACTATCAGACAGTGTACCCATTTTGTTGCCACAAAGAATGTCCGACGATCGCCGGTTACATGAGCTGGACAAGATATCAAGAGGATCGCAATTTAAAATTTATCGAGGAGATGATCTTTGCTTGCTGAGTATATCTGTGGTTGCTGAAGGGAACTACGACGGTAGAATGATGTGTGTGAAGAATTGGGAGTGGTTACGAAACTGAGAGAGAATTGACAGAATGAGGAAGGAGGCGGCCAAGGTATGAAGGGTATATTGGATTATGGAGGGAAGGTAAGATTGAGAGAGGAGAAATCACTCATCTACCTGACTGGTGAAGAGACGATGATGCTGTCCATGATGAAAGTGTAGTCCCTGAACTGGGTTGCCTTTTTGGCTGGGGGGACGAGTCAATAATAATGCTTTGTCAATATGAAAAGAAAAGAATCAGTCGGATGTGTAAGATTAGGACTGAACACCTAAATGAACGTTCAATTAGAGGGGGGGGGGTGATATTGGCCTTGCACTTAGGGACAATTATTTTACTCTTTTAATTAACCATTCATTTGAATAGTTTACTGTATTCAGTACTCCCGAGTAAAGCTATATACTCCCATTCAATGTTTGCTGTAATATATGTAACTGAGAGCAAACTCATTCTTTTGTATTCAATAAACCATTTTTGTAGTTGTTATTATGCCTTCTCTGCTTGGCTGCTTGGCTTGCTTTGAAAAAATTGTATGGACCGACAGGAAAGGAGAGAGATACCATGCTACAGGACACACATCCAAACCAACCAAGTCCTCTCCCTCGAACCCAAAGATCATATAAAACTAGACTGAACCGCACTTCCCACTTCTCTTCTTTTTTCTTCACTTTCAACTTCACCATTCATCAATCATCTTGACACATCCCAAAAAACTACTCTCAATCTTTCTTTCTTTAACAACCATTCCCTTATTCCTTCAACCACTTTCTTCACCACCATCGTCTTCCTCTTTCATCCCTCTTTACAGCCCTACCACTAACGCACCCGCCTCTTCACATTCATTACTTCAACATTTGAACATTTCTCCAGCCCTTTCACTTTTCTACAAAAAAGACATTTCTCCCCTGTCCTCACACATACCCTACCGTTACAACACACACACACACCTCCCAGACCGATCGCTCTTTGATCCAATTTAACGCAACTTCAACTCTACCCCTTCGTAAGTCCTTTTGTTTCTACGACTATTACTTCCTGCATCCACCCCACATCCCTTCCCCTTCTGCTCGACTTGAACAGGCAGCAACTACAACGAAGAGAACAAAGAAAAGAAAAGAGTAGAAATCTGTTGACCTGTGACCGTGTTTCTCTTCGCTAACCAAAATGTATATCTTCTCCCTCCTTGTGCAACACATTCGAACCAACAGCTTCAACTCTTCTTCTTTCATTCAACAACTCATTCACAATGGACATGTCTGCCATTCAAAGTAAGTAACAGGAAAAAGAAGAAGAAGAAGCTAGAAGCGCTATCACTTCATGTCAACGGGTTGTGTTTCATCACCACCGACACTATCAGTTTCCACCGACCCATCAGTTCTATAAGTGTTGCACTTTGGTCTTTATCAGTCTCGTCTTTTGTCTTTCAAGCCAAAAAAATATTCCTCGTTCACTTTTTGTGAGCATTCACCTTTTGAAATGTCCGAGTATCCCTTTGATCTACTACTTCCTCTCTTTTCCAACCGACAACCAAGAACAAGAGCAAGGAATCATTCCCTCCTTCCCTCAACACTTCAGAAACCTTGTCATAACGTCTCCTCGCCCTACTCCGCCACCGCCACCACAAAAAGAAAAAAAAAAGAAAAAACTATTTAGTCATCACAAGGCTGACTTTTTCTCTTTCTTTCCTTATCTCCTCTTCTCTTAAAAAAAGACTTTGCGCCAAGAAAGTACGCTATGGCCGATCACCAAATGCAACAACCTATGCAACAACAACAACAAATGACCACATTCAAGCAGCCCATGCAGATGCAACCCCCCCGCGTCCTCGAATACAGCCCCCACTTTGGCCCCGAGGGTCAGACCTTCACCGTCACTCTCCAGTCCAACTCTGACAAGGCCCTCCGCATCGGTTTCGGTACCCTTGTTGTCGATACCAAGCAGTACGCTGCCAACGGATACGTCACCCTCAGCTGCATCGTCCCCAACTTCTCCATCACAAAGTGGTTTGTCAACAAGGTGCCCCTCTACGTCCTCCAGATGGAGAATGATATGGTCATGGAAAGCTGGCCTTTCGGTGACTTCAACTACTACGATGGTAAGTTTTTCTTAGCCATTCTGATCATTTGTTTGTTATGCACAGAAGCAACCAAAAAATAATGAGCCGAAACCGATAGCCTTTCGGTCTTTCTTTTTTGATGCAAGCATTGTCTCTGTTTCGGGTTCCTGACCAACATCACCTCCTTTTTTCTTGTGCACAACAGATATCCAGAACAACACCGCCGCTCAGGCCAATAATGGTGCCAAGCGCAACGAGAAGATGATCTACGAGCAGGGCCTCAGCCAAAAGAAGCATCACCTCGTCACCGATCTTGATCTCTCCCACGCACAGTTGAGCCAGCAGCAGCACCAGCAGGCTTCTCCTCTTGCTACCCCCAACCCCCTCGGCAGCAACGGCCTTACTCATCGTAAGTTTACAAGGAACATATAATTTCCCTGGCTCCTTTCTTTTTTCCTTACCATGTGGACTGTATCCTTCTTTGTCTCGCACTGTTACGTCAGCCCAAGTTCCCCGCCCCAGCTCTCTTTTCTCTCGACAGTCGATTCTGAATGTCTGGCACTAATGAACTCTATTCTCTCTTCGATAAAATGATAAATAGACGACGAGTACAACGGCAACAACTTGAGTGTTTCGTCTGCATACGACAACAGCTCTTTGTACTCCCCCACCTCTCCCTACGGACCCCGCACCCCCATTTCCCCCTACGCCCGCCCTGGCTACTACAACGCCGCCAGTAAGTCCTTTCTCCTCGTTCTCTTTGTCATGATCTAAGCCACTTCCCTCCATCCCAACGAACCAGTCACTAAACGATTATAAATTTCCATCTCGTCTCTGCCAATAGGCCAGATGATCGCCCCCCATATGTCCTCTTATTCGCAGGCTGATCTCGTCACCTCGACGTACGCCATGTCGCCCTCCGCCAACAATGCAAACTACATTCACTCCAACCAGTCCTCCCAACCCACCACCCCCACCTCCGCCGCCTACATGTCCTCCCAGCCCCACCCCAACACAAGCAACATTGCCTCCGTCGGAAACTACAACCCCTATGCCTCGTTGTTGAACAAGGCCAACCTCAAGTTCACCGGCAACATGGATGATATGGCCATCAACTGGTCCGGTGAAGAGTGGGAGTCCCATCGTCGTCTCGTCCAGTTCTGGAGACGCCAGGACGGAAACGATATCCACTGTAACTTTGCTCCCGTCGCCCCCGCTGACCGCCAGCCCAATTCGATTGTTGTGTCGTGCATCTACTGGGCCGAGAGAAACGATTGCTTCCTCACCTCCGTCGACTGCATATACCTCCTCGAGTCCCTGATCGCCGTCCGCTTCACCGTCGAGGAAAAGAACCGTATCCGCCGCAACCTCGAGGGATTCCGCCCTATTACCGTCTCAAAGTGCAAGCCCGAGTCTGCAGAGTTCTTCAAGCTCATCATGTCCTTCCCTAACCCCAAGCCCCGCAACATCGAGAAGGACGTCAAGGTCTTCCCCTGGAAGGTTCTTCCTTATGCTCTCAAGAAGATCATCTCAAAGTACACTGCCTCGTACTCCTCCACAGCCTCCATCCAGGCCGATGCCTTCCACAACGCAAACTTCCCTCATGGCTCTACCTTGCCCTTGACCCCCCAACAGCAGACCATCATCGAGTCCAGCCTCATCGCATGATTAGATGAATAAGGGGCAACTCTTCCTCTATCTGTTCCTTTTCTTTTTGCTCGTTTTTGCTTTTCAGTTCATTTTGCATTTCGTTTCCACTTGTAGTTTAGTTACCTTTTTCTTTTTCTTGTACATTCTTTTTCAGTTCAAAAACATCTTGCTACATTACTCAAAACTTCAGCCCAATGTGGCAAAACCCCAAAAACCCAACAAAGGGGCGCCGTGCGCCTCTCAAAAAACAATAAAAGCGAATTCGCAAAATCTTTCACAAAAACTACATACAATGTCTCCAATGTACAGTACCTTTTTTTTTCTTGGGTTATTTATTGTCTAGTCTGAAGGCGTTTTTCATTACTTGAAGTATGCATGCGCCTTGGCACTTTGTGAAATAAAAGAGGACAAAAATGAGAGAGGTTGGGCTGGGCTGGACTGGGCTCAAGTCCAAAAACAAAGCAACAACAATCACAAGAGAAAAACAGGGAGTAAGGTGGGGAGAAAGCGTGAGTTCAATGGGGAGGATGGGGGGCTGCGGACGAGATCTATTTTTGAAGATCAATCAAGCATCATATCGAAAAAAAAATGTTTGATAACAGCAGTAGCAAACATCACACATCCCCCTTCCTCCCCCCCTCCTCGCCAACTCAACTCCACAAACAACAAACGGCATCATCACCACACAGTCTGCAAAAACAAAAAACATAACAAGCCAAAAAAAAAAAAAAAAAAAAAAAAAAAAAAAACAAACAGGAAAAAAACGGCGGAGATCCTTCGCATGATTTTTTTTTCTTTTCAGATTTCTTTTTTGCTGTAAACTACCGCCATCGATGAGAAGGGAGAGAGAGAGAGAGAGTGGAGAGTTTTGGCGATGACGCACAGAAAGGAAGGGGCAGAAAAGTCTTTTGGTTTTATTATCATTCCGATACCCACATGGCGTGGGTGGAGTTTACATTTTTTTTATTCTCCTTCTTCATCTCCGAAAATAAATAATGAAGAGAAAGAAAACAGGGAGGGTGAAGGGAGAGGAAGACGAGGCAGGGTACATGAACCCCGCACTAAAAAGATCGTCTGTTTGCTTCGATCGTTTTGCGGCGGCTATTCAAACTTCATTTTTTTATTGCATTGCGGGGACCAGATGATGATGTTGATGACGGTGGTGACGATAAAGGGAAAGGTCAGGGGATAGGAGGTGATAAACTGTTTGCTCACTTGGCAGGGTTTCTGGTTTGGTTTTGTTAACGGTCAACGGTAGTGAAGCGCACAGCAGTTTGTATATGAGACATATTTCTCTCTCCAACTCTCCAACTCTCCAACGCTCTGTCGTACAACAAACAAAGAAGAGCACACTTGAGCGAACACAAAAAAGTGACAACTCTGAGCTTTCTGATTTTCATAGGAGCTGAGAGAGTAAAAGAAAGAGAGAGGGACTCAGTCTTCCTTCTACTCGTTCAATTATGTATGGTAAGCAAAACAGATTATCCACCAACCGAGTTCCCGCGCCAACTCACACTGTCAGTTCTCCCTGCACTGTCATCCTGTGGTGAATGTTTGCTGATTATCGTCTAAGCATCCATTGGCGCTGATAATATCGTTGCGCCCATCTTTCTATTTGCATATATGCAAATGACGACGATGACCAAAAAAAAAAAAAAAAAAAAAAAAAGGTATGATAGAAAGACAACATGACGGACGTTAGTGCAGCGATTGGTCAATTTGCCTACTCTTCTACACTCTCTCTTTCCCTCGCCTGGCAGATAGACAGACGGACAGATGCACGTCTCTAATTGACCGAAGCGGCCCTTCTCTCTCCCTCAACAAATTTCGCGTCCAGCTCCCACCAAACAAATTTTTTAGTCATTTAGAAAAAATAGAATTCATACAGACAGTTAAATGACGATGGGCGATGAAGGTCATGATCGTGCACTTGTGGGAGAGAATGAGCGAGAGAGAGAGAGAGAGAGAGAGAGAGAGAGAGAGAGAGAGAGAGAGAGAGAGAGAGACAGAGAGAGAGAGAGAGAGAGAGACAGAGAGAGACAGAGAGAGACAGAGAGAGACAGAGAGAGACAGAGAGAGAGGAGCCAACAAGGACACAACTTTTTATTATCGTTATCTACGAACCATACTCCTCCACTCCTACCACCCTCCTCACCCTTCATCCAGCAACCCGGTAGACGCTGTACATGTATGTAGAGGAGAAAAGGTCGGAGAAAGCACAGTTCTTACTGCTCCTGGAAATCAACAAGCCTCTCATTTCTAGCCTGCGTCTCCTTCTCAACCCGGAACCCACCTCCAACTTCACAATCCTTCAACGACGACTTTTCACAGATCTTGGCCCCCGAGCAAACGATACACCCATCCAGCTTCACGTTGTCCTCCAGGACCACATGGTCCATCACAATCGAGTTGACAATCTTGACGTTCTTGCCAATCGTCACATGTGAACCCAGGGTCGACTTCTTGACGGATGTGCGGTCACCCAGTTTGGTGTCATCTCCTACGAGTGAGTCGGCACCGACTTGGCCCTGTCCTCCTGGGTTCCTGTCCTTATCCGTAATCTTTGTGTACTATTTTTTTTTCGTCGTTTCATGCATAGAATGATTAGCCATTTGTGGTCAATTGGGTTTGCAACAAGAAACAAGGACACGAAAATAACGTACGTAGCGGTTGAGCTCAAAGTAGTTGGAGATGCTGTTGGCGCGTCCGCAGTAGACATCCTTGGCGACGACAAAGGCCTTGCACTTGACAGGGCTCTTCCATTGTGCATTCTCAGACTGGTCCTCAATCTCGGGTGCCTGTGTCGTCGACAAACTCAACGCCAATGCCTGAGTGCTAGGATTTGCCGTCAACGATTCCGCAGCTATATTTATAAAAAGGAGAAAGGTCGGGCGTTGTCAATAAACAATTTCAGGGAGCGCCTTTTGCTTCGCATTGCGCAACGCCAATCCTCAATCACATGTAATACAATGTCCAGCAAACGCCTTATCCACAAGTCCTAGAAAACGAAGGAAAAGTAGTTACCTTTGGTGACACCCTCACGGTCAGCAAGGACACGCTGGTGCTGACTCTTAACAAGAAGAGGCAAGACATGCTCCTTCAAACTGGCGCGCGAACGCTTGATCGAGACCTCGTTGATCAAGTCAATCACCCAGCGCTTGAAAATGTACAAATGTCCGTCCTGCAAGAGTCGGGTGATGTTCATGACAGGGTGCTTGCTCAACAATGACACCCTTACTGAGAACTCTTCCGTGTCCATCTCTTCCGAGTTGTTCAAGTAGACCAATTGCGAGTTTGACGCGTCAATTCCCACAAACTGCGTCACCTCTGTTTAATCCCGTTAGTTATCCATGTCCGTGTCAATGAAAAGTGAGATAGGTTAAAAGGTTGCACAAAGAGAAAAAAAATGTATAAAATGGATTATGGTGAGTTGGTGAGTATGGAATGAGTCATAACAACCATAAACATACACATATTCGCCTTATTCTGTAAAGAGTAGAGTGTGCATACCAGTCTCCTTGCTAGATCCTGTGGGTCCACCTTCGCTCTTGCTGGGCTCAAAGAACAGGGCGGTCACTGTGGGGTCTTCTGAACGGTGCATATCCAAGAACTGGTGAGGTGGCAGACTCGTCAACAGGTCACAGCTGATCACAATAAAGTCGGTCTAATGTGGCGCATACGCAAGGTAAAAAAGCGACCGATGAGTCACTTCGTCATAGGTTCTCCTCATCCTCGTAAGACTTGAGTGCAGAATGCCAATGGTATCATCTTCCATCAGAACAAGGAAGGGTTTTGTGTACCTTGATCTTGTCCTTGATCCGGGCCAAAGCCTGGGCAGTTCCACAGTTATCATCTACGATCTCCATGCTGATGTGAAGCTGTCCTTCGTAGACTCTATCCAGATAATGTCCCAACTTTTTTGATCCCGACGCCAAGCTGACAACAATAACATCTAAACGTTCGTAAGAGACGCGAGGACGTAGGCGTTAATTTCTCACGGACGGGGAACAAAGAGCGCGAACAGAAGTAGCAGAGGAGAAGACGACGGGTGGTAACGCACCAGAGACGCCGGAGGACTCCAACCAGGCGAGAGGGTATGAGATCATGGGTTGGTTGACGATGGGCAAAAGTGCCTTTGGCATGTTGTTCTTCTCGTCGCTCAATGGGATCAGTCTACATGTTCCAACGTGGTGTGAAAAAGGAAGGTAGCCCTCACGGTCAATACATGTGGTGCTCGGTGTAGTTATTGGGCATGGCGCTGTGTTCCTGTTCATGAGGAGGGTCCCATTACCCGTTTCCGTAGCCGGCCATGATGACGGCCTGGAACTCTGGCACGCGCTTCCTGTATGGCATTGTTGTATGTTCTTGTGTTCTTGAGGTTTGTGTGAAAAAAAGAAGCAAAGCTTGCTGGCGACTCTCTCTTTTTAAACCTTCGAAATTGACATCGTTGTTTGGAGTTGGCCGCTCATGTGACCGCTTTCGGCGCCACACGGGCCTGACATGCGTTCATGAGCATTGCTCAACAGATAGTCAACGCTCCCTTCGTCTCACTTTCTTTCACATACTTGCGCACAAAAGACTCGCAATTGACACAGACTGAGCAAAAGAACACATAAAGCACATCAACCGCCAACATAGCTTAAAACATGCATGGTGAATGTGTCATACCACACAAGATATTTAGTCATTCAGTTTCGAACCAAAATCCTAGTTGGGGAAACGGAAGACCTGCTCCCTCTGGTATCCCATTGCGCCCAACACCCCACGAATAGGTTCTTGTCCATTCATCCCACGAGTGCCCGCAACATGGTTTACCATACTCTCTGGTCCGCACACCAACACAATCGACTTCTTCTCCTGCTCTTGGGTGGCATCCCCTTGAGTGATCACTTTCTTGGGCGGTGGCAACAGTCCCTGGAGCATTCCCTGGTTTACGAATCCGACATGGCCCTCCCACTTGGAAACAGTCTCAGTCTCTGAAGTAGCAGCGGGGGCTTTGTCGACGGTATAGGAGACGTGGAGTTGGTTGGGGAAGGTCTTGACGAGGTAGTCGAGTTCGTCCTTGAAGTAGAGTTCTTCAGGCGATTGAGAGGCAAAGAGGAGCGAAATCTTGACCTTCTTGTCTGGATTTGTCAAAGCCGAGTGGATGATTGGCATAAACGCCGTGATTCCTGTCCCTCCTGCGATCTATTGGTCCAAAGTTGCAATGGTCAATGAGAAAGTTACATGATATAACACCAAACGCGAAAACAGTTACAAAGGCATTAACGCGTGAGGTAGATAGAACATACCATGCCAATCTCATCCCATTGCTTCAAATCCTCCCTTCCACCAGGCCAAATCAACACCGGCCCACGCATCTCAATCCTCTGCCCCTCCTTGGCATCATGCATAAACCTCGACACCTGGCCCTCACTATACCGCTTAATCAACAACTGAACCGTCCCTTGCTCCTGCTCCGTCGAATGCACAGGCGTATAAGCCCTCATGGCCTGAATCTGATCATCCTTGACATAGATCGCAGAACTGATAGGGATCGCACAGGGAGAAGGGAGTTGGAATTCGAAGAGCGAGGTGTGGTCGGAGACCTTTGTGATTTTTGTCAGTTGGATGGGGGTCCATTTTTCGGTGGTTAGGGTATCGGCTGGAGAGGTTGAGAAGAAGTTGAAGAAGGGGTTGGAGGACAAAACACCGGACGAGGAACTGTGTTGGTTCCATTGGTAGAGGTATGCGCCGATGCCGAGGGAGGATACGGCGAGGAAGGTGAGGGCGTTTGAGGTTTTGGAGGCCTTGGGTGCGCGGGCGGTTGTTGAGCTTGCGCTGTTAAAGGTTGTCTTTTGTGCGGTTGTCTTTTGTGCGGTTGGTTGTTGGTGCTGGAATGAGGAGGAGGGCTTGGGTGGTCTTGCGTAGCTTCTGATCTGCGCGGTGCCTGCAGTGGGGCGAATGTGTGATGCTGGTGTTGATGAGGCTGAGGTGGTTAGGAGGGAGGTTGCCGTCTTGGCTCCTCTGCTGCAGGTCGAGAGTCTGAACATGTTTGTCGAGAAGTTGATCGCGAGATGAGAAAACAAGAAGGAAAGAATGAATGCAATTGCAATGATCAAAAGCAACCAAAACAAAAACCTCGGAAACGAAAGGTGACTGTCAGGGAGGTAAAGTAATTTGGTGGCAAATCAACTTTATTTGAAACAACTGATCAAAATATCACATCAGGAAAGCACGACGTCCGTACCAGTCCTCCTGACGGTAAACACCCACCCTTGAAAAGGTACTCGTCCGGACACCGATCAGTGTCTGCGCCTGCGCCATAAACACCTGATCCATCATCATCGGGCCAAACACTCCAAGCCTCTCACTCGCTTCCAGGAACGAATCCTCCAAGACTTGCCAACCCATCGACCGGAACTCGGCCAGTTCCTCAGACCGGTCCTCGTTTGTAGAGACATACACGGGCAGACCACGAAGACTAGGGTCGGACACCAACAGATCGTTCAGCTTCGAGGCCAGCTCTTGGGTTGTTGGGAGGCACGATGAGAGTGCATGTGGGAACTGTTGCTGACAGTAATCGATAAAGTCCCCGCGCCGGGCGTGGATAGAGATGTAAGAGCCGGGTGGGGCCGCGTTGTTGATATTATTGTTGTTATAGTAGTGGCGAGTGTTGGTGGTGACGGCGTTGTTCATGTGTTCATAAAGTTGGTCATTAGTGTCGACACTTTGGTCAAAGTCGTTATGGTGTTGTTGTTGCTTCTCCTCGTCAAGTCCCAAAGACTCCTCCTCCTGCTGCTGGCTCCTTTCCTGCTCAGACTCGTAGAGACGCTGCTGTTGCTGCAAACTGTTCCTGGCACTCAGCTTATCCAGCGCCGCAGAAAAGAATCGGTCGACCGCAGGGTTAAAATAAAAGTACCGTCCATACAGATCCCACTCCTCCTTCGTTGGGACCGCAATCTTGTACCCATTGGTGATACACAACATCTGCTCGTTCTCCTGACTCCGGAGCGCCGGCACGAGCTCATTGAACTCTGTCGTCTCGATCTCGAGCTGGGTCATCGACAGATCAAACTTCCACTGCCTCAGGAACTCCTTCGCCGTGAAATCCAGGGGTCGCAACGATCCAAATCCGCAGGTGATGTGGCAGTTCAGACTCTCGATCGAACTAAACCTGTCGGCCTGTCGCAAGTCTTTGAGTTCGACAACATTCACCCCCGTGAGCTGCATGAAGGTGCCGAGATCAAAGTAGTCGGACCAAGGCTGGTTCTGCTTGGACTTGTCGTGGCTGGAGGCGGTAATCGGAGGCAGGATCAAGGTTCTGCCCAGGGACTTGGCGACCATGATAGCACGGAGCATGCCATAGAATTGGTTGGTCAGACCGGCGTAGGGGAGGTAGGTCATGTATTTTGTGTTGGGGTCCAGGCTGCGACCAAGTGACTGCTGTTGAGATCGTCCTGTCTTTGCCACCAAATGGTAGTCTTCCTCCAGTTCCAGAAAGTCGTCCTCCGAGAGGTTGTCACTGCCCTCGTTCCAGATATCGATATATGCTTCCTGAGGTGTTGCTCCTGGAGTCAAGCCCAGCAAAAAGTCGTCCTCATCCTCTTCATCATCACCCTCACTACTCCCATCCATCTCATACTCGTCATCCTCAAAGAACTCATCCACCTCACCCCCTTTCCCCTCGTTAGCATTGCTACCAACATCCATCCCATCCGAAACCATATAATCCTCCTGTTCTTCATCTCCACCAGACACGCCACCTCTATCGACACCAGAATCAGAACCGGCTGCCAAATCTTGAGAGCTCTTGTCATTTTTCCATGAAGAAGAACCAGCTGGTCGTCCATACAGATCCCAGGTCTTCTCGTTCCCTCCCGACCTGGACTTGCCAGGCCCGGTAACAAGACCGTCTTGATCCATCATCCAGGCCTCTCCACCATACATTGTCCCTGCTGGTGGCGTTGGCAGTCGTTTCCGTCCATGAGAGGCCGCTCCAGCGTTATTGTTATTTGAGGAACCGAAATCAGATTTACGGAGTTGTTGACAATGACCCGTGGCGATATCGCAGCCGGAAAAATGGACAAGGATCAGCGTCACAGAGGAGAAGAAGAGGAGGACTGCCAGGAGTATGGCTGTCCGACGATTACGCTTCTCGGCCTGACGCTGGTTCACGGATGGATGCCATGTCACCTGGAGGGACTTTTTCTTGGACTGAGAGGAGGAGGGCGAGAGTATGGGTGAGATCAAGGAAGGAGAGGAAGAAGATGGAGAAAGTGCTGACGGGTTGATGGTGATAGAGTGTGAATGAGCGATGGGGAAGGTGTGGGTGTGAGTGTATGTGTGTGCTTGGTACGGGGGAGGATGGGCTTGGTATATGGGCGATTGGTGGTCATCGGACGATGAGTGGTCCGTGTGTCGAGACATTATTTCGATGGGCTTTGGATTAAGGTATTAATGATTCGGTAGTAGTTGTGGCAAGAGAGGTGAAAGGAAGCAGTTGAACTCTGAAGTTTGATGCAAGGATAGAATGAAGGAGCGAGTGGTATTGGAAGAAGTAAGAAGAAGTGGAAGGTGGTCAAGGAGGAGTAGAGGAAAAAACAAAAGGCGACAAAGATGAAGTTAAGAAAGAGAGAACGTGTAGAGAAAACTGGAAAGGCAAGAAACGCAGAGAGGCGACGTCGTTTATCTGACGAACTGGCGACCGGCTCAGTTACCAGCTTATTGTTTTCATTGTGCTCGTGCGTGTTTATCTCGTTGACCCCGTTTTTTTTTAGATGCTGTTCTATGTATTGGCATGTTGACTTCTTCTCAGAACTCTACGGATAGAGTCAACCATGAAACATTTGATAAATGCCTCTCGTCATTCCCCATGGAATGGTAACAAGCACGAAAGCGCGCAAGAATCGAAATGAAGAGAGTGAGCGAACAAAAAGTGAGCACGGAAAAAAAAAGAAGTTCTCGATACCTCCTCCTGCTCACTCATTCTATCCTCCCGCCTGTCCGCCTTTCTTTCTTTTTTGCCTCCTCCTCTCCTCCCTTACGACGATAAAGAGGCGAGCGAAATTTGTCCCTGAGAAATAATAGCAGTGCGACAAACAAAATGCATGGTGTTGACATGGATGGATCTTTGTTCTTTTCCCTCTTTTTTAATGCTCTCAGTTTTGTTATTAGGTCGAAAAAGGGGAACTACTAGCCATCCTGCTATTCAAGGAGAAGGTGCATTTGTCCTGGTGCCTAAAATAAAACTAGGGGAAGCCACACAAAATGCGAGTGAGAGGGAATGGCGACTGAAGGACACAATGGGAAGTGGGTAAGCAAGCGCGTCTATCATAGGGCACTCGCAAGCAATGGTTTGATGGGAAATACTCTTCTTCCTTGACCAATGACTGTCCACACTTGTCACAAAAGAGAGATAGGCGAGAGAGGAGCAAGAGATGGAAGAGGGCTGACTGACTGACAAGTGCGAGAAAGAGAAAGGGGCTGAAGAAGAGGTAAGTGTAAAAATACCCGAGAAGTACCACCCTTGAAACTAATGACCCTGATCCCGCCTTCCAGCCCCTTTGGGGTTGACTATTCTCCGGATGGAGAACATTCCACTCTGCCTGTTGGTTTCCCACACAACCAAGGAACATGTGTAATCTTGCTCTTGTAATGCTCAACGTGTTTCTTCCCTGGTTCTCTCTCCTGAGGGGTAGCGGCCGATTGCATAAGACCTTTCTAGGCCTGGGTGGACGAGTCGAGAACTAGATCGAGTTCGCGTTCTTGAGCGATTTCTGGATCCTAGGGACCTCCTGTATTGACATATCCAGGTTGGTGTTAACCGTAGCGGCACAAGAGGAAACATCAGTCTCTTTACGATAAGTACAGCTTATTACTGTAGTGAAAAAAGGAGTTGTTGGCAAGGTCCTTGTTGCATCAATCGGAGGTCGTGAGTGACCTTCTCTTTCCCACCACCACATTCTGAACCCTTGCACCTTCCACCCGCCGACCACACACTGACACCGTCAATAACATTATACCTCTACTTTAAGGATCATCTGAGGAAGGAAAATGCAATTGAGCCCACGGTGCGTGCCACTATCATCAACCACCGAAATCGTCTACTGATCGCCCTTCAAAACAGAAGTATCCTCTTCTAGATCTATTGCACAGGAATCGCAGGTAAGGAGGTCCTCTTTCTCTTTTTATGATCATGATTTGAACATATCGAAGCCTTTACGCTTCAACAAGTCAACAACCAATATCCACATACAGACCCATTTTTGGTTCGCCTCCACGGCAAAAGAGCCAATAACCGCTCAACAATGACAACAACAAAAAAGGATGAAAAATGGAGAAGTGACAACGACGCCGAGAAGTAGCAGCACGGACTTACGGCATGTCAAGAAATGCATAGTCGACAAATCGTCAGTGTAATTGTGTTTGCACTATCGAGCATGGGAGGAGTGGGCAATTCTTTTTTAGTTTCAATTGCTGGCTGGAATCACATGAGGATCAATTTTCAATTAGATGTCGGTGCAATGGTCAATTAGGGGTTGCTCCAATTGATCCAACGCAGCACTTACGACTGGACTCTAAAAAACTCTCGGTCGACAGAGGTTTCCCTCCTGAAATGTGAACAACCAACCAAAGGGCGGCGGGAAGGGAAAAAGCAAAGAATAGCCGGGCAGAAGGGATCGCATATCCCAATTGACCTCATCGGGGGACCAAGCTCCCCTTTGTGCCCCCTTGTGTACGTTCCTTGGGAAGACCTTGTTTGCTTTTGTCTCTTTGGGGTCTTCATGTTGTGTTTGTCCGAGGCAAAGGGTGTCTTGTTCTTGAAGGGAGTTGTTGTATGAATGTGGCTGGTGTCTATCTAAAGGTGTATGTCTCGTCTTCCCTTCTCACTCTCTCTCTCTTCTCTTCTCTTCTCCTTACCTCTTTTTCCCTTACCTTCCCACCTCTCCTTCCCCTCTTCCCCATCCGTGGACCACTCCTCTCACTTCCACCTCCATCTCCACCGTTACTCTCTCTTCTCCTTTCCTTCCTTCACTCTCGCACAACCTAATATCCCTTTGCATTGACAACCCACAGCCATCCCTTCCTTCCCCTTTCCTATGCCTCCTCATTCCTCTAATCTCCTTCAGGTCCTCGGCCAGTCGGATCTGTCCGCCTTCGACACCTCCTTCCTCCATCACCACCACGAGGTAACACACTCTGCTCCTTCTCACTCTCTTCCTCTTTCTTTACTCTCACCCTTTCACCCTTTCACCCTTTCACTATTCACACTCACTCCCATTACACTCGCAACACACACAGCTATGAAAGCACAACGGACACTCGAGCACTGCAAATAGCCAAGAAATAGCAGACACTTACACTCCTTATCTTATATATGTCAATAACAAACAGGATGCGTCAATGGGCGAATTCAAAAAGAACCAGCTGGCCTCTCCCGAATGGAACAACGCTCTGCTCTTCTCCCTCAACGACACCCTCTCAAGGCAAGTCTCTTGTCCTGTGCGATCAGTGCTATATCACTTTTGCTTAGTCAAGTCACTTACTGTCGGGCCTCAGCTCTATTTTTTGATGCTAACGTTTTACCTTTATGCTTTTTGTGTCCGTTCTTTATACTTCCACTTCATCCTCTTCCTCCCACTCACTCTCTTCACTCACTATCACACAAAACATCATCAACAACAACAATAACACTCCCAAACAACCACCAACGACAATCAACAACAACGACCTTCAATCCACTAAAAATACAACAGCTTTAACAAGCCAACCATCGCACACCGCTTGAACGTCAAAACTCACGTCTTCAAGAAGGAGCTACAGGAGTATGTGCCCACTCAGATCGAGGACCGTCTCCGTATCGAGACCATCATCTACGTGGAACTCTCCATCGTCGACCACAACAACAATCTTATCAACGCCTTCGACTTTGCGCGTCTGCCCAAGGACCTCTTCTTCTCCCAGCCCGACAAGATCATGTCGCCGGAGGAAATGGCCACCAAGCGTATCATCGACATCGCCGCCACCCTCCAGTGTCCCTCCAACAACTGGCAGGAGGAGAAGGAGGCCTGTCTCCGCTGTGCCCGTCGCATGTCTGCCAAGCTCGACCAAACCGAGAGCAGAGTACGTTTTTTAATATGTTGTAGCCTTTCGAGCTTTATTACTACGCCCATCATACAGGACATCTTCAGGAACTCCAGATGTGTGTTATTGTAATCATGGTAATGATTTCTAACTCCTTTGCATTCTTTGCTCACATAGATTATGCATATGCTCCCTGAGTTGCACCGCACTGACAGTGGAGATGCCCTGATCAGCTTCCGTTCTGGCGTTGCCAACATCCAGTTCAAAATCAACTGCTACTGCGGACACAAGAAGGAGAAGGAAGGTTTCGTCATTCGCTTCGACTCCCAGTCGGACGTCTCGATCGACTCCCATGTCACCCTTCCCCTGATGTTCTACCACCAGAACAAGAACAGAGTCGCATCGCGTGCTCTCGCTGCTGCCACCAAGGTCCAGGGAAAGCCCGATCAGCCCCTCCAGGACCAGGGATCGACTGTCCGCAGCATTGTCAAGTCCGTCACCTCGAAATCGAAAAAGGAATCGAGAATCAAACTTGGGAGTAGTCCTATAGGGCAACAACACCAAATACCGTCGCCCCCCAACTCCCTACTGGATTCGCCCGTTGAATGGTCGTCCAGTCCAGAGATGGAGGACTTTATTGACAACACCGACATTCCGTTCACTGTACCCTCGCCGCCACCTCCTGACCCATTGATATCCCTCTTCCCCGAGTCGATCGTTCAGGATCATCAGCTGCTGCTGCCCACTGTTGCTCTCATTAGCCATATGACTCCCAACAGCGGTCCCGTCCGTGGAGGTACCTTGGTCACCATTCACGGATCTGGCTTCAAGGTCGGCGAGCTCATCTATGTTTGCTTTGGCGAGAACTTGGTTCCCGTCATCCCCCAGCGCGACCACATGCTCGAGTGTGTCACCCCCGCTTCCAACAAGGCCGAGACCGTCGCTGTCTTTGTCGCGAACGCTGGTGATGCCACCGCTGCCCAGGCTACCTTTGCTTATGTCGACGACAACGAGAAGGAGCTTATGAAATTGGCCTTGCAGCGCGTGTTGAACGTCGCTGCCCGCATGGAGGGTCCCTTGGACACTGTCCTCAACCGCGCCAACGAGTTCACGCTCTGGAGCGATCTCTTGGAGGGCAACCTCGATGGTTCGTCCTCCTTGAACGGAACTCAGTTCTCGAGCCTCGAGGAGATGGTCATCGAGACTCTCAAGGCTCTTGACACACCTAACGTCAAGAACGTCGAAGGCTTGTCGATCACCAACAGCACTGGCCATACCTTGCTCCATCTCGCTGTCGCTCTCCAGTACCAGACCTTGGCCAAGGAGCTCATGGACCGCGGCGTTGATGTGTCTGTTGTGGACAAGAACGGTCTCACTGCTTTGGCCTTGGCTCGCCGCTTGAACAGCCAGGCTATGATTGATCTTCTCTGTGGTATCGAGTCTTCCGCTTCTGCCGGCAATGTCATCGCCGCCACAGTTGCCCCCAAGGTCACCCTCTTGGATGCCAAGGTCGGTCTCTCTGCTGAGGGCGATGAGGTTACTCGTAGGTTGTCGTTGTTCGTTAGTCCAGGCTCTCAACCCACCGCCACGGATCAATCATGCACAGATCACGGCTCTAGCGGCATAATCCCATCCAGTGGGGTGCCTACCAAGAGCCTCTCGTTGGATCTAGAGGGTCAAGATGACCCACACATGGACTTTGTGTGGGAAGGCTTTGGCCAAGGACCAGGACACGAGAACCTCGCTCTCTCTGACGACGCGGTCGGACCCAAGATTCTTGAAGTCAACAAGATGATTGGCCTGTTTGACCAGCAGGAGCCACGTCGTTTCGGGGGTGCCGTCGACCAGTTCGGACAGCAACAACAACAGCATCTCGCCCAGCAGCAGGAACAGGACTACCGCAAGATTTTGTCCGCGATCCCCACCGGCTCTGGAGAAGTGATGATGTCGATGCCTGAACAGAACTACGAGCCCCCCACCGTCGGTCTGCGTCTTATTGGTAAACGAGACGCGCATCCAACGGGGATAACAGACGAAGTCGAGTTCAACATCCCCATAAGCGCCTCCTGCCCTATAAGCACCCTCAATTCCACGAGGCTGCCAGTAAGAGGTCTTGACCAAGCTGCCCCGATCGGTCAAGACGAGGTCGCCGCCGAAGGGTGCACAGGAGTCGCGTCGGTGAACCCGTCTGTTGGAGTCCCAGGGAATGGCAGTAGTCAGAGTGTTCATGGAACAGGACGGATAGATCGCCCCACCGTCAGGATTCCTATACACGTCGATGCCGGCTCCGAGACCTTCTCAACTGAGCAGCAGCGCTCCGCCCCTGTTGGCTACATCGCTGGGATATGCCCCACGATGCACCAAGCCGAAGTAAGCGGAGTTGTTGTTGTGTCTGAGGAGACGGAGATCGACAACGACGCCGGCGGGTCGCTCAACACCGCCACCGAGCAGGCTGCAGTTCAGAGCAGCCGTCAAGATGATGTCGAGTCTGAACCACTGTTGTTCTTGGGAGGGCTGCCCGTGACCTTGTTGCCGCGCCCTACCCGTACCACCGGATCGGCAGTGCCAAGCCCCACCGTTGCCCTGAACAGGAGTACCAACAGCGGCAGCAACAGCAGCGAACCATCCAAAATGGAGCACGAGGATGACGTCGAGCAGGCTTAAAGAGACCCTTCTTTTTGTCGAAAAGGGTTGATTAGCCATCCGTCCTCCTCGCCGTTTTATACCCATCTGGATGGCATTGTATTTTGTTTTGTTTTGTTTGCGCGTTTTATTTTCTTTTGCTCTTTTGTTAGTTAACTCTTGTACATAGTTTTCCGTACTCCCACTATTGATGTCCTTCCATGCTTTCTTGTTTCTTTTCTTTAATTTGCTTTTTGTTTCTTTTAGTAAAGAGGATTTTTCACAATGATGTTGTCCCAGAATGCTATGATATCTTATTGCTGCAAGCTGCAAGGTCTTCTTACCACCGGCCCGCTGCTTCAGGAACCATTGAAACGGCTTCTCGTTCGTGTCCGCAAAGAACTGCGCCCTCTCCAACACTGGCGGCCAATGTTTATCCATCCACTTCATCTCCTCCATCCCAATCGTCGCCCTTGTCTCCTTAGTCGTCGCCGAGACCGACCCGAATAGCGCGTTTAACTTTGTCAGCCCTCTCAGTAGATGCAGGTACCCTGTCCGCCCCGTCTCTTTGTTCTTGAGGTTCACTATCCCCGGAAACAAGTTCCATCGGAACATTGTGTCCGTGGAGCGGTCGCCAAGCCAGGTCGAAGTAGATGGCCTCCAGATTCAAGCGCTTCAATTCTGTGAGTGAGCCTAGCTGTCGGTAAAGGGCCTCCAGGGACCGAAGCTGTGCAGTCAACGTAGCTGAGAGAGTCGTTGGAGATGGGCGGCTGTAGTAGGGTACGACGCCCATTGCTTTGGATCGGTGGAGAGGCTCGTCCGGAATCGCAATCGTAAAGATCAGATCCACTTGCAGCCCTAGGGTAATTAGATCGCGTCATCCTGATTGATACATAGTATCGGTTATTGATGATGGTAGAGCCCTTCCATGGCCCTAGTTTCAACGTCTAATAATCCCAGGGCCCAACACTCGACCAGAATCGTCTGAATCGCCCTGCTGTCAACGTTCCGACAGCCCCGCCAAAATAATCTCGCACAAGGTGCCCCGACTGTCTCCGGAATAACGATCCTACATCAACGCTAGTCAATCCCAGGATCAGAAACGACAGTTCTAGGGAAATGGAATGTCTGAACTTATTGCTCCAGCAGTATCTCCAGGATCCTGAACACCAGTTCCCTGACATTGTTGCCAGCAAAAGATTCCTTCCACGTTTGTCAACTTTGGACAGAGCTGCTGGGCGATTTTCTTGTGCGAGTTGTTGAGGGTTGTGCTGAATCGAATGGGCGGGCGCGGGACGATAATGGTGGTTAGGTTTGGGCAATGCGCCAGCATCGACCGGTACTCGGCCTATGACAGATCTTCTTCTCCCGGGTACCAAAGTTGTAGACTTGTCAGATGCGCCATCGGTTCCTTCCGTAGCCGAGGTACCGCCAGTTCGTCCTTTTTTCTCGTCACCGTCACCGTCACCGTCACCGTCACCGTCACCGCCATCGCCATCGCCATCGCCATCATCATCATCGTCGTCGTCGATCATCTCCCAGGACAGCAGTCTGCCTCAATGATAACTTAATTTGTCCCAGTGATTTGATCACTGATTTTCACATTCAAAGAACTGCGGACAAAATCGTTTATTTAACAAAGCGCACAAAGTTCCAATTCCCGTCCCCTCTTTTGTCGCTGCTCCAGGAACCAGTTGAGCGGGTTCGGGCCTATAGACGGTACCATAAGGAACCCAGCCCTCTCTAGTGCCGGCCAATGCTTGTCCATCCATACCACTTCATCCATCCCGAACGTCATCGATGTCTCCTTGGTATTAGCTGCCACCGACCCAACCAGCGTCTTCAACTTTGTCAGTCCTCCCAGCAGCCGCAAGTACCCTGGCCGTCCCCTCTTCTTGCTCCCGAGACTCAACATTCCCGGGAAAGACATGTCTCGAAAGTCCCATGATGAATCACGCATGGTTATCGGGTCAAAATAGAGGGCTTGGAGGTCCAACCGTCGCAGTTGTGTGAGTTTGCCAAGTTGTCGGTAAAAGGATTCCAGTTCCCTGAACTGCTGTATCTCCTCTGCCGAAAGTGTGGTTGGTGGTGGTCGATAGTAATAGGGGATTGTGCCGTCTGCAGGGGAAAAGAATGGCCGCTCCGGAATGGCAATCGTCAGTTGAAGCTCTTGTAGCTTGATACAGGCCCAGGGGATCTCGATAGCGTCATCCAGGTGGAGACAGTGCCGGTGAGTATCGCCGTACGTCGGGAAATGAACTCTAAAAGATTCCAGAGCCTCACACCCGACCAAAATCGTTTGAACCACCTTGATGTCGATGTTCTTGTAGCCATTCAGCGAGATCTCCCGCAAGGTAGTCGAGTGTCGCCGGAACATGGATCCTGGATTGTCCAAGCCTTGAATATCAGCCCGTTCCCCGTTCGAAATGAACCTTGTGAGCTGTTGCGGAGGTAGCGCTCCGACGATCCAATCCATCAGCTCCCGAACATTATCACTTCCCCACTTGAATCCGTTGGATCCGTTGGATAGGTCACTCAATCTCGGGCACCACTGAACAATCTCTCCCGCTAGCTGCTGCACGTCGCTGATCCGGGATCGTTTAGGCATCGCGAGGGCAATGAGATTTGGGCACTGTTGGAGTATCGATTGAAAGTTATCTCTCGAAAAGATCCGCTCCACCTCGCCAAGATGCAAGTCTCTCAATCCCAGAAATGGGCCTTGTCGCCGAGGCATCGTCGACGTCGTCAACACGCACTCTTCGTAAAGCTTCCCCCATGACAGCAGCGTCCCCGGTTCATACTCGGCATACTCCATCGAGATGTCTTCTATGTAGTCATCGTCCTTGCCTTCCATATGTGACTTGAGAGTCAACTTCCGAAGAGTCGACGGACATGCGGAAAGGAAGTATATCCCGACTTTGAGCATCAGCTCTGGCGATGTAAAACTCCCCAGAATAAAGCCGAGGTAGAGCGCCCGCAATCTCTGCAGTCGGAGCAACGTTGTCATCAGGAGCCGAGCGCCCCTGCGGTCCATGAGAAGAACCGATGTCAGTTTGAGATCCAAAAGGTTAGGGTTGAAGCTGATAATCCAGCAAGCTTGGGTGAGGGTCACTATGGAGTCCTGGCAGCTCTTCTGGTACCCATCGCCCCGCGGCGTGGCGACGTGTTTAAGGTCTAGTTTCGTCAACATTGTCATCGGCGGTATGGGGAATACTGTGTATATTTGGGTATCCAGTGGTGCGAGCCAAGTAGGTCGAGAAAGTGCCGGTGAGTGTCCAATTGTGGCGGTGGTCGTGGTGTTCTGTAGTGTGTCGAGTTGGTCCAGGAACGCAATCACGCAATTGGCGTAGTAGATGATATCGTGGCGACCTAGAGTCAATTGTCGAACATGGTGAGCATTCCTGGATAAAGCCATTATCGACTCGGTAGAGCCAAAGAGCTTATTATTGTCGTCAAAGCAGGCGATGACGTGGAAGTAAAGTGTTGGTGCGCAGATTGCGTTCATTTGTCGACTTGTTTGCATGAGTCTCGAAACTCCGGCGCGGTCGAGGTGGTATAGTGTTAGGTGATCGACCAGTTCTTGCACATTAAAGAAGCGAATGAAAGCAGACTCCATGGTTTGGCGAGTGGATGTTTGATGCTGGTAGTGGTGTTGCTGAGGTCCAGTCCAGAGGTTGCTGTTGGTGTTTGTTAAAGGAAAGAACATACGAGTGAGAGAGTAAAAACGACAGCCGAGGAAAAAGGAGGTGGCTTGTCCTCATGGTACCATGGTACTGATGATCAATGATTGAATAACGTTGACGACTTTATTTTTAATGGTTGATCAAGATATATCAAGACGCATCTGTTGCGGACAAAATATATCAACGAGAGAAAAAAAGCCGCAATATATGAATACGAACAGCAAGTCAAACAAGAAAAGGACAATCGCATATTTTAGTAGTCCATGGTTCAAGCTTGAAAGCTAATGTTCTCTTTGACTCCGTTGGACCTCATCCCACCAGTCGAGCACATCCAAGCACTCCTGTCCCTCCTGTTCCGCTATACCAAATTGTGCCGTCTCCAACGCAACCCAACGTCGGTGTATCCACTTGATCTCATCCATCCCAACCGTCGCCTCGGTTTCTTCTATCACCAGACAGGTCGATCCATAGAGTCCCTTCAACTTTGTCAGACCACCCAGCAACTGCAGATACCCTTGGTCGCCCCATTTCTTTCTTTCCGAGACTAAGGCCTGGAAAAATATTCAACATATAGTTGTCAGACACCCCACGGACACCGGATGGATCGAAAAACAGGGCTCGCATGTCCAATCGCTCTGTCTAAAGCAATGTAAATTTTCGATTTATTTTATTACGATAGGTAGTTATTGGGCGGGGTTTTGATGCAATCCGGTTGAGTAATAGACAAAGATGGACTTTGCACGTTCCACAGAACCAAGTCGTCTTCTTCTTTTCAACAGTCGGATCCGGGATTGCCCTGTTTTTGCATCATTGGCATGTCTTGGAGGTTGGTGAGGTGTCCGGTATATGAGTGAATACTCTGTCAACTCGCAAGTTGCCCAACTGCTGATGATTTTTGGTGATATAGCCGAAGAGAATGGCATGTATCGCATGCTCACACTTGGTGGGTTCCTAGATCGACCTATCTCTTTTTAACGAAAAAAGGGCATGGATGGATTGTATCTCTTTGCTTGCTTTGTGTGCTTTTCGTTTGCGTCCCTTTTTTTTTTTTTTTTTTTTTTTGGTTATTTTGGAACCGCACTGTACCATAATTTGTATTTGTACCTCGAAACAAAAGAAATAATAGAGGCAGCGTTCTTGCGTCGAGATAAATCGACCTCCAACTGACACGGCGAGAAAAAAGGAACCAATAAAACGAAGAAGGAATGGTAAAATGTAGGGCGCGTTGTGTACGCTTTATATTATATAGTCAACGATACCCCCTTCGATCTTTTTCAAATACTGCTCAAAAGCTCCGTCGTGTATTACGCCTTGTCGACCTGGACCCACTCCTTCTGAGGGAGCACAGTACCAAATCCACGCCTGGGCACATGAGGGAGGAACGCGACCTGGGGCGAGTATGCGCTGTCCTTGACCACCTGCCTCAATTGCAGCTTCTTCGGGAGCATGTTCAGTGCAAAGTACCGCAGAATTTTCTCTCCCCAGTTCTATTTGCATTCACAACAAGAAAAAAGAAGAAAAAACAATCAATGACATTGCATTTTTGTCTGAATGAATTGAAACAATCGAGTGCGCAAGAGGAAAGGGGGAGATAGAGAAGAACGTACATGTCCTAGTTGGATCTTGGCGCTGATTTGACTGGCAGAGTGCTGAGTCTTGACATGCGGGTACCGTTCGTCGCGGTAGGTTTGGAGAGCACGAACAAGGTTCTCGTGTGTTGGGTTTGGTTTGATTTCATACAGACAGTTTGCCAAAATGACTGCGTCATGAATCGCATTCACTGCTCCTTGTCCTGCATTTGGTAGCAACTGTAAGAGAACGAAATGGAACAAGATGTGGTATGAGTATGTTGCTGTCTTCCGGTACATTGGTGTGAGATACAACAACCTCTGGCGAACAAACGTAGAGATATAGATCCTTTACCTTATGACAGGCTGTGAGGCGAGACCAAGTGGAGTTGAGAAAAAAAAAGATCGGTCGATCGGTGAGTATGAGTAGACAAAAAAGGTACCTGTCAAATGGCACATGTTGCTGCATAGTCAACAAGAAAAAAAGTCATACCATCGCCAATGAGCGCCACACGTTCGTGAGCCCAGGTCTCGTAAAGAATATCCTCCAGAAAGACCTGGGAGATCAACTCCCGGGGCGTGGCCCGGATGAGATCGCCCAGAGATCCAAAAGGTGTCTTGTAATCACCCACCTGCTTAAGGATCTTGTCGCTCGTCTCGGGGCCCCACTCTGATGTCCTGAACTGTGCCTCCTCCGACTCTTTTTCCGACAACTGAATAATCACGTTCCAACAAATTTTGTTGTCCGGGACCGAGAACGTACTCCACTTTTCGTACAGTAAAAAAAAAAGATGAAATGAAAATGAACAAACAGGACATGCGCATTGTCTCCACTTTTTTGAGCAAATTGCGATTCATGCACGAAAAACGAAGAACGAACAACGACAACCTGTCACCTCCATTTTTGTTTCCCGGAACTTACATTGTATGGTGAGTTGTCAGAGATCATGATGGACCCACTGGAATATTGTTCTTCAATGCCCTGGAACAAGGAAGGGTCCAGCTCTGACGTGATGCCGACCAGACATACGTACCCTTTGCTCATGGCCCGTGTATCGGACTCGGGCAACAGTCCCTCCTGCTTCAGCTGAAAGTACAGGTTCTGCCGAACGGCACTGTAGGCTCCGTCTGCTCCGACAAGGATATCACCATAGAACTCTGTCTTGTCTGTGCACCGAAGTCCGACCCCATCTTCGCTTTGATTCAGCGTCTTGACCTTCCTCCCCATGTGGATCTTTTCTGGGGGCACCTTGCTCATCAGAATCTCGTGTAGCCTTGGACGTGATAATACCAGGCGTTCGTACCCTTCACTATTTGAGGAATAAGAAAGACAGAAGAAAACATTGTTAGCGGGAGTTGGATCTGACGTGGAAAGTGTGAAGTGATAAGAACACGTACCGTTCGAAGGCGCCATGGTCAGAGTATTGGCCCAATTTCTTCATAGATCCTCCAAAAAAGTTGAATTCTCGGATGGGCTTTGACGCAGCCAAGATCTCCTTTGTCAGTCCTAGCTGGTCAAACACCGGCAGCACGGCCGCATTCAGGCACATCACCGACCCTTTGAGGAAAAAAGATGAGTGATGTTTTGGATGGGCGCAAGCGAGGGGAATGTTTGTTGGTTAGTGTAATGCATGACTATCATGTCCGCCGACTGATGGAACAAAACTAATGAATCTGACACAAAGAAGGTCATCAGATACAGAAACAATATCATCATAAAGACTTGCCTAATGGCTTTATCTCTCGATACCGCTCCACAATCTCATATGAGATATCGAGGTGCTCAAGCAAGATAGCAAGCATCAGACCTGCAATTCCTGCTCCCGAGATTAGTACGTGTAGTTTGGTATTCGTTGTAAAGTAGGGCGAGTCTAGCTCAGCCTGGTATGACCGCACAGGATCCTCTTCATCGAAATCGTACACCAATGACATCTTGTTGTCTATAAAGTGTATGGCGTTGGTGAGTGAGAGGGACGGAGGGTAGAGTGGACAGAGAGAAGGTATAGGTGTGTGTATAAGAGAGAAAGAAAGTGGTAAATGAGAAGGGGAATGAGAGGATCGGGTGAGTTCGAGTGCAAGTGTCGTGAAGAAAAGGAATGGGTGAATGCAAAAGAAAGTGATGAGGGATGAGAAGAAGGAAGGGTGAGATGCAAGTTAGGTAAGGAAGGAAAAGTGAGGAAGAGGGAAAGGGGAAAGCAACCAACTAGAAAGGAGAAAGGAAAAGAAAGTGTGGAGTAATGGGCTGGGCGGAGGTAAAGTGGAGAGTCAAAAACGATAATTCATTCTGTCGGGGTTCGCATGGCATGGACAGTGAAATGGAAGAGCTCCTGTCTGTCTGTTTTTCTGTTTGTTTTGGTGCCCCTGATTGACCGTTGGGTTGTGCATCCTTGCTTTGTTCCTACTCTCTCCTTTTCTTGTCAACTCTCATTCATCCACTCATCAACCCCAAGCAAGACCAGGGTTACACCGACCACACAGGTCATCTCGTTGTTACTGTAGAAGTCGATGCTCTCACTCCCAACATTAAAATATCCATTGTTGACGCCAACGAACCTGTGCAGAAATACACTCAACATCAACAAAACAAAAAACCGGTATCGTCAGCCCAAATGTTGTTTGAGGGGTGCGAGTTCCAATTCCATGCTGGCAGAGCGAGGATTCATCCCTCTGTGCTCCTCCACCCCTTATTACGATAGAGGATAGCCCCCCTCGACCATCGGGCGCCGTGTCTATGCTAATGTTGTGTTCAGACTCAAAAACAAAAACTCAGAGACAAAAAGAAAGAAAGAAAAGAAGCAGAGCGTACCACAGCCTTCCTATCGTGCTTCCTTTCTCTCAGAGGAAGTCAAACAATGCATGACCTCCTCCTCTATCCTCCCTTCGCTCAACCTAATAGCCACAATAAATCAAAGCACCCTCTTTTTTTTTGATTTGACTGATGGAGGGACATGAAGGTGCACGACTCTCGGGGACACAATCCGCCGACCATCCTGATAGCACAAGCGAAAGCAATAGATTTGCTCACAAGCCTCGTTCACGCTAGAAGCAATTCTTTGATACTCATTTTCTTTCATCTCCGTTCTGGTTCTACTTTACATTTTGGCTCGGAGGGTGAGGTTAGTCAACGCCAAAGTTCACGGAGTAAAAGAAGTTCAGAACACGCTTCCACATGGCACGGACGGAGGAAGGAAAGTGAGAGTGAGGAGAAGAGAAGAGAGGAGATTCAACTGAAATGTATTGGATTGGTGCCACCTATCCAAACTAAACTCAACTTGTGTTCGTCAATCTGCCTGTGTATCCATTGGCCTTCCCTCCATGGTTGCTACTACAAAATCACTGAATGTTTACGTTCATTTCTCAGCGAACCATGCACCCAATTTTGAGACTTGACTGTGATACTATACATTGCAAAATAGCAGGAGTGCCGACATCAACAGGATATGCAAAAAAAATCAAAAACAAGATGAGCTGAGCAAATATGAATGGGTGAAGGTTTGGCGCGATGACAGAGGCGTACTAAGTTAACAACAAGAAAAAAAGACTGAGATTCTGGCGGACAGACAACACCCGTCGGTTCGGCTCCACTTGCCCCGCACAGTCCCCCTCTCTAATTATTATTTTTCTTTCCTTGTAACGATCGCAACGAACGAGCTACTTCAAGCCACATAGTCACCCGTGTAGCCCTGGTGATCTTATCCTAGACTTCCCAGCACGCAGAAAAAGCAAAAAAAAAGGGAAAGGGAGCATGGGTATAGATGGACGGGTATGGTATGCATATGAAGGAGAGTATGGGCATGGAATAAGGTTGAATCAGCGATGATTGACCATAGATCTGAGCCATTTTGTCCGTTCAATTTTACCCTTTAGGATGATGCTCATAGAGGTATCGTTCTGTTGTTATCCCTCTTGTGTTAGCATGAAGAATACACGTCGCCAGACAGAAGACGAGATTTTGATGCCAGCCCTTGCTCAATTTCTTGAATGATCCCCCACTATTATCATCAGTGGCATACTCTCGTTGACGCGAGGTAGACATATTTGTTTGCCGTTTGGTCAACCGCTCTAGCTGTGAAGGGAGATTAATCAATGCCATAGCGAACGGTAGTTGACAAACAGCACTGCACGCCACAAGCTAGTTTCATACAAGAATTGCTATCCCACATTGTCCGGTCCAATGGTGAGCTGAGCGTTAGTGAGACGTTAGGACGTAGTTCCAGGTCCCTTCAAAGAAAGGTACATTCCCAGAGGTATCATGTTCACATACCATTTTTTTTAGCACATTGATTGGACCTCACAAAAATGACCTCTCAGCAAGTTGTCAGTCACTTCACACAACAAAAAAAAGAATTCGTAAATGGTGTGCCATGTTCTCGACTCTATGTGTGTCCTCAATGCTCTGTTGGGCGAAGGTCGCGAGGATGGGGGAGTGTAACGCCCAGCGCTGTTTGCGAGGAAGTAATGAGACGAATTTACGATAGATGTTGCCTCCAAAACTGTATGTCAAAGTCGATTGGTTGATGTGTCAACCAATCACCACGGTCTGGTTGATAAAACGCGAAAAGTTGTTGCTCGTACTTATCGTACACCATGAACTAGACGATCCATGAGAGGATTATCCGGCATGTGGTATTCAACTGGCTACCGAAATGGATACAGAACAGACAGGTCTTGAAAGACAATGCAAGTCAATTCCTTGAGGCAGGCGCCTCCCTGTGGCACAGGTGAAGTCATTCCTCAGAAACCATCCACGAGGGATAGGGATAAGAAAGAGAAGGAGGAGTCGGGGTCCCGCGCCGTTATGTTCTTCGTCCTTTGTCCGTCCTGTGGTCCTGTGCTGTTTTTCCTTCCGACGGTTGGGCTCAATTCTCATTTTAGCATTGTTTTTCCTTCCCAACTTCGACTCTATCTGTGCGCCAATTTTTCATTTCTCGTGAGAAAACATAATAGAGATAGAAGATCGTGCACCCATCTTCCCGTTCCTTCCTCCTTATTCTTTTTTCTCCCTTACTCTCCACCTCTCTTATCCTTCATCTACTTTTCATCCACTCCACCTCTTACTCCTACTTCGTCTCCAACCAACCGACCCCCTTTTTATCGCTCACCACCTCCTCCTCTCACAACCAAACCTATGGAATCAACAATCCCACCACTCCCACAGCCATACGTCATTATCGCTGGCGCAGGTCTGGGAGGCCTTTTGATGGGCACACTCCTTGAACGCATTGGCATTCCTTATCGTATCTTTGAGCGTGCCGCCAAAGTCAAACAACTTGGTACCTTATCATTCATCCCTCCGTATCTCCTGGCAATATGTGTGCTTTCATAAACAGACGGGGCAAAATCTTGAAGGGATAAGAAACTGAACAATGGAAAAAAAAATCGTTGTGTTTTTAGGATCGATTATGAGCCTGGGTCCAAACGTCAGACCGTTGTTCAAACAACTCGGACTAGAAGACGAGTTGCTCAAGATCTCCCTCCCCGTCCCCGGCACCAATATTTTTAACGCCAACATGGAGGTCATGGGCATCCTCAAGAAGACCGGCCAAAAGGAGAGGTATGTCTCCCTCCTTTTCCTTTTCCTTCTCATGACCTAAGCCGTGACCTCTGTCCATTCTCCCTCTCATTGAGACTTTGGCTAACGTGCATGCAATTTTCTGTTCCGAAATTGAATTGATTAGCACGGGATACGGTACTGTTGTCTTTGCACGCCCAGCGCTGTACGACCTCCTCCTCAAACAAATCCCCACGGAAAAGATTTCATTCGGGAAACGAATTCTCAAGACGGAAGAACAGGACGACAAGGTCATCATCCACTGCTCCGATAACAGCATCCATACAGGGGACATCCTCATCGGTGCTGATGGAGCTTACAGCGCTGTTCGACAAAACATGTACAAGCGACTGCAGGAGAAGGATGAGCTCCCCAAGTCAGATACTGAAGACTTGTCGATCGGGTATACGTTAATGGTTGGAGTCGCTACCCCCAAGGACAAATCAAAGTATCCCCAGATGAAGGACTCGTTTTCGCACTTCTCTACCATCGTTGGCGACAAGAGCCTCAGCGTACGTTCACCTTCCATTTGAATGTCAGCATTGTGCACCGTTGCCGCTTCAGGCTCTCACACTAACAAAATTGGGCTGTACTTCAACATTTTTTTCAAAAACCAACAATAGTGGGGGGCATACAACGTACCAGGGGATCAAATCTGCTGGATCTTGAGTGACCAGTATCAGGACCCTGACAAGGCTAATCAGCAAAAATTCAGGAACTCAGAGTGGACGCCTGAGTTGAACGAGGCGATGATCAACGAGTTCCGTGACCGCGTTTGTCCTTTGGGTGGGACGATGGGTGATCTTATCGATGACACGCCCAAGGAGTTGATCTCGAAGGTATTTATTGAGGAGAAGATGTTCAAGACTTGGTTCCATGGTCGAACTGTCTTGCTTGGCGATGGTACGTTGCTCTTCGCATTTTTTTATTTTATTTTATTTTTTGACGGAAGGTATACTTGTTGGTGGCAATCACCTTATCTCATTCTAATCTCAATCTTTTTCTTATTATTTTTTGGCACTTCGTGTTTGTCCAGCCTGCCACAAAGTAAGTCCGCGTTGTTGTGATCCCTTGTGTAGTTGAGATGTATGACACAAGGATGTTCAAAGACTGACCACTGTCCAATTACCTCTCCGCAATATAGATGCTTCCAGGCGCCGGCCAAGGTTAGTAGCTCTTGATCATCAATCATTACATTCGCCAACTGAAAAAGAAAATCTTTCCTCCTCATTGACCCCTACCTTTTTTTCCCGTCGATCAACGAAAAATTTTATTAGGAGCGGTCAATGCGTTTCAAGATGCAGTCATCTTGGCCAACGGATTCTACGACCTGAAGGATCTGAAGATCGAGAGTATTACCGCCATGTTCCAGGACTATTACGACCAACGGTTCGAGCTCGCAAAAGCCATGGTCATCCAGAGCCATCAAGCCACTCGCATCCTCGGCGGCCAGGCATGCTTCTTTCCTTTATTTCTGCGCTCGCTTTTTTTTTGGTCCCAAGCAGAACGTGTGCGGCTCACATCCTACTCTTCCATTTTTTCCTCGTCATCCATCTAGACATGGTCAGACTGGATCATTAGGTGGATCATGTTCAACCTGGTCCCAGAATCATTTAACCAAAGAGCCAACGCAAAACGATGCGAGTACCGGCCTCAGGCCGCCTTCCTGCCTCTCGTTCCCTGCATGGGCACTGGAAAGGTCCTCCCTCAAAAACCGTCCTGGAGATACACGGAAGAGCAGAAGCAGAAGCAGAAGCGGCAGCAGCAGCACCAGGAGACACAACCCGCTCAGGCTGTTTAAAATGGGAGGGATTCATCCACTTCGAATAAATAAAGGTTGGGACTGACTGATCCATTTTCCAGACAGCTTGTCTTGTGGAGACAAGGCACTTCTAGTACGGCATTCCGGCTAATTGATACGCACAGCTCATGCACAAAATGATTCAGTCAATGAGACCTACTTTTTGTGTCTTCTCGGTCAGGGAGAAGAAAGGCGCTGATAGGCACACTACTGCGACAGCACCAGTGAAGAGCGAGTGATTGAGGCTTAGAAAAAGAAAGAAGGGTTGCTTTGCATCTGATGGGCAAAAGAGAGGAGAAGGAGACCAGAAGGCGCTCCTACTGAAGGATCAAATCGATCACCGACTGAGACGGGGGTTCCTACCTATCGGTGGCGCTCACTTTTTGCTTTTCTTGTTTGTCGAGGGATACTGTTCTCAACTGTCACCGTGTTGGCTCTTTTCTTTTTCTTCACGCTCTACTCCGTCTCTTTCTTGTGCTGTGGTTCTTTTGGAATGGATGACTAGCTCTTCTGTCATGCCATGAGCTGCGACTCACTTTACTTTATTTTTTGTCCCTCTCACTCTCTCTCTCTCCGCTCTTTCTCTCTTCCGCCTTTACTCATGTGTCTTTGGTCCAAAAGGATATGTATCACAACAACGTTGGCCCATACCAGAATCAGACAAAGACAGAAGAACAACAACCCATGGAATTAGGAGCAGGGTGCAGCAGGAGTAAAGACAGACCAGTACCAGGAACCAGGGCTGGTACTAACACCCTCGCTATTGCCATCACCACCTGAACAACACCACCATCAACAAACAAGTAATCAACAATCAACACCGAGAACAGTAGCCTCCAACAAACATATAGGCAGCCCTAACACAAGACGTATGACCACCGCAGCGATAACAAATCCACCATGTCCGCCGTGCGTTACGCCTTTTTGTTGTTTTGTTATAGACGCAACAACAACAGTAACAACAACAGCAGGAGCAGTAGTAGCAATTCCCACAAGGACTTGCGACCCCGAGTAAATATCAATAAAAGAGATCGGGTGGCATTATTGCATGTTAGTAAGGCAAGACTGAAGTAGGGTTCAGAAGCTTGCACCATGAGGACGTTCAGGCTAGGAATGAATGACTGGCTGCAATGTAGTGCGCTGGGGATCCATGATACTATCTTCATCGTCTTTTCACCGTGTTTTCACGATCTCTTCATGATCTTTCCATCGTTTTATTCATGGTCTTTTCATCGTTTTTTCCATGAAGAATAAGGAAAAATAGTAACAACAGCAAAGGAGCATGTATTTTATTACATAGGGCTGCTGGATGAAATGTACACTCAGTCTTCACAAAAGGAATGGTAGGAAGAGGAATGAGGGTGGGTACATCGTGTTTCCTCCATACATAGAAAGGGAGATAGAGTAGGCAGCGACGAGGATAATGTCGGGTTGCTGTTGCAGTAGGAAAGGAGAGTGATGTTAAGTGAGAGAGTGAGAGTGGTGGGTTGTACCGGTTGTTGTCGTTGGAAGTGGTTGTGTTGGCGAAAGAAAGAAAGAAAGAAAGAAAGGGAAAGAAAGAACAAACAAACGGAAAGAATGAGGAAAGCAAGGGAAAGAAAGCAAAGTAAAGTACGTGGGAAGAGACGGGGGTATTTGTACCTGTCCCTGGTGAGCGACAACGCGTTGCCGTCATATCACTGATCAGCGATAATTGATAACAACGCGTTTCTCTCAAAAGAATCTTCATCGCGTAAGGGATCAAAAGCATTTGCCTTCAAACGCGTCCTGTCAGTCAGTCGCGTGCAATTGTATCGACAGTAGACCTACTTTCTTCCTCTTCACCGCAACTCCGTGATATTCCGGAGAAAACGTTCTCTTGGCCATTTTAAAAAACACAGGAAAGTGGTCGTAAACAGACGAGGGGATACTTCGCCTCTTGTGCATGAGAGCCATTTCAATCCTCTGAAGTTAGCGCTGTATTCAGTTCTCCTTTCCCCTTCTGAATTTTCACCTGTATCGCAATTGTTTTTGTCTGTTGAGGGAAGGCTGTCCTCTCTCTATTGCTGCGAGAGCTGAAGTTAAGCAGAGACAACACCAATGGACAGCATCAAGGAGCAGCATCAAGGGACAACTCCAATGGCAATAGCTTGTACTTCACGGCCAAGAATTCGTTCATCTGCACGCCAACATTTGCAGTCGAACGCCATCGGTCCGTATCGAGTCTTGAAGAGCATAGCCTTTTCTGGTGTAGGTAGCAGATTGAAAGTTGTCGTCTCGGATTATTCGGATGTGCTCCTTCATGTCCTACAAAGGCATAATAAGAACTGATCTCGAGTAGTTCTTCAGCCTCCTCCGCTCTTCCTGTGTGTATTCACCGATATCCGTAATCAGCTTAGTGAGAAGAAGCCCAGGTGCCTTGCGGGAGAGCCGATAGTCGACACTCGCCTGTGTAACTCGATTGCTGGATGGAAGACTGGAGGAGTTCGGTTTCGCATACTATTGTGGTGGGGCCTTGAGCACGGGATCTCGCCAAAAGAGGTAGACAAGATTCAGTTCCGACAAGTTGATAAACTGCCCTCTCTCCACCCGCTGGAACGATCTTCGGTTTGAAATACTTTCAACAAGAAACACCTGCCACCGACAAAAGTGCTCGATGCAACAACGCAGCTTCGACAAAGGAAATCAGTCAAGGAAGCGGCAGAATCACTCAAAGGGTCAAGGAAGAGGACAAGGAAAACATTTCTGCAGCACATCCAGGTAGACCAAGGGCGATCTCGACCGAGACTAGACCGGCTATGGCACACCATTACCACATAGGCGGCCTGAAAACATATAGGGATGGACAACGATCCGTACAATCAGCAGAAGGGAAGCAGATTCACATTAACACCACTGCGATAAAATAAGGTTTACCCGCACAAAATCTGTACCGAGGTCCACCATATGTCCGTTCCTGGTGGCTTAGTTCTATCCAGTTGCAACATGCGACAATCTGAGCCAGAGCTTGAAAGCTTGAATTCGCCAAGGACCACATTCACGACTGGAAGAAAGCGATGTTCTCCGATGGACAATATGGTCAGTCGCATTTGGCCTTTTGGCAAGTCATACTACCACAGCAGACGCGATCGCCAGTGATTCCAACCTCATCAAGTCCAACCAACACTACGGATGCATCCCTTTTTTTTGTCGTCAGTGATGTAGGCTGGCTGCCTGGAAAGGTCAATTCAGATGCCTACCTCACTGTTGTCAAGGATTATGTTCCGCAATCTCGCGATTGGTACCGCATGGACGCTGCGACATTCATCTTTCAGCAACACAATGCTCACATACATACATACTGCACGCAAGATCATGGAGTTATTTGAACAGGAAAACATCGCCGTACTTCCCTAGCCCGCCAACTCTCTCGACCTCAACCCCATCGAACACGTTTGGGCGTTTAATAAGGACGCGCGGACCTTAAAGACAGACAGACCCAAGTATGGCATGAGAAAGGATACTCTCCTCTTCTCTGGCATGCATGGCCCTCCTCGTCTTACTCCGTCTTCTCTTCCTATTTCTGCCTTCCCCATGCTTCTCTTTCTGTTCTCCTCTCAGAAAAATGAAGAATGGTAAAAGAGATCTCATAGGAGGGCTCGAAATCCCAGGTCGTAACCCCTCGCTCAAATAGAATGATAATTTCGTTCCAAACTTTGTGAGTCAACTGTGGTATGTTTATGAACAAAATTATGTGTATCGGGTATTGGGGTTGACTAGCCTAAGCGCTCTTCAAGTCGACGCGTTCCATGTATCCATCCTTGATGAGAGTCATAATGTTACTGAAGGTATGGTACTGGGTTCCGGCACCGGGTTGACCAAAGTACGGCGCGATGGGACCAGCCTCGACTACAAAAGCCTTCACCACTTTGTATACGTGGTAGTTGAAAGGATAAAGGGGCTGGTCTTTGGCGGTAGCGAGGTTGGAGGGAGGGATTGCGCGCTGAGGATAGGGCGCCTCAGCAGGCGAGAGGAAGGAGCCGTATTCGCTGCCGAAGCGGTCGACCAAGGTATCGGGTAGGAGAGTAGCGTTACCCTTGATGGACACGTTCGAGGTACTGACAATAAAGCCGTCGTTGTCCGGGTAGGTGTATTGCCCATTCACGGTCCACTTGGTAAGGAACTCGGCTGCACAGAGACCTCCGAAACGGTCATAAGGCTGGGTAATGTCGTTGAGAGGGAAAAGCTTGGGCAACTTTTTAGGACCAAGTCGGGCGTCACGACAAAAGTAGTAGGTCGAGTTGACGGGTGCGACTCCTCTGCACATATGAGGGCACTATCGGATAAGTAAGGATTCATGTTAGGTGAATAAGAGAGAGATATAAAAATATAAACACCAGCAGACTAGTTGGCAAGACGAACCTTTGGATTGTACTTGTTCTCAGCGGTAAAGGTGTTTGGGGTGGGAACAGCAGAGATGGCTGAGAGGACAGAGCAGAGGACAAGAGCAACTGAAGCCAAGCGAGAAGTGGTGATGAACATTGTATGAAAAGGAGGATGTATTGGAAGGGATGAGGAAAGAAAGAGGACGAGTAAGCTTCCAGACTTTTATACTTTGCCATTAAAGTGCCATGGTCAGCCTGCTGCGTCCGTTGATCATTGTGGTTGCAGCTGGGACAGCATTGGGTTTTAGGCATGGTCCTGGATGCCCCGACTCTGCTGTTCACTTTAAAATTTGGAATGAGTGCATGTGTGGTTCTTGTGAGTTTGAATTTTGTATTCTCGCTGCATGCATCAAAGGAATTGGAAACTGATCCAAAGTGGGCTCTAAGAGCAGATGAGCAAAGCAGTTGAACAAAGCAGATGAGCAAAGCAGATGAAAAAGTTAGCGAGACTCTCATGGCGATATATTCTCGTCAAGTTCACTATTTACTCCAAGAAAACTGATCGAAGAAGAAAGGATTTTGGTATTCATGCCCACCAAGGCACGCAGGTGCACAAGGGTAATCAGCATAGGACTCTGTCCTGACCTCGATTTCGAGCTCACAGGACAATGTCATCAACTGGGCAGTACAAAAAGTGGTCCCAAGTAACCCAGAATCCCACTAGCGGAATCTCTCAGACAAAAATGAGGCAACCTAGTAGGATGTGGGGAGTGATCTTAACAGATGGCCAAACACAGTTTGTACCGGTGCAGCAGTGATTGCCAACCTCACTCGTTGTTTTGTGCTCCATGCATGACGGCGATTGTTCAAGCTCAAGAATAGAATGGGGTATGCATGCATCGGGGAATCAATGAAGTCAGGGACCGTCTGTCGGTATAGAATGGGATATATTTTTCACCCTCAATTGGTCTATTTCAAACCACGACTACCCACCTATTCAGCAAACTCTCTACATTCCTTGCTAGTTACAAACTGTTGGGCAATACATTCAACGGTATCAAATTGGTTGTGGATGACTCTGTGTTGATTAACATGTAAAAGCGTGGATACAAAGCGCGTAAGGACAACCCAGGAACAGAGAACAAGGGGATGGAGGGGGAACGGAGCGGACGAACGGAAAAGAGTCCGCGTATATATGGAAGGATGGCAAAATATCAAGCTTGGTATGAAGCAAAGATGAGATGGTAAAATGTCAAGGAATGATAGAAATGACCAAGAGATTCCATTAGAAGTAAAGGTATCATAGGAGAGTTGCCAAAGGTTGCCGGGAAAAATCAAGGGGTTGGAAAAAATCAAGGGACGAACAAAATCAGGAGAGTGTCATAACAAGGGATAAACACTAGGGATGGGACAAAACAAGGAAGGCATAACTGGCTTGTACTGTACCAGCCTTAAAAAAAAATAAAAAAACGTACTCAGGGGAAGTGCTCTTAAGCGAATCTGACGAAGGACAAATAAAAAAAAACAAAAAACAAACGAAGCATGTCCGCTTGTGTTGTTCAACAACCTTCGACATCATCCTACAAGACACCTCTCGGATTTGGTCCGTGACCTATTCAACAACACGAGACATTGTACTATCAAACACGGTGGTCTACCAAAGATCATGGATGGCACCTAGGCTCCTAGTGGTCCACGATGAAGCACAGTTCCTTGTCGATGCACTCACTGGTTCCTTCCAGTTGATGTCATCTTTGGTCGAATCCCCACGACCCTGCTATCCCCAATCCTCCACACGTTTCGAGACACCAGCGATGATCAACCGACACTAGTCACCTGTGGCACTAGTTTAAGCATCAATACCTTTCTCTGGGCTCAGTGTTCAGGTTTTGGTCTAAAATACAGCTCTACCAACTTTGAGGCAAGCAATTCAACTTAGTAATACTGGCTTTGTCTGCCACTCTTCCTTCAATGAAATTGCAGTCAAGAGGGGAGCTGGTATGTTGGTATTTGATTATTTGTTAACAACTCCCATATCCTCACTTTTATAGCAAAATAGATCCACAGTCGACCAAGGCGTACATTTCACTGATGCGAGAGTGTCTGCCCAACGACGAATCAAAACGGGTATTGGACGAACGACTTGCTGTTTGAGAAGTTTACGGGGTGCTTTCACCGGGCAGCAGCTACAGCGGTATGTCCCCTTGTGTTAATCGAGACAATTTTTTTTAAAAAAAGCTAAGCGACACAATGAACAGAATGAACATATATTGGCACTTCCGCCCTTCATATCCTGTTTTTATTTTTGTCCCTTTCACATTCCATCTATAGAAGAAGCTGATCGAGAGGAATGAACAAGATGGATGGAAGTTCACCATCGAGGACACGGAGGACAAGTTGGTAACTTGGGCGGTCCAAGATATCATAGGCAATCTGTGCTGCGAGCCCCGTCGCCTACACAACAAGCACAACGATCATTTCGTGGCATCTATCGACAGCATTCCATGTCATCACCAAGATCAGCGTTGCATGTTTAAAGAAGTCAGCCTTGTGCTCAGTTAACAGAGCCTCAGTTGGTGAAGTACACATTTGGTCAGTTCAAGATCCATGGCCACGCAGTCACCGTGCTGGACGAGCATTTTGTTTCCAAGTTCAAGAACTATTCCGTCGGCACAGGTCCACACTTCAAGAAAGCAATCCGTCCCCAAATGCAGACCTCGACTTCGGCCCCGAAACATGGTTGCATGTTTGAACAGTCTATGACGATTGTGCCGTTGGGAAGGTGGTGGTTGTTGGTTTGAAGGAATCTGGGCTTCAGCTATGCACGACTCACTAGAATATGTCGATGGAGGAGTTCATGGACGCTAATGTTAACCACCAGTCAACTTGGACCGACAAACCTGTCACCTCGTTTTTCTTCACAGGTCCAAACCGTCGGGGCCAGATATGGTCTTCATTATTCGGATCGACGGAACAAGGATGGTCCCTGACTCTGCCCAGCTCAAGTTGCATCAAAAGTCATCAAGCTTTTCGGAAAACAACCGCAAAGACGCACTCAGCACAGTTTCGGCACCCAAGATCGAGGGCCACGCAAAAAATATTCGCAAATACTGTCAGGAGAACGTCTACATCAGTATGATTGCCACCTACCCTACCAAAAGGACTTTGAATTTGCCGGCACTACCAGATGCCACTATTGACAGCAGTGGCATGCAGCATGTCGTGATCCATGTCGGCGATGCCAACTTTGGCGACATCTTCCCCAAGGAACTCGTTGAGTTCATCGATAAGCTCAAGAATGCGGGAGAGCGCTCTGCTGGGGGCGACGACGGCGATGGTGACGATCGTACTGAAAAGCAGAGGGGCTGATATTTTTAATAATGACAGTTGCAGGTAGTTGAGTTTAGACCATTACAATCAACCAAGAAAGACACCGTTGGCAATAAGCGTGAGTTAAGCTTCCTTTACCTTCGTTCGTCAAGTTCCAACTGACACGATCTGACATCCATTCTTATTCTTCTCATTTGTATGATAATTCTTGCAGTGGTATCATGCATCTGCAACTCTTGGCCTCTAATACGACGATTAACAGTGCACTTCTCCATTTTGCAGCGTTGATGTCCAACCTACAATCCATTAGCAGTTTTTATATTGCATCCTTTTACAGTTTATCAAATCAAGGTTAAGAATAAGGCGAAGAAAAAAGAGCGCTGAGTAATAAGGTTAACACAACAACAGCACAAAAGAATGCTATGAATAAGGCTAACAGGACAAAATAACGCCCATTCACTCTAAAGTCAGGGTCGACAATGCCGCGATAGTGTAGGGTGAGATTTATATAAGAGTATAATAACTGCCAAACGTTCATAACGACGTTGCTTTTTGATCCTTCAATGTCGGCTCTTCCTATCATACTGAAGCAGAATTCAGTAAGCGTTGGATTGCTGGGTTTAGACCGTCGTGAGACAGTTAGTGTTACCTCACTGGTGAAATGTTGTTGCAATAGTAACTGAACTTGGTACGAGAGGGACCGCTCATTCGGATAAGTGGCAATTGGGCCTGCCTGAGCAAAGCAATGGCCCAAAGCTATCATCCGTTATGTTATACGCCTCCAAGTCGGAACCCGTGCTAGAACGCGACGACTACCGTTTTTCCGATTTTTAGTTGAATACGAATAGATCTTTCGATCCTGAATCCTACTACGTGGGGTTAACTTGCAGAGCGGAAAGATGTTGTGAGGTTCCTGCTAATGTTAATTTCAAATAATGGAAGAGATAAATCCATTGCAGACGACTTTAATTGAACGGGTATTGTAAGCCTTTTTGTTACGATCTGCTGAGATTAAGCCCATTGTTCTATGGATTTGTTCGATTTTTTTTTTTTTTTTAAGGGGAAAGAAAGGATTTATTGTGGCTTAAACAGCCTTGAATGAATTGTTTTGTGCTATGGTTTTGGTGATTTCGCGAAGTATGGTGTGGATGATATCGCTACTAGATTGAGTGTGTTGATGCAGAAAAAGAATGGTGTTGGCTGTTGAAATACCAATGAGGTGGATTTGTTCGAAATAACAAACATCTCTCGTTTTTTCTTTTCTCTTCAGATATCAACTTAAGGGATATTTAATAATGGTGACGTTCGTGGTGACGTCTTTGCTTAAATGGGGTAGAGGTGATTGTTCAAGAAGAGCATCTCTTTCCTTCCTCAAGATTTCGAGATGATTACGCACCTGTCATACGATAACCATCTGGTTCTGCAACGTGAACGTGGAGCTGTTTGGTTACAGGTCACACCAACTGAATGGCCTTGCTGCACATCCTTTGGGCCGATTTCATATCGACTCGAAGACTACATTAAAGAAAACAATAACTGGCACATCTTCTATATGGGAACCAGTAGGTCGACGCACCTTTTCCATAACTTCTGGAAGATACATGCCTCACGACTAGGAGGCGTTGAGATGCCTTGTATATCGCTCGGCGACAGATTCACTGGACTCCATGCGTCACGAGGGCCTGATATCCAATGTGCAAGTCCATGTATTTGTCTATTCTACGGCCTTTCTGTCCATGATCCCTTGTCATTCATGATGAATCCAGTCGGTTTCTTGAAATCACTGTGTTCCTGGGGTGGTCATATCCATGTTAAACTATTCTATCGAACCACCACACACGGCTCAGGAATATTGGACTATGACGTTGAGGATCTGTGTCCTCTTCGTCTGCCTCAACTCATGGGCATCCATAGATGATTCACACACCCAAAACAGAAACAAAAGAGAATTTGATGAAATGAAAACATTTATACAAAGACCTTAGCGCTCGGGATCCAAATCACTCTCTTATTAGCAGATGGCTGATGCGATCTGCTGAGATTAAGCCTATTGTTCTCTGGATTTGTTCGAAAGAACAACATCTCTATCTCTTTTTTTCCCTCTTTCTTTCAGGCGCTCAAGCCAAGGGCAGTTTAACTTATGCCCTGGATCGCCGAGTGTGTGATGGCCGGGTCGATTTATGTGGATGTTGTTCTTTTTTTTTTCTTTCAAGGATTCAGTTAACGGCTGTTCGAACGAAATGTACACGATAGGAGGATTTTCTTTTCATTTATCGCATACGCTGCGTTTTGTATAGCACTCGCGATAGAAGAAGAATTTCCCTTCTTTCTTATCGTATATGCTGCTGTTTGTACAACGTCGTTTAAAGCAGACGATTATTTACATTCGAAAAAAATCTCTGTCACCATTACGGTACCCCTGATTCGCATAAGTTGTCTAGCTGGTGGCAGCCAAGCGTTCATAGCGACGTTGCTTTTTGATCCTTCAATGTCAGCTTTTTGTCCAGCTGCACCTGCATTTCAAGCGACCCTTTCTTTCTGACGGAGGAGTCGGGATCGCTCAAATCCAATTCTCTCAAACGCAAACGCTAAGAGATTCGAGATGTTTACAGATACTCAAACAAGCATACTCTCCGGAATACCAAAGTGTGCAATGTGAGCGGTGGCAATGCATTTGTATGTCTTGGAGTAGTAGCCCCATTGGAACATTGAAAAGCCCGGGTCATATGCACGTTTTTCTCCTTTCCACTCCATACGCTCCATCGCTCACATCGCCACGTATCTGTTCATAGGCGCTGGGAGCACTGTCATGTCTCCGAGTACCCCATTGAAAAAGTCCAAAATCGTTTGTACTTTTTCTTCATTGCGTTCCGCACGCACCATATCCGTTCATACACTGTAATGTCTCGGAGTAAGCCATTGAGGGTCCAGGTTGTGTGTGTGCTCTTTCTTCGGTTAATAGACGCTAAATGTCAATGGGAAATGTTTAAAAGTGCAGAATGCTATTGTATTGTTGTGGCTATGGCAGTATGTCCTATGTAGACCCTCTAGGCTCCTCATGCTGGAACATGCGATCCTCTCGGCTGTCGAGGTGTGCACCGTTACCTTGCTTCACCATTGATATTCTTTGCGCCAAAAACCGATGCACTGCCGCCCTCGGCCTCCTCGTAATAGTCCGAGTCCGTGTTACATTCCGATGTAGCTTCTTCGTCCTCGTCATCTTCGTCCCCATTGGCCTCCATTGTCTCTCCCGCTGCAATCTTGGCCTCCTTTTCTTTCTTCTTCTCAGCCTCCTTTCTGGCCTTCATCCTTTCTTCTCGCTGACGCCGCAGCCGCTTCTTGGTCGACAGGGCCGCACGCTCACGCGCGAGCTCTTTCAGGAAGCCGGGGATAGCGTCCACAATGGTATCGGGGCTCTCGCGGTGAAGCATGAAGAACGCCTGGAGCTGAGCGGTCGTCACGGAATCCTTGTGAGTGATCTTTTGGCAGATCTGCTCAGCCACCTCATGTACATGAGCATCGTAGATGTCCATGCGGGCCTGTTCCTCAGGATCGACCTCCTCCGAGAGGGTTTCATCTTTGGTGAGGCGATCTTTGGTGAGCTGGCCAGAGGCTGATCGACTGAGGAGGAACTTGAGGCACATACCCCGGATCTGGTGTTCGTCAGCATAGTCAAAGAGCAACTTTCGGTCGCAGCGTCCAGGGCGGATCAAGGCAGGGGCGAGTTTCCGGATATGGTTGGTGGTCATGAAAACAACACTGCCCTCCTGGGCTGTGATACCGTCGAGGGAATTCAAGATGCCCGACAAGGTGACATTGTTCTCTCCTTCCTGGTCCTTTCCTGCCTTGCGCTTGACCAGAGCAGCATCCACGTCCTCCATAAGCAGGATGCTGTTGCGTGGGGCGCTGTTCAAAAGTTGGTTCAGTTGCTTATCATTGAATCCTGAAATACCCAAGTTGACGATGCAGACATTCATGCGGAGATGACCAGCCAGAGCGACAATGAACGAGGTCTTTCCTGTTCCTGGAGGTCCATGCAGAAGGTATCCTCGTCTGTATGGGATACCACGGTCATGGTACCATCGAGCAGACTTGCGGAACATCGTGATATCTGCATAGCGAGAGAACAAGGAGTCGACATGAGTATCAATATTTCAATGGTGTCAAAAGAGAGAGAGAGAGGAGGAAGGGAAAAGTGAGGGAGAGAGTGAGAGAGAGTGAGAGAGAGTGAGAGAGAGTGAAAGAGAGTGAGAGAGGGCGGGAGAGAGCGGGAGAGAGAGCGGGAGAGAGAGTGGGAGAGAGAGTGGGAGAGATAAGGAGAGAGTATGTGTGGGAGAGAGTGTATGTGGGAGAGAGTGTGTGTGGGAGGGAATTCATGGGAGCGAGGATATAAAAAGACCTACCTGAGAGGAGTTCTTCCTTGAGACCCTTCGCAAGAATGACCGAGTGGAAAGCACGAGGGGCGCGGGTTTCTGCATTGGACCAGTAGTTATCAAAGGGCTGTGTAGAGTAGATGGTGGTCTTGCCGGCCCTTTTCTTGTACGACTTATCCATTGCGTCCTGAACAATCATTTTGAGCAGGCTCATGTCCCAGCCAACGGTGGAAATGGTGATGCTATCTTTCTTCAAAATTCGGTTCTGCTCGCTGTCTTCGTTCGAGGTCCCCTGATCTGGTGTTTCCCGCGAGACGCTGACCTTGTAGCCCATGTGATAGAGCACATGCGTGCCTGAGCCGGGGGCGTATACGAGCTTGGGTCGCTCCTCCTCGCCATCGTCAAAGTAGTCCAGATCATCGTCGTTCTCAGGCCACACAGTCTTGGCGGACAGATGTCGTATAGACTTTGTAAGAGGGCGCTCAGAAATCCAGTCTATACAAGAAGGAAGATGAGATCAAGAGGCGTGAGTTCAGGTACACCTCCACTGATGATGATGAGTTCGACAGAGTTACGTTTCTTACCAGACAGCCAGTTATATAACTGGTCTCCATCCTGAACCACGATCGACACATAGAACCAGGACTGCACCTCTTGGTAGTAACCGACGATCATGTCCTTGAAGAACGTGTAGGAGCTGCCGATGATCATCAGGAAGAATCCAGCAGACAGAACATCATTCCCCATGACTAGAGGCAAGCGAGAAATGTTAGTAGGGCTACAAAAGAAGCTGAATGTGCGTGTACTGGTGAGCAGACAAACAAAGGAACGTACATCCTTTGACGACGCTCATGGCGGCAGGGGAGAGCGTGGACTCGAACTGTGAGGCCGCCGAGACGACCTGATCAAAGACATCCGCAGCACTGTTGAGTAGCGTGCCTGTTGTTGTCACGAGAGTCTCCATGGTATTGACGAGGGCAGAAGAGTCACGCAAAGGTGGGAGTAAGAAAGAATGTGTGTGGAGGGAGAGGAAGGAAAAAAGAGGAAGGAAAAGAGAGGACGCTAAACGGAAGATGAGCAAGCAAGAAGCGGTATTTATATGCGGCGATTAGTAAACTGGTGGCGCATTGGGTGGAAAATTTACAGTTTTTTACAATGGACCTCTGCGCCACCGCTTCGATCTTTTCTGTCGTCATTGGGAGCATTGCTGACGGGAGGAGTGAGGCAAAGTCAATTGCCGAGTTCGATGGTTATTTTTTGCTTGCCTGCGTCTAAGCGTCACCATAATGTTTTGCTTGCCTGCGCCTAAGCGCCACCATAATGTTTTGCTTGCCTGCGTCTAAGCGCCACCATAATGATATCTCGTTGTCACCCATGGGTAGCCATATCAGGCTGGGTGCGAGGAATAAGAAGACTGCCGGGAGTCGATGATAGCAGGGCGTTGGTGTTTTACCCTCCAGTCTTACTCGACAGGCATCCTAGCCAAGGACCATTCGTGCGCCGACTTTGAACGTCAACAAGTGATCATTCGTTCGATTCTAACATTAACATTACTCATTGCCTTTTAAAAAAGCACTCCAATGCTTCAGGCCTCTCCTTTTGCAAAACACAAGGTTTGAGAGACGGGCAAATGGCAATTTTCCTGCCGCAGCTCGTCCATCATTTCAGGTACATATTTTTATTAAGCAACATAAAGGCCCTTTTTCAGAGACACTTTCACCAGCGATTAGCTGACCGTCATTTCAGTGTGCGTGTATTGCATTGAGCGAAACTAAGTGTCTATTAAGGAGCAACAGATCAACCACATACATCAACAACTGCAGACGCAACAATTGCTTGATCTACCCCGTTGTCGACCTCCTGAGCACTTATTCACTTAACATAATTTAAGGGGCTTACTTTTCTTTATCATGATTGGCGTAGTGTAACAGGAATAGCTTTTGGGATGACAAATGCTGTGCCTCCAACTGGGGCTGAGTTCTAAGCATAATGATGTTACAAAATCAGGAGGTTCCGCAGTTGTTGATCTGTTGCTCCTTTAATAGACACTTAGTTTCGCTCAATGCAATACACCCACACTGAAATGACGGGCAAAGAAGAAAATGGGAAGTGTTCTTTGAAAGGACACTTCCCATTTTCTATCTACATAGCGTCTACGTTACTCTAGTACGGTGACGTTGACGTCCGACTCTCTCTGGCTTGTCAAAGAGTAGCACCTCATAGTTGGCATCCAGTAAGTTAATAAGATGGAACACGTCAGAGTAAAGTCTGCGCCGGCTGCTTGAAAAGTCGAGTGACATTATCTCATTTGGTGCCCTAACACAGCAGTATCCTCTGGATCACAGGGCCTAAAAGAGAAGAAAACATACGAAAACACTAGCATGTGCAAAGAAAGAGGATTCAGTGTTGTGACGAAGGCTACAAGGCAAACCTCCTAAAATAAACCAGACACGAAATCGTTCGGTCGGCAGTCCGTGCACATAAGATGCCGTGCATGTATCGGGGAAATGGCGAAAGAGAAGTTTTTATCTTACCAGGTGTCGCTGAACCAGCGACTGCGGTCCAGTTTGTAGACCGCTTGCAGAGGAGAGGCCGAAGAAGAGTGAAGAAGAAGAAAAGAAAGAAAAGCGTTTTTGTATGATTCCTTGGAAGGACGCGCATGTCACCAAACAGGCGATCTGTTTTTCTTACAACTCACAAACACCACCTACCGCTCTCTCAGCATGCAGGAATCAGAACCAAGAAAGTAAAAGGACGCGATGCAACTTTTGTTCAACGATTTCCCTAGGTGTAAGTTCAAGGGGGGGAAAAGTTACACCGCTTCCCCAACCAACATGACCTGGCTGACAGGTAGTTTCGAGTCTTGCCAATCTCTGGAAGACCCATCTTCCATCTCCGCCATTCGCCGCTTGAGTTCGCGTTCGAACTGCATCCCATCAAGGAATGATAATTGTCTCGAAAACTGGACATGTCGAAAATTAAATACTGTACATAGTTCTATGACGCCTCTGATAGTTACTTTGTCGTTTGTTCTCTTTCGCTGGTGCAACCAATTTTACTTTATTATGAATGACTTCTATTCTAAGATGTATGGATATGCATATTTTTGTTTGCTTTTTGGTATGGTATGTTAGATGGAGGGCGTATGAACGAAAATAAGTTGTGACCAGTTGAATACTGTATGTGCCTTCTTCGCCTTGGCCTGAGCCAGTAAGGCATTACTCGAGCTTGATGCCCATCTTCTGGATATCAGGGATGCCCTGGGTGCGCATGAGTCCATTGCGCTTGTTCCATTCCTTGATCTTCAATCCGACCGAGAAGACCTCGACTAGGATGTATCTCGACACCAGGCATGACACAAAGATGCCAGAGTAGATGACCAGTCTGTAGTACTTGCCCAACGTATGCATCAGTGGGGCTGTATTAAATTAATTAAGCAAAAAAACGCATATATTAGTCAAGTGAATGAGTGCACATCAACGAACGCAAACAAATGAGAAAAGAATGGGATCCGGAGAGAGAAAGAAACTTACAGTTGGGAGGGACGAGCATGTAGTTAAGGTTGTGTCCGGTCAAGAGCCCCAATCCACTGAGGATAAAGGAGTGAAAGAGACAGAAGAGGGCGTAGGAGAAGACGGCGTAGGAGAACGACAGAGGGAAGACAACGAATCGCCTGGTGTAGATCAGATAAATGGGGACAAGCAGGAGCAAGTAGTGCTCTAAGAGGGAGTGGGAAATCGTATTACCAATGCCTATCGGGTTAGTTTCCTCTAAAAATTCAGGCACACTAGTTTTCAATGTCCTTCATTTTCCCATGTGGCAGTGGGCTAGGCTGTCTGTCGTTTTAGAACGTTTTTTTCTTTTTCTTAGTGTACACTCCATATCGATCCAATGGTAATGCAAGCACAAAAGACAGAAACGGTAGTCCTCCCGACAGTAACAGTCCCCTCGCATGCCATAGTTTTCATTTTCATTTGCTTCGACTGCAGCATGGTTACATTCTACTCCACCTTTTCTCTTCTTCACATTTCCCTCCCCCATTCTTTTGGGGTTGCCGCTCTTTACTCCTCAAGAGATAAACACAAGATTGTAACTTACCGAACCAAAAGTTCTCCATGACCAGGTAGAGGCCGTTCTCACTAGTGTCGGGAAAGGAGAGGGCAAAGATGGTAGCCCATATGTAGTGCAGGTACGAATTAAAGGCCATGCGGGTGACCTTGCTCTCCTTGGGTCCGACCATGGTGAAAATGAGCAAGAGCAGGTTGACGTGACAGGGCTGGAGGAGGTACATGTAGCTATCGCCAAAGACCTTGTGATAGACGGTGAGAGCGTATGATCCGCAGAGGAGAACCAAGACGGCCTTGTCCATCACATGTCCCGCCAGCACATTCGAGCTGATGCTCTCCGTGAGTTGGTCCAACCGAGGGCTGTAAAATGCCGATCTATTTGATGTAGAGGTGGAAGAGGAAGGTGGAAGAGAAGAAAGACAGAAGGGTTAATTGTCAGATTGACTTCATATCGACGACCTTGTGATTGTTTGCTGCAAAGGAAGGGCACTTTGCAAGGGGATGGCTGTTGTGGTTGTGTACTGAAAAAGGAAGGGGATAAAAGGGAACCAATTGATCCGACACATTTGTCTATAGGCCGCAAGTAGCGACGTAGTGTCCTGAAGAATAGTTCCATTTGATAGCAAAGAGAGTAGAGAGACCACAGTTGTTGCGAACAGGCCACATGGGCACAACCACTCACATCCAGTGGCTAAAAGTCGTGACAGCCTGTTAATTGTAATCCATTGTCCCTGTTCGTCCTGTTCCGCCCTGTTCTTTCCCTCTCTGTCCTCTGTCTCTCTGTCTCTGCCTTCTCTATCCTGTCCAGTCGAGTCCTGCCATGTCAGTTTTGTTCCTTTTTTTACTTCAGAAGAACTCTGATGACCAATAGGTGGTTATTTGCGGTTATGGCAGAAAGAGGGAGGAAAGAGGGCGGCAAAGAGACAAAGACAAAGAGTGTCATAGAGTCTTCCTGGCTTCCTGTGTTCCCGAGAAACGGAGCCAAGCCCTCGTTCTTTTCATTCCCGTCCTGACGTTCATTCCGTTGTTGTGCCCCATGAGAATTTGTTGTGCTCCATATGAGAAAAGTCGTTTGTCACACACCCCACATAAAAAAAAAAAAAAATGAATGAACTTTCAAAAAAAAAAAAAAAAAAGAAACGAATGCAGAAAAAGTGATTACCCTTTCTTACGGAACAGCTGCAACCCGATCCGGAGGAGCACAAAGAACAACACATTATAGCAGACAAACTCGATGGTATGCTGGCGGGGGGAAAGGTACCAAGTGCCTTTGTAGGTGTCTGCGAGGTCGGTGACGTTTGGCATTTCGAAAGCGTATTTCTCGACGAATTTCGAGGCTGGGTTGACGACCTCATGTTCGAGGTAGGTCAACACTGTCCTGGTGATGGTCATTGTTGTTGTTGTTGCTGGAATGAATGAATGGAGGGCTGGGGAAGAGGAATGGTGATGAAGGAGGCGTGAAGTGGAGGAGGAAGGAGTGAGGAAGGAGTGAGGAGGGAGTGAGGGAGGGAGGAGGGAGGGAGGGAGGGAGGAAGGAAGGGTGAAGAGTGAAGAGTGAAGAGTGAAGAGTGAAGAGTGAGGAGGGGCGGGGAGTGTCGGGGAGGAGCGAGAGAAGGAAAAGAAAGAGAAGGGCTAGGCACAGGTGGGGCTGGAGGTAAAAAGTAAAGAAAGGACACCTGTTTTTTCGAAAAGGAAAAATATCACTAACATAGGACAACGATTGGCTGGCTGGCCTTGGTCCAGGCTGAGGGTTGTGGTTGTCGACTTCAGTTCAGTTCGTCAACGGGGGGATCGCTGCGCTCTTGCAGGAGGACGAAGAGAGAAGAAAATGGCGTGACTGTGTGGCACATGCGCCTTGTCCTCGTTTACTTTGCCGCCAATGCAACATGCAAATGAATTATCAATCGTACAGTGCTCTTCTCTTGTTGCATTTAACAAACACACCACGGGCTACATATCACGAAAGGGGTGAGAGCATTCATAATTTACCATCGAGCAAACACATCGCCAAAAGAGTGGGAACAACGCTCCCTGATCGTAGTAAAGAGGAGCTGACGATCCAGGCACACACATCCAACCCACACAGACACTTACGATACAAAGGCAATTAGAAAGGGGAAAGACTCATTTGTTATGTACAATCCAGGATTTATTCATTCAAAGAAGAGACGCTGGTTAAAGAAAGAATGCTGGTGAATGGTAGTGGGGTTGAAAACTTATAGTAGTACAAGAGACGAAAAACGACCTTTAAGCCTTCTTGTGCTGCTTGTAAAAGTTGATGAGGCCGTTGGTGGAGGCATCGTGGCTCGAGACCTCACCTCCAGAAACCAACTCGGGGAGAATCTTCTTGGCGAGCTGCTTGCCCAACTCAACTCCCCACTGGTCGAACGAGTTGATATCCCAGATGACTCCCTGGACAAAGATCTTGTGCTCGTACATTGCAATCAAACCACCAAGGGTACCGGGGGTCAACTTCTGGAACATGATCGAGTTGGTGGGCTTGTTGCCACGGAACACCTTGTGGGGCGCAATCTGATCGACCTGCGCAGCCGACAACGACTTGTCTCCATGAAGCTCCTTCAACACTGTCTCCTTGTTCTTGCCAGCCATCAACGCCTCAGTCTGAGCAAAAAAGTTGGACAACAGAATATCATGGTGCTCTGGCAGAGGGTTGTGGGTCTCAACGGGGGCGAGGAAATCGCAGGGGGTGATGCGAGTTCCCTGGTGGATCAGTTGGTAAAAGGCGTGCTGACCGTTGGTGCCGGGCTCACCGACGACCCAGGGGCCAGTTCCGTAAGGGACAGCCTCACCGTCTCTGTTCCTGTACTTGCCGTTGGACTCCATGTCGCCCTGCTGGAAGTAGGCGGGGAAGCGGTGCATGTACTGGTCATAGGGGAGGATGGCGTGGACCTGGGCATCGAAAAAGTTGATGTACCAGATGCCGAGGACGGCAAGGATGACGGGCAAGTTCTGGTCGAGGGGAGTGTTGACAAAGTGCTGGTCCATCTCGTGAGCGCCGGTCAGAAGCTCGTGGAAGTTGTCAAATCCGATGTAGAGGGCGATGGAAAGACCGATGGCGGACCAGAGCGAGTAACGGCCTCCGACCCAGTCCCAGAACTGGAACATGTTGGCGGCATCGATACCGAACTTTGTCACGGCCTCGGTGTTTGTCGACAACGCAACGAAGTGCTTAGCAACATGTGCTTGCTATTTGGTTGGTAATGGCAAAGGAGAAGAGTGGTAGGCGTGAGGGAAAGGGTAAGTTTGTGAAAGAGAGAGATTAGATGGACTGTTAGTTGTGTGGATCACAGAAAACCCTTTTTTTCTTCGTCTTTCATCTACCTAAACAATCAAAGTCGGGCGGAGATGGAGATCAACGCAAGAGGTGCAACATATGTTGTTGGGGTTGATGATAAACAGATGTTCTAATCAGCTGGATGAGCCCGTGTCATCGTCGTAGACAACCAACACGGTAGAAAGCAAACATAAAAAAGTGCCTCCGTCATCTTGGTACACCTCTCGAAGTGAGAGAACGCGAATCATCCTTCCGTGTTCGCCCACCAAAAAAACGCTCTTCCCTCATTCCTCATTGAAAAAAAGATTTCAAATGCAGCTGACTACTGACTGTACAATACAGCCATGTCTCCTTTCCCACGATGTTCGTTTTCACTCTTTTGTTCGCGTCATCCTCTTCTAGCCATGCCCATAAACGCGATCAATAACAACAAGAAGAAAAAAAGAAGAGATGGTTACCTCCTTGGCGTGCTCGAGGAACCAGGTCTTGGCGGTGGTGGCGTTGGTGATGGTCTCCTGGGTGGTGAAGGTCTTGGAGGCGATGATGAAGATCGTCGACTCGGGCTTGACCTTCTTGAGGACCTCGGCAATGTGAGTACCATCAATGTTCGAGACAAAGTGGACCTTGAGACCACCCTCAGTGGCATAGGGCTTCAAGGCCTCGGTGACCATGACGGGGCCAAGATCCGATCCACCGATACCAATGTTGACAATGTCCTCAATCTTCTGGCCAGTATAACCCTTCCAGGCGCCGGAACGGACCTCCTCAGTAAAAGCCTTCATATGCTCAAGGACGGCGTTGACCTCGGGAACGACGTTCTTGCCCTCAGAGTAGATGGGGGTGTTGGAGACGTTGCGGAGGGCGACGTGGAGGACGGAGCGGTTCTCAGTAAAGTTGATGTTTTCGCCCGCGAACATCTTGGCGCGCATTTCCTCGACGCCGGCCTCCTTGGCGAGGTCGATGAGGTGCTTGAAGGTGTCCTGGGTAATGATATTCTTGGAGAAGTCGAGGAGAATCGACGACTGCGTAGTGGGACCCTCGAAGTGGCGCGAGAACTCTTGGAAGCGCGCAGGGTTCTGGGCAAAGAGGTGCTTCATGTTGATCTTGTCGGCCTGTTGGTCGTGGTGGGCCTGGAGGGCCTTCCATGCGCTGAGCGTGTTTGCGAGGACCATTGTTGGAATGTGAAAAAGGTGCGAAGGTGGAGTTGGGGGGTGATGGAGGGAGGGGAGTGAAGAGGAGTAATGAACAAATGTAAAAAGAAGACGAAAAGTAGTGTCGTCGTTCCCTTTTATCTCAGTGCTGGGTGGGACTGGCTCTGAATTTACAATCAAATCAAATCCGCATTGGGGTCTTGCTTCTGGCTTATCACTCCTGAACGAAGGTTGGACAGGGGACAAGGGTGGGAAAACAACTGCTACTCACTTCTTTCACCTGTCAAACACCAACGCCATCCTCTACCGCTTGGATAGTCATTCCCGTTCCTTTCTTTCGTTCTACTTTCCCTCTTCCTCCCTCTCCTTCCAATCAATCAATTGACCACGCAACGAGGCACAGAAACTGTTGGCCCGTCAAAAGGTTATAAGCCTCCTCGCTCGCTTTCTATGCATTCCTTTGGTCGTTGCAAAGGCAAGTGGCGTAGCTATGCTTTTCTTCCATCTTTCCTTCACTCCCTCATTCTTAGTCAACTCTCAAGTAACCTTGGTTCTCTCTGTTAAGATTTGTCACCGGTTTCCCTCTGTTCTTTCTTTGCTGACAGATCCCAGCGCGGTGGCTTTTCCCCCTTTCAATTGCTAGGAAGTCGATATGAAATCATCCTTTTGTCATCGAGACGGTGTCCCTGGAACAAGGTCAAGAAAAGTACTAAGACCGCAATTTACATGCATAACACGACTCGACTTATGAAACCAAGGAACCTGTCGAACTTGGCGTTGGGAGATTGACCAAAAGTAGTTCTTGAGACAGCAGATCCCAATGTAAGGCTGAATCTGTTGCCAAACCCAACAACCCATAGCAGTTGTGTTTTGCTGGGCTCAGTTTCGTATTCCCCCTTTTCTTCCGCCGCGATAAGGAAAAAAATACGCAATGACCAACAAAAAGTAGAGATGAACGCGGCAAATACCTTCCAAGAGCACCTCAAGAACACAACAACCAACAACTGGAGAGAGTTATTTTTCGGTCGGTCGGTTGGGTCGTGAAGAAAGGGGACGAGATGTGTTATCCATAGCCACTGGATGATAACCTTGTGTGCTTGATTTTAGAATCTACTCTCCGCCGGTGGTTAACCTTCTTGTTGTCCTGATAAGATCCGAAGGAGTCAAAGGAGAAAAGACAGAAAGTTAGTCGATACGCGACCTTTGGGCGCACTGTTTTCATCAAACCCCAAGAGGGGTTTGACCAAGCAACCGAGAAATGAGATCTGTCCTCTTTCATTCAACAAGGAACTCAAAAATAAAAGGCTAACAGACACCAGACTTTTTACAAGCGTTAGGATAAGGAATGGTAGGTGAGGCAGTTTACGACGTTGTGGGTCTACCTTCTCGATCGTGAGAAATATTAGAGTGTAGTAATGGCATTGGTGTGATGCGATGTGGTTTTGATCGTCTTTTGCTGGGTCCAGTCAGACAAGGGAGAGGGAGTGTAGAAAAGGGAGGGCATGACGAGGAGTAAGGTCGACGAAGCCTATGGCTACGCCCTCTTTTTTTCGCGCCCTTTCATTGAGCGTCCAGTCCATAGGAAAGAAACAGGAAAGGAGTTTAATCGCAAATGCTTCCAGTATTTTGTGACTGCTCTACACTTCAACAGAGGTGAAAATCAAAACAAAGAATCAGTCAAGTGGCGTTCCTTTTTTTTTTTTTTTTTTTGTAGGCTAGTTCATTCTGCATGCACTGTTAGTTGTTACTTTGTTGTTTGACACCTCCCCCTCCTCCATCACACATACCTCGACTTACTTCTTCAGGAGCACACTCGTACAGGCACCGCAACCAACAACAACACACAACAACACAACAACATAACAATAACATATATGGCTGTCACCAAGCGCAAGTCCGGCAGTATCACCGCCGAGAAGCCCGAGAAGAGAGTCAAGAAGGAAAAGTCCGCCCCCGCTGCTGCCGCACCTGCCTCCAACAAGAAGACTTTCTTTGGCAAGGTTATCGACGAAGAGGAGGATGATGCTGAGGATGAGGGCGAGCTCGAGGCTGAGCCTATCCGGGACGACGATGAGCAGAACGATATGGATATGGAGGTTGATGCCGCTGCCCACGGTGACCAGACCGTTCCCCAGAAGAACAAGATCCGTAAGTCTCTTCTTCTTTTTCTCTTTGCCCTATGTGCGATGGAAGATATTCATGCAAATCTAGGTTCACAGCTAACCTAATCCACCTGTCCTTAAAACTACAACAATACTCTCGCTAATAATGGGATAATACAAACGACAACAGCTACAAAGGAGCAGAACGCACAGAAGAAGGCTCTTCGTGACGAGCGCAGATCGCACAAACCCAACGCAGAGCTGATCTACCCTGCCAAGAAGCTCTGGGAGAAGCTTCGTCTCAAGGAGCTCCCCAAGCCCGAGAGACAGCAGGTCATGAAGGAAATGATGGAGTTGATTACCGGCAAGGTCCAAGAGATTATTTTCAAGCACGACATGTCCCGTATCATCCAGTCTTGTCTCAAGCACGGAAACGAGGCTCAGAGAAACGTCATTGCAGGAGAGTTGGTCGGACACTACTTGACCTTGTCCAAGTCGATGTACGGTCGTTTTATTGTCGTCAAGATTCTGCACTACTGCCAAAAGTACAGGGAGTCGATCATCAAGGAGTTTTATGGAAAGGTCCGTCAGCTGATCAAGCACAAGGAGGCTTCGACTATTATTGAGGACGCCTACTCGACTTACGCCAACGCTGCCCAGAGAGCTGGACTCATCCAGGAGTTTTATGGACCCGAGTTCCGTATCTTCAAGGTCGAGGACAAGAAGACGCTTTCTGATATTCTTGCCCAGAACCCCACCAAGAAGGAAAACATCATGAAGCACCTCATGGAGACCCTCAAGGGATGCATGGAGAAGGGTACTGTTGAGTTCAGCATTGTCCACCGTGGATTGCTCGAGTATTTTGAGCATGCTGACGCTAAGGGCATTCAGGTACCGTGTCTTTTTGCTAGATTTGTTATTCACAAGCTATGTATGTATCTCAATAGCCTCGCTAATCTATATTATGTTGCTATTTAATAGGAGATGTTGGATGTCATGAAGGAGCAGGCTGTCGAGATTTTGCACACAAAGGAGGGCGCTCAGGTTGCAATGTTGTGCTTGTTGCATGCATCGCCCAAGGACCGTAAGGCGATGTTGAAGACGATGAAGCCCTTTGTGGTCAAGATCTGCAAGGAGGAATACGGACACATGGTGATGTTGAGGATGTTTGACGTTGTCGACGATACAGTCTTGATGAGCAAGGCCATCCTGGCCGAGATTGTCAAGGAGATGGAAGATATTGCGAAGGACAAGTATGGTCGTCGTGTGATTCTTTACTTGCTCGCAGGACGGTCACCCAAGTACATTTCCCCCCAGAGCATCGAGCTCCTGGCCAAGGGTGACCTTGTCCGTGCCAACACCAGTAAGAAGGATGCTGCTGTTCGTTCGTCCGAGTTGCTCAACTACATTTCGCCCTCGTTGATCTCTTTGATCGCCACCAAGACCCGTGCCCTCACCAGCGAGCCCCTCGCCTGCCAGGTCGTGTTTGAGACAATGTTGCACTCCACCGGAGACCGCCAACCTGCCATCGATGCCCTCTTGGCCCTTGCTGCTGAGAACCCCTCAGAAGCAACCTCGGAGACCCCCCATGTGTTGATGTCGATGCCCACAGACCGTCTCTACAAGACTCTCGTCCAATCCGATTACAAGGCGCCGCTTGCCGAGCCTAGCTTACATTTCGCCAAGGCTCTGTTGACCAAGATTTCGCCTCACCTCGGATTCTTTGCCCAGCAGAGCGGATCGAGCCCCTTCATTGTCTTGGCGCTGTTGGAGAACCCCGAGACTGCAGAGGAGACCAAGAAGGCATTGGAGGCCAAGGGATCTGCCAAAGGATCAATAACCATCCAGAAGGAGCTCGAGAAGGTTGTCAAGGGTAAGCCCGAAAACGAGTTCAAGGCTGTCCGCTTGATCCTCGACACTCTTTCCAAGTAAATACAGGCTAGAGTAGAGTTCGGGGTTGTTAGTTTTGGGTCAAAACGGCGAATATGCCGTAGAACAGCCTGAACGGACAGCCGATGAACAAGCAGAGGAGCGATGGACGATAGAGATGAAAGATTGATGGCGAGGGACGGAGAGGAGATCCCGTTTTTACCACACAGACAGCATTACATTTTTTTTCGCATTTTCACAACTATACTATTCCACATTTTTCTATTAAAAGCACACCAATGAGAAAACCCCATCATAGAACGAACAGGTAGCGCGTTGACGAGTTTTGGGCGTGCCGGCCGCACAGCCCGGTTTTGTGGCGCAAGAGTTTGCTTCATTCTCGTGAGGGATGTTGGATGTGTGGTATGCTATTTTATTACCCTCCTTGATTTTGTTGAGTTGTCCACTCATAGCGTTTGCATTACCTGTGTGCACTCTCTTTTGTTTCTCTCTATTTTTTTCTTTTCGTATCACTGGAATCTCGGAAAAGAAAAAAGAACAGCCTGTTGCAATAGCCAAACTAAATTACGTCGCTCGTTTCCACGGCCTTGGCAAAAGAAAGGCAGAGGACAATCATTCCAACCAGGGGAACGGGAGTTGGGCGATTCTGGGGCTGAACCTTGCCTCTGCGCATCATGCCAATTGGGGGCAACGGAGATGAAAGAAGGAAAGAAAGAAAGAAAGATATCAATCACAGAAACGAGGCGTTGCTCCGACGAGATGGCGAGGGAGGGAAGGGGCGTCATCGTTTCTGACTTTGTTCTTGTTGTTATTGAGCTGCTTCCATGATTAGGTGTCATTTATGGTTTGAGTCGTTCTACAGCCATGGGAGAGACGATGATGATGATGATGATAGATGGGGCGTGTGTGTGTGTGTGTGTGTGTGTGTGGAGTGGAGAGGGAAGCGGGCTGTCTTTGTTTACTCTTGGGCAATTGAGCTAAAAGATTTCGGTCTAAAGCTGATCAGCCTACCATAGAGTACACCCCTTTTCCCCTTGTTTGTGAGTAGGTAATAATAGGGGGGCTAAGAAGGTTATCACGCGAACTTGGCGAATCCAATTGCGCTTCTTTTTTACTTTGCATTATGACCGGAGAAACGTATAAAGGACAGGGGGTGTCCTCACCCTTCTGTTTTGTTTTCTTCATTATCCTCATCGACACTCGCAACGACAATACAACAACAACATTCTCACTCACAACTGACAGTAGCATACCTCTCCAACCGTCTTCCTCGTCTGACTTGTTTCACTCTACTCTTGAACAACCTCCTGTGATCCTTCTCCACTCTCACACCACCACCACCACCACCACTACCACCGCCACATCAACAAATCATGGCCTGCATTATTGACTGCACCTCGTTCCTCGCAACCGCAAACACAGCTTGCCAAAATATCAACCACGTCGACGTTTTCACAACCGTCCCCATCCCCGGCAACGACCCCGTCCGCGACACCTGTCTCTGCAAACAATCCATCATCTCCAGCATGCACGATTGCGCTCTCTGCCAGTTCAAGAATAACATCGTCCCGACCGATAGAACTTGGGATTATATTAACGCCTGTAACACGACGTATCCCGACAGAAAGTTGTATCTGAGTGGGGCTGTTGGTGCGCCGACCGCATCCAAGTCAGGAGTCTTGCTGGTTGCCATGTTAGCGGTGACATTGTTCTCTGGCTCATTTTTCGGATAGACCCAGCGGGAGAATGTCGAAGCTTGTCTGTTTTCTGCCTTGCCCTCGCCTTGCCCAGCGCTTGCCCCGCCCTTTCCATCCAAGATATGATCTACATACAGCCATCTAACAGCATCACATAATACCGCAATACAAAGAACAGACTATATCATCTTTGTCAATATGCATTGATCGGGGTTAAGACATATAGTTCCGAAACTATAGAGGGTGGTGCTCTTTTTTTATGGGGTGGTGTGCCTGGTCTGTGCCTAGAGAATCATTGACGATGAAGGTATCAGTCCCTTTGAAAGAAAGACACCCTCCGCCCGCATGGTAACATGCTCGCGGTGGGTCTATAGATAGGGAAAAAAAACCATGATCTCCACCGTATTACTTCAAAATAATAATTCACGCCGTGTATCTCAATCAAAAAACATGATCCACGCCTTGTAGATTAAAAAACAATCCAGGCCCGTGTAGCTCATAACTATGTTCTACACCGTGTTACTCAAAACCATTGATCTACGCAAGTGTAAATATAAAAATTATCACATTGACATCCAATTTGCTGTGTCATTTTCGGCTCTGTTGCCATTTCTCTCCCATGGAACTCAAACGTGCATCAGGTTTTCATTTCCAGTTTTTCAACTCTTTTGAAAAAGTATAGACATATCCTTGTGATATATATGTTGAGTGAGATTTGCAGTCTCGCTACTTTTCTACCATAGTAGGGATCTTTCTTTGTAATGGAGGCCCCAAAAAAAGAGGGAGCGGTCGATTCACAGCTGTCTCAATTCTCTTACTTTCCCATGGATGGATAAGTGTGCTAGTGTTCAAAAAAGAGCAAGAGAGGGACAGAGATAGATTCATTCATGGTATGAATGAGTGGATGTTGGTAGCGGCTGAATGTATCGCTAGCTGCAGTACAGTAGCACCTTGGAGAATAGGCTAGGGCTACACGATTACTATCAAAGTACTAATACACGGTTATGCTAGACTTGCCTATGCAATAGGCGGAATAGCAGAGACGAAGATTGATTTAAAACATGTTACCCCTTTTCAACATCACGTACGATTGACGCAAGGGAGAAAACAAAGGCAAAAGGCACAGAAAAGAACTCGGCATTGACGGATAGGTCGTCATAAACGACCCAATGATGATTTAACATTTCGCACATGAAATGATTTCTCGTCGTCCATAGCGACTGCTTCTCCCCCTCACTCACATTGATTGGCGGGGTGAAATGTGCAACTGAAATAGCTTCGGATTTTTTTTTTTTACAGTAGGCTCGGAAAACAGACACGCGCGAAAAGAAATGAACTATTCGTCCATGTTCCGTGGACGGTGACCGGCATGACGAAACGTTACATCGACTCCCACGCCCACCAGTCATTCCTTTTCGCGCATACGCGGGTATGACGGAGCGAGGATATCATCTCCGAGATCTCGCTCTACGCCACGCCCCACTCAAAGTTGGGCGATCCCTCTCGTGCTTAAAACGTCGGTCTTTTTCTCTTTTTTTTTCCTCATCTCAATACACAGCAACACCCTCGCCTTCCTTGGTAATGCTCTCGTCCCGTATTCATCTCATCAAACCTATCGCCACCACTCGCTTCTATCTTTCGCTACCTCGCATCACCACGTCTCTCTGCCACAACCACCACCTTTTCACCACCACCCCAGTCGCCGCCATGTCGCACGCTGCTTCCGCTTCCGCTTCCGCTGAAACCCTCAATGGTATCTCGGACCCGGTCAAGAAGGACCACAGAGAGCTCGAGGAGTACTACAACAACATCCTCAGTGCCAACACCGAGGATGAAAAAACGCGCTGGGCCAACCAGTTTGTTTGGGAACTTGCCCGCCACAGTGTTGGGGAGGAATTAATCATGTACCCTTGCATGAGGAAGGTTCTTCGGAATGGGGATGCTATGGTTGAGAAGGATCTCGCCGAGCACCAAGAGGTAATTATGATTGCTTTGCTCCTCGATGTTTTGTTCAGTGGGTGTCTCTTGTTGTGATGTGAACGTATGGCTATAACTCGTCGAGAGAGAGACAGAGATGTTTTGGAGATCATATTCTCTGCCACGCTAAAGAGAACCGTGTGAGCAAATCATCTAACCACCCATTTCCCCTCCCGCCTTTTTCTTTGCTTAACAACATACACAAAAAAGGTCAAGGAGCAACTGTTCAAGTTCCAAAATTTGAATTCGGCCGACCGATCCTTCGAGCCCCTCCTCCGCACCATTTGGACAGACTTGTCCAAGCACATTAAAGAAGAAGAGGAGAATGACCTCGTCCAGCTCGAGCAGGCCCTCTCCTCCGAGGAGTCCATTGATCTCGCAAAGAGTTTCCAGCGCACAAAGAAGTTCGTCCCGACTCGTTCTCACCCCTCTGCGCCCAACCAGCCCCCGTTTGAGACTGTTGTGGGATTGTTGACGGCGCCGATGGATAAGTTGAAGGATCTTTTTGCGCGCTTCCCCAAGGATAATTAGAACAAGAGAGGTGACAGAAGAATTTGTACATACAGAAATAAGAGTGCATCACACTGTCTGTGAACATCGCACCAACAACAATTATCGTTTTTTTAGTGCGTCGTGGAAGTGTGTGCAGTAAACTAACACTCCTCACCTACAGGAGTCACCACCGTTCAAAAGATATAAAATAAATACTTTCGCAAAGGTTACATCCAAAATGGGAAAGCAGTTAACAACGAAAGACAGGACCAGGGCCAGGCAAATTAAGTGCAGAAAAATAAAGAATAGAAATACAGATTAGGTGGGGAAGTTGTTGTCGACAAAGGGGAGCTCGACTGGGGGGTGGGGGTTCACGCTCCTCGCTCTGTCGCTTCTTCTCAGCCAACTGAGCGCGAACTTGGTCAATGGCCAAATCCACCGCGGCAAGTACCATGCGAGGTTCAAAGGCTTGGTCCTCACGGACAAAGGCGTGATGGTACCTCCAGACAGGGGCCATGATAGTATTAATCACGATGAAGATGGGGATTTCATGACCTGGTTTGACAGGGTCCGGGTCAGGAAAAAAGAGGCTGCAGATGTAGTCCGCAGTCTAGGTTCGTTCCTCTACATATCTCGACAGTGCTGAACAGGAGGTGCTGACATTTCTTCAGATCAATTCCACAGACACGGCAGAGGGACTCAACCATATCAGGAATAATGGAGTGAAGGTGGAGGCCAGAGGGAAGTTTGTTGATCAGGAGCCGCCACCAGACATTGCGCGCATTGTGCAGGATCTTGTTCTTCCAGAAGGATGACCAGAGGGATGTCCAGAAGGTGGCAGTGAGTGGTGGGGGCGGTGTGATCATGGGTGAGTGATATGGTGCTGGGGTTGGAGGGCGGTAGGACTTGGAGGAAATCATCTGTCGAAACGCGCGGGTACTGGCTAATTCGAAGGTACCGTTCTCAGACTTGTGGATAACGATCCCGTTTGTGCGTTCCGCCAGGTCGTCAACCAAGTCGAAAGACCCGTCATTGTCTAAGGCCCGTCTCAGGGCTGGGTGCGCCTTGAAGTGACCATTCCTGGTGTTCTCCTCCAACCTTGAGTGGGTGCGGTGGCCGACGGATCGCTCCTCCATTGGAATAAACTCCAGTCTGCCTTCTGTCTTGGCCTCGTCCGTCCATACAGGTCTGAAGACACAATCCATGAGCCAGTTAGGAGGGTGAGGCTCTGGAACATTATCCGGCTTGAGCCATTGTGGGAGGAGTATTGCCATCATGGTCCCGACTTCCAACGAACCCCCTGTTTCCTGACCCCAAGACAGTCCAGAGGTACGCTCTACCGCCTGCGCCATACCCTTGAGAATCGTGTGTGACAAAAGTATTTCCTCTTCGCCGTGAGAAAGAAAAGAGGGGCTAGCGAACGGGGCCAACGGAAACTCAGATTCTGTTGCTGATCGGGGAAGATCCATGAAGAAGCATATCATGAAGGAGGTAGTGTCGGAACAAATTCTCTGAACCGCTTGCAGCTGGAGTGCGACAGTCTGGGATCCAATGTCGACAAGACCAAGCCCACACTGGGACCGCCGGAGGCAGAGGTGGTTCCAGGATGGAGATGGCAAGAAAGGAACAGTGAACTTGCTGATCGATCCTTGGACTTTCTTCATCCATTGGCGCGTTGGCGGGTGGACGGCGATGATGGACGTGCCAGAAGCGGGAAAGCAAGAGGGAGTTGGCGATGATGCTGCGTCCCAGGACCGATAGTTGGCGACCGTACTGTACGTTGATATGGTGTTTGATTTTTTGTGTATGCTGTCGAAGAGGGGGGTAGGGTAACCCAAATAGACCAGTATCTTCGAGGATTTTTTCTTACCACGTCAACGATCACATGATAAAATCAACATTCCTTTCAACATCCCTCCCGTTACACCTTGATGTCAGAGCGGCAACTTCCCCTTCAAAAAAAATATCTCCCGCTGTTGTCAATTGATGCTTTCTCCTTATTCTGTCCATTGGTCTTTGTATCTCTTGATCTTTTGACTTTCTCCCTTGCCTTAGTACCTTCCTCAATCGTACGGCGGTCCTCCTCCGTGCCCTTGATCTTTTTGGAATCCCTCCCTCCCTCCCTGCCTGCTACTCTATGAGCGACCTCTCCCTTCTGATTCCTGCAAGATCTTTACCCATTTCTTATTTAGTATCATTAATATTTTACGTTTGTTGCAAGACATTCTCTTTCACATCCACATTTACAAACTTTCAGTTCTCAACAACCGCTTCACTCAAATCAACTCTACATACCAAAGCCTTCTCATTCAAAAATGCAGCTCCAATATCTGTTCATTATCTGCGTTCTTGTTAGCTTTGCTGCCGCTGCTCCTATGTATGTAATCACCGTCAATGCTAAAGATCCTCCCCATAGCAGTGCTGTAGCATTGGAGATCAATAATGGAAGAGCATCCTAGGTTCAAGGAATAATTGTTATTATTATACACAAATGCAATAACAACGAGTACAATACGGCAGCTTACAAGAGGAGCAGGAGCATTGTTAAGGTGATAGCTAATATGATTTCTTTCTGTTACCTCTTGTTTGGCATTGTCCCATCTCTAATAGTCCGTAAGTTGATACACAAACCCTACAGCAGCTACTAGATATGACAACTGTCGAGTGGGATAGGGGTATTGTTGAGGCGATAACTAACATGTTATCTCTATATTGATTATTTGTTGGTATTCTTGTCCTATCTCTAATAGCCAGTAAGTTGATACACAGATCCCACAGCAGCTACTGTGATATGATTACCGTCGAGAGGGATACAAGTGTTGTTGAGGCGTTAACTAATACGTTTTATCTTTGTTGCTTCTTGCTTGGTATTCTCTTCCCATCTCTAATAGCGGGTAAGTTGATATACAGATCCCACAGTAGCTACTTGTGATATGAAAACTGTCGAGTGGGATGCGAGTATTGTTGAGGCGATACCTAATTTGTTTTATATCTGTTGCTTCTTGCTTGGTATTGTCGTCCCATCTATAATAGACTGTAAGTTGACACTCAGATCCCACAGCAGCTACTGCGATATGACTGATGTCGAGTGAGATACGGGTATTGTCGAGGCGATAACTAATATGTTTTATCTGTGTTGCTTCTTGCTGTCGTTCCATCTCTAATAGTGGGTAAGTTGATGCACAGATCCTACAGTAGCTACTGGGATATGGCTGCTGTTGAGTGGGATGCGAGTATTGTTGAGGCGATAACTAATTTGTTTTATATCTGTTGCTTCTTGCTTGGTATTGTCGTCCCATCTATAATAGACTGTAAGTTGATACACTGATCCCTCAGCAACAACCGTGATATGACTGCTCTCGAGTGGGATACGAGTATTGTTGAGGCAATAACTAATATGTTTCTCTGTGTTGCTTCTTGCTGTCGTTCCATCTCTAACAGTGGGTAAGTTGATGCACAGATCCTACAGTAGCTACTGGGATATGACTGCTGTTGAGTGGGATATGAGTATTGTGAACTAACAACTAAAATGTATTTTGTGGTGCGTGAATATTAGATCTCGGCTTCCTAACTTATAATTCGGAGTTGTCGATTTTATATCATTGGTCGGTGGACCTTCTAATTTCCTATCAAGAAATGGGTTTTGACGCAGACATTCATCTAGGATATTGTTACAATCCCATTAAAGCGCGTTCATGACAAAAGTGGACCTTTCGAAAAATAAACATTTTTGTGTGAAGATAACCTCGGTAGAGTTGGTAGGTGAGGTGACTGATGAAATATTGTTGGGAATCTAGACGTGGACAGAGCAGAATGGCCATTCTCTAGACGCGGCGAGAGAGGAGATGAAGGGGACAGAGATGAAAAAGGAAGGATTAGGTGATTGTGGTGAATTTGCATGCGAAGATGAATGATTTTCACTTATTCTCCTAGAAGACCAGAGACCGAGGATGTGTGTGACCTATTTTAATATGATCGAGAAAAACAATACAAAACAATAAATGGAGGGAACTATAGGAGCTGGACCCCTACCTTAATTTACGCGAAGAAGAATCAAAAACAGGCAAACGAAAAGAGGGAGAAGCAATTGCTTGAACAGCTGTCGATCGCGAAAAATCGACGCCATTGTCCATCAATGCGATTTTAGTGACATCTCTTCCCCATCTTTTTAATTCTTTTCTTTTTCTTTCGCCGCAAGGCTCAGCTTTCAACATCTTTTTTTTTTTCGTACACAATTTTATTTCTTTGATAAACAGCACAGAAAAATCATTTGGAAGTAATGGGGACTACAGACCAAACTCTTCAATGCGCCATCCACCAGTTGCGGTCCGGTCCAGAACCTGGCTCTGCACGACAATTGTCGCTGCTCTTCACGGCTTAAAACGGAAGAAAATAAACCAAGATACGAATAAAAGGGATTCTCCCCATCCTCTCCTTCATTGATAACCTACCTCTCCCTAACAAACTCTCTGTCGCGTTGTTCCCTATGATCAGTCGACTCTCGACGTGATCGGTCGACCCTTGGCATAATCAGTTGATCGTTGGGCGCAGCCAACTGCGCCCAAGATAATTAATTAGCTTCGCTCCCAAAACATATATATATATCTCATAGCACCCACCCCAAATACCTTTACCTAGTAACTTGAATAATACTTTGTCTACTCCTTGAAACCTCATATCTGATTCTCTGTTCCATTTGTTCTCTTCCCTCCACCTCTCTCCTTGATCTTGCATAAGAATAGGTCAACCCTGCCTTGTTCTACTCTAGATCTTTGACACTCTACAACAACCGCTCATCAGAAGCGGAGGGTCCTTGGTCGCTCCAGGGCAGGTTCCATCCTTGTGTGTGGCTAGCGAAGTGCCACACGGGCAGAAAACATCACGGGTGATGTAGCCGTATCCCTAACTCCTGTCACCTCAGGGGCCTGTGTACTAGGATGTCTTGTCCTTGGTAGAGATGCCCTGGGTCTGTTCCCACGCGATCGTCTCGGAGTATAGAACTTTCCAGATTAGCTCTTAGGCCTGCGTCTCCAGGTAGCCAACAACTTGTGCAGAACCGTCTCGGCGATGGACATTGGGGTCCAGAAGACCGTGGACCATTCAACCAACATATTCTTGGGAGGATGTCGCGGAGGAGATCCGATATGTTCCACTTGGGATTCTCGTTGCGGTCGGGAGTAGGACTACCGCTGTGCACAGCTCGAGTTCCACTGATAGAGGTGAACTCTCGTACATGATCCGCATCCGAAGGGGGCAGCCAGTGTATGGGTACTGGCCTCGGCACTTGATGACCTTTGTCAAACCGCGCGTTTGTGTTCCCGTTTCCTGGCTGCGTTGTAGCTGTTTGTCGCCTGCACACCCCACTCGTGTCAAATAAAAAATAAAAAAAGATTTGCAACATCCAAGCCTCCATTCCTTCCTATATGGCTATTTCTTCCCTTGATTTTTCAACACCAACTACAACAGCCGCTCGACATCTGCAACCACAACACGTACGCATGGACTCGGCATTAACTCACTTCTTCGATGTGCCAGAACTGGTCGATCACCTGGTTCAGCATCTCAACCACGCAGGAATCTCGAGACTAATGCGAACAAGTCGACAAATGGAAGCAATCTGCACACCGGCCCTCGACTTTCACGTTACCGCCTGTTTTGACTGGTTTGACACTCGACAAACAACACCTATTTGGCTCTGCCGAGTCGATTCTGGCGTTATTATCCAGGAATGGTCATCACGGTCGACAATTGAAACTCGGCCGCCATGATATCGTCTACTACCCTAACTGCGCGATTGTGTTCCTGGACCAACTCGACACACAACAACACAACAACATAACACCGTGACCACCACTACCACCACAATTGGACAACTACCGTTAGTTGCACGACCCTGCTTGGCTTGCACCACCGGACCTTCATATCTGTACAGTGCTGCCGATACCACCAATCACAATTGTCGACGAGGCTAAAGCTGGACCTTTATGCCAAGAGGCAGGAGACGGATACGTATAAGAAGTGCTCATACTATCTGCCCAGCTAACTGGATTCTCAAGGCGACCCTCACCCAAGTCTGCTGGATCATGGATTCTACCCCCCCCCCCCCCCCCCCTTCCTGGACCTCTTCCTGGAAATCCTTGTCAAGGACAACAAGGAAATTCAGCTCCTAACGACGTCGATCTTTAAGTTGAAGAAGGTGAAGAGGGTTGACTTGGATCTGGCGCATTGGCCAGAGTAGGTGAATTTGTGTCGGTGGGTGCCGGTTTTTTGGTTGGGTGCTGTCCGGTGAGCGTTGAGCGGTTTGTTTTGAAGTTGATCGAGAAGGATGTTTGTTGGTGTGTGGTCGTTTAAGTTTAGCCGGCTGTAGAGCGAAGAAGGGAAGACGCCAGTTTGGAAGATGAGTGATCAGGACCCGTGGGCTGCTGGAAACAGCGACCATGGAATTACCCATGCGCCCAAAGACCACTCATGAATCTGAAGACGCTAATACTTCACGATCTGAACGAAGAGGTTGCCCTGGGGGGGATGAATTCCGGTCAGTACCGGAGCAATACCCCTAATCTCGAGTACATTACCATGCCTATCGTTGCGCCCATCGGGAGTCCCAAACGTCTCGCCCAAGAGATGGTCCGGTGCTGTCCTAAACTAAAAGGCGTCGAACAAGTGTATGGGATCGAGGGCGTGGAGATCTGGGAGACCATGTTGTGGCTCTTAGAGGCGCTCCCCGAGAATCAGCTTTGGAAGTTCGTTTGTGGCTCCTGGGCTCCCGCCAAATGCAGGATCGTTGTTGTTCTGGAGACACTCGATGACATTGTGGTCTATCGCCTTGGGTGGATGCTGGAACTTTGATAGCAACACCATACATACGATCCTGACAGGTTGCAGCATAGTGGAGCGCTTGGAGGTCCAATGGTCGATGAGGAGAGATACCCGACAACAGCTATGTCTCGAGCTGGGGGATTCTGTTCAAGTTCCTTGGGCTTGTACCGGACTGAAGGACTTGACATTCACAGTCGCCATCCCGGACCAGCCATTGCACCAACCTCCTGACGGCGTCGTATCCTACTACAACCGAGCATCCCCAACAACACTGTCTGAGGCAGAGACACATCAATTTGGGTTACTCGAGGTGCTCTACCGCCAGATCGGCGCGCTGACAGAGTTGCACACCCTCGATTTACGCGCCATCTTCTACGACCCACAAGACCATCGCCCACTAACAAAGACCACCGCCAAATCTTCTTCCCAGGCTTCCTAAACCTCAAGTCCGAAACAACCGGTCGGCCAGGGTACCTCCACTACCTAGGAGGCCCCACCAAACTCAGAAAAGGTTCGGTGTTAATGACGACCAAGGAAACAAGGATCACGGTCAAGACGACAGCTGAACCCGCATGGATGGCCCAGCATTGGCCTGCGTTGATGGAAGCTCAATTCTATTCGAGAGCCGAAAGGATTGGAACGCAGTATGTATGGTTGGAGGATGAGGTCGCGAAGCAGAGCCAAGGGCGGCGCAAGATGGTCTTTTAAATGGATGCCTTTTTATTAAAAGACGAACAATGTTGATACTTTTCCTTCAGTCCCCTTTTCTCAAGAGTTGAATGCTTTGTTTGTTTGACGTTTAAAAAATATGTCTATGTTGCGTCGTTTATTTTTAATGCCTTCATAAAAAATGCCAAAAAGTCATGTACACTCCACTCCTCTCCTCCAAAAAAATGAAAAAAAGAAAGGGTACTTAATCAATATCCATATCCTTGGACTCGTCGTGCTTGGTCTCCTCCTTGGACTCGGCCTTCTCCTCAGAAGCAGGGGTCTCGACGGGGGTCTCGACAACAACGGGCTTGGGCTTGGGCTTGTTCAAGATGGGGGTGGCAAAGTAGACGATATCATCGCGCTGCTTGCGGACCTCGGCAGATGTGAAGGCAGGGGTCTCGTACTTCTTCATCATCGACTGGCGCTCGAGCTTGTTCTCGATCCAGGTCTGGGCCTTGGAGCACTTCTCGATGATCGAGTTCTTCTCGGCCTCGGGGATGTGGGCGTACTTCTCCTCAGAGCTGGTGGCCTGGGCCATCAAGTGGTTGATCGACTCGCGGAGCTCGCGGGCGGCGTTGGCACGGGCCTCGACTTCGCGGTAACGCTCAGTGACGGGCTTGCCAACAACGTGGAGCTCGCCCAACTTGGCGGCGTAGACAGACTTGGTGGTCTCGTCACCCTCTTCGTACAACCAGTTCTCGGCATCGTTCAAATCGGCGACGAACTTCTCCTTGTCAGCGGGGTTGATGAAGTCCTTGTAGACACCATCGACCTTGGCGCGGGTGTCGTAGATGTACTCCTCCAAAGTGTTCTTGGCCATCTCGGTATCAACGACCAACTTGTCGGAGGCGATCATCTCCATCTCCTTCTCGCGCAACTCGCTGACGAGGGCACGGTCCAAGGATGAGGTGGCGCTGACAACAGTGAGGTCACCCTTCTTGACCAGCTTCTTGACCTTGCGGGTCGAGGGAGCCTCAGCAGCGGCTTCTTCACCCTCAGCGGGGGCGGCCTCAGTCTTGGACTCCTCGACCTGCTCCTCCTTGACGACCTCCTCAACAACGTAGGCGGACTCGACGGTGAGGACACCATGGATGTTGACTCTGGCCTTGACCTTGACGCAGGCAGCCTCACCGTTGACGGGTTCGACACCCTTGATGGAGAAGCGGGCGATCCAGGGGTTGATACCGGCGGGGATCGACTCGGGCTCGGCGTACTGGGCCTCGAGATCGAAGGGGGCAGAGCGGTAGAAGGTCAAGATCTTAGTCGAAGGGATGGCGTTGTTCTTGTTGAAGACGACGAGCTCGGTATCCTCCTCCTCGGGGGTAGGCTGCCAGGTCATCTTGATGGGGTAGTTGGTGATATCCTGGACAGTGAAGTCACGGACCTTGAAGGCGGGTGACAAGATGGCACACTGGAGGGCGGCACCACGGGCAATGGCCTCATCCTGGTTCAAGGTGGCAGAGATGTCCTTCTTGAAGAAAGCCTGGATGCGCTCCTTGAGGGCGGGGATACGGGTAGAACCTCCGACAATCTCGACGGCATCAATCTCATCGACGGTCAAACCGGCATCATCCAAAGCCTTCTGGAGAGGGGCCTCAACGCGGGAGATCAACTCCTGGGCGAGCTCCTCAAACTCGGCACGCTTCATCATCGAAGCAACATCGCGATCCTCCATGATCGACTCGATGTTAAGGGGAGCCTGGGCGTTGGCAGAGAGAATCTTCTTGAGCTTCTCGCATCCGGCCATGAGACGGATCAAAGCCTTGCCGTTGGACTTGACATCGATACCGTACTTGGTCTTGAACTCGGCAGCAAAGTGGTCGACCAACATGCGGTCAAAGTCACGACCACCAAAGTGTCTGTCAAAGGCACGGGACTTGACGGTGAGCTGACCCTTGATGAAGGAGACGACCGAAACGGTGTAGGACGAGTGACCGACATCGACAAAGCAGACGTTGCGGGGCTTGTCCTCGGGCAAGTCCGTCTTGGTGATACCGTAACCGAGAGCGACGGCGGTCGAGTCGTTGATGAGGCGGAGGACGTTCAAGCCAGCGATCTCGGAGGCATCGAGAACAGCGCGGCGCTGGACATCGGTGAACCAGGAGGGGATGGCAATGACGCAGTCCGAGACGGGCATCTTGGTCTCGCTGGCAGCAATCTCCCTCATCTTGGTGAGGTACATGGCAAAGATCTGGGTGGTGGTGAAGGTCGCCTCCTCGCCCTTGTAGTTGACCTTGACGGAGAGCTGACCGTTGACATCAACGAGAGGGGCGGTCAAGTACTGCTTCTCGATCTCCTGAACCTCCTTGTCAGCGAAAGTGCGTCCGATAATGCGCTTCAAGGACGAGATGGTGTTCTTGAAGTTGGAGATCTCCTGAGTCTTGGCGGTCTCTCCGAGGTAACGCTGCTTAGGGCCGAACGAAACCAACGACTAAGTGCATGTAACAAATGAAACCATTGAGTGTGAGTAAGGTGTATGATATCCATGAGTATGTTCCTTGTGCACGCGACAACAGAGATAATACGTACGGGAGTGAAGCGGTTGGAGACTTCGTTGCAGATAACATCGATACCGCGGTTTCTGGCGACGGCGATAACCGACTGCAAGTTTCCGAAATCAATACCTATTTGTTTAATGATGACCGTTTACTGCAGGTTAGCAGACAGCCAACGTCTCTTGTTTTCTCTCTTTCTCTCTCGCTCGCTCGCTCTCTCTCTCTCCTGTAGCAAGGGTAAGCCTTTTGCTTGCTCTCCACGTGATTTCAGGCCCTATTCTCCTGTTTGTTGTACTCTGTCGAGGGGATGTATCATGGATCGGTATAGTGTTTGGAAAGCTGTTTGTTTGTCCAGGTCCAAGCGCAGTACTCGAAGCAGGGGTTCGCTGTGTGTGTTGAAAGGTATGCAGTGGGTCGCACACAGATGAACTGCTCAGGACAGGGTTGAAGGGCAGCATCACTCTCCGTTTCCTGAGGTTGTTTGATGTTCCTGATGTAATGGAGTGTAGGTTGTTGCAATGGTTCCTTGTGTGGATGTGTGGTCCTGTTGTTGCCCTCGAAGTGTTGACATACCAACGACAGACATGATGAATTATAAAAAGGGGGGGAGGGATGTGGAGAGAAGATCGAGTCATCGTTGGCTTTGGCTTTTAACTGTTCAAAGTGGAAAAAAGCACTCTGGTGACTGCTTATTAATAATGTAAACAATCCACCTGGATTTGGGGCGCTAGGAAAGAAGGACGACGAGGAAGGAGGTCAAGGAGGGAAGGAAGGGAAGAAGAGCATGATGCTCCTAAGGTGATAGTGAAGGAAGTATGGAGCATTCTGGTTACTTTTGTAACATGCAATAGGAAGGAAGGTGAGGGAGGTAGAACATACAAGCAGGCACCATCCACCACATACCAAAGTAGCTGCCTGCCCAATTGGTAATATCGATGACGATTTAGTGGCGCCGATCCGTGACTTTATTTTTTGTTCTTCTTACAAAGCAAGCGGCATGCCTGCTTGCGGAGAGAAAGGCCTAACAGTGTACAGCTCCCCTTTTTGCATCATCTCTACCCATTCCATTCTCCACACACCCTCTTCATCACACATCAGACTCACACAATGCCACCTCTTCGCATCCTCTGTCTTCATGGCTACACTCAAGTAATACAACTTGCTATCAAAACAACACTTTCAACAGAGCCGATTGATAGGAGCAGAGCACCCCCCCGCTCACCCAACCATGTCTTCACCTTGTAACAATAGAACGCCTTGTCATTCACCAAGAAGACCGTCGTCTTTCGCAAATGCCTCAAGGATATTGCCGACCTCGGTAATCATCAGCCTACATCTGCACACTTGCTAGCCATTGGACACTCAACATTCTTCGCTCAATTGAAACTAATTGCCCCTTATCTGCCTTTCTTATTAAACAGTCTATGTAACGGCTCCTCACATTGTGCCAATCCCTACCTTGAACACACCCGAGGAACGCGAGGACGATATACTGGACCTAGAGAAATTGGAGCCCGGTATGTCTTGACATACTTACAACTGTTACCCTGTTGATGGAGGAATACGATGTTGATTGCAAAATGCTCACACAGTTTACCTTTCACTTCTGTAATGAATAGAGGCGGTGCCATATGGATGGTGGACATCTTCACCCGAAAAGCCCCTCTACAAGGGATTTGATGAGAGTTTAACAGGCCTCCGCGAGGTCCTTGAGAAGCAGGTATGTACCACTTTACATCATTCCAGTATGTTTTGTCAGGATATGAATATAGCAGCCAAAGGGAGGAAAGATACTCACTCCTCCTTTCCTACTCCTTTATTACACCCAAAATTGTGCAAAGGGACCATTCGACGGAGTGATGGGATTCTCACAGGGTGCTTCCATGGCAAGTCTACTCCAGCTGCTGTTGGAGAGACCCCACCTTTCGCCCGTCATGGCTGGACTGAAGCACGCTCCCTTCAAGTTCGCAATCATTGTGTCTGGATTCGAACCCCGCGATGCTGAGAAGTTGGCTTGGTACACCAACAAGTACGATGTCCTCCAACAAATGGATGGTGATGACGAGAACAAGGAGAACCAGGAGAACCAGGAAACTAAGACCCTCTTTGGTGTCCAGGGCGCCAGTCTGCATGTCATTGGTCGAAACGATGTCATCATCGAGCCAGGTACCCACCTTGTTTCATTTACATTTCACCTATCCCGTTCTTGTCTCTCTGAACACTTGCTAATGGCTCTTTCCTACCATCAAATACAATAGAGAGAGCGGAGGGTTTGTTGAAGCACTATCAGTACAAGGCTCCTCAGACGCTATACCACGACGGCGGCCATTATCTGCCCTCGAACGCTGCCAGTCGGCAAACCTACAAGTCCTTTGTCCAGTCCTTCGTTTAGACTGGACTCATTCATCATTACTCCTCCACAGCCATAGACACATCCAGTAGAAACAAGTGTAAAAATAACATGTCAATCACGCGTTTTGCTTTACCAACTTCAATTCCCTCGGAGCGAGTGTGTATTGGCAAGCGTTCTTAACAAGGTACTCTCGGCTGCACCCTTGTGCGCAAAATACCTAAGAATGTAACTAGCGTCAACTATATACCAAGGAGACGCAAGGTCCCCCAATCCCTAGTCCTATCATTGACCTCCTCATCCCTCGTCTACCCTGTCATGCGCATGTGTAATCTTGGAGCCCACTTCACCCCTCATTTTTTATCTCACTTTGTGCCTGTTGCTATTCAACCCCTCACCCGCCCATGCAAAAACTGACATTTTTGTGCTCCCATCTGACCCTTCTTTTACAAAGCAAGAGTCTTGTGGGGTAAAGGGCCGCATCCGCATTCGGCTGTTCCTCCGTCTGGGGTGAACACAACACAATTGGCATTTCACACAAAGCAATCATTCAAAGTCGAAAAGAAAGGTGTCAACCAAAGACTCATCTCTCCTTGTTTATTTCTCCCGTCCATCCATCCATCCCTGCCAGAGACCACTTTTCCGCCTTAACCCACACACGCTCCCTTCCTCGATTCCTTTCTTCCCCCCTCCCCTCCACATCTTTTGTCCATTTTTTTTTGGGCGCTGCATGCCGCATGTTGCATAACTTCGTTCCTCTGTTGTTCCAAATTGATTGAGTCGATGCCACTGTAGAGAACATGAGGAATATTATTTCCCCTTTCGTTTAAAATGTCACATATCCGCAATAAGAGAGAAAAAAAGACGTTAATGAGAGAGATAGAAGATTGAGTGCTCTTTCGTCGCACCTCGTTGATGTTTTTGTTCTTGTACTTCCGTTAGTCTCCACCCCTTGTTTCTTTACAGCCATAGACCAATTGGTTGCTGGAGAGGCAAAGTGATTGGACATTTTCTCAGTTCCGGTAAGGTGCACTCATGTTAACTCTGGGGGGTGGTGGAAAAAGAAAGAGGCGTTATGTTTGGGCATCGCTGGCAAATAGGAGAAGTGGGCAATTATCAGCAACAATAATGAAAACCCACAACTCTTCCTCCTCCTCGGCTTACGCTCACTTTGCTCTTGGTTGTTTACATGCGAGGGTACGTGTACAATGAGCAGTTGACCAGCAACTACATAACCAACAAGAAGACGTGATCCCCGAGCGTAATCCAGCGACCGCTGTATATGTGTGTATGTATGTACGTGTGTGCTGTGTTCGCCGGGAGCTAAGTTTGATTCTCTTCCTCTCTTGTAGTTTCAGCCCAGTTTAACCCCGACGTCTCCATCTCGTGCTCTTTGTTCTTTGCCCTGGCCTCGTTCCTCTTTCTTTCTCTTGTCTCTTCTCTTTTCTTTCTTGGTCATCCTGGACCACTTCACCTTTGGACCACTTCAACTTTGGACCCCCACCCACTCCTCTCTTCTTTTCGTCCCTGCATACACTCACGGCACTCCTAGTCGTCTCCTATAAATTCGCAACCATCCAACGCTCTTCTTACTATAATTCCCACCTCCTCGGCTCGCCCATTCATTCCTTTCTGATACCAGACCCTTTTTTCAATTTCATTATCCCCTTCTCCTCCTCTTGTTCTAGTCCCCCCTTTTCGTCACCTTCAGTCTGACAGAATAACGACAGCATTGCCCTAATGCCACTGCTTATTCAGGCAGTGCCTTTGGCAAAGAATTGGCACGGTAGCCACTACTGGCGCACACCCGATTTCGACACCTTCCCCGAGGAGCTTGAGGTACCATTCTTTTTTTGTATGAACAGGTGAAAAGAATGAGCAACTCTTAACGACAAGCGACGTTGTGCATTGATGGAATGAAAGTGAGCGAGTCATTGCTGAGCAGAATGACGATGACAATGACCCAATGACACCCTCTCGTTCGTTTATAGTCGGCGTATTTCCAGGGCTGCTACTCGCCGATTGAATACCATTTCTTGTTATCCTCACCCTTCTCTTCTTTCCTTTTCCCCTCATTTTTCCTCTTTTGGGTCAATCCCCCAAACCTCTCATATCCTTTGAACTGAAAACGCCATTTGTGTATTTTTACCCCGCATAACGTTGTCGAACCCACTCAATCGCTCACTCCCTCGTCTGCACTTCTTTCTTGTTTACGCTTGTCTTGTCCTCAATAGTACCTACCGAGAGAAGAGATAACAAAACGATTCGAGAAACTCAACCTAATCGCCCGCAGGACTTACCCGACCATCTGGCCAAACATCATCTTCATCCTCTTCTTCCTTGGTCTCACCGGTGCTGCGGGATATGCGCTCTCTAAGATTGGGTCCTCAAACTTGTCTATTATGGGCCAGGGAATCTGTTTTTTGTTGCCTATCGCCATTGTGGTCTGGGTTAAAGTCCGCAAGGATACCAAGGCTCGTGCGCGTCGCAGGGTAATTGAGCAATCGAAGCATGCATTTTTTTGTTTGTTATGGCTGATTTGTTGAATGACAAGGATCTAATTGATTCATCTCTGCCTGCTTCTTACCCCACAAACATGACTTCAGTTCAAGCATCAGAGTCAGAAAGTGCTGAGGGTATGGACAACTCAGGACACTCAATCACATGCGATGCAGTGGAAGATTCGACAACGTCCAAAGTCAGTCGCAATTCCTTGGCTAGCACAGACTCGTCGCACTCGCAGGCGGAGGTCTCCTGATCAACCACAACAACTACAACAACAACGAAGACACCAACGACAGGAGCAAGAACTGGACCAATTGCAGGACCATGGCCAATCATTGTCCCTCAATGGGCAACAGCAGCAACAACATTTTCATGCAGGGACAACGGTGATTTCAATGACCGACGCACTGCAGATCGATCACCACCAAACACCTGATGACCATGAGGGGAGCGATATTGCAACCCTGCATCGTGTCTCTTGGGTCGACCCGCGCCATCGTCGTGAGCACCCTACACAAGGTCCACAGGAGGGCGATCAGGACCAACGACCTCCTTCCTTCATCCGCCATACTCCTGAAGAGCCATCGTCGACTGTTACCCCTCCCTCACCCATCGTTTCTCTGTTCGAGACCATCCGAGCCCGGACACAACGTGGTCGCACGACTTCTGTAGACTCTACCAACAGCACCAACTTTGTGACACTCCCACCACAACAACAAGAAATCGACATCTCCTCCTCAACAGCAACTACAACAGAGACCAACACCCCTAATATCTCACCCGCCTCTTCCTCCATCCCCTCGGCAACAAGAGGCGAATCCCCGACCACGATTTTTACCGCCGGCGCGTCAATATGGAGCATCATCAGGGAGTATCTGGGTAACTCTCTCTGCTATGGTTTCTGCTTTGCTGAGCCTAAGGTGTGGCTGATCGAGATTTCGTTGAGAGAGTGTCAATTGGACGAGTACGCGTTGATGGTGCCTAGTCCGGTGTATTGCGATTACAGATTGCCCGGGTATGATGATGTCATTGCTGGAGCAGGTGGAAGTGCAGGAGAGTCGTCAGGCATTGCCGCAGCGGCAAGTTCTAGTCGGACAGGATTGAATCGGTACAATGGTCTGCCGCCTGCCTATGAGAGTGAGTCCGAGTCGGAGGGCGAGGATGATGATGACCTTGACGATGAGGATGATGATGACGATGATGATGATTTGGAGTCGGATGGTATCGAAGCCCAGATCCAGGACTCTACAGGATATCGACTCACACGACCAACGCCAGCCCACCTACCAGACATTGGAACCGGCAGCAACAGTGCCAGCGCGTCAACCATGGCTGCCAACAGTTTACAACCCCCGATGGAGATGATCCAACGACCTTTCGAGATGACATCCATCGTCGTCCTCGCAACCCCACAATCCTCTGCTACTACCACCTCAGGAACCCCACCACCACCAACACGACCATTCCCCTTCAATACCTATGGATCTAGCAGTTCACAAGAATATACCCCCAACGACCCCCGCCATATGACCCAGTCGTCCATCTCGCTACCCTCTATTGTTGAGGTTCCAGCAGACGCGAGCAAGTAGACAGGGGAATGAACTACCTTAATTTTTGTATATAGCCTATTCTTGAAATGCTAGTCTTTGTTGTTTGCTGGTTGCCCAGGTCTTTTATTTAATAAATGCGATGGATTTGTGAGGGATGTGGATAGTATGCAAGCTGTTGTGATGTACAATGGGAAAGAAAGGAATCGACTGACTAGGGAACATTATGCAAAAGAGGAAAAGTAGTGAAAGAAGTAAAAAGTACCGAAACAAAGCTAAAAGGTAGAAGCAAAGAACCCGAGAGGCCAAAAAGAGCTTAAAAGGCATGAAAAGCCTGTTAGAGAGACGATCAGGCATGTAGACTGACAGACAAGCGGTAGAGATTGCAAGATCTTTGTCAGGATCAAACCACCGCGGACGCTGCGATCTATGTTTGCAGTCCACCGCGTCCGCGACCATGACCACCACGGACGCCTCCACGAACAGGAACGGATCCACGTCCACGTTCACGCTCAGCACCTTGGATCCGACCATGCGTAGATGAGAGTCCTGCTCCGGCGATTTGGGAAGCCTGGGACAGCAGTTGCTCTCTTTGATGTTCCTGCTGGCGCTGTGATCCTGGCGGCGAAGGTGATGGCAACGTCCTGGCTGTACGAAGTTCGTCGGGTATCGCCAGGTGATTGACGATCAGTGGCGCCTAAGCATCGGTCAGTCCCCCATCAGATCGAAGTTGAGAAAAGAAATTGTTTAGCCGAGCAGTAACTTTTGGCGTTTGCACCGCAGAGATATAAAAAAGAAGGGCAAAAAAAGGTACAGAAGAACGCCTCCTATGATCGACAATAATGAAAGTATAATAAAGACGATACACATACGGTCTTGGTCTCAGTCAACGCACTAATGATCAGGTTTTTGATGAACACTGGCTTGTCCAGGAGAGGAACATGGTCGTCTAGCAGTCGGTCGACCCACAACCGGAACCGCTGTAGGTCTTGGGAGTCGTGTGCGATAATGAACGCTCGGAAGATCAGGTATGGCTTGGGGTTGGCCGTGCTGAAGAGGTAGTCGAAGACGGGAGGGTATGACATTTTTGACTGAGCTGACCTTGAATGTTGGTTTGTGAGTTCTGAGCTGTGTGGAAGAGGTTCTGTTGGTGAGGCTGTTGTAGATGTTGATGTGAACAAAGAATGGAAGTAGCGATTCTTCTCGAGCTTGCTGAACTGCTTTTTATACCCGTCGAGTTAGTGGCAAATGTTGCGGGTAAAATGTGTGGGAGTATAACCCTTGCTTCTCATATCTTTTCTTTGCGTGTCTTGCCACTCCTTTTTGTGAGCGATTACGAAGAAAAAGGGAAATGAAAGCGGAGGAAACGATCGTGAGTCGAACATGCATGGACGAACGACCAATTGCACTATCTCTGGTATGTTGTTCGTGTCAACTGAGGTCTTCGAAACTAAAGGAAGGTGGTCTAGTTGAGAAAAAGAAGGAGAAGGCATACATGTACTGGACAGAAAGAAAAGGCGATGGGAAGAATGATACAGCAAGAGAGTTGATCGGACGCGCATGGTCAGTGGTTTTTTATTTTACACATCAGCTCCTTTTGTTTCGTGGCATATGCTTCCTCCTTTTTTCCCTTTTTCTACGTTTTGTCTATTCCTTCCTTGCAGAACCCCATTGCCAATCCGCTTACTTCCAATTCACCTATCCACACCCCCAAAGGGCTTCCAATGTCAATCAAAATGACAAAGACGTGGACTAGACGATGAATTAAAATTGAGTTTATCCCCCCACCGAGTTCGTGTGATAGACTTGTACAGAGGTGAACCTTCGTTTTCCTTGTAGTGTTTTTTTCGCCATCGGTGACATGGATGTTCTGAAATGAGAGTGCATGCGTTCGCCATCAGCTTTTTTGAAGAAAAAAAAAGTAAACGTTTTTGAGCGAGGAAATTGAATATCTACCCGTTTTCTCCTGTTTTCCTTTTAGATACACACGCCCAGGGTCATCAGAACGACGCAAATCCGTATCAGTTCGACAAACATAGGTGCCAAGTAAGCAAAAATGGTACATGCATTTTGTCCGCAGAGGGGTTCATTTGCATTGGGCTGGAGTTAAAAAATTCGGTTTCTGTGCAACCATCGAACAAAAACAAAAAAATCGGTCAATGAAACGACGGAATGTTCAGAAAACGGATTTGGATAAAGGGTGGAATCACCTGGAAGGAAATGGCCGTATATGAGAGATCATCGAGGATCGGAGGGTATGCTCAACTCTCCATTCTTGTGCTTTTGTAGGTTGTCAGGTTGCAGCGTTCTCAGAACAATATCATATCAAGCCGCGAACCATCTATATTTTTGTCTTTCGTGTTTTTCCTTTGGCGTCCAATGCAAGTTTTTTTTGGCGAAAGTATCGACGGCATCGATAAGACTTGATCATCAAGTGATTGATTTATCCGTTCCTCGAGTATTCGAAATAAGGACCATCTAGTCGGCTTTTTTGTCTTGAAGAAAGAGACTGGTGTCTGTGGTGTAGTTTTGCCATTGATTTCCATATCACTTCTCCGTCCTGGTGCCTTCAATTGGATACGCCTTCTAAGACAATTTTATTCTGTGACACTCATAACCGTAGGATCTAGCGGGAGATATAACAGAGGAAACGCGATGACTGCAGAGAACCACCCATCGTGCTGATATGTAGGCGACAGCATTGACAAGGTGGAGCGAGGGAAGGAGCCAGGCGCAACTCCGGTGTTGAGCCCAAAGTGGACAAATGTGTAGATCGAATTCCCTGGTACGTAATGGTTGAGGTGTAGTATACATCCGTAACTATTGATGAGAACCTTGTAAGTGACCTGAGCGGCGTTCTGCGCCGCCTTACCATGAACAGGGAGTTGAGGCCATCCACTAACGACTTCCTCCACCATCCTGTTTTTGCGGTTGAGGTATTTGGCACTCATGGTGAGCTGCGAGGCCATTTGTCGCATTTTGTTCGAAAAACACATCGGTGTTCATATTCACAGAACCACACGTTGGCTCAGGAGAAAAGTCCTCAGGCCAAGAAAGGGGGCGATCTTTTTGTTCCTCTGCACTTTGCAAGTTTTGCAAGTTTTTTTTTTTTTGGATACAGCGATATATGTCGATGACTTCCAGTTTGACGCGGATAGTGTAGTAAATCCTGGTCTTCAGAAATGGCATATTTGCTAGGCGGTGGGAGAAGAAGAGAAGGAGTCTCTTGGTTGTTCCTGGCACAGTTCAAAAGACTGACATAACTGCGGTAACGCGTCTCATGAAATTTGTCAAGTTCGACTTTGGTGTATTTTACGCCGGGGTCGTCGTCAACTGGGAGCTGAAGAGGTGTGAAAGGTTCACTGTATTTGGTTGCTTTGTTGGTTCGGGGTTTTTGGCAGCCAGTTGGATGGCGCCTGACAACGCCTGTTTACGCGTCATGGTGTAATGAGAGTTGATTTAAAAGGAGAAAGATGAACCGATCAATTTTTTTTTCTGATGGGGGAAGAATTATCACGTGATTGTATAGTTTGCTCGATTGAATAACAAACTTATTCAGTACTGTACAACGCCCTTGGTGTTCTTTCTTCAAATTTTATGTCTGCGCCTTTTTCTCTTTTCGCCTGTTTCATTCTCTCCCTTCTACCTTCTACCCCTTCCTTTCGCCCAACGTCCTCATCGCACCTTCCCCCAACGTCCTCATCGCACCTTCCCCCAACGTCCTCATCGCACCTTCCCCCAACGTCCTCATCGCACCTTCTCTCCAACTTCCTCAGCACCCTCCATCAACTCGCTTCATTACATTCTCGCTCCTTCCATCAACTTTCTTGACTTGGTTACGCACACGGTGCACTAGGAACACTATTCACACCAACAAACAAAGTAGTTAGAACTTAAAGCCTCGGTTCCCTTTAAGTACGGCGGTAGGAGACAGCATTATTTGCGAGTGTGAGGTTCGACCCGTGAGAGTTCCCTGGAGGATCAACTGAGACCACTGAGCTAAACAGATTATTCTTAACGGTCTTCAACAAACACTCTCAACCTGGACTTGCGGAGGACAAACAGTCAGCCTCGAGATTCTACGATTTTGGACGCTCCAGAAGGTACGACCAAGAATGCCTGGCTCGACAAAGTGTGTCGACTCGTAGCATGTTTACTGACTACTTTTGCGATGAAATTAGACGAGGCAGGCAAACACGCAAGTCTCCTAAGCCCTTCTCCCAACAGGATTCGCATATCAAGATAGAAGCGCTTCATTCCAGGATTTGGACTAGGCGCAAAGAAAGGTTACTCGCCGTCCGTCTGGTACGTCCACCCATTGCAATTGGCCAGTAAAAGTAACAAATTACATGGTCAGAAACCTTGATTAATAGAAGTCTCTTCTCTGAAACAGTCAACTAGGATGTCCTCTTCAACTGCAGGCAACACACTTCGTCACAATGCCCGTTTGAGGATACAGCGTCCAAGCGCAGGAACTGTCAGCGACAATGAAAGTGAGACTCTCAATGTTAGTGATACCCTTTCCTCTTCCTCTAGGCGCTCCTCCGCCTCCTCCGCGCTACGTATCAAGAAGCGCCTCCTGGAAATTTTCGGAGTCGGCCGCAAGACCAAGGACACAGCTCCTGCCCCAACTGCGATAACCGGATCATGGCACTGTGTCGGTGCTTCGTTTTCTGGCATGGATAATATCCCGGTCGCACTTGACCTTGATCCTACAACGTCACATCTTTACAACACTTCATGCGTCAGCGTATCTGTCCGAGCCGCCGCCGCCACAGCAACTCTCCCAACAATACTGATGAACTCAGGCCCCCTCACTCCTGGTCCTTCACTCCTAAAAATCTTTTCCAAGGACGTTGCTCGAATGGCTCTTCCCGCAACCTTCTTACCTAAACACCACGCTCTCATTGACCAGACGTCACAGCTCGCCTACTGCTGCAGCCTAATCGCCAGGTCACACAATGTGCTGATGAATCCCGCAGAGGATATACCCACAACGCCGTTCTTAAACAACAATGAGATAGGTTGGGTCCAAGCGACCGGCCGTGTCGAGAGAGACCAGCTCCGCTGGCTCGTGGACCAGCTGATCAAGGCGTTCTCGGACGACACCCTCAATGAACCTGATGCTGTTTCCGAGATTGTGCTCCTCGGTCCGGTCCTCGATAGCGACACTTATCGCAGTCTGCTCTCATGTTTCATCGCCAAATTCGAGAACACGACTCCGCTCGATGTCAATCTCGTGCAAGGTCTGATCCAGTTGGTCGAATGCGCGTCAATAGGGTACCTTGTCGACAGCGACCTAGTCAGGATCGCTGCTGTCTTGTCGAAGGAACTGGCGGTTACCCGAAATAGCACTAGCGACCATGCATCGCATTTGACGTGGGCTCTTTCTCGCATTCTGGATGTAATGGTTGCCGGCAAGGTTAAAGACCTGAACCGAGAACGAGATCACCAGCTCATGTTGCAGCTCCTGGCCGGTCTGAAGGACAGCAGTGATCCGTACCTCCGAAACCAGGCCGCCTATGCGTATCAAGCCCTCCAGTACGCCTCGGATGACGAAACGCCACTCCAGGTTGTGTTGCGATACGCTCAAGAAGTCCCTTTTGTCGCTTCCGCCACCACTAGCATCTTCAAGTTGGACCCATTGCAGCTGGTCGGCGGTCTGGAGCGTATCTCTCAAATCTGTGGCAGCACTTTTGAGGTGATTAAGACGGGGATCGAAGGCATGAAAACATTTGTGGAGGTTCGAGGGCGATTCACCTCGCTCGCCAAGAGGAAATACCATTCGCTGGAGAAGCACTCCTGGTACCTCGCACTCCAGGTCACTGCTGGAATGATCCAACAAGGTCGACTCGCAGCCTTCAATGACCTTGTTTGGAACGTCCCCTGTCGTCAAGATCGCAACTTTCAATGGGGCGTTTGCCGACAGATCGCCGAGATCGCCGTTGACCCGCTCTGGGATACCGAGGTTGGCGAACAGGCCGTTGCCTTTCTAGGAGAACTGTATAGAAATAATACCCAATGGAAGCCTCATGGAAATGTCCGACGCTGGATACTTACACTCCTGGTCCAGATCTCATCGCTCTCAGTTCCGTGCATCGTACTTCGAGCTCAGGCTCTTTTGCAGGAACTGAATTCTGACGGTATTAGCGAGTTTCCGGGCTCATTCCCGCTGATGCTTCGCCTTCCTTTACCGAGCTCGTGTCCGCTCCTCGTCCAAGTCCAAGATATCCCCAAAGTCGAGTACGACTTGCACAAGTTGAGGAGCCTCAGAATAGACGAGTACAAGCAGTCGGTCTTTATCGCTCCAATGGCCAAACCTAGCCTCCGAGCGTCAGAAGACAAGCTATTCCCTCTGATGGACAAGGTCAAAGAATTCCTGACCAGCGAACGCCAGGTGATGCTGATCCTGGGTGACTCGGGTACCGGCAAGTCGACATTCAATCGGCACCTCGAGAACGAACTCTGGAAGACCTATGAGACCGGAGGCCCTATCCCGCTCTTCGTCAACTTGCCAGCCCTTGAGCGTCCTGATAGGGACTTGGTCGCGGAGCAATTAAGATCGCTCAATTTTTTCGAGACGCAGGTACAGGAACTAAAGCAGCACCGCCAACTCGTACTGATCTGCGATGGCTACGACGAGAGCCAGCTTATGACCAACCTCCATAACACCAACCTCTTGAATCGACCTGGGCAGTGGAGCGCCAAGTTGCTTGTCACCTGTCGCACTCAGTATCTTGGACCTGACTACCACTATCGTTTCGTTCCCGAGGCTGTTGGTCTGTATTATCGTTCCGCCAAACACCTCTATCAGGAAGCCGTCCTCGCACCCTTCACGACAAATCAGATCGAACAGTATGTCGGTGAGTTCGTCTCGCTCGAACCACGTATCTGGGCCAAGGAAGATTATATGCTCAAGCTAATGGCGATCCCCCACCTTATGGACCTGGTCAAGAACCCATTTCTTCTGACGCTGGCGCTGGAGACACTCCCCATAGTTGTTGCGGGCAGAGCCGACCTCTCAACTCTTCGTCTCACTCGAGTCCAACTTTTTGACACCTTTGTGGAACATTGGTTGGAGGTGAACAAGCATCGTCTCTTACGCCAGAGGCTCAGCGAGATCAAGCATGCCTTGCTCAACGATATGCTGGCGAATGGATTCGAACGAGATGGTATTTTTTTTCAGAAACAGCTAGCTGCGGCGATTTTCCGAGAACAGGACGGTATTCCTGTTGTCCATTACTCTCCGGTGGACGATAAAACATCCTGGAAAGAAGAGTTTTTCAGTTCGGAACCGAAAGCCACCTTCCACCGAGATTCAAGTCTGTTGACTCGCGCCGGCAACCACTACCGCTTTGCCCACCGCTCTCTTCTGGAGTATTTTTACTCTCGGGCCATCTGGGACCCATCAAGTACCATCGATGAATTTGCTCCGCACAATTACTTTGACTCTATTGGTGCTCCGCTGCACATTACCGAACATCCGCTGTCCTCAAGAAGCCTTGTCCCAGAGGCTTTGGTCATCCAATTTCTGTCCGAGCGCGTCCAAGTCTCGTCTGCTTTCAAGCATCATCTTGTCGCGCTGATTAGGTTGTCCGTGTCGGACGCTCAGGCGAGCCAAGCAGCAGCGAACGCGATAACGATCTTGGTCAGGGCCGGTATTCGATTCCATGGGGCCGATCTACGGGGCGTCCGTATTCCGGGTGCTGATCTGACAGGCGGGAGATTCGACTCTGCGCTGCTTCAGGGTGCCGACTTGACAAGAGTCAACTTTTCCAAGACGTGGATTCGGCAGGTGGATTTCAGCGGAGCACTGATGAGGGGGACTCGGTTCGGGGAGATGCCCTATTTGGCAATCTCGGTTTTAGCATGTTCATGTGCGTTCTTGCCTGGCGGGAGAATGCTTGCCGTCGGGTCGGATAAGGGCGACATCAGCATCTACGACACTGCAACGGGAAGGCGAGTCGAATACCTTCTACGTCACAGAGATCGGATTACCAGCCTCGCTTTCTCAACTTCTGGTGACCAGATCGTGTCAGGTAGCTGGGATGGGACAGTGATACTGTGGCATCGCAGACCTATTTGTTATTTTGCTGATCGTATTTTGAGGGGACACTCGGACCATGTCAACGACGTAGCATGTTCATCTACTGGCACACAGGTCGCATCAGCCAGCTCCGATAAGTCTGTGAGGCTCTGGAACGCCCGAGATGGTAGCTTGCAATTTGTCTTGCGCGGTCATACACAATGGGTTCAAGGTGTCGCATACTCGCCGGACGGGGACCGCGTCGCATCTTGCAGTCACGATGGAACGATACGGATATTCGACACTCGCACCGGAGAGCCAGTCTTGGTTTCGGACACAAAAGGGGGAATGCTTCAGTGCATTGCATATTCACCTGATGGCCAACGGATTGTTTCTGGCAACGCTCAAGGGACGTTGCAGCTTTGGGACGCAGCCTTACTCGAGATGGTGGCTGAATGGAAGGGCCATGCGAGTCCGATCAATAGTGTCGAGTTTTCTCCAAACAGTCTTGGGATCGTCTCGTGCAGTGGCGATAAGGCGGTGAATCTGTGGGACAGTCAGACTGGCGCGCTTGTTTCGGAGTTTAGAGGTCACTCGGGAGTGGTCTTTGGAAACGTTTTCTCCCCAGATGGATCGAGGATTGCCTCCGCCAGTGAGGACAAGACCGTGCGGCTCTGGGAGGTCAACCCTTATGAATCCGTCGCCTCTGATAGTGTCGTCGAGCCATTGAATAGTGTGACGTTCTCTTCAGACGGTCAATATCTGGTATCTGGCGATCGCAGTGGGATGTTACGACGGTACAGCCCCAAGAGTCTTGACGATCCTGATCTCACTTTTTCGAGCAAATTCAAAAGAGCCCAGTGCATCGCCTACTCTCCAGGCGGCCATCAAATTGCCACTGGAGGCTTTGGTCGCGATGTGATCCTATGGAGCGTCCCACCCGGTCCAGGCCCAGCTCAAGTTGTCCTAACTGGACATACAGGGTACGTGAGGGCTGTACAATTCTCGCCGTGCGGCGACTGGATTGCTTCTGGCGCTGACGACCATACGGTTCGACTCTGGGATTCGCGGACTGGACAACCCAGCCTTGTCCTTTCTGGCCACACAAATCCTGTCTGCAGTGTTGCATTTGCGCCGAGCAGGCATGAGATCGCATCAGGAGATGAGAATGGGGATATTCGCACGTGGGATGTGAACACAGGAAATCCCAAGGCTCTGTTGTCGGCACACTACGGCAGATGTGTTGTTGCTTACATGCCTGGTAGTGATGATATCGTCTCAGCTCATAATTACGGAGACATTCTGAAGTGGGTGCGGGACGGAAACGGCTTTCGCTTCCAAAGCATCATAATTAGAGAAGCTGGAATCTCCCTCTTCGCAATCTCGTCCTGCGGGCAATGGATAGTCACGTCGAGTCACCGATCGCTTCGTCTTTCAAAGTTCACGTCGAGTGAGGTTCAGCAGGACTGGAAGGAGGTGGCGCTCATCAAGGATTTCTTTGGACGTATTGCAGGGATCGCATGGAGGCCCGATAGACTGGAATTTGCCACGGCCTGTGAGGATGGATCCATTCGAATCTGGTCGATTGTGGAGGAGGAGGAGGAACCCTACAAGGTGTCAGTCAAGATGATATGGGATACTGGATTGACTGCCTTCGTTGCGTCTGAAGCGGTTCTTGTCGATACTGTTGGCCTCGACGCGACCGATGAAAGGCTACTTAAGCAACGTGGCGCTGTGGATGTCCTTGTCACTTCGCATGGTGCTTTCGTCCCCTCTACTACGGCAAGCAACTCTTCCGAGGACTCCATTTCTATGTACGACACCGACAGTTTCGTCGACTTTGACTCATCAACTGAAACTGACATCGATGACTAAATACATCGTTGCCATCGAAATAAAAATATAGATGATTAGAAGCAGCAAGATATTTTGATTAAGATTCCTCCGATTTTTTTTTATTTTTTTTTGGTGACGGACTATGAGTACAGTACAGGAAAAAAAAGTTAGAAACGCGGCCTGGATCGTAACAGGATTGTTATTGTCAATTTGTGATCTGCCATGTCGAGCAAAAGGGCTTCTCAAGTAAGATCAAGTCTCCACTGTGGAGCTCTGATGTTTTTTTATTCAACTGTCAATGGAGCCACCTATTAGCCACGTCATTGCTCTTACGATACATGCATACAGGAGTTGAGACGTTTCATCGAAAAAGAAGAGGCTCGTCGAATGGACAATGGCCAGGATTCCCAGGGGCATACAGACGCGCCATTCTGCCATGGGCTCCGCTATGCTACCGCGTCGTATCTTCACCCGTCGTATCCTCGGCCGCCTGGTCAACAATCAAAATACCGTACCGCGGCTCACATCCTAGTCATCGTTATCAACCAATATCATCCATCCCACACACCAAATACGACCTCCGTTATTTCATACGTTGCTTAGCCTCCATATTGGCCTTCCGGTCCGAGCATCAGTACAGGAACCACTATCAAATGCGGTAACTTCTACTACCCCTCCTCCTCATCCACAAGACCCCGCTCTCCTTGGCGTCTCCTTATCACACACAAGATATTTTATCTATCAGCATAGGGTACAAAACACTCCTTGATAGATGAGCGTTGGCGGTACGCGCTGCGTGGGATGAGTTTCACGGCCCTCTCTATCATCTAAGGAGTTAGGACTGTTATTCAAATGATCTGAGGACAAAAAAGCCCATAGTTGTCGACGCGAGTTTGTATCGTTGGTACATTACAAGAAGCAGCAGAACGAGAGAAACGCCCGGCGGAGGTCCTTGTCGACAAATGGACAGAAAGGTTTAGAGGACGGGCCATTAACTCCATTCGGGAGGAATAGAAGTCCCAGCAAAATACAAAGTATAATACTGAACCTAAGCCTGCTTTGCCAGCGTGGACCGCAATATATAGCAATTATCGGTCAAAAATGATGCAGGGCGCTGTGAAAAGCATAGAGTACATATAAGGAGGGATAGGAGTAGGAAGGATCCATAATCCATGATGAATATGAATATCAAATAAGGCGAAGAGATAGTGTAGTAATTCGATAGCACAAGCAACGTAGCATGCCCCTTCAGCGCCAATCCATACCCGTTTACGCCTTAGGACATAGCATTCAGCTCAATATTATTTGATTTCGCCAACACAAAGGGAACTCGGAGTGAGATGGGAAGGATATGGGAGGGACATGGGAGGAGATTCGATAAACATGCTGCATGGTTGTATATATTTCCTTTTTGAGCACCCTGTCAACCACCCCTCTAGTTACACACGCACTCGCCCTTGCTCTTTGCACGTGCCACGTGGTATAAAAGGCGAACTCCCCGGCCAAAACTGTTGTTTTCTTTTCTTTTCTTTCTTCTTCACTCCTCTTCGGCCCCCTCTCTCGTCACTCACCTCTCTCGTCACCCACCTCTCTCGTCACCCACCTCTGCCGTCTGGAACCTGCTGCTGACTTGGTAAGAAGACCACCTTCCTTCCCTTCCCTTTCTTCCCTTTCCTCCCTTTCTAAGGAACGAGGGCGTGTGTATGTGTTTCTCGTTGTATCTCCTCTCCCACGCGTTCTTTCCCGTTCTACTTTCCTTTCCTCGTTGTTGGGTGTCTGTGCATTGTTTTGTCCTAGTTTCTTCTTTCCTTCTTCGTGTTTCTGTGCTGGAGCAGACGCCTTGCATTCTTTTTGTTCCTTCCTCGTCTTTTTCTGTGGGGGTGACCGTTTGCGTTCGCGTTGCCTTCTTCCTTTCTCCCTCTGCCTTCTTTCCTTCCCCAACCATGCCATCCCATTCTCACAGCCAAACACAACCCACTGTCGCGTCAACCTTCTTCACCAACCTTCTTCACCAACACTCCTTGCGCGTCTTATTCGACACATTCTAGACCGTTTCCAGCTCCGTCTGTCTGCTGTTCGTTTCCCGCTCTCTCTCCTTCTCGTCGTGCTCGTGAGCGGTCAGGGCCCAAGGAAACAGGGCTACACTCGAACTAGAGCCTCTTATCCTGGACAGCGACTGGCTGTTTGTTCCTGCGAACTAACAAGAGAATAGGCAAGTTAACATGATTTTCATTTACACCTGTTGGACTTTTTTTCTTTTTCCCTCTGGGGTTATTATCCTGGTGCTGTCCATTTTCCTTTGAGGTGGGCGCCTGCGAAAGAGTGGCTGTTTTTTTTCCATTATATTTTCGTCTGATGGCTGGAAGGGCGTATGGAGTATAGGGGATAGGCAAATGGGATTAAGGTATAACCCGGCAGGCGGCTCGTCGAAAGCACGTCCAGTTGTAGAGTAGACTTGAGCCAGCCTTCGTCTCACAATCGCTAGATTGTCCCGACGATTGTTAATAATGAGTTAAAAGGGAGCAGTTGCGTCGCTGGTGAGCTTCCTCAATATTCCCTCGTTCCTTGGATGGATATGCTAGCGGGAGGTTTGCTTTGCCAAGGATCAACGTGTGTCCGCGATCAGCCTTGCCCACTGGCTTGGTTGACGCTCTGTGGTAAAATGAGCCCGGTTCTTGGTTACTTTTTTGTCTCTCCCCCCCCCTTGCACCATTTACCGCCTGTGGTGTATCTCTTTTTGTTCTCTCGCTTATCCGGCTGGCGAACATCCAGTGAGCAAAGGAGTTCTGGGTATCAGGCGTTTATATTCTGGGATAAGAATGGTTGCTTTTGTGGGTTGTCTAGGATAGTTGGGCTGGCGGTTAAAGATCAGAGGTGTAGGTCTGGCCAATACGGGTTGGCGTGTCTAACTATCCCAAAGTCCACTTCAGAAATTGGGTCAACAGCAGGGAGAAGGAATGTCTTGCTATTGTGCACGTTTTTTGTATGATTTAACTCTGCTAACCTACCTTTTCTATATCTCTATCCTTGTCATCACTATGAGCTGAGCCTACCCCTACCGTCGCTACCGTCGCTACCGTCGCTATCGTCCCCACCGTCCCCACCGTCCCCACCGTCGTCACCGCCCTCACCGTCCCCACCGTCCCCGCCGTCGTGTCTTTCGGTTGAGACCTTCATGATCAGGATTTCGATGCGGATACCTTCGTAGCAGATAATACGTTGTTGAGGAATAAAAAGCCAGGAACAGGATCAGACATGCAATAATCGGATAAGGGTGTTTCTGCTGCTGTGTATGGCGCTGCTAGTGGCATAGCCATATAGAAGGGGGTTAAGAATATCCTCTTCTTTTCAGTTTTCTTTTTTCCACGTATTCTATTACCGATACAGTAATAAAAACAAGGCTATATACGTTTCTGCATACACATCATTGCACATTATTTTGCTCCGCATGGCCCAAAGTTGCTCTTAACAAACAGCTTTCAAATGTATTAGGTTAAAGTTTCAAAGGTGAAAGAGGGCAACATGGAGGGAAAGGTGGTATTCCTGTCGAGTCGTCGCCAGGTGCACCTCTTTTGGTGCCGAGATAGACCGACTTCAAGTGACAAAGACCGATCAATCTCTTGATAACACGATCACATTCTACCTATTCCTGATAATCCTGGTCAAGCAGGCATTCACCTCATCCAGTCCTTGAACCTTCAAATAGAGAGCTTCTGGATCCTGACACGCCCACTCTCTTCAGCCCGCTCAAAGGACTCAACTCTTGCGGCGTAATTTGGAATCGATAGGAACATCAGGTGAGGACATGATCGCATCAACTTGGAAAACATCATGTCCGAAGGATCCAGCTGAGGCGATGGTGGTGGTGTTGGGTTATGGATGATGGTTGGGCTTGAGGTTGCAATGCTGACAAGGATACCGCCACGAGTGGAGCGCGCATGCCTCAAGATCCCAGGCACCATCCCATCAAGACTACACTTATCCTTAGTCTGAATGTGTGGAAACCCGATCCTCTTGATCTTGACGTCCGAGAATGCGCCGGTGAGAAGACTGTTGATCAAGGCCGTGGTTCCCCAGCGGAATTCTAGATTTGTGAGCAATGGGGTATGTGTGTTGACAGCTTGGTGGAGCGACAGGGTGAGGGTTGGTTTTATGTCCGTGTCCTGAAAGTCGATTAGGGAGATCTTCCAGGTTGTGAAGGCTGGGAGGTGCACAAGGTGTGGTGGGGGTGTGAAGTCTAGGTGGTCGAGGTGGAGGGTTTGATGAATTGTCGGAGTTAGGGTGGGGATGCTTGTGCTTGTGAATAGTGAGTGGTGTCTCTGAGGAGGGCGACAGGGGTGAGGTGAAGATGACTTTTGCCAAAGTGAGGTCCGTGAGGTGAGGCGAGTATCGGATTACGTCTGAGAAGGTGCTGTGGTCCATGTCCATCGTCTCCAGCGTTAGGCACCTCGGCGAGTTTGCGGAAGGGTAATCGGAGTGCCGTAGACATCTCGGTCTCAAAAAAAGGTATGGGCAAGCAAGGCAAGATCCCCAGCCCAACAAGTGTCTCAGCACCCACTGCATGTTCAGCGCCCAACTGCCTCAGGCTCAGCAACACCTTTTCAAATGGCTCCCTATCGTGCAAAGTCCTGAGCTGATGCACCATAACACTCCACAGCCGCAGGTAGATAGGCTTGATTTAGAATCGGTACCAAGAGAGGGTTGTCCAGAGGTTGACACCCCACTCGCCATGATGGTTTCTGCTGAGGTTGATTTCTTCAAATGATGAGCAGCGGGTGAAGAGGTCGTATAATCTTTGTTGACTATGGAAGTGACTGAGTGAGAATCGGAAAGTTTTCTTAGCGGTCCCTGTCTCATGAATCGCCTGATGTGTGTAGCCCAGAGCTCTCTTTAATCCCCTTGCCAAGTCGCGATTCTTATCCTGATAGATGTTTTTCATTATTTTTGTTCTTTAGCGAAGGATGGATGTCATCAAAAAGGTAGAGCGATGTTACTGTTCGCTTTCTCTCAGACTTGAATGTATAGGAACAATGGGCCGGTGGATGGCTGACAACGAAGATATAAGCATTGTCCACGTTAGTAAGCATAGCTTTGTTTCTTACGCCCACTCATAGTCTTGACCCTTCGCCATCCCTTATTTTTTCATGTGTCGAGTTAGGTTTTACATTCCCACACCGCCGTTTGAGACTGTAAACCTTATTGGCCTTCTGCATAAGCACAAAGTCGACAAGTCCTACAAAATTGTCTTGGTGACCTTTCTTTTCTTTCTTTCTTTCTTTCTTTCTTTCTTTCTTTCTTTCTTTCTTTCTTTCCTTGTTTTTATTTCTCCTCCCACCACTTCCCACCCCTCCCATACGACGCCGATCATGGGTCTCTTTAGCTCACTCAAAAAGTCAAAGGCGACCACAACAAGTTCACAAGGCACAGGAACAGGAACAGCACCAACAACAACTACAACATCAACCAACACAGCACCACCTCGACCTCAATCACAGAAACCAATCCATGCAGCCCTAGAACTCCCAGAGATCATGCAACGGGCCTTCGATTTTGTCGACGAGTACACTCTCCACCACACCGTCATCCTCGTCTGCCACGACTGGTTCTGGATGAACCAACATCGCATCGTCCGTAAAGTCAATTGGTTCGAGACCTCCAAAACCAGACGACTTGAGAAGGTCGCCTCTCGATTACCCAGGGCCACCCATATGGTCTTGTACACTGTCAGCAATGACAGGATTAGCGAACTGGTCCGGGCGTTGGCAGAGAACCATAGTCGGCAGGTGCGGAGCCAGGAACAGGGGTTGCATGGGCTTTCGGGGCAGGATGCGTATTTCCAACCGACGGCGCCGACAAGTCATCATGGGATGTTGAAGAAGAGGAATCCGCTGCAGATCTCGAGGGTCCTAAGGGATTTGGATGTTACTGGGACAGGGGGGTTGTTTCGGCAGCTGTTGCCGTCGCTCGGGTCGCTGACGGGTTTGAGGGTTCAGTTTATGGGATACGAGGTCTTGGATGTTGATTCGGTGCTGGTGGAATGTCCGAGCCTGGTCTCTCTCCGTTTGGAATCCAGGAAGGAAGAATGTGTTCTTCAATTGTCTAGTACCTTCACCGATGACAGCGCAGCAACCTCACCGCCACGTCTACTGCTCCGAACCTTCATAGTCGAGAACGCTACCATCACTCAACCCTGCCTCGATCATCTCCTCGCAGTCTCCCCTCGTCTCAAGGACCTCCAACTCAGGAACATTTGTCCCAACAAGACCATCTCCGCACCCCAGATCGAGCAGTGGAGCTGGCTGATGACCAAGCTGCCCGCGCACGGGATATCCCTCTCATCGGTCCACTTCTCGGTCAAAAGAGGACAGCCCACGACAGATGAAGAAGCCTACGAGAAGATCTTGATGGTTGCCCCGCGATCACAGGAGTGGGTCTGGAGAGTGACCGACTTCACGCCAGCTCTCACCCATTGTTTGAGCCACCTCCCGAATGTGGTTACCCACCTAGAACTCATTCAGCCGTTCACCGCGTACAGCGATGGGCGTGAGCTCCATCAGTACCTTTGTGCATCCCCCCACCTGCTCCACCTTAAAGCTCTTTACGCTATTGCTATGGTCGATAGGATGGACATCCATGGCCGATGGACTAACCCCTCCGTCGCCCTTCCCATGTCATCAGGGATCTGGGCCTGTCGCAACCTCAGGACCCTCCATATCACCTGCTACGCCATTGGTGCCAACACTCCCGAAGACCGCAAAGGGCGCTCCCGGATTATCTTTGGATACATTTCTCGAGTCCTCCCACGACTTGAGGATTTGACGATCGCAGAGTATTTTGCTTCGAGTCCTTGTCTTTCCTTGGAGTTGCAGGGCGGGTTCTGCCTTCTAGCACGGCTCTCCCAGTTGGCGCACTTGAGGATTGGTGACGATGATATGAAGAAGGTGTTCAAGGCTGCGGATCTGAGGTGGATTGTTCCGAGTGGCCATATCAACGGTGGGAGGATCGAGAGGAGTTATCTTTATCGGACCTGGGGTGACCTACTAGCAGAAGAGGCAAAGACGACTGCAAGGAAGAAGAACGTCCGAGAGGATGATATGACCAAGGATGTCGAGTTGTGGAAGAGTCTGGAGGACTTGGGGCTCTTGCTGGATGTCAAGAAGATGGTGGACGAGATGGAGGCGAATACTGAGGCGTACAAGGGTGGGATGCGAAAACTGCGGGACCTGGCGATTTATAGAAACCCGCTGTCGGGATCCACACGGCCTGAGAAGGAGTACTTGAGGTTGGCGAGTGATAACTTTGAGCTCAAGCGCGAGAGGTGGAGGGATGAAGTTGCTGGTTTAGATGGTAGTCTTGTTCCCGGCTACAGACCAAAAAGCGACTTGAGCGAGCAAGCGCGCCACTTTTCTCTTGGATAGTGTTGTGATATGTTATCAAGTACAGATCAAAAGAGCGAGTAAAGTGAACAAGCATGTTTTTTGTAAAAAGATCAAGTGGGTGTCCTCCTTCTCTTCATTTATTCCACATGCGCATCAAAGGAACAAAGAAAGAAGGGCGTTATGTACAAGTATATATGTTGTGTGTGCCAAAGGAGGTTCTTCTTGCTTCCTAATCCTGATGTCAGCAACGCGCCTTCTCTGCTTCTCTCATTGAATCTACTCGTAGGCATGGTACCAAGAACTCTCGATGACTTCCTCCTTGAGGGCATCGATCTTGAACCAGAGGTAGTCGTGGTTGTTGCGCCACTTGTAAATAAAGTACAAGACCTGAGGTGCGGTGTCGGTGGCTCCAGTGGGCATCATGGTAGTGCTGACATCGCCCAATCCAGCACCGGTAGCAAGGGCATTGGCGTTGTACTGTCCACCGGGACCACCGCCGACCAAGTGGCCGGGCATGTAGGAGGCGTGGAAGGCCTCGTCCATGGTCTCCTTGATATCGTCGGGTTGGCCCATGGTTTGGAGGATGTTGACTGCGGGTGTTCCGGGTGTGCCAAAGTACTCGCCGAGTTTCTATCATAAGCAAAGAGGAAAAAGAAAGGAGAGGTTAGAACTCAGCACGTGCCAAGCATCATCATCATCATCGATCAAAAAGCGTGCCGTCTTTGTTCTTTTTCTCTTGGCAAATTGACATATTAATTGTGTGAACAAAGTGAGAGGTACGACATACCTGGAGGGTCTGGTGCTTTTCGCCGTTAAAGTTGTCGACGCTGGGGTTGGAGTCGCCACCGTCCCAGTGGCCCTTGATTGTGCGGAGGTTCTGGAAGGACTGGCCGAGGGCCTGGAACTCAGAGGAGATGGAAGCCATGTTTGCTTTAGTTGTTGCTGTGCTGGTGGTGGTGATGAGTTCGAGGAGGAGGAAAGTGAGAACAAGGGAACGAATGAGTCGCGCCGTTTTGGAAATGGTCTTTTTTGGTGAAAAGGGTGGGTGTGAGAGTTTGGTTGCAGTGGGGAGGAGGAAGAGGAGTGAATGTGCTTGGTTTGAAGTAGCATGGGAAAAAGAAGGAGGAAAAGAAAAAAAGCGACACTCTTATTTCCCAAGGTTACCCAATGATCCAATGACGCAGTGGCTGCATGCATGGATCAGGTGACATAATGCACAAGGTGTTCCTCTTCAAAGAAGGAACTTTGTCTTTTTTTTGTTCATGAACAACGCACAAGAGGACATGCGATGCTGCTGATCAACAACGACAACAGCAACAACACACCCGGCGAACAGAAGCAAAGGACGCCAATCGAGCGCGTGCTCGATATCCCTGAGCTATGGTCAACCATCCTATCCTACCTCAACCAAAAGCGCTTCCGTCGACTACGCCTCGTCTCCAAACGCATCTATCTCGCTTGCACACCCCACATCCACGTCAGTCTAACCCTCGCCAGCCAGAAACACGTCGATGTCGCCTGGGATCAAGACTTTCCTTCAAACCTCGTCTCTTCCCTCCGCATCGTCTCCATCGACCAGTTCTCGCCTGCACTCACCCACCTCCTTGACCAATGCACCAATATCTCCACTCTCGACATCAACGTGTTTGGGCTCGACATTGATTTCTTACAGGAGCTGCTGGATTACTGCCCTCGACACCTCAAGAATCTGGTCATCCGGTCCGAGGGCTTTGTTTCTCTAGAGTCCATTGTCGAGACCTTTCTTCAGTCGACTACTATTGCCCGACAGATCCAGTCATTGGCGCTTGACATTGGGAGTACTGGACTCTTTGAGACGGATGCGCTCTCCTGGACCATCTTTCGGTCTCTACTCGACACCTGCAGATCTCTCACATCGCTCTCTCTATCAGCGGTCAAGGTGATGGACATACCGGAATCACTCGAGGAGATCAACCCATTGCACGCAACAAAGGCCACGTTTCCCAACCTGGTTTCCCTCGCCATGACCCTGTGCGATATTTCAAGCGTTGGGCGGATACGATTGTTGAGGATGTTCCCTAACCTACACACGCTGGACATGACATGTCGCAACGACGTCTTTCAAACTGTCGGGGAGGAATCCGTCGACAACTCATCGGCGGCACTCGAGCTGAATTATCAAGATCTGTGCGAACAATTGAGGAATGTCCATGTGAGTAGTCGGTCCCAGTCAGAGCAAGAAGGTCTCTTCAGGTTCCTGGGACATTTGCGGCACTTGGAGAGACTGGAACTATCAGGATTGGCGACTCCGGGAGCAAGGTTACTGGACTTGGCGGAGGGATGGAGTCGCAACAAGGTGTCGTTGAAGCAGCTGATATTGAGTCCAAAGTACCGCAAGCTGACCGAGGAAGAGCTTGAGAAGGTGCTCTTGAAGCCATGTTTTTCAAAGCTGGAAGTTCTGGATGCCTGGTGCGGACCCGATCTGATTCTACGGTTCTGGAACCACGAGACCCAACGATCCCAATTGCCGTTCCTGGAGACTCTCCGAGCATTGCATCTGAGAAAGGAAGATGTGGTGTCGGACCTGGACGATGGTGCTATGGAGGCACTGAACATGACACTGAAGCAGTTACCGAGGTTGGTCGATCTGACAGTGGGCACCAAATTAGAGGACTTTGGAGTGTTTCAGGGGATGGGACGAGATCCGGAGGTGTTGTTGCCAGATCCACGGACGGTTGTGTATACGGGACCTGGTGCTGTGGACTGGTCGGGTGAACGACCGTTCCTGCAGACACTTGTGATTGGATGCAGCTCCGAGTTCTTCCACCACCGAATGAGTGATATCCCACGGCAGGTTGGAAAGCGCTTCCGGTTCCTTGAGGACTTCAAGTTCACTGGATTCACTTGAGTAAATAAACCACCATGATTATTATCATTACAGTCTTAGGTTAAATACTAAGTTGTCTTTGACGGTGCAAGTTGGCAAGGTTAAGGGGCATGGAGCTAGTTCACAAGCGATTGGCATGCAGGTTTTGCCAAATTTCATTTTTAGCATTCAATCGCTTCTTCCTCCTAACGAACTCTGTCACTTCACTCTGGCCTGGACCCTTCCTCCCCCACTGTCCCTTACTTGACACCACATACTCTTCAGGACCTTACACTTCAGCCTTCCCCCTCAGTCTGTGTTGCCCCTTACTTCTTCTTCTTTCATCCGACAAGCAAACAAACACATCACACTCACTCATTTACTTCCCTCTCTAACCGCACACAAGCGCACAAGGAGAGAACATACAGCAATGGTCTCATTCAGAGCGGGTACAAGTGCCATCCTGGCCACAACCCTCCTCGCTACCCTCTCATCCCTCTCATCCACAGCCTCAGCATTCTACATTCCAGGACTCAGTCCAACAGTCTTCCACAACGGCGACCGTGTACCACTGTTCGTCAACAAGATCTTTTCCGAAAAGTCGCCCTTACCCTTTGCCTATGCTGATCTTCCCTTTGTGTGCGAGCCACCCAAGGACGCCAAGCGGGCATGGCTCAACCTGGGTGAAGTTCTGAGAGGCGATCGTATCTTGACCTCTGACTATGAGGTACGCCTGTGTGCCATTCGATTGAAGTGCTTTGAAGGAAAAAGGATAAGAGAATAAGCAAGAGGAGATAGGGTGTAACAAGCTGAGTCCATTGATTCCATTGAGATCTATATTTGTGTTTTTGTTTGGTCCGTATCTTTCTTTTCCCTGTGCTCACCAATTGCCCCTTTCGTCCATACTACTACTTTACATTAACAGCTGGTGGTAGGCAAGGATATCAAGTGCCAGACCCTCTGCGTCAAGAGTGTCTCCGCGGAGGATGCCGCCCTTGCAGCCAGCTACATCGCAAACGACTACAACGTCGAATGGTAAATATATCACTCTGCCCTGTTCTGGACCATTTGGTCCGCTATTAACAATTGATCAATTGATCTAACCTTACTTGTGTTGGATACTAATCAACCTTCTAGGATCGTGGACAACTTGCCTGGAGCAACAAAGTACAATCTGGGAGACGGACAGGCACACCAGCAACGGCGATACAGGGCTGGGTTCCCCTTGGGCAAAGTCAAATGGGTACGGAGAACATACCACACCTTGGCACAATATACACATACACGGATGGAGAGTTCATGAAGTACCTAACATTTTTATTTATCTTCTCTGTGCAACATGAATGAAACAAAAACATAGTCCAAGAGCAACATCCACAACCACGTTACGATCCGCATTCTCTACCATAACCAGCCAGGACAAACAGGCGGAAAGTTGATCGTTGGCTTTGAGGTCAACCCATACTCGTAAGGATCAGAATCAGGGAGAAAGAGGAGAAGGGTGAAAAAGGGACTTTCATATCCATCGCAGACTCTGTATCTCAGATGAAGCAACTGGGAAACTAACCACAATCCCTTTGATTATCGACGGAATAGGATCGACCAGGGTGATTCATGCCCTGAAGACCCTCTCAAGGTTGGAGCGTTCAAGGTGGTGTCGGACAAGGAGGTCGAGATCCAGTACACCTACTCTGTTCAGTGGATTGAGGACAAGGAAGTCACTTGGGACAATCGCTGGAATCTGTACCTGGTTAAGACTGGCACCGAAGTGCACTGGTACTCGATCGTCAACTCGATTGTCATCATGTTGTTCTTGACCGGTGTTGTGGCCATTATTATCCTCAAGACCCTCAAGAAGGATATTGCCATCTACAACGAGGAGGAGATGAAGGACGACCAGGACGACGGATCAGGATGGAAGTTGGTTCAAGGCGATGTTTTCAGGACACCCCAGTACTCTTCAATCCTCTGCGCCATCCTTGGAACCGGTGTCCAAATCATTGTCATGGCCATCTCTACCATTCGTAAGTGCACAGGGGTATTTGGTACAGGATGGACCTGGGCGTCATGTAGGATAGAGGGAAGGAAACTGACGTTGCATTATTTATATTCGCATTTACGTAATAGTGTTTGCTGTTGTTGGTATTTTGAACCCATCGTACAGAGGAGGATTTGTTTCTTTCGGCCTATTCCTCTTTGTCTTTGCCGGGTAAGAGACAGAACTACGTTCAACTTATAGCTGCTGAAACCATTATTGTTCCGGAGTTCTACTCAGTAGTTACTAACCTCATGCATCACTTCGTCTTTGTAGAGCGTTTGCGGGATACTACTCGGCTCGCTTGTACAAGGTGTTCAAGGGCACTTCATGGACCAAGAATGCTATTGTTACGGCGACTCTTGTTCCGGGATTCTTGATGACCTTGGTGTTCTTGCTGAACATGTTTGTCTGGTCCAAGAACTCTTCCAACGCCATCCCCTTTGGTACTTTCTTTGCCCTGGTGGTGATGTGGTTTGGTATCTCTCTTCCTCTGTCGTTGGTCGGCGCTTTCTTTGGTCAGCGCAAGGCTGTCATTGAGCATCCCGGACGTACCAACCAGATCCCTCGTCAGATCCCCGAACCTTTGTGGTACATGAAGCCCCGCATCACGTAAGTGCTCTTTGGCGTGACTACTGCTCATTATTGCTTTGGGCGTAAACCACAGCATTCATGTTGCTCTTTCATCACGACAGAGGGCTAATTGTTTCGCCCAATTTCTTCCTCTTTCTAAAATTCGGAAAAACTTAGGGTTGCACTGGGAGGCTTGTTGCCGTTTGCAGTCATCTTTATTGAGCTGTTCTATATCCTCAAGTCGGTCTGGGAGGGTCAATATTACTACATGTTTGGATTCTTGAGTCTTGTGTTTGCCATCCTGCTGGTGACCTGCGTCGAGATTTCCATCATTGTCGTCTACTTCCAGCTCTGCAGCGAGGTAAGCGAAAACGATTGGTTTGTTCGTTAAAAAGGAGGACTGCATGAACGTTCTTTTTTTTCAATAGTTCCTTTGTTGACTTTGGATCCTTTCCTTTTTCTCTTTCTGCTAGGATTACAACTGGTGGTGGCAAAGTTTCTTTGCTTCGTCGTTCTCATCGTTCTACATCTTTTTGTACAGCATGGTGTTTTTCACCAAGCAGCTGTCGATCGACCACTTTGTGCCTGGTCTGATCTACTTCACCAACACTGTCATGATCTGTATTATCTATGGTCTCTTGACGGGCACAACGGGGTTTATTAGTTCGTACTGGTTCATCCGTCGTATCTACTCTGCTGTTAAGATTGACTAGAAAGTAGATACTGTGTGTATGTTTGGTGAGCACATCGAGAACAATTAGAATGTTAGTGTCATGCATTAGAATCATTACAGCTGGAAAAAATTGACCTATACTCGCCTCTTGGTTGGTTGGCGCTTGAAGACAGTTCCCGCCCCCTGTCCCTTTTTTTTTTTAATTGTTATGTTATGTGCGGATGGGGCCACAAGGGGGCTAGGTATTTCTCAACTTCCCACCTAACAGTCGTGTTTTTGTTAACCCTGACTGGACGTATAAAGAACAGGTGCCGGAGAGAACTCTCTTTGTCACCCCCCCAACTATTGCTTAACCTTCCCCCCTATACCGCTATTGCTTTTCCATCTTCTTCCTCCCTCCTTCCCTCCCAATCTCCTTTCCCACTCCAGTCTCCTCGTTCCTAATAATGAGTTTAACAAGTTCAACAATAATCGAAGCTTCTGCCGTAGGTAGATTCAGCTACACATTCCCCACCAGCACCAACTCCTATCCACCCAACCCCAGCAACAAGGCCATGACAGACTTGGATAACAAGCCTCCAGGCTACCAACGGTCAATCATCATCCTTATCGCCTTCAGCTGTCTAGTCCTGCTCGGTACTGTCTTCGGTAGCGCCTTATATTGGTACCGGTACCGGGCCAAGTGGCGGATGGAGGAGAAGGAGGCCTTTGAGATTGTTTATCCGAGTAATAAGGCTCAGGTGGGGAACAGTCGTGGCTTTGAGGGTGATGGTGTGGGTGATGGAGAGGGTGAGGGTGGTGAGGTGGTTAAGAGTAGGTGGTCGGTGAGGGGGCTTGAGAGTGCAATGGTGGTGGTGGAGGAGAAGGAGGCTAAGAAGGCCTTTTCTGGTCATCAGGTATCGAATAACAGCATCAACGATAACAATAGACCGCAGAGTCTGCAACTACCACAACAACAACTATTGCAGCAACGACAAGCTAATGAAATGGTGGAGAAGGAGGAGAAGGAGGTGGTCAAAATCGAGATTGCACCGGGTCAGAGTAACGCGTTGGAGGCCGAGCGGTGGATGGAGGAGGATCGACAGCGGTACCAGGAGTTGAGCGAGCTGATCAAGAGCCCCATCTTAATCCAGCAACATGAGGCGCTCCTTCTCCAACAACCCTTTCAACCACAGTCTCCGGTCGGTCGATCTCTGCAATCTCAGTCTCTTCAGTCTCAACAACAGATCCTTCTTCAGCAAGAATTCCTTCTTCAACAGTATCAACACTTGCAAGAACAGCATCAACAGGAGCAACACCAACGACAACAGGAACAACTACAACAACAGCAACACAAGGAACAACAAGGGACACCTACTCGCAAGCCCTGGCATCTCCCATTGGGTCTTTACGATCAATTGTTTCGAAAGAAAAGCAGAGCGGCGCTATCGAGGGCGAGTTCAAAGTGGGAAGGTGGTATGGACAGTTTATCCCCCACCCTATCGACGTCGCATCCGCCATCGCCATCCCTATTGACATTGTCGGCTGCACCAAGCGCGGTGAGCATGATGCCGTTCTCTGTTGGTGATGGCGTTCGTCCGAACACCTCTCATCCGCCTCTTGGGCTCAGCCGCCTCACAATCGTTAATACTCCCTTGTACCCTTCGCCTCCTTCTGTTACTCCTCCTACGGCAACACCTGTTCGCCCCTTTCGAATCAAGATTGGTGAGGCCCACTATTGTTTGACACCCGATTCGACAACCCCTTCCCCCTCGTCATCATCAGCGCCCAGGTCATCCTCGTCTACAGTCGTCGCTTCTTCCTCCCTCCAGCTATCCTTGCGCTCCGCCCCGATCAATATGGATTCTCCAACTCAGCCTTGGAAGAACGTATCTGAGTTTGCCTTCCCGACGCCGCTGTTGACCTCGTCATTGAGCATCTCCGATGGTGGTGGTGGTGTTCGGACTCCACAGACTGTGTCGCCGATCGAGAACGGGCCGATCCCGCGTGGAGTCAGTAAGCGAACTGTGCATGCCTGTGTTATGCCACCTCAAGCAGAGGACGGGGAAGAGGCAAAGGATGGGGGAGAGAAGGAGAAGGAGAGGGAGTTGGAGGAGTCGGTCATGTCGCCTACGCTTCCCCTATCTTCAACCCAGTTCCGACGCTTCTACGACCTTGAGATCGACTAGTCATGACCATAGCGGGTGTGTGGCTTTAGATAGCGTTTTGCACCAACATTTTTTTCAATGAAATGAGTGGTTCAACGATAGATGTGGGTGACTGTTTTGAAGAGCAGAGCCATTTTTTGGTGGCAAAAGTCAAAAGTCGATCAGAGAGAGAGAGAGAGAGAGCCCGCAGGGGGCGTATTTACATCATGGGATGGTGATGATGGATCGATATGCCCGAATCGTTGGGTCAGGATGGACAGACTTGTAAGCGATGGTCAATTGAGTGTGAGTGAAGGGAGTGAAGGGTGTGAGGATAGCGGAATGGATAAAAGAGGTTACCAAGAAAAGAGGAGAAAGGAAAAAAAAATAATATTGTCTCAGGCGTTTGTTGTTGTGCATTAAGCAGCGACGACGTGGTTGTTTCAACCAACGAGCACATTTAAAAGGGGGCACAACACACAACTCGGACAGACAGACAGTCGATCGAAAGCCATTCTCCCACCCAGCCTCCAACCCGGTGCTGCTGCCCAACGACATACACAAACACAGGCGCACCTTCTTCTCTTTGCTAACCACTCCTTTCGCTCCCTCTTTTCCCTTAATAACGAGTCTCCTTTATCGCCACTGAAAACAACCCTCTTTTTTCTACTCTTCCCTCCTTCCTTACTTTTTTTATTCCCTCACCTCACCCTCCTTTCGTCTCCCGGGAATCGCCCCCACCTCTCCTCGGCTTGCTCATTCACTCATCCTCCTCCTCCTCCTCCATTCCGTCATTGTCAATTCCTTTGTTGTGAATCTGTCACTCTTCACCTTTACTCGTCCGACATTCAAGATCAACACCCTCACACTCCATCGCCACAAGGTAAAAACAATTTTATTTACTCTGTTCACACCCATGCAGGATACAAACGGTGGCGCTGTGCGGAGGCGTAGAACAATTGACAAACAGAGAAAGAGAGCTCTCACAGAGACAAAAGAGTGACAGAGAACACAGCGTCTGCTGTCGATCAATATCTACACCAACAGCCGTTTTACATGTTTCTCCACCTTCCTCCCGCTACTGTTTCCTCCTTCATCCTCTCCTCTCTTTTCTGTCTCTGTATCTTGCCCTGTGTCCAAGACACAAAACTATCAACAGCCGATCCAGCGACAGGGTTTAAGTCTGAATTTTATCATTCTTTGCGAGCATCGATGCACGACAAGGAGGGGGGGGCTCGTCAATACCTTATTCACACCCACTTCCCTACACCCCCTCCAATCAGCCACGCTTCTTGCACGTTCCTGCACTCCTGCTTTCATATGGATTCACAAAAGACGGCGATGGCAGAGGAAGGAGCGACAAAAATAACGAAAAGAGAGTCGGAATGATCTCAGGTTTCTCAACTGTCTCCCCCCCTCCTCCCTTCTTTCGTCATAGGGCGTTGTTGATTTTTTGTCGGCTTCTGGCAGAGAAGATAGAAGATAAGGTTGTTGATGGTTGGTTACTGTGCGAACGTTTGTGGGTAGAGACGGCGTTTGTTGAATGAGAGAGGGATGAGAGAGTACAAAGAAAAAGTTTATTTGGAGGGAAGGAACGATGAGGGCTCTCGAGTCGCATGGACTGAGAGAGCATCGAGAAATCAAAGAAAAAAGAGGGAAGACAACAGCCCTGACATAACCCAGTTGTAAAACGGTATCTCATCCAGGACTCTACCGAACCAATTTACACTCATCTTGCCACAATGGTCATTGAAAGGGACACGAAGGAGGGAATGGTGATGATGTCTGAGATACGCTCTTTGCATTTGTTGCTGTTGTTGTAGTGTGTGTGCTTGCACTCATTTGCCCGCATTCTCGCCATGGGGCCAATGGCCCAAATCCTTAGCTCCGTTGGGGCTAGTGTAATCTGGTTTCTGTTTGGGTCATCAAGCTGGTGCGACTCAACGAACGAGAAACGTTGGAGTATTTGTCTGTCTGTTCCTGAATATCTCTCACTCATTGAGCATGAATTGCAAAAAAGAGCTGGTGGGTTGATACTTGTTTGTTGACAAAAAAAGACCTCTTCTCTCCCCCTAAAAACTCATCGGTGGGCATGCTTATATCTTGATGCAGGCACCGATCGCCCTCCGGTCTTGTACTTTAGACACCGTACTCCCATTCTCAATGATTTTGTCATTCATGTCTTCACTCACTCACCTTTTCTCTTCTTGTTATCATTGTCGACATAGTGATGAACTCCTAGGGGCTCAACTACTCCAATAATCAAACACAACAACTCCTTCAACGCACACACAAGGATTGATACCAACATGGATAGCAAAGAGCTACTGCCAAGGCAACAGGATGAATTGCTGTCGGAACATCTCTCGGGTGTTGGAGGATACCCTGCTGCCTCTCGAAGATCTTCACAGTCTCTGACATCACCCCCACAGGCACAGGCTATGTCCCAGCAGCAATTGTACGCGGTGCTCCATCAACAGCAGCAACAGGAGCAGCAGCAACAAGAGCAGCAGCAACAACAAGAGCAACGGCAACAGCAAGACCAACGGCAGGAGCAGCTGCAACAACATCGGTTTCAGCATTCTTGGTCACAACAACCGCTTCCACAACAAGCACAAGCACACCAAGCCTATCAACAGCAGCAACAATACCGGCAGCAATCATATCCACCACCACATCCATCCAGGAACCAGGAAGGGCTCTATATTTCGGATCTTCAACGACACAATTCGACGGCATCTGCAAGAGGACCAATGTCAACTGGCTACCAAGGTTACGGACCGCCAATGATGTCACCCATGAAACAGCAGGATGCATTTCGTCCCATGCCAAACATGCAGGGTGGTCGGTCTCCAGTCATGAGGTCCAGCAGCATGTATGTCGCCAACACAGGGCCACCTGGCGGTTTGCGTTACCAGCCCTCGATGTTTCGTCCTCAGCCCCCACGAAACACCGAATCTGCATACCCCGAGCAACAGCAGCAGAGGCAGTACGAGCATTTCGAACAGCAGGCACGCTACTACCGAGATGCCAGTCCCTCAACCGCCAACGCTCAGGATCAGTCCCCGCCTCAGCCTCCACGCGGCGCCGATCCATATGGAGCGCCATATCGACATTTGACTTACCATGGAGTGTACGCTGGACAACCTCAGCCTCGACCACCTCTTAACCCTCGACAGCAACAAATTCAACAGCTTCAGGCTCAGCGGTCACTCAACCTCGGTTATTTGGGACCAAATCGCTTCTCTATCGCATCCCGAGATCAGCTTCCCACAGCACCCTCGCCATCAGTTTTTTCGGCCACCCAGCCTGAACCCAAATATCCAGAAGCGCTAGGCCCATCAACCAAACCTGCAGAAGAGAGCGATGCTGGATCGAATTCACACCCTTCCGCCTCAACGGATTCGCTCGCACTGTCAGAGTCGGGAATTGTCACAGGGCCGTCACATGAGCCTTACCGTAGAGGCAACCGCCGCAACAGTATCTACTCTACATATTCGGTTGGATCTCCTGTGACATCAGAGAGGGTTCTTCGGCCCATGTCGGCTGTGGTCGAGCCCAGTCCACGGTTCGTAGTTTCACCAAACAACACTCACAGCGCAGTTGGTGCTTCTCACAGCTCACTTGCGGGATCAGGATCGGACCCTCATTGGAGTACGGCAACCCCAAGTCACGGAGGAGGAAACTCTGTCCTTTTGCAGGCCAAGGCACGAGCTGCTCAGTCGAACGCATGCTACTCTCACCAAGTAACTCTGTCGTCGATCCCAAGCAACGAGGAGGTGCCACCTATGCCGGGAAAGATGACTTCCAAGACAGGCAAAGTACGGATCCAGCTTACGTTCGACCGACCGTTTTTCAATGCAGGAGGCGAGCTTTCGGGACGTTTGGAGATTCAATGCTCTTCCTCTCGGTCTGTGATGCTGGCCGACATGATTATCGAGTTGGTTGGATACGAAGGTACATGGTCATTGCATACTCGTTATAGTTGTTTTATGGTATTGTTTTGCGGAGATAATTAATTCCTCGTGCTGTTCGTTGTTATAGCATTGGCCAAGGATCATTTCGTGCCAAAGATATTTCACAAGACCGTGTTACGGCTACAGGACATCCGGCACCCCTCACAGGCTGTACAAGAGAATATCGAGCCAGGTTAGTCACTTTTACTTTTCGGCTGCAATGTCCTTGTATTTTACAGCTTCACTATACCAAAACATACCAAACTCACCACACTTGCGATGGATAGATGCTGACGGCTACTGGTTGGCACGAAAGGGGCGCACCATCTTTCCTTTCCGGCTCAGTATCCAGGACTCCCTACCCAACTCCTACGATTCGAAACTAGGTCAAGTCCGCTATATCGTCTCAGCGTAAGTTCTTGTCCACCTTTGAGTGAGCAATGCCTGGTATTAATAAGGTATTTCCAGTGCAATTCGCTAACATAACTTCCAATGTGATGATTGGTCCTATTGTAGAATTGCGGTAATGAAGGCGAACCAGAGCAGGGAGGTTGTGAACCATACCCGCGAGTGCTTTATTTATGAGACCTGGACGACAGATGATATCACAGAGGCCCGACGCAAGTCCGTCAAGGCCGACACAAGCAAGCGGTTATTCATGGGAGGAGAGGGCAGCCTGGAGTTGTATGCTGAGCTGACTCGCACTATGGTCAGCTCCGGGGGTATCGTCTATGTCAACGTTGGCGTCAAAAACCTCACCAAGAAGAAGGTATGTTCATATATTGTTTCCAGCACCACTGTGGTTGCTACATGTATTCTATTCGCTGCTCTAACCAATGCACGCATTTCAATGCGAAATAGATCATGGGGATCAAGCTGTCGCTTTGGAGACATATCGCCGCATCACACTCGCGGTCAAGCTTCAGCAGTCACTCTTCGACGCCTAGTTCTCGGGACCAGGACAATATCAAAAACTATAGCGAGATCATTTACAAGGGTGAGGATTTTGCGTTCGACAATGACGATCCTAGGGTCGTCGTCTTGCCTGTCTACATCCCCTCGGGAGTTTACTCGTTGCGTCATACCTCCTATCTCCACGTTCAGTTCTTTGTCCAAGTCAGTTTGATGGCATCAATGAGCAAGGCCTTGGCAGTGGAGTTACCGATCTATATCGCCCACGCCTCGTCCTGGTCTGACCCTCCGCCCAGGATACCCCGCGATTTCACATTCCCAGTGCATGAGGACGAGCCCGTCAAGAAGAACAAGACTGGGGTGTTTTCCAAGATGAAGACTAACTCGCTCCCCACTCACCAGAATGGATTCGTAAACAGCTCCGGATTGAAAAAGTCGAGCGGCCTTAATGGAAGCACTAGCAATCTCAACGGCGTTGCCTCTGCTGCTTCGAGCAAATCTGGAGCGTCATCTGAAGCGACTACGTTGAAGAACGAAAGTTTACATCCCTCGACGCGCCGTTCCAGACTCAAGGATCCTGATTCTCCGACGAGTGTTCTCGACTTTTCTCAAGCTGGCAACCTCTTTGTTGTCAATCCTGATGCTGCCAGTATTTCTGCTAGCTCTGAGTCTGGATCTGCCCTGAAGAAGTCCATATTATCACGTCCTCCGCCCCTCCCAATCACATATGACCCAGAATCACGACCATCGTCAACCGAGAAATCGCCACTGATGCTCGTTGATACTTTGTCGCCCAAGACCACCGAGGAAGCTGAGATGGAGCATTTTACAAAGGAAGAGGATGAAGAACAGGATTTCGACATGAGCCGAGCAACCAGCCTCACTAAGCGCAATAGTGACAAGTCGGACAGGTCTAACAAGTCGGACAAGTCGGACAAGTCGGACAAGTCTAACAAGTCGGACAAGTCTAACAAGTCGGAAAAGTCTAACAAGTCGGACAAGTCAAACAAGTCGGGCAAGATGGGTCTACGGAAAACTCTTGCGAAGCTGTCGATCGCCATTCCTTCTCACAGCAGTTCCACCCATCACTCGGGCATGTCCAATAGCTCCAAGGTCAGTCCACGCGTACTACCAACCACTCCTCGGTCGTCCAAGAGTCTTACCTTGACGAGCTCGGAAGAGACGGGGTCTCCGAGAAGCGATCATGGAGACAGGTCGTTGTCGCGCAAGTCAAGTAGCTCTAGTATGGGGTCCTTCACACACGGCTTTGAAAGGCACTCCTGCAAGTCGAGTACGGTATCTACAAGGGTTGTCAACATTTCGCCTGGATCTGGTTCCACCGAGTCTGGTTCTCTGCTCTTGTCCAAGATGTCGTCCTCGAGCAACGGATCCGCCCCACAGTCCAACACAACCTCAGCCAACCCTTCGCGATCGTCTTCGCCTGCACTTCCTTCTGCATCCTCGAGTGCTGCTGACAGCACTGAGGAGCCCAACATGCGAGAACGGCTTCACGAGATTGGTCAACTGGCCATGACGCCCGCCGTTCCAGATGTTCGGTTGCACCGCGGCACTCCCATTATGGAGGAGATGGGTCGGGAGGGTTATTTCGAGGCAAGCGACGATCAGCAGCAGTCCCGACCGACAACACCAGGTCCTTCCGAGAACCAGTTCATGACCCTCCAGTCCTCCCCAGCTACGCCCAACTCTGCTAATCGTCCATGGGATATGCCTCGCAACTTTTCGACCACCAGTTTGGCTTCTTCGTTACACTCCGAGGGCGGTCAGTGCGCACAGGAGATCCGTGACGAGTACTATTATGGACGGGGTAGTCGTTCGAGGAACATGTCCATCGAGTCTTTGGATACACTGATTGCACCCCCACAAGTTGGCAGGGCCGCGAAGAATGATGACGCTGAGTTGTACACGACGAATGACGAGATCTATGACGACTCTTCAGTTCCAGTGCCACAGGGCCATGGCCACGGTTTGGAGGCGAGCCGGGGAATTTATGGATCGATAGCTCAACAGCAAGCCCCTACGTGTGATGGGGTTGGAGATGGGCACCTGGCTGAGCACCGCGTTGTTCAGCATGCCATGTCACACCAACAGCAGCAACTCCAGCAAGAGCGAGTCCAGCATCTCGAGTATCAACAACAACAGCAACAGCAGCAACAGCAGCTCCATCACCAACAAAATCCCCAGTACCAGCAGCCACAGCAAGTCGATCAGCAGCAACAGCAGGGATGGATTAGCGGGAGATACGAGGAACCCGCCACAGCCCCCGCTACCACTCAATCGCCTGCAGACCTCATGTTGAACCAGCACCCAGGCATGGAAGGGTACGCTTCGATCACACCTTCCGCTCAACATTCACCTGTTCGTCTGAATGAGGTGCCTACTGGCCCTATTTTCCAACGCGTCCAAAGCCCCGAGGCATTTTACGGTGGTGAAGAGTACGTTCGTCCACTTCAGGCACGAACTCTCAGCCATCATTCTTCGCGGCCTCATTCACGTACGTCATCAAGTCATTCTATCGTTTATCAAACCCCTGGCGACCTAAGCGGGGTTTCAACACCAAGATCAGCCATTTCGCTCCAGCAGATGGAGAATATGTCGCGATCATCATCTCCAATGGTTCGGGACCCAATCCTCAGGAACACCAGCATGGAGAACGTTGTTAAATTTGAGAGATCGAACTCAGGAGCACTCTCGCATACTTATCAGCAACAATCACCGATGTCTCAGGAACTACAGTCGACTGTATCGAGGGAAGGTCAGTTTACACCCGAGATCTATTCTACGCCCATGTTGAGCCAGAACGAGCCTATGATGGAGAGCAGCAACATCAACAACAGCGGTGGTCTTGGCGGCACCTACTCTCTTTCACCCGCCACTGGCCTCTCACAGCCAACAACTCCATTGTCAACCTCGACTTCGTTCCAGTCCGACAACCTTCGCTTGACACCTAGCGATTTGGGTGTCAGTATGCAACTCGGTGGAGGCGGTGTGAGGGATCAGCAACAGCAACAGTTCCATTCACAGGGTTCAGGTGCGACAGGGTATTCAGGAGCGCCTGTCTACCGTGAGGGCAAGTACAGCACAGCCCTCCAGCCAGACGTTTATAGCCCACACCCGAGTCGATCCAACTCTCGTCAGATCTCACCCAAGCAATGGCATGCTGAGGTTCTTCTCCCCGCCCAACATGCCGTCGTTCCTCCACAGCGGCAACAGCAGCAGTCAGTCGAGGCGATGCCAGTTCAGGTCGTCGTGCAACAGATGACTGTTCCTCGGCAGCCTTCTTTGGATCCTATGACTGCCCCCAGGCAAGTGAGCATCCCAAGTCTGAAGGAGCAGGATGGCGAGCATCAGATTGTCGTTGACGCATCCAAGCCCCCAGGAGTCGCGTACCAGGCGGTGGTGGATTACCAGGCTGGAGAGATGCAGGTGGCGACTCCAGCCCTGACAGTTGATCAGCAGTCACAGTTTGAGAGCCACTCGTTGCAGCATTCAATCTACAATGATGAGGATCGACAGGCACTGTACCAGCCCAGGACGCAGTATCTGTCAGCTTCTGCCTCGGTCCCAGCATCGGCCTCGGGTTCAGCCTTGATTTCACCCTCACGTTTGGAATTTTTTAATGCTCATTCGCCACCAATGGTGGATGTAGCAGGAGGAAGAGAGTCATATGCCAACACGGACTACTTGCAACTTACTCAGCCTGTAACTGCTCTCGGAGGAGTCCCTGCAGACATGATGAGTGTTGTGTCACCACCTCCGATCACAGGTCGACCATGGAGTCAAGTTCCGTCTGCTTCTTTTGGCTCTATCCCGGCTTCGATGCCTATGAAGGATCATCGGACAAGTCTGCCATCAAGCGGCGCGTCCTATCAACCACAGAGTTCTTATGCCAGCATCACAGAGCAGGTGCCAACCAGTCAGCGCAGTGTTGACGATGGAGAGGCTGTTGCGATGGCACTGCGGGCACACCAAGAGACTGTCGATCGTCAGGAGGAGCTCACAAGGCAGCAGGAGAAATTGGCGCGTCAGCAGGAAGTGTTGGCCCGCCGGGAGACCATTAGTCGACAAGAGGCAGTTGCGCTCGCTCAACATCAGCAGGAGGCCCTTGCTCGTCAGAATGCGTTCGCACAGCAGGAAGGCAAGGCTAGGCAGGAAGCACTCGCTCAACAGGACGCGCTCTCTTACCAACAGGAGCAGCGGGAACGGCAGTTGCAACAACATCAGCAGGCGCAACAATTTCAGCAACAGCAACAGTTTCAACATGAGCAACAGCATTTGTTATTGCAGCAGCAGCATCAGCAACAGTTTCAAGATTCTACTACTCGATTCTCTGGAGGGGCTGTTAGTGGTGGTAGCCCTGGTACTCCTTCTGGACCGACGCTTGAGATTCTGATGATGTCTCCCCCAACCTCTCAGCCTGCCCTTCATCAGAACCCTGGACTTGTGCGAGGGCTTTCGGATCAGGAGTTTTCCGGAGGAGGAGGAGGAGGAGCTTATCGGATGAGTCCTCGTGGGTATGGTGAGCAGGAGATGGGAGTCAGAGTTGGAGGACAGGTGGCACCAGGAGGACCATCATTGGTTGTACCGGATGCGATTTCAGATTTGGCCGAGGCTATTCGATCGATTCAGCCGTCTCCTGTGGGGAGTGACAGTAGTACTGGCGGGGCTGAGTCTCGAGGACACCTTTACCATCAGCAACTGCAACTGCAACAGCAGCATCAACTTCACCAACAGCAGCAGCAGCGTCAGCAGCAACATGGATTGACGCCAGTGCCACCTCGGGCCGTGGGTGATGATAATAGTATTGTCGATGCAAGTAGCAGAAGGGCGTCTCCTCTTGTTGGTGCTGGTGGTGATGGGAGGATGTTGAGTGGATCAGGCGATAAGGAGGAGTTTGACGAGTATCGGTGGATGTCGCCTGGTGGAGGTGGAGGTGGATTGAGTGTGACCAACCCAGATCGATGAACTCTCAGTTTTCTGTGAGTTTGTGCGATTACGATGTAGAATAGACGCGTAAAAATACAACCCGTATACCACGCGTGACTGAGTGTGCACGCACATGAACATGGTTTGATGAATGGTGATTAGAGACGCACGGTGGACCAGGTTCTGCAGGATTGGTTGGATTGGATGCTTACCTTTTTTGTTATGCCCTTTTATAATGACAGGTGCACTAGGTTTATAACGCGATGTGCCAAGGCTTGTGGAAGGAGCGTAGTCCGAAGGCATTGTTCATATATAAAAGGCATATGTGTTCAAGATAGATGGATTGCATGCAGCGGTTCACCATAGCCTTGGTCTATCGTCGTCACTGTCACACGCATCCCTGATGAGAAGAGTGATCGCGCGTGTTGTGCATTTTTTTTTTGCATTTGATCAGTCGATTCAACCTTCTCCCATCAACAACAGCTCTCTGCATGCGTTTTCCCTTGCCTTTCTCTTTTGTTTTCTTTTCTTTCTTTGCTCTTTTTTCTGGTTGTTTATTCTTCTTCATCCGTCCTCCCCTCCATCTCCCTTCGCTTTACTCACCTTCAATAGAAACAGACTACTTTTTTCACCCTCAAACCATACTAGACACTCCCACTTCCCATCCCCTTAACCTCCCTTTGCTCGTCCACACTCATTCCCATCCAACGGCCAAGAGCTACGACCGCCTCCTTCCCGTCACTTTATTGTTATTTCTTCCCAAGAAATAAGGTACTAGACTTGCACACAACCTCCTTTTCTTTTCCCGCTTCCTTTCCCACCCTTGTTATTCACCCTTCCGTCAACTTCTTTGCCTTCCAGCACAAAAAACAATAACGGTCGTTCGCTGTCTGGTGATAGCCTCCTTATACTTTTTGTTATAATATTCCCCGAAATACCATTATATTGCCGTTACACAAGCATACACTTTCCACTTTTCCCAAGAAAACAACGACCAAAAACAGCAAGAACAGAGGGTGCAGTTTTGGGTGCTCAACAAGCAGCAAAAGTACGTGGTCCATCTAACTAGCCCTGCCATGTTTACGCTTCTTACCTTTGTTTAGAAAACACAGCGGACGCACTGATCGATCACTCAAGGCGCCCTCAGCCAATCAACTGTCTCCCTCTCTCTCCCTTCACACACCCATCACTGCACTTGAGGCACCTTTTCGCTCCTATTACGCTCTCCTTCTCTGTACTTTCACAACTGACTCGCAGCGACCATGATGTCAAAGACCTTCCACGGTAAGTCCCATCTACTCACAAGCGCACTAGAGAGATGAATCTTCGCGACTCATACTTGCGACAGACCCACTCACACTTTGACTGCTGCTCCTATCGATGTGTAGGAAAGGTCGACGAGACAGTCGATGCGCTCATTATCCTCGAAGCCTGCCGTCAGGGTGTCATGCCCAGAATTACACGCCGACTCTTGGCTGCCGAGCGAGGAGAGACTCGACCCCTACCCAACCCACCTAGCGAGGCATCCTCTTCCTCTTCCTCTTCGTCCTCCTCCTCCTCAACTCGCATGTCCTCGCGATTATCAGCGCCTGCAACCGCTGCATCGATCTCACCTTCGTCCTTGTCCTCTGCGACGGCCTACTCCTCTTCATCCTCCCCATCAACAACGTCATCACCACCAGCAGCAACATCATCATCGTCAACAGCAACAACAGCAACAACCAATCCATCACTGATCATCCCCGGCTCGGTGTTTGTCTTTGACGAAGAAGAATCCGGCATCTGCCGCTGGACCGACGGCAAGATCTGGTCTCCCTCTCGGATCTGTGACAATTTCCTCGTCTACCGTGAACTGTACCGAAAGTTACCCAATCAGAAGTGCTACACGACCTCGGACAAGGCCAAGATGAAGGATGGGTCTGGGTTGAAGGACCAGGCGTTGAAGGAGAAGGTTGATAAGGAGAAATTGGTGGTGATGGGGTGTATGAAGGGGACGTTTGTATTGAAGAAGGGGGGGTTGGTTAAGAAAACGATATGTGTTACGGGAATTAATTTTGTCCCACCGGAGGAGTTGAAAAGGCGGCTGGAGGGACCGGCGCTGGGGTTGTCTTCATCTTCGACTGGAAGGAGAGGAGGTCGTCCGAGTAGAGGGGGACGTGGCAGTGACGGTGGGAATGGAAGAACTCTTTTGCCGGGGTTCTCTACCAGGGGAATACAGCATCTTGTCTGCTATGAGAAGCCCGGTGGTGCGTTACTGCTGTTATTAACTGTTCATTGACAAGGATCATGCAGTTGTAAGATGTGAACAGACCACTAGTTGGTACTTATACGCATACATATATTTTTCATTCGGATAGAAATGGATGAGCTGCATGGTCCACGCGAGTACCTCGAACTCCGCGATCTCCCGATCAGCAAGACCTTCGTGATGATGCAGTCCTACCGCGTCCCGATCCAGATCTTGCCTTTGGACTGTGACCAGCAGCCACTCGATCCTGCCGACGAGTACATCCACAGCAGCCGAATCTTTGAGGCACGCGCCAGGAAACAGTCCACCCCTTTGGCTTCCTACAACGTGACAAGTATGGAGCCATTCAAGCGACGCAAGACTCGTGGCAGTCGTCAGCGGAGGCGTGTCGAGGAGGAAGTGGAGGAAGGAGAGAGTGAGGATGAGCCCGATTATCTTGCAGATGACACCAACAGCAATAGTGGTGACCCCTGCAACGACTCGGGGATGATGATAGCAAGTGGACCAATTCTCCCACCAATTGCTCCTCCTCTTCAGCCTCATTCAGTTGCACCAGTATACCACAAGTATCCAACCCGAAGTCAGGATCGCTACATTCGTGAACGAATTCGGCAACAGCTCATGGAGCCATGGAATCCCTCTCCGTCTACCGAGTCGACACCCAAGGGTAAGAAACGAATGATGTCTTGGTCACGGTCCCTGGCGATGGAGACTGAAGACACCTCGGCGGTCAAGGTTGAAAATAATAGTCCGTCATTGGGACTCTCTTACTCGGCTGGCTGTTCGGTTGAGAGCGGTGGGGCCTTGCAGCATGGCCTGGCAGAGGAGGACGATGAGATGGGTGGGAGTCAATATGGTGCCGCGTTTGGGGTGCCGTCGTCGTCTTTGGCCACGAGGGGTACGCCCAGTCAGATGCATGAAATCATGCAGTCGACGAATACCATACCTCTCCAAAGTGACAACGAGCTCAAAGTCCACAGGTACAAGACTGTGGAGCGCGAGTGGCGTCTCGTGACATCATCTCAGAGCTCGACTTCAAATTCGGCCATCAACGATCCACTCGCCTACGCGCGGAGCACGTACAATCCAGGGCATGCTCAACCTCAACTCGTAAGCGCCTACCCTTACCATGAGGGTTCCCACTGGCAGCATCAAGATCCTAATTACTCACCACAACCGCGATATTGGGATTTTGTTGCCTATAACCAGATGAACTCGCGGAGGACATACTCTGGTCTTTACCCGGCGCAGCAGCTCTCGACGCAGTACTATGACCCTCAACCGCATCTTCAACCTCAAGACGAGTTGCAGTACCAGACACCGCCCCAACAGCAAGCAATATCGAACGAGGCTGTGATACATTATAACGTAGCTCCGGCGTCAACTACAGTGATGACACCCTTGCAAGATCTACAAGGTTACTACAGCCACCATGCAGGCGCAGAACATTATGAGCAACCTTTCCCACTCGGATTCGACACAACCTCTGCTGCAACTTCGGATGTTATCCAACATGCACATGTAGGCTATACGGGATATTCGCCCGTTCAGCAACCTTCGGCGCGCGCGGAACGGAAATATTCACCCTGGTCAAGCGGATCTGTATACTCCAGGTCATCTTCTCTGTCGACGTCTCTGACCCTCTCGCCTGTTGTGCGCTCCAAAGCACTTGCTGGTCAAGATGCTAGGCCTAACACTGGACCTGATGTTGATAACCAGCTTTCGCCTGTCGCTACGACCACGAACGAGAGACAGGACGTTAGTGGTATGCACGCGTTAACTGGCATCAGGCTTTGGTACGATGATGGGCCGTCCTATGCCCGTCCGACAGTTATGAGGCAGGTACAGTCGACAATGACAACCACTTCCTCAAGCAGTCAAGGCCAGACCGTCACTGTGTCCTGTATGCCCACTACTCGTAGTCCGGCATTATACATTGCACCAACAGCCACTCCCATCTTTGTTCAGGCCTCAACCACCATGCCGACGACGGCGCCTGTCCTTATCCCCATGCATGGCCCTGCAGCCACTTCGACATCGGTCGCGCGTATGGTGGATGTTGATCACCATGGCCAGCAGTCTTCGAGCCCAAGCGAGCTGGACTCCCAGCCGCAGTATCAGCCCATTAAGGCAACCGACAGAACCTTTCGTCGACGCTCACTGCCGCACGTCCCTGTTATGAGTTTCTCGGCAGGGACTGTTTTGGAAACCTGCGCCCTGGATTCGCGTCAAGGATCGCCCATGACCTCGCGGGAGGAGGCAATGCGGTCTATTGCCCCTGATCCTGGGTGTCAGGCAGTTTTCCCACAGGTTGACGCTAACGAGTCGTCAATTCAGGAGCAGGAACAGGAGCAGTTCATAACTGATAGAGAAGAACGTGGTGTTGAGCCCTACTCTCCACAGATGCAGGAGTCGCCAACTTCGAGACTACCAACCCAGAGTTCGAACGAGGCACTCTTTATTAGCACCGGCACGACCCCAGCGATGATGACATCCCACCAAGTCCAGAGACCCTCCTACTCTGTCGCAGGACCATTCAGAGAAAACGTGAAAGCTTCGCCCTTGTCCCATCAAACGGATTATGAGCCATACTCTCCACAGACTCGCCGGGAGTACATGCATCCTCCAAGTTTTTTGTTCCGCGATCTAGATGAGCGAGATGATTTGGATCGGTTGCTGGACTATCACTCGCAGCAAATGGGTGTGTTGGGGTATGATGAAGGCGAGGCGATGGAGGGTCATGCAGATGATGGTGAACGTTTACGAGAGACAAGCGGGTATGATGGTCTCGAGGATTCTGAGCGCACTGTTCAGCAGATCATTCCGCCTCCTATCAATTCCCGTGCAGGTAACTAGGGCTATCAATGTCTGATGCAGCATTTTTTTCCCAAGCGCGAGTATTGTGTTCAGTGTCATGAAAAACTTCTAGCGATTGATTTTTTACATGTTCACAATAATATTAGAGCGCGAGCAGCAGTCATCAGGGAGACCTCAATTGATGGGCCCAAGAACACTTTCGGCACTGCACCACTACTCCCAAGAAGGGCCGTCCTCCGTGAGAGGCGATAGTGGTGGTCCTCCCATTGGGTCTGTTGACCCAACGGCGCCATCTCTCAGCGTGGTAACTTCGAGTGGCAGTCTCGGTCAGGATGAGTACCTCTTGCACCAGACCAAGCCACACATCAGCAAGCATATCCGTCCACACGGGCACGATACTGGCACGCGGATTGGGATCTCACTTGGTATTGGGTTTGGCAGCTCGGATGGGTATGGATACATGCCTGGATCTGATGGCGGCAGCAGCGGACGATTGAGGTCGAGTGGCACTGAGACTGGTGCTGGCACCGACGTTGGCTGGCAGGGATCTGAGGACTTGCCGTGGGCGATGAGACGACAGGAGGATACAACATCCAGCGAGATTGCCTGTCAGTTGTTCTCGGGCCTTGGACCTGCTCGAGGACGAGGACGAACAGGGGAGGGACATGTGTATGCGAGCGGGATGGGTGTTGGGATTGGTACAGCAATTGGGGGCGTCGTCCGCTTTGAACACGGAAGTCATGGTAGTAGTGGTGAGCCTGTGAACGGTAGGACACAGTCGGTGCAGACTTTGCAGTTGAGCGATCCTGTGGACCGGTATTCGTTTGGACATGAGCAGGAGGAGTCACCTTCGCCGTCTGTTTCACCTTTTAACGCGCGGGAGGAAGAACAGAACGAAGAAGAGAACGAAGAAGAGACCGAAGAATGGTCTGAATACACTCCACGAGAGATGCCACTGCATGGAGGTCGCGGTCAAGCCGCGAACAAACTGAGGCTGGAGGACACCGTGACCGAGCAGGTGGAGGCAATGGAGGAAGACGACGAGGATGATGAGCTGGAGGTGCTTGTGTTGAACTCTGAGCATTCGTCGGAGAGAGGTTTGCCTGTACAGAAGCACTACGACAACAACGAAGACAGTGACGAGGAAAATGAGGATATGGGTCAAGGATATGATGATCGCGTACAGGGAGGAGACGTTGACTTTGCTAGGGGCCACGTTGGCGATCAGCGCGATGTTGGTTACGAGGTTAATGGAACCGAGATATTCGACGAGCTGCCGAGCAGCCAGGAGTCGACCGTGTCCAAGGACTAACTTCCCAAGTAAGGAGCAGCATTTACTGCTCTGATGCCTGGAATTATCCACTTTTCTTCTTTACCCATGCACGGACTATGGCCAACTCCTTCCATCCTTGATATCTTTTGTTTTCGCGAACCATTGCGTTTCTTTTGTATTTTTTAGCTGATACACTTTTCTTCACCCTTGCACATTCTACACTTTTACATCTTACAACATACACAAGATAAACAAAACGAGTAAGAAAATAACAAATAGCATACTAAGGAATGGTGCTTGAAAGAATAACGATTTTTTGGCTGATTGTGAACCTTCTTTTGGGCGAAAGAGGGATACATGTGCCCTGTCTTTTTCCTTCATCCCTTCTCTCTTCTCCTCCCCCCTCTCTCTCTCATGGTAGATGACGAAAAGACCTCAGGAATACAGGTCGTTATTTATATATGATAGTAATGGGTGTTTTGCTCTGTCACAATTAACAAACCCATGCCAGAGAACCTAGAGGGCCATTGACGCTCCACCCAATGAATCCACCGCTCCGTATCTGCGTCCATCGCCAAGATCCTTACCATGTTAGCATGCCCATGCAAAAAGACCCACCCATACAGTTACATAAGCATCTCTACGTATACCTTTTCATAAAGTCGAAAAGGTGAATTTGACCAACCTTTATATGCATTTAAATTCTATGGAAAGAAAAAAGGTGTCCACGGCATTTACACGGGTTTTTTTCTGATAAGGCAGTACTATAGGTGCATACCGACTATGTTGTTGGGAGCATCTACGTTTCGGCAGGGTTGTTGTGGAGATAACCCAGTGGCCGTGTAATAGGTTTTGCACAGTTGCTGTAAGGTACCGATCGTGACAAAACAAACAAAAAAGAGTGGGCGTACAAGAATGTAAATACCGGCGAAACTTTTTACGCTAGTTTGTTTATTAAAAAAAATGAGAAAACTAAGAATGCCAAAAACGAAATAAAAAGAATGCAAGAAACAGAATGAAAAAAATAATGAGGAAAGAAAACAAACAAGGCCAAACTACCGTCCGGTATACTTGTGGTACTTCAAGTAATCGGTATACAATCCCTTGAGCAACACCTTGCCCGTATTATCCAACCCACTCATCATCAACTCGCGTTCGTAATCCGTGCACAGGTTCATGAGGGCATACAGGCCAGGGAGGAGCGCATTCCGAAGCGGCTGTAGGCGGATTGAGGCTGTGACGGAGGATTGAATGGTGAAGTATTCCATGAGGAGGTAGGGGATGTGTTTCCCGAACGCCTTTGACGCGTCGGTTGTGATCGAGAAGGATGCAGAGTTTCCTGTGGTAGTGGCGGTGGAGGGGAGGTCGATGGTGTTGGAGGAAGAGGAAGAGTTGTTGTAAGTGGTGACGGGTTTGGAGCCGAGGGTTGTGAGGAGACGGGCAAAGTTTTCAGCGCACTCGACCGGCAGGGGGTCGCCAATGATCGGGATACGCTCTGTGGTCGATTGGGTTGTTGGTGCAGACTCATTCTTGGTCTTGGCGACGGGAGTAGCAACAGCATCCACATGTGGTCCAGAGGAGGCAGGGATGACACCGGCTGACAGGAGCATGAAAGGACTCTTCAACAACGACTCAACACCCTGCTGCCGCTTCGCAATCGACCCATGCAAAGATTTGAATCCATGGAAGCAGCTCTGCAAGATGGACGTGAACACAGGGATCTGGGACAACAGCTCTTCCTGACGGAAACGGGCAATGTTGATCAGGACATGGTACAGTGCCGTAAAGATCTTGCTCGTGTCCTGGTTCGTCAACACCGTGGCCTCCGAGGAAGAAGAGGAAGGAGGGGAAAGGAGAAGAGGGGTGGCGGGGGACATGAGGGAGATGATACCATCAAGGGCAAGACCGATCTCCCAGGACCGCAATTCGAACGAAGGTTCGCTGCAGATGCTGGCCACCATGTCCAGCACGCCGACGACGACTTGGACTGAGGTTGTTGTCTGCAAGATCTGTGTCAGTCTTGTCAGCAGCTTTGAGATCTGTCTACGCACCTTGCGTTTCTGGGCTGTGATTCGAGAATAATGTTGAAAAGTTATGTTAACGAACTAGCCATGATGTACAGCGAGTACCAGCAAAGACATCTGAACATTTCAATATGCCGAAAAACTTACAGTGGTGGACCCCGAGGAAGGTAAAGTCGAGGTAACGGACCAAGACGAGCTCGTCGAAGGTAGACGACGACCGGTAGGTCTCATCTAACAACCAGTGGAGCAAGTTCTCAAAAAGGTCGCCAGAGAGCTGACTCAGCAGTGACAGATACGCGTCCTTCAACATAGTCACATCCTTGTCCTCCAAAGCATGTCCCGAGACATCCAACAACAGAACTAATAACTCCTTCAAGGTCTCCTTGTCAGCCGAGCCATTCGAGGACCATGCCTTGGAGACGGGCAGGTACTCGCACGAGTAGGCTGTCAACAGGGCTGTCAGGTGGGCGATACTCTGTCCTTGAGCCCCTGTTTTATCCTCGGAAACCTGTACATGGGCAAGCGCCTTGGCCAACGAGAACAATTCAGGAACCAGTTTGAGGCAAGGGCTCTGGCCGGCAATGGCCTTGTGGTTACCATCCTGGGCGGAAGTCAATTGACGATAGTCGACAACGGTCTTGAAGAGCTCAAAGTGATCGAGACACTTCTGCGCCTCCTCCTCAACTGAAACGCGCTTCTTGCCCTTCAATAGGTCAACAACCTTCTGGATCCTGAGCGTGACCTTGGCCTCGACCGCGTCAAACAACTGTCCAATCTCCTTGATGACCATCTCGCGACGAGTATCCATATCCTTGTTACTAGTAGATTTCGACTTTGAAGTGGCCTTCTTGGCCTTGGACTTGGACTTGTGGGTATGGTGGATGTGCTGCTCCAGGGCCTGGACGAGACTGTGGCAGGCATGCGAAAGAAGAACGACCTTGATCCTCGACTCTGTCATTTGTCCGTTCTTGAGTGCAACGGCAGAGCTGGCCTTTGTAGAATAGACGCTAGCTTCAAGAGCGTCGCCGGCCCACGACAAGGCAGACTTGAAAAGAGCCTCAAAGTGCTTGAACGCCGTCTCGTACTGCCGTTCATCGTATGTCTGACCCATGTAAAACCTATGAGTTGAAGAGCGCGGTAGAGTGTTGTTAGTGATGTGTTTCAGGGTCAATCGCGCCACGTCGAAATTTGATTCTAAGTAAAAATTGGCTTACCGAATGGCGCTGTCGACCATGGCGGAGGTAGTGTCCATGATGGCGTGGCCAAGACCGTCTTTGTCCTCACTTCCGTATGAAGTAGAGCAGTTCCACGCAGGGAAATGCAACAAGTTGAGCAAAATCGCTGGATCGTTGAACTATAAAATATAGTCAAAAAATTGAGGCATTTGGTTAGAAATATTGACATTAATGATAGCTTGCGGTTGGAACCATTGTGGGACAAGGCACGAATAGGTACATACCAGGACTCCTGCATCACTTCTCCAAGACATGATGGCGCTAGAAATTCTGCGCTCGATCAACAAGCACTTGACGCCAGTCTCATCCGCGCTCAGGTGGTGCTGAATGTAGAAATCCAGGACAGCCATGGTGGTCAGGATGATGTTGCGCTCGTATTTTTCAAAGTACTCGAGTGGCAAGAGGTGCATGATCGACAACAAGGACAGCAGCCTGGGGCCTTGCTCTCTTGCTGCCTTGGACATGGTCGATGAACCCTTCTTGGACTTGGACTTAGGCGCAGCAGCGGCGGACCGGTGGTGAGCAGTCACGTCAACCAGCTCCTTCAGGGCCTCAGCAAAGGTCGACTTGGCGTCCTTGTGGGCGGAGGATTGGCTGGTGAAGGAAGCGATCGTTGCAGCCAACTTGGTCTCCTGTGCAGTCTCGCTCAGCGCCGCAATCGACTCTGACAATCCCTCCAAAATCTTCTGCGCAAAGATGGGTCGGAAGTTGGGGACCTCGTAAAAGTTGGCTGAGCGGAGCAAAAGCTGGTTTAACAGGTTAATATCGAGAGTGCACGCAGCAGCGGTGGCCGAGGTCTTGTCCGAGGAGAGGACGAACTGTCGAGAGATGACAGTAGCAATGAGCTCCAAATCTTGAGTGGTCCCGAACCTGCAGATGATATCCAACCAGTCGTTCACCTGGATCTGCCAGCTTGCCACCAAGAACTTGGGCCCAGTTGCTGTCTCCAAACGACCATCCCAGGTCTCTGTAACAAGCGCAACATCATCTACGAGCTGTTTGAGTTTGGAAGCCTTCATAGTAAACTGGACGAGCTCCTTGCAGCGCTGTGTCAGACTGTCGTCCATGCCTTGAGGAGAGCAAAGAATCCTGTGAACGTGCTGCAGTACAACACGGTTGAGACACAGGACTGCGGCATCACTCCATCCCGACGTTGCCTTGAAGGTGCCAACAATTTTCTCCAACAGATCCAACGAGAGTCCATGCACCCAGTACTGAGTCGAGACTCTGCAGAGTGCGTAGTGCAACTTGAGCGCCGGCGTGATCCGTCGCGCCTGGTAGATCGCAGAAGTATCCGCCTCCGAGTTGTCGATGCGAGCGAGGCGTTCAAAGGTAGGGCTCAGGAAATGGTCAAACACGACCTTGAACTCGTTGTTGAGCTGCTTCTCCTGATTGACTGTTACACGAAGACCCTTGAGGAACTGGATAAAGAGGGTAATGACCAGTTCTGACGAGGGGACAGTGCTGCTGGATGCGTCTGCGTCTCCTTGCGACTTTCCAGAGTTGAGTTTCCGCTTCTTCTTGTGGGTTGTTTCCTGAAGGGGCTCCAATCCATCAATCTCCATTCCTGTGGTATCCAGAGCCATCAATTCGGACACAAAAATGTCCAAGATCTTGGGGGCTTGGGGCAGAGGCAAGTAACCTCTAATGTTTCCTGGGATCCTATCAACAACAAACGCGATTTCGTTGAATATTAGCCTACGTCTCGTAGAAGCGCACCCCTGCAACCATGTTTTATAGACCAAATGACAGGGTACTTACAGGTCCAAGAAGGCTCGTGTGAAAAGAGGGCTGGAGTGCAACTCCTGTGGCCGAGTGACGAATCCACGAAGTGCGGAAAGAAGCGAAGGCAAAAAGATCTGGAGGTCGCTCGATTTGCCGTAAATCTCGAGCAGGGTCTTGGACAACTCCAATGCGGCATCATGAGCGTCAGCCAGGGGGGAGAGCAGAATAGGCCAAAGACTGTCGAGATGTGGCTTCAAAAGTCGATCATCCAACTGCGCCAGCACGACAATTCCTGTAAGTGAAATACTCTGAAGTCGTCCGTTGTTGAGTGTTTGCGCCGTGGTGAGGCAGGAGTAGATACTTCCAAAGGAAGTGCTCATGAATACGTATTGGTCCGCAGCCTCGTTGTTGCTGGGCTGGTACATGTTGAGGTCAAGGATGGCAGAGAGCAGCTTGTTGTGGGCATCCATGATGTTGGCGAGTTGGTCGATGGAGGACTCGGAGGGTTCATCTGTGAGGTTAGGCAGTTGTCGCTTGGCGAGCATGTAGATGATCTTGAAGAACGAAAACTCCATCTCGCGTGCAATCTCCAGACCACGCTCAAACCCACTGTTGGCCATCGACCTCTGTTTCCTGCGCGACTCTTCCACAAAGTACTGAACCAGAACCGGGAGTACATCCAACACTATGAGAGTAACATCATACATGGAGAGATGTTAGTAAAATTTTCATTTGTCCCAAATGTGATTAACGAAATGATAGGGGGGCGTACCTGCTGTAGAGTGGGTGGACTTGGTCATGGCAGCAATCTGCTCAAAGAGCTGCTTTTGGTAACTCTGGATCGACTTTTCATCGCCTGCGACGTAGCCGGCCGTGTACTCTTGCAAATGCTCCTGGTGGAAAAGTCCAGTCCTGAGAATGGCACCAATTGCCTTTTGACACTCCTCCTGCAGGGTTCCTGGGACAGTCCTAATCGCGACGCGTGCCCGAACTAACGCCTCAAACATCTTTCCTGCGACGAGTCCAAAGACCTTCTTCTGGTTGGGCTGAATGATGACCAGACGCTTGAACCGGTCAAGGATAATATGTGCAAAATCCATCATGATCTCCTGAGTGCGCGCGTCGATCGTAGACGAGTCCTGAGTCATCTCGATAAGTGCCTCTAGGGTTGCCTGGACAAGCGGGGTATATTGCTCCAGTGTGGGTTGGAACCATTCTGTCATGAGTGGTCCTGAGAGGAGGTTGAAACAGATCGATGCTGACTCTAGTACCGAAGCCGAAGGAATGTCGGTGGGTGGTGATGTTACAGTCGTAGGTGTGGTGGAAGGATTTGTTGCTTCAGTGTTCTTGTTGTTCTTTTTTGATTTGGCGGGTGTGGCGGTGGTGGTGACTGTGGTTGGGCATAGCTTTTGGACGAGTGCTGTGAACATTGGGACGACGGGGACACGGAGGAGCACACCGGGTGCCTGTGCTTCAATGGCGTGGTTGTCGTGTCCTGGTGCATGACGCGAGTGTGCGACATGGCCGTATTTCCTGTGCAACTTCCTGCTGTGTGTGATTTTCGTCAACATGTCCTTGAAGAGGTCCCAATGCGCCTGATCAGTGATGGTCGATCTAGTAGATAACAAAATGGTTCGTCAATGAAGATCAGTACATGCTAGATGTAAGACTATTTAACTATCAATTGAGTTTAGGCTATGAAGATAACTTACGAGGAGGTGGCTTTGGCGTTCTTGGAGGGTGTTGCTGCCTTGACGAGGGTGCTGCAGAGCCACTCGAGGAGGAACTCCTGCTTGTGGGGGAGAACCACGTCCTGACGACGCCATGCCTCGTTCGCCAGGCGAATCTTGTCTAAGGGAGATGTTTGAAGACCCTTGAGGGCCTTTGCGAATGCCTCTGATGAACTGAGGTACTCCTCCATGTGTTGTAATTGTGGTGGTTGACTATGTTGTGTTGTTAATGGCAGGGTCAAGCAGACAGACAAGAGGCAATTCGAAGGGAGAGTGCGCGCCTGGTATGTATGGGCTGGCAGGTGGGAGTATTTTTTTCTTTTTTTTTGGAGGCGGTGGCTTGTGTTGCTTTTGGGACTGCGATTCGGTTCTGAAAAGAAGAGTTGGAGGCGTTCGATTGGCGAAGCAAGACCGCTGGAGGGGAAGAGAGAGGAAAGAGTGCAAGTGGACAACGTCTTAAGTAGGCCATTGAGGAAGAACTGCGAAGCTATTGTCCGGGCTGCTGATAATGCACATGCTATGAATGCCTTAAAAAAGAGATTGATGAGGGTTTGAGGGAACGAGTAAAGGTGAACAGGTGGCATGATATGACGGGAGGGTGGTAAGGCAGGGTGTGCTTGTCTGATTTTCTCTCACACGCCTTTGTTTCGCCCCCGTTGTTAAATTTGTTCTCGTCTCTTCTTTTTTGTTTCTCTCTTTGTCTGTCGCTCGTCCGCTGTCCGCCCCCCTTCTCTCTTCCTTTCCACTTCTCTCTTTCTCTTTTCTTTGTCCTTCCTCCCCCCCTCATTCTCATCAATCAAATCACACATACCGCCATCACCTCTTCTTGCTCGCACTCCAGCCAACCCTCACTTCGACACTAAATCAACTACAACACATCCACAGAAAACGATAAATATAATGACTGATGTAAGAATAATAAAGAACAGCAGCCAACAAACAACAACCACCAGCTTCTTCTTCATCATACATAAACCTACCCACTCGCTCTTCTCAACTATGTCTTCGCTCTGCTCTAAGCGCAGGGCATTGTCTTTTGAATTAGCCCGAGGGTTCTTTGAGAGAACTATATGGAGTCTAAGACTGCTTCCTATTTTCTCTTTGGTATTATCCCTATATAGGAGCAAGAATATTGTGTGCTTTGCCCCAAGAGGAACCCTGGCACGGGTACTTGGATATGCTGCGACGTCTGCGAGACTTGGTATCATGTCCGCTGTCTGAAGATGACGGTCGAGGAGTTTGAGGTTATTGACCAGTACCACTGCTCAGACTGTGCCCCCAAGGCAGGACCCAGTACCGGTAAACAAATGTGCCCACAGGTGTCTCCTTTTTGTTTTGTTTACTGTTTTGATTGATTGTTTGTTTGTTTATTTCCCTTTTTTCGCTCCCACCTCCTATTCGATTCGTTACTATTGGACAAAGAAAGGAGGACAAGTCAGGAAAGTAACGAAAATTGATATAGGTGGCTAACTGTAAACATGTTACCTTCACGAATAAACACGAATAGTGCTTCGTAAGTCTTCGCGTCGGCAGGGAAGGATCAACTATGCAGACCTGGTCAATGGGATTGTGAGTCATCAGAGCAAGTGGCGTGTCGTACTGGATTCACACCAGTTCCAGCTGGACAAATTCGAGAGGATTCAAGGAAAGGACCTGACACTAGACTGGCTGCGTGCAACGGGATTCAAGGAGCCAGTCATAATCAAAAGAGACGAGGATGGGACAACGGACGGACTGGGAATGAAGATGCCAGCAGCGACACTGACCGTAGATGATGTCCGCGACTATGTTGGAGCTGATACACCTGTTGAGGTCATTGATGTCGCGACACAGTCAGAGGAGGCAGATTGGAACATGGCCTCCTGGGCGGACTACTTCAAGACTGAACCCAAGGATAGGGTTTACAATGTCATCAGTCTTGAGATCACAGGCACACCCCTCGCCGACAAAGTGCAGCGTCCAAAAGTTGTCAGGTATTGTCGCTTTATGAATGTGGGATTAGAACTTTGCATGACGCACTAGCAGAGACGCTAATACGGGCTCCCTTTTTATGGACTGAAAATCATTTAGGGAGTTGGACTGGATCGAGAACTTTTGGCCCAAGGAACTTCGACCAACCGAGTTCCCCAAAGTGCAGCTGTATTGCTTGATGAGCGTTCGGGACTCTTACACAGATTTGTAAGTCTGCGGACATGTGTGACCTCAAAGGCCCCTCTGGTTTTTTTGTTGCTCGCATCGTTTATGTAACTTTTTACTAACTTACTTGTTTCGTCGCTTCGTTCTCTATCGTAGCCATATTGACTTTGCGGGATCATCTGTATGTACTCTAAAGAAAAATAACATGGCTCGATGGCGCATGAAGGCGACAAAGGATATTTGTCAGGCTGGCGAAACTAACATCCCTCTTCTCGTTTCTCGCGTTCGTGCCCTGTATCATAGGTGTTTTACCATATTCTTTCGGGATCAAAGACGTTTTACTTTGTGGAGCCAACACCGACTCATCTCAGGAAATATGCGAAATGGTCATCGTCAGCGGATCAATCGACGACTTTCTTTGGAGATGATGTGCCTGGAAAGTGTTACAAGGTTGAGCTGACGCAAGGCGACACCATGTAAGAGAACCTGCTCCAACTGCAGTTCTTGCATCACAGGATATGGTTTGCACAAATAAAACGACACCCACTAACATGCTCATATTGTTTCCATGTATAGGATGATCCCGGCGGGGTGGATTCATGCAGTGTACACACCTTCGTCGTCGGTGGTCATTGGCGGCAACTTTGTGCACTCGCTCAACATTCCAATGCAGTACAGAGTTGCCGAGATTGAGGGAGAGACGAACGTGCCTCCCAAGTTCAGATTCCCATACTTTGAGAAACTAAACTGGTTTGTCGCCCTTGGTTGCTCCGAGCGAGGCCCTGGTAATGATCACTCTATTTATTATCCTGTGTCTTCCTTGCTTTGACGCTAGTCACATTTCATTTTGGAAAGGCTTTCTAAATTATGTTTTCAAATAACTTCTCATTAGATTACCTGTCCAGCTTGTCAGAGGCTGAGCTCTTTGGACTGCTGGCCCTAACGACGCACCTCTACCAACGACATAGGAACCTCAAGCGGGATCCAAACCTCAGCAAAGACGAGCGACACATGATTCGAGCTAGTGTGCCTCAGGAAGTCACTACAGCTTCATCTGATGACACTGTCGCTGTGCTGCGACGACTCAACCAAACTGTTTGCGACATATTAAAAACAAAGAAGGCGACGATTGTCATCGGCCTGGAGCTGCAGGTCCCTACTAAGGAAGAGGAGGAGACACAGGACAAGTCGACAAAGTCCAAGATTAAAATCAGAATCAAATTGAACTCGACACCTTCTACAACTCATTCTGGAGACGAGGAGTCAACTCAGGGAGAGCAGCAAGTCCCTATTTCGACCGCACCTTCCAAACTCAAACTGAAGCTGCCAACCTTCTCAGCCATAACCACAGCAACGACCACCAAATCAACGAAATCTAGGCGTAAGAGCAAGCGACCCGTCAAGAACGAGGACGATGATGAGAGCGAGAGTACGTTGGATGGTGCGAGCGATGGAGAGTTGGATGATCAGCTAGAGACGGACGATGATGAGTGGAACGAGTTTGAAAATCAATTGGACGATGTCTTTGACGATGGCCAGGACCATGAGATCGACGACGATGGAGAACTGGACATGCGGTCATCCGACTCGGAATATGATGAGGTCACACGACCCAAGCGTGTGCGAAACAGGAAGAGCTCCTCGGGGGTCACGACAAAGTCTTCGTCACCAGTGACACCAACCTCAGCTATCACCATCCCAATGACGAACCCTCGTGTCAAGCGGTCATCGTCCGAGACGGTGTACTTTGGTGATGTTGATGGCCCGACTGTGGACTATGTCCTTCCTTCCTCATCTATTCGCCGCAAGGAGGTGAGTGATGATGACGAGGACGATGTTGTGCTTGGACTGGGCAAGAAACGCAAGTCGACGGCGATTCATTCTCTGGGAGGGCTGGCGCCTTCGATGCCATTTGGGTCGACAGGTGGTAGCGCCAATAAGAGAAAGGTGACTGGAGGCGGCACGGCCAAGGATCGTATCAAGTCTTTGCTGATGAGGCGTCGTTAGGATCTGATCTGAGCGGGCCCCCGTGCCATCACGTTGCGGAATGGCCTTCCATGAGAAATAAAACAAATTTTTTTTATTTGTATTTGGCCCTGGTTCTTGCTTTCTTTCTTTTTTCTTTTTTCTTTTTTCTTTCTTTGTGTCTCCTTCCTCCCATTTTGACAAAAAAGAATAAAGCATGGTGTATGAACCATCCGCCCATCTCATCCTTGTTGTATTGTGCACACAAAAGAATAATTTCTCTGACGACAGTGCCATCCACTCTGCCTTCCCTACAGCGGACAAAATAGGACATGACAAGCACATATTAAAGAGAGAGTTGTATTAAAAAGTCAAAAGCATTGTCAGTTATCGTCGTTGGTGACTGCAATTGGCTCAAAGCAGGTGTGCAGAAAAAGAACAAGAAAGACCGTGATATCGGGCCAGTTGTACCGAGGTCGCGCCCAAAATGAATAAAACGACGAGTAAGAGAGTCGCCTATCATCTTCATGAATAAAAAAAAAGGAAAAGGAATGAATGCGAACATTTGATTCACGAACGCGATTCGTTGACGCTGTTGACCTTCGCCATTCGCGCTGATTGGGTGTGACTGAAGGAAGTGAAAAAAATTTGAACCGCGATCCGCCTAATGACATCTGAACATGGATCAACAAAAGCTGATCGTGCCTTGCAGATATATATTTCTCGCAATTAGCTTACAAGGCGTGATGTCCTTCTTTTCTTCCACAACTGAAAGGCAATGAAATCTATTTTGTGCATTGTTGTATCCAACCGTTGTGGAGGTTATTGCCGAATCTCTCTCTTTTTTCTCACATCATCGATTAAAACGTCCTATCGTTTTTTTCAGGCCGTTCCTTGGTCCAAATGGTTCCCGCGTGGATGTTGTTGTGAACAGGATCTTTTTTTGTGCATATTCACAAAACCTGACACGATTGGTCGTTCGGCCGTCTTTTCACATCATCCTTGGATAGATCTCCTTTCTGGAACATGGGTTCCCGCCCTTGATTTACATTTGACGACAGCCAAAGGGCATTAGCCTGTGCTAGCTCTTGCAGTTGAGAATGGATTAGCGTCCTTGACGGATCTAGGTCCTAAATTGAGAAAGGTCTCTATGATGGATTGAGGAATACTCTCGGACGCGGGTCTCGATTGGATGGTCACTAATTGGCCCAACGTCGAGCGAGCACCCTTACGAAACCTTGAGGCGTTTCGAAAAAGATAGATGAAAATAAAGTCCCATCGAACTGAAACGAACTTAAAGACACATCTTTCTCTCTCATCATGCACCCGCTTGATCAATTTTCAACATGAATCTGTGGAAATAAAAAGAAGAGTTTTTTTTTTTATTTCTGCTGTAAAAGATGTCGACGTCTTACAAGTTTTTAATTGTACCAGTTGGGGCAGGTACCAGGGGAACGAGAGGATCCAGAGGGACCGAAAGACACACTGTTGACCCATTGAGCATTGCTGATACCTGCGTTGGGTCCGATTTTCTGGAAGTTACCCGTGCAGTCGATCGACTGGAAGAGCTTGATGTCGCCACCGCCGATACCCCCGATGGTTCCAGTCTGGGTGCTGGCGAGACAGATACAAGGGCGGATGTTGTTGGGGGTTTTGAACGTGTGCACTCTTTTGCAGGTGTTGTCGCAGATCTGAAGTTTATATTCAGCAAGGGCAACACTGGCGCATGCGACCGCGGACAACAAGTAGAGGAGCTTCATTGTAACTATGAACAAAAGGGTCGTGGATCAATAAATAACTAGAAAAAAAGATGCGATCCGAATATAAACAACGGAGACAAGGAAAGCGAAACTTACAAAGGTAAGGAGAGTGAGAGAGTGTGGAACGAAGTACAAAAATTATCCATGGAATGGGCGGATGGGAAGCTCGCTTTTAAGTGGTTGCGACGTCAGGATTCTCACGGCCGCCTGGAGGGTCAATGTTGTCGCAGGAGCAAACAATTTGATTTTTTCTACTCCTCCGCAGTGCAAGAGAGCCCAGGTCGACATCTCATCAAAGAGCGGCGTGTGCTAATCGAACTAAAATTTCCTCTGTTCCACAACGGCAATCGGGGTGTTCACAACACCAACGACAAAAACAACAGCGCGGCGTGTCTTTATCGACCGTTTAGAAAACAGAGAAATTTCTAGCGTTATACCAGGCAAACGATCGATTTATTTTCTCCAAGCTGTCTGGGTCCAACGATGGCGACGAAAAGCGGCGTCGTTATCGATCCTTCAGAGAAAGGGAAATTTAGAGTTATGCTAGGCAAACAATCCGTCTTTTTCTTTAACCTACCCGGGTCTAAAGGCGAAAAGGCGGCGTCTTTATCGATCCTTGAGTGACCAGACAAGTTTAGAGCTACGCTAGGCAAACAATCCCTAATTTATCAGGGTCCCAAGTCGAAAATGCGCCGTCTTTTTTCCGATCCTTTAGAAAACAGAGAAAAATCGAGTGTTACGCCCGATGCTATCACCCGTTGGGTTATGACTGAGCCCTTCTAGTCAGGACCCGTGCATAGCGCGACGACTACCGCCGTTTCCGATTTTTAGTTGAATGCCAAAAGACCTTCGGATCCTAAATCGTACTACGTGTGACGACAGTTATTCATTGAGACAGAGACGATGGTTGGGCCACTTCTATTTCTTTGTCTTGTTTGTTTTTCATTTTATCCTTGTCATTCGTCCATTTCTTTCTTCGTCCTTTCTTCTCTTGTCAATTTCGTCTTCCTTCGCTCTTCTACATTACCATGCCCAATGCATCTTGGTTTCAGGGATTGATTGAGTAAGAGGGATGGGTGCGAGGAGTAAAGAGATGGTATTGGAAGGGTTTCATAAGTAGGAGTGAGGGAGGCGCATGGTCGAAAAAACTTGAATTCTATGTTTTTTCTCAGTTTTCGGTTTTCCTCTCCTTGCAGTCAACAATATGCGTCTTCTGTTTTTGACGAAATGCGTCGAGGGTTGTAGCTTTGTGGGTGTGCTATGTCGTGTTTCGAGGCCCACCTTAAGCACGATGGACAGCCCAAAGTCGGTCGACCTTGAAGCCAAAGTCTTGCTCACCAGGATATTCTCGGTGAATGATGGAGGACGTATGGATGTGCTAGGCTGCATTGATAATTCTGATTATTGAGTAGAATCCTTCTCCATAAAGAGTAGATAGATGAAGAGCACCATCCATGGTGCACAAGATATTTTGCCTATCAGCATAGGAGGCCTTCAAGTCCAAATTATCATATGGTGTTTGTTCCATTTCTGCAGATCTTGACGATACCCACAGCTACCATTAGATGAGAGTGTATGTACGATATAAAGCATGTAAAACAACCACTGTAACATTCCTCATGTAATTATCCTACTAAACACAACCACATTCTCCAAACAACAAAGTCTTCTTAGGAGGATCTTCATGCCCATAGTACCCTTTGATATTTTCGTCGGTAAATGGCGTATGGCAAGTACCCATTGGGCCAATTGGAGCTCTCTACTCTATGGGCTAATGTTGTATAGTACTTCATCTCCCATTTTGCGTAGTTGAAGATGCCTCGGTAGACGCCCCATTGCTTGAGGCGAATGTACCACGATGATAACCTTTTGGTTGCCTTCCTTTAACGTTGAACAAAAGGAAAGTGCAACTATGCCATGGCATCCAAGACGCTTATCGCCGCGAAGGTAATACCTCTTGACAATGAGAAGTAGCGGTGCACATGGGAGACTTTTTCGTTGGAATGGGGAGGGTATACTATGTCGAACGCATTGATGTACTCGCTATACTTCCCATACGTTCGGCCATTAACGGTCCTTTGCATGCGCTTAACCGAGGAATTTCTTTGCATTTGCCTTGCGCTTGAACGGTCGCCTTAATTTTCGAACACCAATCTCTTGAATGTGGCCATCTACTATTAAACTGTACCCCTCACTTCAAGATTCAGAAGAGTAGTTCATGTATGTGATCATCTAAGGCACTTGTACTCTCAACTGTATCTTTGGGGCGAAATACAGGAGAGAGATTACATTTTAAAAAATCTTGTGCTGTCTGTTGCTATTTTATCCTATTAGCTGTTGCTGACTGTGAAGAGATATCTCAGCTATGGAAGTCTACACTGCATTTCTTGGGCTTTGGATATTTTTTATATACTTTTTTATATACTTTGCACATAGAGAGGCCGCATAGGGTACAAAACGCTCCCTGATAGAGGAGCGTTGGCGGTACGTGCTGCGTGGGATGAGTTTCACGGCCCTCTCTCTCATCTAAGGAGTTAGGACTGTTATTCAAATGATCTGAGGACAAAAAAGCCCATAGTCGTCGACGCGAGTTTGTATCGTTGGTACATTACAAGAAGCAGCAGAACGAGAGAAACACCCGGCGGAGGTTCTTGTCGACGAATGGACAGAGAGGTTTAGAGGACAGGCCATTAACTCCATTCGCGAGGAATAGAAGGCCCAGCAAAATACAAAGTAGAATACTGAACCTAAGCCTGCTTTGCCAGCGTGGACCGCAATAAATAGCAACTATCGGTCAAAAGTGATGCAGGGCGCAGTGAAAAGCATAGAGTACATATAAGGAGGGATAGGAGTAGGAAGGATCCATGATCCATGATGAATATGAATATCAAATAAAGCGAAGAGATAGTGTAGTAATTCGATAGCACAAGCAATGTAGCATGCCCCTTCAACGCCAATACACACCCGTTTACGCCTTAGGACATAGCATTCAGCTCAATATTATTTGATTTCGCCAACACAGAGGGAACATGGGAGGGACATGGGAGGAGATTCGATAAACATGCTGCATGGTAGTATATATTTCCTTTTTGAGCACCCTGTCAACCACCCCTATAGTTACACACGCACTCGCCCTTGCTCTTTGCACGTGCCACGTGGTATAAAAGGCGAACTCCCCGGCCAAAATTGTTGTTTTCTTTTCTTTTCTTTCTTCTTCACTCCTCTTCGGCCCCCTCTCTCGTCACTCACCTCTCTCGTCGCCCACCTCTCTTGTCACCCACCTCTCTCGTCGCCCACCTCTGCCGCCTGGAACCCGCTGCTGACTTGGTAAGAAGACCACCTTCCTTCCATTCCCTTTCTTCCCTTTCCTCCCTTTCTAAGGAACGAGGGCGTGTGTATGTGTTTCTCGTTGTATCTCCTCTCCCACGCGTTCTTTCCCGTTCTACTTTCCTTTCCTCGTTGTTCCTCGTTGTTGGGTGCCTGTGCATTGTTTTGTCCTAGTTTCTTCTTTCCTTCTTCGTGCTTCTGTGCTGGAGCAGACGCCTTGCTTTCTTTTTGTTCCTTCCTCGTCTTTTTCTGTGGGGGTGACCGTTTGCGTTCGCGTTGCCTTCTTCCTTTCTCCCTCTTCCGTCTTTCCTTCCTCTGCTCTCCTTCTGCCTTCTTCCCTTCTCCCTCTGCCTTCTTTCCTTCCCCAACCATGCCACCCCATTCTCACAGCCAAACACAACCCACTGTCGCGTCAACCTTCTTCACCAACCTTCTTCACCAACACTCCTTGCGCGTCTTATTCGACACACTCTAGACCGTTTCCAGCTCCGTCTGTCTGCTGTCCGTTTCCCGCTCTCTCTCCTTCTCGTCGTGCTCGTGAGCGGTCAGGGCCCAAGGAAACAGGGCTACACTCGAACTAGAGCCTCTTATCCTGGACAGCGACTGGCTGTTTGTTCCTGCGAACTAACAAGAGAATAGGCAAGTTAACATGATTTTCATTTACACCTGTTGGACTTTTTTTCTTTTTCCCTCTGGGGTTATTATCCTGGTGCTGTCCATTTTCCTTTGAGGTGGGCGCCTGCGAAAGAGTGGCTGTTTTTTTTCCATTATATTTTCGTCTGATGGCTGGAAGGGCGTATGGAGTATAGGGGATAGGCAAATGGGATTAAGGTATAACCCGGCAGGCGGCTCGTCGAAAGCACGTCCAGTTGTAGAGTAGACTTGAGCCAGCCTTCGTCTCACAATCGCTAGATTGTCCCGACGATTGTTAATAATGAGTTAAAAGGGAGCAGTTGCGTCGCTGGTGAGCTTCCTCAATATTCCCTCGTTCCTTGGATGGATATGCTAGCGGGAGGTTTGCTTTGCCAAGGATCAACGTGTGTCCGCGATCAGCCTTGCCCACTGGCTTGGTTGACGCTCTGTGGTAAAATGAGCCCGGTTCTTGGTTACTTTTTTGTCTCTCCCCCCCCCTTGCACCATTTACCGCCTGTGGTGTATCTCTTTTTGTTCTCTCGCTTATCCGGCTGGCGAACATCCAGTGAGCAAAGGAGTTCTGGGTATCAGGCGTTTATATTCTGGGATAAGAATGGTTGCTTTTGTGGGTTGTCTAGGATAGTTGGGCTGGCGGTTAAAGATCAGAGGTGTAGGTCTGGCCAATACGGGTTGGCGTGTCTAACTATCCCAAAGTCCACTTCAGAAATTGGGTCAACAGCAGGGAGAAGGAATGTCTTGCTATTGTGCACGTTTTTTGTATGATTTAACTCTGCTAACCTACCTTTTCTATGTCTCTATCCTTGTCATCACTATGAGCTGAGCCTACCCCTACCATCGCTACCGTCGCTATCGTCCCCACCGTCCCCACCGTCGTCACCGTCCCCACCGCCCCCACCGTCGTGTCTTTTGGTTGAGACCTTCATGATCAGGATTTCGATGCGGATACCTTCGTAGCAGATAATACGTTGTTGAGAAATAAAAGGCCAGGAACAGGATCAGACTTGCAACTAATCGGATAAGGGTGTTTCTGCTGCTGTGTATGGCGCTGTTAGTGGTATAGCCATATAGAAGGGGGGTTAAGAATATCCTCTTCCTTTCATTTTTCTTTTTTCCACGTATTCTATTACCGATACAGTAATAAAAACAAGGCTATATACGTTTCTGCATACACATCATTGCACATTATTTTGCTCCACATGGCCCAAAGTTGCTCTTAACAAACAGCTTTAGAATGTATTATGTTAAAGTTTCAAAGGTGAAAAAGGGCAACATGGAGGGAAAGGTGGCATTCGTTGAAGCTGTTGAAGCTTGTTTGTAGTAATACATAAGGAATGACACGCGGTTTGATACGTTATTCTAAATAAGCTCTGCCTGCAAGAGAAGGGTTTTGGATAAAGAAGCAAGAACACAACAACGTATTTTTTTTACATTTGTACGAGGGTTAATAATGAACCTGAAGAAAAACAAGGCGAAGGAACATCGATTTGCTATTCCAATGCTGTTATCTACGTACTTTTGTAGTATACATCCAGCGTCCAAGATGGCAGAATTATGGATGCCCGTCCTCAAATAACGCTTGTACACGGGCGAAGTTGAGGTTTTAGGCATTTTGATTTTCTTTTCTCTTCTTCCTCCCCCTCCTTCTGTTGGAGCATTCAAACACTATGAAAGAAAACCGTCAAAGTCGTGCTCATCGCGTAGGCCGTTGTAGTTTGGTCGTCTCACTATCAAGATATATTTTTTTCAACTCAAAGGTACATACGAATCACTAATGAGAGATGGTTTCAGCATGCAAAATAGGAATTAAGTTATTATTAAGCGGTTCTATTAATGTATGAAAAATGCTAAAGTTGAATGAAATAATGCTGATGAGTAGTTGTGAAAGTGCTTAGGATGAAGGGGGACTGGTGGGAGATGTATTAGTAGTTGTAGTAGTTGTGGGGACAATAACTCTTGCTGGAAGGTTCAGCACAAAGGGCGTTGCCGAAGAAGGACCTTCTCCACCGTTTGCAACTGAATTGTCCGCAGAATAAGAAGAAGGGGGAGATCCAAAATGTCCATGTCCAGAGACGCTTCCTTGGCTCGTTTGAGATGTAAAGGGGTGCAGGGAAGGACGTTGCATCCGATGTTGGTGGGGCTGGGCTTGCTGTTGAGGGCCTGGGAGAGTGACGGTGATATCTGGGAGGTGGCTGCTGAAGCTAGTTGCAGAGGGTCCAGCATTGGTAGACTTCACCTTAGGCGGCGCCACCGCTGCCGCTGGCGAAGCAGTTGACGATGCGGTAGCGATTCCAGAACTCAACATCCTATTGAGAGTCGGGACGTTGCTAGAACTGCCAGTGCCGGACTTCTTGGTCGTGGTTCCAGTCGATGTCGCTCCCATGGCCAATTGGCCCTGTGCCGGGATGACCGTGACTCCGTTGGTGGAAACAGTAGGCGACCGGACTTCAATCATTTTCTGCCCGCTAGCCTCTTGTGCGACTTGGAGCGCATCCTTGAACCGCTGGCTATGTCGTCCTCCGCCCAACAGACTCTCGTCCATCATGATGATCGGCGACGTTGCCAACGCTACCGCCGCAGGTAGCAGTTTCATGCCTCCGGGGGTGGTAGTCGCATTAAGAGCAAGTCCTCCTGCCTGTGGGGCTGAAGCCGAAGAGGTCGAAGGGATGTCGACGTGGAGCCCTCCAACCTTGGGTTTCACGGTTGAGCTCTTGCGCCTGCCGCTGTACTGATGGAGAGCGGAAGCTGCGGCCGAAGCAGAGTTCAAGATCTGGTTCTCGACCACAGATGGCCGCTTATCCTCGCCACCACCTCCTTGACCAATCGATCCAGCTACAGAATGCCCCGAAAGCAACGAAGACTTGGACCCAGCTCCGCCCGCAAGGTTACCGGCCGGATTGTTGGCCAAAGGCTGGGGTGCCCTAGCGATAGGTATAGCAATGGCTAGATCCGGATGGAAACTATACGTCTTTTGCTGTTGTTGGATCTGGAGTTGTTGTTGCTGGATAAGCTTTTGTTGTGCCTCGATCTGCTGCTGCATCTGCTGCATCTTGGCCTGGTCCTGCATCAGCTTCTGTTGCTGCTGCTGCAGCAGATCATGAGGGTATTCCAACTGCTGAGGCTCAAGATCCCTCTCCAAGTCATGCTGACGCTGTTGCTGTTGTTGTTGGTGTTGCAGATGATGTTGGTTTATCTGACCAAACGCTCCAGCGCCCATACCGGCAGTAGTCGAATCCGAAGCTCCAATGTTAATCATCGTCACCGGGATCGCAGGCGACGACACCGCAGAGCTTGAACCCTGCATCAAAGTACCGCCGATGCTGCCACCAACACCAAGGCCTTGTCCGTGCAGAGCTTCCGATCCGGGGGCTGGATGCGCAAGCGCAGATGTTTCTGGTAAGCCGATAGAGTTGGTTTGGACGGCAGTTCCAAAATTGAACTCGCCACCCGTGAGACCGTCGGCGCCATCGTCTGTTCTGCTGCCTGATGAGACCATTGTCACCCCGACAATTGGCTTGATCAATATCGCCAGCAATTCTATAGATGATATGAAGTTGATACGAATCGATAGTTAGCAAAAGATAGTATATGTGCAACTTGATTTTGAAATTAAAGGAGCAAAAGGAGGTAGACGTACCGAGTTCCTCGATGACTTCTTCCAGCGCAGAGGAGAAGGCATAGTAGTAGATATAGGTATAGTGGTCCTCTTTGGTGACAGCCTGATGGGCGGCGATAGCTTCTCTGACGTTGTAGATGACTCGGAGACGGGCTACTCTGGCCGAGGGAAGGTATGGTGGCAGTGGCGACTTGGACGCAAGAGACGAAGACAACACGCTAAAGTACAGCAGAAGCGCACCAACCTTTGTAAGGGAATAAAAAGGAGGCGGTTAATAATTAGCTCAATTAATTTTGTGTAACGACGCCACCAATTTTTAAAAAAAAGTAAGATAAACAAAAAAAAAAGATAACAGTAACGCACCATGTCGCGGCGGTAGTAATTCATGGGGCCAGTGACGAGCTCACGGACCTCTGGCGAGATCAGTTGTGCAGCCATACGCATCGATACCATCCTGTCCAAGATGTTCTGACAGCATTGGATGATCTGGTTGTACAGCTTGATCGGGAACTTTTCCTTCAACCTCGGCTCTGACGCAGACAACTCCAGAAGCTGGTTGATCTTGATCAACTTTGTCTGAAGCTGCTGTTCGACATGCTGGAACGCCAGTCGATCCGGGTCTGCGGACTCTGGTGCAACTTGAGGCAGCAGCTCGCTATCGTGGCTGCTGTGACGACCTACAGCATTTGTGGCTTCGCTTGCCTGGCCGGTAGGGATCTGTCCCTCGCTCCTAGTTCTCATCGCGGTAGACCCTTTGCGACGACCGTCCTGACTGGTAGAAAACTGATGCGATGCCTTCTCAGCACGCTCAGCACGCTCAACAAATGAGTCATGCACATGCTCGGCCTCAAGGCCCCTTGCCAGCGCCGCCTTCTCATCCACCTCGCCATCATCTAGATCATCATCATCATCATCATCATCCTGAGCGTTCTCTGGCCAGTTGGCCACATAATGCGAGTGGCCCTGGCCCTCTCGCTGTTCCTCCAAGAAGAACTTGTTGACCAGTTCAGCAAACAAGACTCCCTGTCTTCCAATTAGGATCGCAATCTCCTTGCGCAACTCTCTCCTGGCCAGGATGGGCCATAGGAGCGAGTTCATCACCACCGAGATGATGATACCGATTATGACAGTGATGGATCGCTTGTAACAAACCTGGTAGATCGTCTCTGTGGCACTGCCCTCGTACATGATGAATGTCACCGAAGAGTATGACAGAATCATAATGATTCCAAGCTTGGGATGCGCAGTCTCCAAAATCAGGAACACACTCGCGAATGCTATGAGGTCCAAGTAGAAGTTGCAATGATTAATTACATACCATTATGTATACAAAGCTACAAAGGAGATGTTGTGAAAAAGGATAGAACTTACCGACGACGAGCATGAAGGCACAGATGACCCAAGGATTGCGAGGAAGGACCAAGTAGGTGATCAGGGCCCAGAATGTGCCCGCCAAAGTGCCTGCGACACGCATGGCACAAACACTAAATGTGGCCCCGACTGTGGGCGACAGCACGGCCATCACAGTCAGCATAGCCCACTGTCCACGATCGGTCGCCAACGGAGTATTGTTCCACTGCAGCCATGACCAGAGTCCAATGAACGTGAGAGCAACCGCCATCTTGAATCCAAACTTGAATTCTTCCGACTTGAACGGCTGGAGGTTTTCCCAGAACCAGTACCGCCATGTCTTAGGTTTTGGAACGTTCACAAAGATGGTCCTGGGCCGAGGTGGCTCTGGAGGTGCGGGAGCTGGCGAAGGTGACTTTTTGCGAGATGGTGAGGTGGACTCGGATTCGCTATCCTCTGAGGAGTGCCGGCCACTAAATCCAGAAAACAGGTTGCGAGCACGACTCTTCTTGTCCTTCTTGCCTGCCTGGTGCTCAGAGTCGCTGTCGGTACTGTCAGAATCGACAGAATAAGGACCCTCCTTGTGACTCGTCTTGGCAGCCGGGCCGGAAGGTGGATGATGGTCAGGGAGTAGTGCCGGTGACATGCTTGAAGAAAATGAAGGAACTTGCTGCTTAGGCGACATTGCCGATGACGACGGCAAGACTGAAGGACCTTCGCCTGCATCCGAGTCCGGTGAGAGTGGCGACTTCCTGGCCTTAAATAGTTTGCTGATGTCCAGTTCCGGTGGGGCGGTATAGTTCGGCTTAATGACATGGATCTTGGGCAGCAGCTCGACCTGGTTGGTGTCATCAAAGTGCCTCAAATCCTCCTTTTGCTTGTGCCCCAACGACCTGAACGACGGAATCTCGACGACGCTGTACTGGCCAGCCTGCTTGGACCCACTCTCCTCCGGAGCCTCAACCTTCTCATCTTCGAGCGATGGCTTCAAGTCCTCTCTGTTTCCAAGGACGTATGGGTTGCCCAGATCCAGATCCGGTTCTTGCTTCTCCTCGACAATTTCATGGCGCGAATGGGAGTTGCCGAAAAGACGCTGGTGACTGCGGTGGCGGCGTGGGCTGCCCGACGTCCAGTCGTTACCTGTCCTGAGACGGGAGTTAGATCTCGACCTACGCTCCTGCGGCATCTTTTCCTGTCCACGAGGGTTGCGGGCGTCGTCGTGTCCTTGTTCCAGATCCACATCCTGGCTCCTGCGATGAATAAGGTTCGACAGGGTCACAGTGCGGCGCAAAGGAATGGGTGCCCAAAGATGAGTGACCCGTCTCTGGAGTTCCTCTCTCTTGTCCGCAGCAGCCTCAGCAGCCACCTCAGCAGCCAACTTGTCGGCGGCGGTCTTGGCAGCTTTAGCCTCCACAATCACCTTCTCCTCCTCGACGGTCATCGGTTGACGGTGCTCCAGGTTCTTGGCCGAGTTGCGGATCAGTGAATTGTAACCCTCACTGGTCTTGACTTGCGAATAACTGCCCCAAGAGAACCAATGCCAAAAGTTGCCAAACACCTTGGGCCACCACAGCTTCTTTTTGCGCTTGTTACGACCCTCCAACTCCATAGTTCGCCGCCCCTGCTCCTCCAGTTCCTCGACGTACTTTCCGAGTCGCAACAGTTCCCGAGCAATCTCCCGAAGTGCAAAGAGGAAGAAAAAGATCAAGAAGATCTCTTCGCGTGGTCCAACATCCAGGGTAGGGTGGGTTGCAATGAAATCCTGCAGTCCCTGAGCCTCGGCCTTGTCGAACACCTCCAGTTCTTCGGTGAGGTACTGAACGTACGACATACCTAGCGGCAGAGCAAAATCCTCTTCCTCCTCCAATCCCGAAGACGTCATCTTGTGGAGCGTATCCTGTTGAAGGAACTTATTGGGATGGACCGTGTTGGCTGACTTTGGATCCTTGCCCTTCTTGCCCTTCTTGCCCTTGTCACCCACATGGAGTCCCGGTCCCATGCTCGCCTGGAGCGCTTCAGCATAGTCCAGATCCTCCTTGGTCAGCTTATGGGACTTAACACCCACCAAAGCTCGGAGACGATCCAATGCTGTCAGTCCTGTACCAGCTGCCTCCTTGGGTGCCTCACAAGTAGCCGCCTCGTTGCCAGCGGCATTGGTGTTGACTGTCGCTCCATTGGCCGCCGCTCTCTCGTCCTCTGCTTTCTTGGCCTCGATCGCGCGGATCGCGGCCTCTCTCTGAGCATTCCTCCTCTGAATACGCTCCAAGCGATCCTGCTCGACATTGAGTCCCGAGACAAGCTCCATCTCCAGGGCCACCATTACGCGTGAACAGGAGCCACTCAACCGCTGCAAGGGATCCCGTACAATGTCCAAGAATGACATGAACAACTTTCGGTCTCCAAAGGCAACCTCCTTGGGTGGGATCGCTCTCGCGGCCGCAATAGCCTGCTCCTGCTTCTTGATCCGATGCTCCTCGGCTCTGCGCTCACGCTCCGCCTGCTTCCGTTCCCGCTTGATCTGGTTCTCTTGCTTCTTCCTGTACGCCTCAGCCGCCTTCCTGACTTGCTGATCCGACAATGATGTCCCGAATCGGATTCCCCCGACCGTCCGGTAATGGCGATTGTTCAGCTGGTCGTCCTCTGGGAAAGCTCCGGCAGGAACAGTGGCATAGTGATCCATGGGGATTCCTGCAGAGCGCTCATCGTCCTGGTCTCCTCGCCCCTTGCCCCACTTGGAGTTACCAGGTTTGAATCCTTCTTTCAGCGACGAAGGGCGGTTGGCCTTGAACCTGGAGGCAGACTTGACCGAGAAGAGGGACTTGAAACTCTTGACCGTATCCAGGTTGGCCTCCTCATAGATCGAGTTGGGACGCGAAGAGTTTGGGGTGGTGGCGTTGGAAGGGTATCCGCTCGATGGACGAAGGGTTTCAGAGGTTTCCAGTCCTGTCCGCTGCTCAGGCGACATGTTCCTGGACCGATGCGCCTGGTGGTATCCAAAGACATTGAAAGAGCCTCGACCTCCTGGCGTTGGTGGTGCGGTCGCGAATCCACCGCGATCAAACTGGAATGTCTGCTGAAGACTCTCCTTCTTGGCGTTGTCCTGCTGCTGCTGCTTCGCCTTCAGGGCCGCCTGTGTCGAGTTCTCGGCTCTCTGCAACAGTTGTCGAATTCTGCGCAACTCTGCGGCGCTTCCTCTCCGTCGGACGCGTCGGTGGTGGGGCTCGTCATTCCCTTCATCGCTGGTAGGGCTCTCGACGGTATCTGATTTCTTCTGGCGACGGTTGCGCGAGCGATGACCTTTTCCAGTCGTCGATTCTGCAGTTGCGCTCCCGAAATAGTCGGCTTGTTGATTGATATGCTCTCCAGAGTTGGTGTTGCTGTTGGATCGGGAAGGGCGGTCGCGCCTAAGGCCATGACCCTCCGAGTCGCTGTCGCTGTCACTCTCACTGCTGCTATCGCTGGTGGCAAAACTGGTGTCGGACTCGCCTCCGCTCTGAGTTATCAGATCCTCGTCGTCACGGTCGGGATGTCCAAGCATCAACAGGCGCTCGTTCTGCACAACCAAACTCATGGATGCCAAATGTCGCATCAAAGCTGAAACGATTGTCTTGACCTCCTTGTAATCTGCGGGGTTAGTCCTAGAATAGGTCACCTCGTACCGCGCCTCGCGATAGGCGCTGAAGAGCTTCTTTTGGGCGGTCCGAACTTCGGCTTGGGCTTTGTCGATGGCGGACTTTGGCAGGGCGATGGTTTTGTGGTTCAGGAGAAAGGCGCGTGTGCTGAGGTTCAAAAGTGACCGAGATGTGTCCATGGATTCGTTCAGTGCACGTCTAATGTTTTTTTTTGTTGAAATTAATATGCATGGTAATTGTGAGCACAATGTAGACTAGTGCGGAATTGAAGATATTCCAAAACGACAAAAGGGCGCCTCCTCAAAACATTAACTGGATGCCAAACGCCCGTGCTTACCCTAACCCTTCGCTGGCCGTTTCTGGCCAAAAGACGATACTGACGAACAGACAGATTACAACACCAATCATCATAGGACCCATGAGATTCCAAAAGTCGAAAAAGTTGAAATACAAGTTGGTGTGGCTTCTCGTCAACGTGAAGATACCCACGATGGTGTAAATGACGAACGTACAATTCAACTTTGCATATCGAGTCTTGTACAATGTCATGATCCAGACGCCCACGAAAAACCATGCGGCTTCGATCGCCCAGGCGGAATTGTTGCCCTCAGCTAAGTAACGCTGATTGAATGCAGCGACAGCAACCTGGCAGGGTATAATCCAAGCCGCTCCTAAGATGCCTCCGATCACACTGAAGAAGGTGACTTCGAGCTGGGATCCGACCGTTCGAGAAGGATGCATGAACACCACGGCGACATTAGCCATATATGGGGCTGGACCCAACTGAGTTGCGATCGGGGTGATCAATGCTAAGGCAGACGAGATATATAAAGCGATGATGAACTTGACGTGTCGTTTGATGACGCGACGCGAAAAGTGGTTCGTGAACCGTTTCCAGGCAGAGGGTGGAGGTGGAGGAGGAGGAGCAAAGGGGACAGAGTTGGCGCTGTTGATGGACTCGATGGAGGGCGGGCGAGATATTGTCATGCGGTGACTGAGTCGCTCGTGGTCGACAGATGACCTTGCGCTCTTGGGGCGAACGTCTGGGGCAGGGTCAAAGATAGCCATATCAAAGAATCTATATGATGCGGAGTAAACAACGGGCGGTGACAAGGGTTAGCATTTGAGCATTGAGGGACAGACGAGAATGAGAATGAGACGAACATGCTGCACGGAGAAAGGAGTGAAAGTTGGGCAGGAGATGTAAGAAATTTGCGGGGTGTCAATTCAAATCAAACGTGGCTCACAACGCGGTGAACCAACTTTGCTCGGTATTCATGAGGCCATCATTCCCTTTTCAGGGCGAGCAAGCGAAAGCAGTAGAGGATGGTAACAAATGGGATGAGATAGATAGAAAGGAGGATGGAAGGATGCAGGTGGGTTGCACTCCTGAGAACGAAAGAGGTGGCGGATATAAGCGCCGAAAAAAGTATGAATAGAATTGGAATAGCAAGTAGGTACATAGTATGGGCCCATTACGCAGAATGAATTGAACCCTCGATCGAGGTTCAAAAACACCGACCGAGGGGCAAACCACACTAGGAGCAAAAGATATGCGTGAACACATGGATACACAATTCATTCAATCTGAACAGAACAAAGCACTCACCCTCCTTTTTGCCGCTGTGGATCGGCCTTTTCGCTGGGTCCATAAGGGTTTGAAAGACTGGATCGGCGAGAGTGGGTCATTGACAGAGGGTAGGACGCGGAAGGAGGATGGTGGAGAGTGTGGTAGTGATTGAATCCTCCCGCTCCTGTCCTCGATCCTGACAGTGACCCGGAGGATGACCCTGGTGCAGTTGGGATCGCGGGGGTAGTGGGATTCGAGAGCGATTGAGGGTGCAAGTTCGTAACTGATTTGGAAAGGTGTGAGGTTGGGGTAGGTGGCTCGGAGTGGGGGTCGAGGTGGAACTGGATCGAGGGAGGGTGGTGCGGCTGACGGTGTTTAGCGCTGGTAGACTTTGACCTTGTCTTCTTACCCAAGAATCCATAGTTGTTGTTATTACTTGAAGGAGAGGTATGAAGGACAACTGGGCTAGAACGAGGCGAGTTGGAATTGGAATGGGACCCTGAGCCCTGTTGACCACTCTGCTGTCCTCCATTGCTGGCATTGCTACCAGGTAGTAGAGAGAAGTAGAGGGAAGGGGGAGGGGGCATGGGGATGGACATTGCCTGGTAGCCATTGCCTCTAGGGATTGCGCTGGAGCGGTTCGAGGATGAGTTTGGGTGGATGGAGTCGAGGGAGTGTCTCTTTGGGTTGATGGATTGTTTTTTACTAGAAGGATCGAGGGAGGAGGAGGAGGAGGAGGCGGAGGAGGAGGAGTGAGGTTCGCCCCTTCCACGGCGTGAACCCGACGGCCTGCCCATTGTTATCTGTGAATGGGGTTAACGTAACGGTAGGGGTAGGTAGGGGTAAGGCTGGTTGGGGTTCTTGTGTTGGTGCGACAATGACTATGAATGCAAGTAGGTCATGAAGTAGAGGAGGGAAGAAAGGAAGGAAGGAAGCAAATGAGATTAGACGAGAAAGAAAGTAAGAAGAAGGGAATGAGGGAAAGAAGAGTAATGTCGGTGGGGAAGTAGAAAAGGAGAAGGGGAGAAAAGGTTAACGAGACGAAGGACAGAGAAGAGGAGAGGAGGAGTAGAGGAGAATGAAAAGGAAAGAGGGTTCAAGAGGAAGGAGGATGGGCAGAAAAACGAGGGAATTTCAAACCCCAAGATCATCCGGAGGAAATAAATAGCTGAACAAACTCAAAAAACAAAGAGGAGACACACGGTCAACAGGACGAGGAAGGGCAAAGGCAATTGAGTTGAGCAAAAAACAAAGCACAAAAGAGCGAACAGTTGGAAGGGGGACATGGATAGACCAACAACGCATTGGACAAGAGGAAGAAGACTTGTGAAAACGCCCTGAATGGATGGAGTATATGTTATGGTGCGGGAGGCGTGGTTGTTCTGTTGAAGGAGCTTTAATTCGTTGGTGATCGACGTTCCTTATTAGTCTGAGTCAGAGAGTCAGAGGGATGGGGTGTAATAAAATTAACCGGCCTTCTTTGTGTCTCTCTCATGCACATCCACTGGAGCATTGTTCTTGACTCTTTTCCCCACATGAAGGCACCCTTGCAGTTTGCTCTAGTCATGCTGCCGTGCATCGAGGGCAACGTGCTAGGTAGGGGTGTAACAAGGTATACAGCATTCACACTCCTACCCACCTCGCATCGTATGGCGCAAGTAGGCTAGAAAACATCACATCCGATAAAATAATCAAGAGCAGTTCCATCCCTTATCGATACGCTGATAATGCATGTCCCCCTATTCAACGAATAAACGAACGAGATCCATTCATCCCATTTCATTGTGCAAGTCAAAACCTACACTCACCTCCTTAATGATACCCATTGCTAAGCTAGCGATCGAGATACCCTGTCCATACGGCGGCCTATACCCTGTTCCTTGCGTACCCTGTCCATTGTCCATCGTCCATTATTCATTGTGACTATTTAGGCCATACTTGATCTCTACATCCAGAAAAGTGGCCAAAGCGTAGAACATTAATGAAATAAACGTGTTCGACATATTCCTATTCCCATACAGCGTCCGCCCATTCATGGGCAAAGGATGATGGTACGCACTAATGTACTGCAACCGCTCATCCCCCGCCATCTCGTCAATTCGAGCAGAGAGGGCGTACTTCTTCTCGGGACTGTAGACCCGTGAATCAAACATGATCTTGAAACCAGTTGGAAAGGGTCGCCCATGGGGGCCGATGAGGATGACTTGACTGTTGATGGTGATCTCTCCTGCTTCTGGACGGGACATGTCGACTAGTCTCACGGTGATCCGTGATTCGGGACTCGTTGCGCCTCCTGGCTGGCTGATAAGTAGTCGTCCTCACACCGACTCGAACGTCATAGAAGGAAGGGGGTGGGATATAAATGCGAAGATGAGGGCTGAGGAAAGATGTAGGGTAGATAGATGGTTGCTGTCCTTGTTGCAAAAGAAGAGAAGGTGGAATGGGTTGATACAAGAAAAACGTTAAAGGTTGAAGATGCTTGATGATAGCAATAAGGAATTAGGGTGTGCTGATTGCTGGCTAAGAATAGGCAAGAGTTGCTTAGAAGTAGGAAGGAAAAGGAGAAAAAGACGCTGATCTAACAAGGAGTAGTTGGCAAGGAACTGTGTCGGTGGAAAAGGGAGAGAAGAAAAGAGGAGAGGAAGTTGGACAACAGCGACGATCAGGGGTCCAGCAGCTCAAATTAGGGCTGTGGAACACCGGCCTGAAAACACAACAGAAAATAATAATCCACGCTAGGAGTCATTCAGGACACATTAGTCATAGCCCATGGCCATTCATTACATGCAGCCATCCACCCAATTGAACCCGAACACCCATAACGTACACAACAATAGGCAACGAGAAAGAGTAATAAAAGATGCAAAATTCAAATATCCATTGTTTGTGTGTGTGTTCTATCCTATCCATGCAAAAAAAAATATATAATAATAATTTCCTATGTTCTCTCAGTGTCCCCTGACAACCAACGTTTACTTGGAGCGGACGTACTTTCCGACAACCAAGGCGTGGTCTCTCTCGAAAGGCTCAAGAGTCAATTGCTCCTGGGGCTTGATGCGCTGCTCCTGAAGCTTGGGGATCTCTCCAGCAAAGACAGTGGCGGCATCAACAGTCGAGTCGATACAGTTGGCCTTGATCGAGATGACAATATGTCCGTTGTTCTTCAAGAAGTGGTGGGCGTTGATTCCAACAATACGAGACTGATCGGGCTGGGCAACATCAGCAAAGATGACATCGACCATACCGACCAACATGCGGTACTTGTGGGGGTGACGGGCATCCTCAATGATAGGGATGACGTTGGTGCGCTTCTTGGCCATGTTGATGAGATCACGTCCAGAGCGGTGGGAGAACTCGACGGCGTAGACGAGACCCTCGGGTCCGACAATATCAGCAACGTGGGAAACGGTGGTACCGGAGGCAGCACCGAGGTAGAGGACCTTCTTGCCGGGGGCAATGTGGATGTTGTCAACACCTCCGAGGACACCGGCAGCGACCTTTGAACGGAAAGGGTTCCAGACACGGTACTCGATTTTAGCACCATCAGCGCCCTCGATCGAGATGCGCTTCTCACCGTAGACAGACTCGCCGGGAACCAAGTTCTTGGTCAAAAGGTAATCCTCCTTTCCGTGGGCAACAAAGATACCCTCGTGTCTGTGGGGCTCGACAGTGACCTTGGCACCACCACGGGCACCACCACGGGCACCACCGCGACCACCACGGCCGCCGGGAGCGCCGCGCTTAGCGACACCTACACATGATTAATTTAACAAAGGGAAGTTGTTATTAGTGAACTGCTGATAATATGCAAGCGCATTTAGTGACAGAGCATGCCCAAAATCTTTCAGCTTCTCAAATGCAACCAGGAGATGAGAAAGCAAAAGACTTTCTTAATCAACTAAGTGACGAAGAAATCCTTCAAGCATCTTGGCACAGAGTATTAAGGAGACTTACCACCACGACCACCACGGTCACCGAAACCGCCACGTCCGCCACCACGGCCACCACGGTCACCACCGAAACCGCCACGTCCGCCACCGCGACCACCACGGTCACCACCGAAACCGCCACGTCCGCCACCACGGCCACCACGATCACCGCCGAAACCGCCACGACCGCCACGGCTACCACCACGATCACCTATTATGTCATAAAGTTGGATTGTTTACAATGGTTAGTGTTTAGCTCAAAGATCGGTCTTGCTTTCTTTGAGTGAGGTTGGTATCCTGTGTACGTTGTCTTTCGATCCAGTCCTTTGGAATATGTGAGTATGAGAGGTTCAATTGACTGTTCAGCTGCTTGTTTGTCCTTTGAAAGTATCGAGCTGTGAGTGCATCCTGTTGTCCTTGACTTGCTATTCCAGTTGTCGCTGCCGTTGTGTGAGTGAGGATAGGAGTTAGATTGGCGAAAGGAGCGGGTGAACATACCGAAACCCATTGTTATATGTAGTAGGAAGGAAGGAGAGAAGGGGAAAGAGAGAGAGTCTTTTTCGATTAGCGAGAATCAAAAAAGGAGGAGGGGAGGAAGGATGAAGGATGCAAAAGAGTGAACAAACACTTCAAAACGACAACTGTCCTTTTGTCTTGTGCTCTCACTCCCTCGCTCTCTCCAAACTTTTTTTTTTTTTTTTTTTTTTTGTTGTTTACCTGCAAAATAAGCAGTCTTGTTAAATTCACGTGACGAATGTTCGACTGCACCTTTGTGCCCTTTTGTCTCCCTTTCATCGACCTACTGAACGAACAACGGGAACGTCGTGGCAAAACCAAAACCACCGTTCCGACTCGCTGCAGTTCGCTCCTTTGCGGCAACTTCGCAGTTGCTCAAGAGTGCAACCTGGCCCATAATTGAACTCTAAGCAGCCTATTTAGCCTGAACTCGCACGTCTCCAGAGCGTAGACGTCGTCTCCAAAAAGGAATCCATGTCACTTGGTAACAGCACCAATACCTCCAGAGGAACTGCCAAGGTACAGCCAACGCCTTTGATGCCAAAGATGTCAGGCAACTCGGATCAGGCAGTCCATTGGCAGCGAGGGAAGGTCAACAATGAACAGGCAAACGTGACACGAAATAAACATTACGCCTTTATGAGGTGGACAAGGGCCGCATGGTGCATTGACCTTGTTGATTTGTGACCCTTCGATAATTCAAGTGTACAGCGGTCTCAAAGTCAAAGCCACTTCTCCGCTTCCACAATAATATATCGGCGTATCTCGTGCCTGTGGAGTGAGTGCTTGGAGTGAATGAAACATTTTTTTTCCCTCGAGGCCGAGACCCGCGGTTATCTAGCTCCATCTCTTTTGCCCAGCCTAGCCCATTGGTTCACTCGTTTCTGACGTCCAGCTGGGAAGGAAGGGGGGGGGCAGTCAGTGAATCAGAACCCTCTGCTCGTTCTTATCCACATGCACTCCATATGCATTCTTGAATCGTTGCACAGTTACTCAGCTGCACAGTTGCTCAGCTGCACAGACAAAAGACACAAAGAGTCGACCGAATCCCTCCTCTCTTTCGATCGCGCCTGGATGTCTCTGACTCCCCTCTCTTTTGTTTTTTATTTTATTTTCCTTTCTGGCTTTGTTCTTCATCTCTCCGCACCTTCTTCCTTGTCCCTTTTTACTCAACTTTACCCGTTCATCTTATTTCTCTCCTACCCTCACACCCACGCCTGTACACACCACACACACACTTTCTCCTGTCTCTTCTCTTTGATACCCCCCTCCCCCCCCCCCATTACACTTTTACATATCAAACAATATACACACCATGCCAGTCGATATGAAGCACACCGTCATGTCCTCAAACCAATGCCACCCATCTATCAACATCGCACCCTACATCTCAAAGCAAGTCCCTCTCTGTGCTTTCTTTTGTTTAGGCTCAACAGAAGAACCAAATTCGCAGATCCTTTTCTCTTCGATAACAAACAACACTCCGCCCAGTAATTGGAAATTCTAACCACGGACCATGCTCCCCATCTCCTTTTTTTATTTCTGTTCACACTCGGCATAATAGATTCGTGCGGAGTCTGTATGGGGAAGAGGAGGTGCCGATCAAGGAGCTTCCGTTCTCGTTCACCCAGTTTGGCGCTGTCCTCATGGTCGACATTGTCGGCTTTAGTCAGGTAAAAATAGAATCAAGAAAAAAAAACTTGCCGGGGGGTGGCTGTGTGTCTTTTTCTCTCTCTTGCATTATCGGTGCTTTGTGTTTGCATTAAGGTGGGCTTTTGAGATCAACTGTAATATGTGTACAACCGACCTAGCAATAATGCCTCTATGAACATGTAAGTAGATGACAAGTATAGCCTCGTCAAAAGGAGACGTCGGAGCAGAGATGCTCGCCTCCCAGATCGGTGCCTACTTCGACCTCGCCATTCGCATCATTGAGTTCCACGGAGGAGACGTTGTCAAGGTACACCCCTACTGCCTCTCACTTGCTTACTCGCTTTCTTTTAAAAGTCGACACTCAACCAACTGCTGTGCTAACGAAACCTTCGTCCTGCTGAACTAGTTCCTGGGAGATGCACTACTGGTCGTGTTCCAACAAGATCCCACGCCTGCTCGTGTGCATGGATCAGACACATCGTCATCACCACTATTTCAGGAAGAGAACCCAGCAGCGACCCTCAAACGTAACAAGATTATCGTTCGGAAAGCAGTCGAATGTGGTCTGGAGCTCCTGGCACGGCTATCCAACTACAGGATGTATCTCTCCGAGCGGGAGTACTCCAGAAAGCTTTCAGCATCTTCTATCGGGGTCGAGGACGGTGTCTCTTCCGAGGACTCTTCAGCCTCTGTCGCAGGGAGCGCTGGAAACGGCTTGTCAGATTCACGGAGATCATCATTGAATGCTTTAGGAGGCGCAAATGGAGCTCACCCCGGCACCATAAAGATTGGTAATATGACGACTGGACCGGCTTTTGGCGGTGGACACCTTGGCACCTCCGAGTTTCCAATGGGGTTTGGTGTCGCCAGTGGGATAATAACCCCAACTTTGGTCCCTGTTCTCAATATCGTTCCGCCTGGTCAAAACAACAACAGTTCTGGACATGTCAATGATCAAAGTCATATAGGACCAGGAGGAATTGCTGGATTCAAAAAACGAGAGGGGTCGGTTGTTTCCTCGATCAAAGGAAGCTCAACTGGATCCAACAAGTACCGCAACGGGACCTTTCTATCCAACGCCAAGAATCTATTTACGCATACCAATTCGAGCGATCAACAGAGCGGCGGATTGGCAAGCGAGGTTATGTCCCTTACCGAAGGGTTCGTTGCCCCAGACGACTCCCATGATCTGCAGCTCCACATGGCTCTCTCCGCTGGTGACATTAGTACGTGATTCTGACAAATTGGCGTTGCGAACTGCTCTTCTGTTTCATATAAAATAGTTTACACCAACTTACTGTAAACTCTCTTTAACGCTATAGCAAACATCATTATCGGAGATGAAGGCGACAACGACGCATTCAACAACCTGCTGACGCAAGAAACGGGGCGACTCGAGTATGCAATCTGCGGCGAACACATGTCATCAATCGACGACGCGCTCAACATGGCCAGGGCTGGCGAAGTCACCATCACAAAGCGTGCCTGGAAGTATGTCAACCCGGACTCTTACCCCTGGAGCGAGCCTCGGAGGAACTGCTTTATTCTCAAGAACAACCAGCCCCCCGAGAGTATTGAGGCACCTCTTCTTCGAAAAGTCCGGAACGATAGGCTACTCAACATAGGAGGCGACGTCAATCCTAACTACTTTAAGTAAGTTTGAAGGCGGAGCAATGCTCGAGACTATAAATTTATAGTCAAACATCTAATCACATTGTTCCTTTTAAACCATAATAGGTACATCAACAAGTCGGCGATCCATCGGTTGATACTGTACCCAGACAGCAACTTTCCGGCGCAGTTCAGAAATGTCACCATCTTGTTCATCAGTCTTGGAGATATAAAGCCGTGGTCGCCTGAAGGGCTTGCGTTCTGTCAAAAGGCCATGATCATCGTCCATCAAGTCACTTCAGCTTATGAAGGTAACCTCACTCATCTCTTACAAGTGCGACTCAACCTCTCGACTCGGCGTTATTGACCCCTGCAATGTGCCATCTTGCCACTGTTGTCTTATTAAATAGGTTTCATTCAGCAGTTCGCGGTCGACGACAAGGGAGCTACACTACTGTGCGCATTCGGTCTTCCGTACCCTCGTTCACACGAAAAGGAGGCCGTCTTTGCTGCCAAGTCAGCATGGATGATCCGGCAAGGGTTCCTGGCACAAGGCATGCACGACTTCAAGATCTCGCTGGCCACCGGCGTCATTTTCACCTCCATGATCGGTAACGAGTTCCGTCGCGACCCTGCCATTGTCGGAGACACCATTGTCATTGCAGTCCGCATCCTCAAGTTTGACTACGCCACGGACTCGATCGTATTGGATGACGCGACCAAGGTTGCCTGCATGACCGATAGCGACGAGTTGTGCGAGTTTGAAGATCGAGGGGAGGAGTTTGTCAAAGGCAAGACGCATCCGCTTCGGATCTGGAGGCTGGTGCATTTCGGCGCAAAGAAGCAGACGCGTCGTCCCGAAGATGTTGGCGTCGACGAGACGATTGGATATGAACCAGAGAGGGAGAAGATTGTCAACCATGTCACGACCTGGGCTAAAACTCCCGACCACCACACCATCCTGGTCATTGGCCCTCGAGGGTCAGGCAAGAGCATGTTCTATCACCAAATGATCCATATGGCCGACAACTTTGGTTACAGAATTTGCTCCGCTGCGTCTGCCGAGGTCGAGAAGAACACAGAGTACTACCCCGTCAAGTTCCTCCTCCTGGGTCTGTTTGATATTATTCGCCAACGCGACATTCCTTATGGCTCCAAGTCGACCAACACTACTGTGTCGCCTCCACTGACCACATATGGTGTTGAGGAGGGTGAGATTCTCCCAAACCCTGTTACCATTGTGACTGGTCCTGCGACAAGCGCTGCGGAGGAAGAACTTCATCTACTTCCTGCCACGATTGGTAGCCCTGGAATGCTGCAGCCCAAATCAGGCGTCATACAAGCTACCGATACTTCGACAACTGTACCGTCCACACATCTGGATCGCCGCCGCGCAAGCAACTTCTCGATCGACTTGGACGACTGCCCGACGATCAGCCAGTATGGAGAGCCCTCTGCTCGTCGTTCGGCATCGATGACAAAGCTGGAGGCATACATCATCGTCTGCTTGGCCAAGATTGGGGAGAAGGATTCCAAACTCTTGCCCAAGCTGAACAAGATCATTTCGGCCATCTCTTCTGACAATGCGACCCCACTGGTGGAAGAGCGCGACGACGATATCCTTGCCGACTTTATTGTCGACATCCTTAACTATGCCAGTCGCTTCGTCAAGATTATCGTCATGTTTGAGGACCTCCAATGTAAGTTATCCTTATCATATTTGATGTCGCAAGGTTGTAAGCCATCTGTAGAAGAAAACTGATCACAGTATTTACTGAATGAAAATAGGGTGCGACAAAAAGTCCTTGAATATCTATCGAACCATTCATGAGCGTTGTCCTATGGTCTTGGTCGTCCTCTTCTCCCGCCCCCAGCGAGATTACGGCGGCAACATCGCCATTCAAGCATTCGCCAACCACCCACACCATCTTGAAATCGCTCTCGAGGGACTCAAGCGCCGCGAAATCGAGCTCGCCCTCATCAAGGCCTTCAAGACCAGCGGCGTCACTAGAGTCAGTCCAGAGGTCATTGAGCTGGTCCAACAACGAACCAAGGGCAACCCCAAGTTTGTTAAGAACATGGCCACGATGCTCATGGATTTCTGTCACGTCAACATTGTCGATGGTGAGCTCCTCTCTACAGGTCAGGAGGCCAACTCGGACCCCTCGTCCAAGGTTATGGAGGAGATGGTGATGAAGCAGGATCGCAAGCGGACAACGTTGATGCAGTACGATCGTCTTCGGCCTCGGTTTCAGGACTTTCTCAAGATTGCAAGTTGTCTCGGTGACAGGTTCTCACTTGCCGAGATCGCCGCCATTCGACCGTTGGAGAACTTGCTAGGAACCCCGGAACCGGGCAAGTCGTACGCCAATGTCATCAGCGATCAGGACACTTATCGGTTCCTGTCCATGGCCACGGACCAACAGACCAACATTCAGTTCTCCAACAGCGTCGTTCTTCAGACCATCTACACCTTTGGGTCGCCCTCCACGGCTGGCCACATTTACGATTCGATCCCTTATGAAGAGCGTGTCGGCTACCACCTCAAGATGGGCCAGTTCTACGAGTCCTTCCTGGAGCAAGGATACATTGAAGATCTGACCGAGCTGCCATTGAACGGACAGGATCTGCTGCCCCAGATCACCCGCCACTACATGAAGACCGAGCACACAGAGAAGAAGATCAAGTACCTCAAGGCCCTCTCTTCATTCGATCTCAAGAGCAACATGTTGACCAACGCCACCCAGAACATCAACGACTTGATCTTTATCCTCGACACGGTACCAGGCGCCAGGGAGATGGTCAGCCAGGAGGACTTGGCCGATATTTATAGGATCAAGGGCGAGTCGCTCTCGAAGCGGATGCGGATCGAGGAGGCTGAGCCGGCTTTGATGGAGAGTCTGGCCTATTACGGGATCGCTTGGCCGCAGACAAAGCAACAGTGGAAGGTGGAGCTCCTGCGCGAAGGTCTCAAGTTCAAGTTCCACCATATCCGAGGAGCAACGCCAGTGCAGCCACCCAAGCACGGCCAGCGAGAGCCAAAGGCCAAAGTTGAGGGCAAGGAGAAGGTGCGGTACCAGCGCATCATTCGCGTGATGTATTGTCTCCAGAACATCTACTTTTGGTTGACCCACCCCAGTGCCGCCATGCTGGCGTGTCTCTACACGCTCAAGTATTCCAGGAAGTTGGGTCAACCCTCCGGAATCCAGACGGCGTCATTAGGACGGATGGGTCTCTTGTACTACTTTCAGAACAAGAAGCGGCTCTGCGAAAAGTACATGAACGACTCCTGGGCCATGGACAAGGATGGACAATCGTCCGAGGGCATGCTCCCTGCCATGGCTGCATATGTTGAGTACAGTGAAGGTCGACTGGAGGAAGCTCACCGGCTGTTGGTCAAGTCGATCCAAGAGTCCAAGACGTTTGGTGTTGTCACCCATCTAGCGTCCTTCTACCGAGCCGTGATCATGAAGTCTGCCTACCGGATGTGGGAAGGTGCCTACAATATCCACCCAGAAGACTGCCAGCTTCTCCGCACCCTCTCGGCGGTAGCGATCCAGAACGGCGACTCGGAAGGCGAGACCCTATTCGCGATCCCTACCCTGTCCAATCTCCTCCTTCAAGATCGACTCCGTGAGGCCGAGTCATGGGTGGTCCTGATCGAAAAGTTCATCATGCCCAAGGCCCGGTTGATGAATCTCTTGATCGGCCATAGTATCCTCGGGTACTACTACGCTAGGATAGGTCAATACGAGAAGTCGCGGCTCTACCTGGAGTTGTTTGGCGACGTGATTGATATCCCGGCCGGAGGCGCACATCCGTTCCCCGTGATGAGTTGTATGTTCTCGTTGATGTCACTGTACGAGATGCTCGAGAACGGCCGGTCGATCGAGAATGATGCCGCTTGTCCATCCACATTCCTTCAAACGCGAGCTCCAATCATTATCGGACATATCCTGAACTACCTCAAGAACGAACCCGCATCCCCCATCCCAAAATCATACACCTGTCTCGGCGAGAGTCTGATGTCTCTATTGACCCCAGGTCGTGAGAAGGAAGGAACCCAGAGATTGGTCCAAGGCTACAAGGAGCTGAGCGGGCACCTGAACGGACTGCATTTCGTAAAGGCCTACTTTCTGGCGCGAGTCGGTCGATATTGTCCAGACCCTGCCCAGAAAGAGATCTACTACCGAGAAGCCCACGAGTTGTTCATCAAGATGTCGATGGATTCCTCGTTTTGGCTCTCGGACCCCAACTCGCCCTGGATCCCGCCTACAAGAGCAGCCGCCGGCGGTCCGGAGGAGCACCGTCGTAGTTTCATCCGCAGCGACATGCCAACGGCTACCCACTCTGCTCCCATGGAAATGGGAACCCTGGGTTGGGCTGTTGCAGAGGCCAAAGTGCATCCTGAGGTCCTCCAGCAGCCCTTCAGTCGCAACGGCAGCGGCGGTGTCGACCCACCACCCGGTATGGACACCAACCAATCTGGAGCAATAAAAGGCGAAGGATGGGGAGTCAACGCAACAGACCAGGCCTTGTCGATGCCATCACCTCCTGCAGCAGCAGCAGCACCATCTGATTCCGCCATTGCTCCTTGGGCTAACGAAAAAGGGACAGGAGCAGAAGGAAAAGCGGGAGAAGGGGCGAGACCGAGATCGGAACTCGAGCCAGAAATGAACTTTGAGAGCCATTTGACGCTGACGGCGAGCAGTACCGGTACAGTCCTCAAGGTTCCCAAGTGCCATAGCTATGTGGCATTGGACGAGGGGTTGTTTGATTACGAGCTGGCGACGGCTGCGAGGGTGACGTGTCCTCCTGTCCAGGATATGAATGGTGGCAATACTGGCGGTGTTGTTAACCTTGCCGGGGTGGAATTCAATGGCCAAGCGACCCAAGGCCAAGTTATGTAAAGTATTGTATTTGTGATTATTAAACTGCATATTTGTTCAAGTTTATATATGTACACCAGTTCATAAAGATATATCATAGAGATATGATTGAACTTAGTACAACGCTGCTCTACAAAAGTATTATGAAAAGGATGATAAAGGTTCCAGGTGCTCAAGGTCCGACGCCAAGCTTAGCAGGGGCGCCATCCATGGTCAAATGAAAGAAAAACGAGCCCTGCATACGCCTCACGATCTCCCTGGTCTGTGCCTGCTGTGGACCGTGCACTTTCGCAGCCCATTGGCCTCCCTGCTCGATAATGAACGACTCCAAGTACGGCAGACACCGCCCCGCCACACCCCTCGTCTGGATCTCTTCCAGCAGATCTGCAACCTGCTCCAGCGTTCCTGCAATCGACTGGTCCCTCTCTCGACGCCTGTACCCGCGCGACATCCTTTCGGGGATAACCCGACCGCCACTTCCACCGCGATATATCCGGATCTGATCCTGGATTCCTGCTAGGATCTTGGCATTCAGGGCGCGTTGCATGGGTGTCGGGTCGGGGTGTAACCAGGCTAGGTCACGTTCTGTGAATTGTCCCTCGCGCATGGACTTGACACGGAGTCGTTCGAGGTCAGACATTCGTCGCAAAAGGCACATCCCTCCCTCGAGAGAAAAGTCGATATTCGGACAGTCGATTCGTAGATCCTTCATCTTCAAGAACGCCCCCGTGAGTCCGATAAAGATGTGGCGAGAGAGCCATAGGTTGGCGGGACCTTGAGAGACACCGTTAGGGGATAGCACATCACTTTCGTGGTGGGAGAGTAAATGGAGTGTTTGGAGGCCCTTGCATGTCCATGCGTTCTCGGGTGCCAGGAAGCCCGACTCAAAGTAAGAGAGTGGATAGTTAGCGCCCATGATCTTGAGGTGCACCAACGTTGCTGCCAGAGGGGAGATCAGGTACGCGTGTAAGGCCTTGTGGATTCCTGCAGAATTGCCCTCCTTGTGAATCTCGAGACCCCGTAAACAGCTCAGGGCAGCCACTTGGATTTCAGCCGGCCCGCGAGGGAGCAAGAAGTCCATCAAGCTATCGTTGAATAAGTCGCCCCTGCTAAAAGACCAATTGGGCACCGACACAAACGTGCTCCTGAAAACGTTCATCTCGTTCGCGAGATAATTAGTCCCGCAAAAGCTGACCTGGACAAACTCGAGTCGTGGACAGGACTGCCCAATGTGGTGAAGGAACGCGATCCGACGTAAGGGTTCAGCATTGACCTTTCCTGTTTTTGCATTGAGCCTTCCAAGATACAGCGAGAAGAGCTCCAGCTTGACCAGATCTGGACTGGCGCCGGTCACGGTATCCAAGAGCAGCTGTGAGACCAGGATGTCCTTCATCGTCAAACTCTGCAGAGCCAGCGGTCGGTCAGAAGCAGTCCGGGTCCAAAGCGTATGGTCCTTTGACAGCACCACCTGCACAGCGGCTTCATTAGTCCGTCCCGCAAGTGACAGCTCCCTCAGCATTGGACAGGCATCCAGAATGAAATCCAGCTCGAACGAGGTCTGACTGGACTTTGACAGGTTCTCGATCCTAACCTCCTGAAGCCTGCTCGCAAAAGGAACTGAACATTTGAACAGCGACTCCATCCGTGCCTGGACACGTGTTTCCGTTGGCTGGTAGCCTTCAAACACCAGTCGAGATATCTTTGCCAACCCGCTGCCCTCGGAAACATTCTGAACTTGATTGAAGAGCTCTTGCCAGACACCGTCGTTGCCATGGAAACTTTTCCTCACCAGCGTCATATATGGTTTCGACGAGACGATACGCAACACCTTTGCATCCGGCAAGATTTTTGTCAACAGCTCCAGACGCTCCCCGCGCCCTAGGTTGGCCGACCAGGTGGCGACAACGGGTGGAAGGGGACAGAGCCGACGGGAGACGTCGAGCCAGTCGTGACAGACCAGACTTGCGTATTGGATGACGGCATAAGGGGAGAGGAAGGCAAAGATGTGGGCCAACAGTTCTGGGATACTGAGGACTCGGTGCGGTGTTGGCGGCGCAGTGGCAGTGTCGATAGTTGGTGTTGAGGCGATGGCTGGAATTGGTGTTTCGGGTTTGGGCCTGGCCAGGGTCAGGGATGAAATTAGAAGAGAAAGAGTGTGTTCATTCTTTTTTGGTTTTGTCATTGCGAGTGGTTATTGTGTTTGTGAAAGAGTGTTGGATGTTGTTCAAGGGTGCATGTGAGATGGAAAAGAAGAGAGAGAGAAAAAATGAAATAAACACGTTCGCCCATTTGTTGGTTCAGAAATAGAGAGAGTACAGGGGGACAAGAGTCGACACAAACGGCCGGTTGTTTTTATTTCTACGTCTACCGCAATCAATCAAGGAGGGAAGTAACAAAACCATCTAACGGAACATGAGCGTGAAGGGGTAACCAGGGTTCTTCAGCTTGAAGACCTGGATAAGAATACTGAACACAAGCGTAAACATGCCCATGCACACCCACACTGTTGCACGCTGGCCCACAGGGTTCTCAATCCGGGGCACAACCGCAATCAGTCCAATCGCTGCTCCTGTCAACAACGAGTACAACACAGCAATGATCTGCGTCTCCAATCCAAACTGGTTCTGGAATCCACTCGCAATAAAGCCTGAGCGACCCTGCTGCGAAGGCATAGAGTAAGGGGGGTTACGGATCTGGTTCCACATGTGTCCCGAGATCATCACAAAGATAATGATCTATTTTCATATCCATGACCAGATAAAAACACGCATTAGCATTAACGGTTCACATAGTCAGTCGCGTTATCTTTCCAAGCTAACAAATATTAAACGCAATTGAACAAAAGGGATATCTAGGTAATTGAACGAAGTGTACATCGAAGCAAACTAATATCATCGAAAGGTGTAACAAGGGCGAAGAACTTACCATGGAAATAGTAGACCAGAAATACTTGCTGCCAAAGATCTTGCGTCCCTTTCTAACGAAAAGAATGACAGAAAAGACAGCTGTAAAAGTGCCAAGGACCTTGACAGCCAAGCCCATAAAGTCAAAGGGACGCTGCACTGGGACTCTGACTCCCGATCTCGCCTGCAACCACGCAGCGAATGGCTCCGCCTGGAAACCACTATCCTCGTTAAAACATAAAGAAGTATGCAGTGTTAACCATCAGGTTTAGCCGGCGGATGCGCGCATATTGGTGACCTCTCACAGAGCTGTATGGTGTTCGTTGTCTGGTATATCCTTGTTTGTCTATTATCCCATGTGCTCATAGTTCATCGTAGTCCGATCCGGTGTAGTCCAGTGAGGTTTAACCCTGAGCCAAACAAGCCGACAACCAATATCCAATTGAACAAAGAAAGAAAAGAGAGTGATGTACCTCTTTCCAAAGTCATAACGGTCTTGGGAAGGATCGCCAGAGATGCTGCTAGAAGCAGGGAAATACAAGACGGAGGGAGCGCTGTTCATGCCAAACTTTTGAAAGATAGCCTGTCCAGCCTTGAAATCGAGGATGCTGAAGAAGAGCTGCGACTTGTTCGCCAACTTGGACCAGCCAGCGGCGACCATCTTGTATTCGGGGTCAAAGTTCCTATTTTTTTTTCAATTGCTCCGTTTTAGTTAGTATACTGTATCGTCCTTCGTGTTTGCATTGGTGTGTGAGATAAAACGCGATTAAAAACACGAAAAAAAGCGAATGTGATTTACAAGCAGGGAACACAGTTGAACTCGGGGCTGATGGCGGTGAAGAGAACGACCATGGAGTAGTTGCGAGGCTTGGCCATAACATCTTCAAAGGCAAGCGAGTCGAGTTGGATGACGCCCTTGTTCTTGACCGCCTTGGCCTCGAGGCGGGCGACCTTCTTCTGGAGGAGGGCCTCATTGTCGTTCTGGGGCTGGGCGTGAGCGAACAAGGATGATGTAGAGGAGGAAGACGCGCTGAGGAAGGCGACCAGGGCCAGGAGCAAGGTCAGGAACAGCGTCCTGGAGATGACAGCCATGGTTGTTGTTTTAGTTTGTTTGGCTGGTTTAAAGGGAGATGTAATAAGAGAAGAAAGAAAAAAGAGAAGTGAAAGTGACAGAGATGATGCTCCTTCTTCTCAACCGTCCCTTTGGTCCTTTGGCTCGTTGGCAGTCCACGACAGGCGCACAATCGCGCTCTCTTGATGAAATGAACGTTATTGAAGGTACCCTTAAACACATCACGTGAATGAATCTATTAAAATGATACAACTACATTAGATTACACAGCGACGGCGACCTCGGTAAGACAAGACTCGCTAGACTCATCGTCTGTAGACACCTCAAGGTGCTCCAACTCGGCAGACGGACGCCCAGACGGTCCATCTACTTCTGCAACAATAGTTGCTTCTTCTGCTTCTATTACTAATACTGCTTCTGCTGCGGCAACCGCGGCTGCCGCTGCTGCTTCCTGAGACTCACGCGCCTCAGTCTGGAAACGGATCGACTGCTCAAGACACTCGACATAGATCTGGTACTTAACCATCTCCTTCAACAAGTACCGCGACCGCCGCTCCCAATTGTTAAATGCCTTGTTGTAATTATGGGACTTTGGCAAGAACTATTTGTCAGAACAAGAGGATAAAGAGGCATTGTTAATATATGAACAAAACACATATTTCAAACAAACACAAAAACAAAAAAAAAGACAGAGAAACATACGAGCTTCATCATGGGCACGCGCTGCTCTTGGTGGGACTCCATCTCGGACTCGAGACTAATAACCTGGCGCTTCAGGTTTTCGCACTGTTCCTCCTCCGTCATTTGGACCATGCTCAGCGTAGGAATCGGCGGGCTCCAATCAAACAGAAGCACACGGTCTCCCAAAGGCACATTCTGTGATCCGAAATGTTTTGACGACGACGATTTGATCGATGATGTCCTCCCGCCTCCAATACCAGAGCCATATCCACCACCTCCATACCCAAATCCAGAGTGCGTTGGCGATGGCAGCGAGGCTCCTCCTCCCGAGACCGCTGGGGGTGGGAAATTCAAGAAGCTTGATCCTGCTGGCTTGGGTCCGTTCTTGATACTTGCATCGTCATCTTCACCGCTCAGCATAAGCAGACTGGTCCCGCTAGAGTTGCCGTTGGGCACAATTGAGGAGGTCGATGAAGAAGCCGTCAAGGAATGACCATGTGTTAATCCTGCATGCCCACTCTCGCCCCAGGCCGACTCGCCATCCTGCTCCAGCAAATCAAGGCACCGACCCCATCCATAATCCATGTTGACAACTCCTCCTGAAAGTGGTTCCTTGGAGGTCTTGGCGGCCCAGTAGTTGCATGTCCTGGCCCATTCCTCACACTCAAGTGCGGTCGCCGTCTGGAAGAGGAACACTGCCCCTGAGTGAAGCTGAATAGCGAAGACATGTCGTCTTGCCGAGGAGTAACCTGGCGGTGGGAGGATGTTGGTAATGGTGTGCTGTAACCGGATCTCATCCAACAGGATACCTTGTTCTTCAAACGCCTGACCCATCTGACCATCGGCCCTAAACATCGACAGTCCTCCTTGGTCCAGAACAACTAACAGCTGACGCCAGGCACGATGGGACGCCTTCTTGTCAGGTCGCTCCAACAGGTGTTTCCGGTGGAGGATGCCCTCCATCTGGAATCTAGGCTGATGGTCGGTGCCGCTGTTTCCGCTGGGACTGACTCCTCTGCTCACAGTCTTTACGCTTTGCTGAGATTGTTGACGGGACACGGGAGGAACATCCAGGCGTGTTGTTGTGCTTGAGGCAGTCGAATGAGTAGAACTGCCCAATGAGACTGAAGGTGGAGGGAGAAGCGAGTATCGACTGTTGCCAACGCGAACACCATCGGCATTGCCATTCTGGGAAGCCGCACCCTGATGCGATTGTGAGGACGGCGCAAGTCCGCGAGACCCTGCCGACGACTGGGCGTTCAGGCGCTTCATGGCATCCTGGCGTAGCTGTTTGGTGCGTGTGTTGATGGAGTTACGGCGCACCATCCCGACAATAATGTTCTCGCGGCCATTGTTGGCACCGGACTGGCCGTTTCCAGAGTCGCCCCCAAGACCGCCAAAACCTGCATCAATCAGTGCAGAAGGCTGGACCTGTCGTGACATCCTAGGCAGGAACCCGCCTCCCGGGCCACCTCTGGCCGAGCCTTGGTGAGGTCCTGATGCCGAATGAGGGAAGGTGGAGGAAGTAGGCGTTAAAGGAGTGGTGGAAGGAAGCAAGATCTGGTTGTGCTTGACCGTAGTGTAGATGTCCTTGAGCAAAATCTCGAGTTCGCTCATCCACCACCGTCCATTTCCATGGCCGCCGTTAGCCTTGGGGTCCACGCCCATCTTGGAGCTCTTGCTCTGATGCGAAGTTCCTGACCGCCAACTCTTGACGCTAGGTGTCCGTTTCTTGCCTCCAGAACCGTGGGTCGATCCATGGACGCTCAGCTCACCGGTCTCTGTCCTTGTCAACAACAGTCCATTGGCACTTGAGTCCTCTGAAGCCCGGTCTGCCTGTGATGTCTGCGCCAGGACAACCTGGAGTGTATTCTTAACGAACGCCGACCGGGACATCTTGCTGGAGTTCGACTGTTGGACGACATGCAGATCGGTGTTGAGCAGCAGGATTGAGTAGGTAATCGCATGGACGACATCCTTGCTGCCGAGGATAGACTGGTGGTTGCAATCGATATACCGTTGTGCAAACGCCTCCAAGACTCGGTCGACCTCCTGGGTCTCACCTTTGAGCATCAACTTTTGACAGAGCTGCCGGAAGGCGTCGTCGAGCCGCTTGCCAGAAAAGTCAAAGTGGTTCATATAGTGGGTGACCACACGACGGTTGAACGGCTTGGCGGCTCCCAGATAACAAGAGATCTCGTCCCGCTTCAAGAACGACTCGTCCTCGTCAAAGCACCGCTTGGAAGTGTTGTACGCCGGGTCATCCGTGGTCTCTCTGGGCAAAATCGGCGTTGGACGTTCCAGTACGAGCGAGGTGAACTTGACCGTAACCTCTGCGGATGGTGATGGTGATGGTGATCGTGATGCGGCGTGGGATTCCTCTGGTATTTGAAGGACAGACGTCGACATGCGGCGGCCGGCCAAGGATGGAGTGGCACCAAGCGTTGGCTCATCCTCGGTTATTGTTAACGATGTTGAAGTCACCATCATGGAAACTGGTCGTGCTGGTAAAGGCTTCTCTCCCGATTCCGCTCCAGGTACCGAGAGGGTGTCTGGTGTCAATGGCAAGTCCTTGGCTGCAAGAAGTCCGTACTGTGAGAAGCGTATGGAACTCCGTGTCAATGCTGCAGCCGTAGCCTTCACGCCTGAGTTCTCCGTCTCGTCTGATAGAGCAGATTTGGTCGAAAAGTACAAAGATGTCTGCGACTGGTTGAGGTGGATAGATCCTGACTCGTACATGAGCGAAAGTCGCGCCGATCCTATTGGGACCATTGCTCCGGGAACTTGCTCTGTATCGGAACCCTCCTCGCCATCCTCTGTAGACACGACAGAAATGTGAGAGGGGCGGCGAATGTTGGGCGGTGGAGATGTCTCTGACCCAAACGCCGAAGTGGCAGCAGTCGAGCTCGAGGAGACTGGTGGTGTTGACGCAGATCCATTTATGGCAACAGAGGTTGCGTCGAGGTCTGACTGGGTCCTTTTGAGCCACGACTCCACGGTTGATGCCGATCGCGAAAGTTCCTGGTCCAGTGCAGATTGCTCGTTGGTGGTTGAACGAGATCCTGGGATGTCAAGTGCCGCTGTCCGTTTCTCCTCCCCATCGCTGGTTGCTTCCCTGGGTGTTTCTTGTCTAAAGCGGCAAGCAGTTAAAACCAAATGGATCTAGTGTTAACTTAACAAACTCCTTGTCATTTCTCCATTGCCAGCTACAATGGGTTGCGCGTACCTAGCAACATCGAAGGGTCCATATCCAGTGTTGTCTTTGGGGACGGGAGGGAGGTCCGATAAGGTGGTGGTGATGGTTCCTGCAAAGGAAGGGGTGCTGTTGACTGACAAGGAGGAAGTCGAGAGGTGGAGGGTGTTGGTGTTCTTGGTGTGCTGAGGTACGATGGGGATTGGGGGTGCATCCTTGTCTTCAAAGTTCTATTGTGTGTATGAGCCATCCGCCATATTGAGTTTGTGAGTAAAGGTCATCCCTTATCGATCGTCGATTAGCCATCGAAAGCAGATTCAAATTAAGAACGACGCAATATTATGCGACACGAAGCAATATTAAGGCGCAGAGCTCATCCTCACCTTGGCCAGTTTCCTCAAAAAGTTGCTGCTTGTCTTGCGAACCATTCTCGAGATAGTTCCTGCCGTAGACTACATATTGTGCAGTCGAAGAGAAAGGAAATGAAAACGAAAAGAATAAGCAGAGTCAGTGAACATTTTTCTCCTTCCCACTCTTTCCCATACATTGTCCTCCACGATCCAGACCCGCCCAACTTTCTTTTCCTTCTCCTCTTCCCCCCGCAGAATCAAAAAGACTCTCTTGGACACAACAAACCTTAAGTCCGCCAATGCTCTCGCTGCGTTTGCGTCGCTGCTGAAAAGAGTTTGAACTGTTTCCCTCTCCTCCTCCAGATCCAATAGGGTCCGCCACGGATCCCATCACCGACCCCGACGACCCGCTTGTACTCCCCACAGCTGCCGCCGCTCCTGCTCCCGTTCCTGGAGCTCCAGGTCCCAAAGGGGGGTATGTCCCGACATCGGGGGTATTATTTGCAAGCTGGCTGAGGTTGGGTGTGCTGGCGGCCGACTTGCTTGTGCCCCAGAATCCGAGGGAGGTCCTGTGGGTGTTTGTTGAGGGTGGAGGTTTTAAGGAGGATTGTGCAGTTAAGCCATGTGTACTACTTCTGGAAGGTTGGGGTGCTGTGGGATATCCTATCGTTGATTGGCGTCGTCTTTGTGTAGCTGTAAAAAGGTGAGTGGAAGGTGAAAGTTGAAGGATAAGGATAAGGATAAATGAGGCGCAAAAAGAAAGAGAAAGGTCAGAGATGGTGTTGCAATAATAAAACACAAGGCACTCTTATGTGAACAGCCGAGGACAAGACAACGATGGATGGCTCTTTTTTGCAATCATGCAACTGTGCACAGACAATGGATGGCCCTTTTAGTCCATCGAAGCCATCCCAAATCAGGTGTCCCTTTCCCATTCTCAATAGTTCCTGTCGTGGGTTTTCCTCTTGGTCATCAATGATATACTCGGACCAGACTCCTTGTCACCAAGAAACATATCCAGATCTACCCTCTTTTCCCCTTTGTGTTTGTCCGGAGGCGAACTGTTGCTGTTGTTGCTTTGTTTTCTGGTGTGTTGTGTTGTGTTGTGTGGTGTGGTGTTGCTCGAATACATATAGGGTTGTATTCTTCGCTTCGTTTCTCTTTTTTGTGTTTTGTTTCTGGTAACACCAAATATAAACGCAACCCGAAGAGAGCAAAAGGATGAGACCATCACACCATGTGCGATTGTCTACACTCACTCATACACACAGAAACAAACAGCCGCCCCTGAAAGGGCCAAGGAGGATAAAGAAGGAGGATATGCAAAGGAGAGGGATACAGTAGATATCCCGACACACAGGACAGGTGCACATGTCAGCAATAAGAAATAAGAAATGCGCCGATAATCCCACCAATTGGTCTCTCCTCCGTTGGTTGGTGTGTAGGGGTGCGTTGGTCGCTACTATTTTTTGCCACAGAGTTGTCGTGGTTGTTGCTGAAGCTGTGGTTGCTGGGTAGGGATAAGGAGGTGACCAGAGAGAGTTTGTTTCATTGTCATAACTACTGTCGGGCCAATAAGATTCCCGAGGGGGTGTAAGAAGAAAGGGAGACGTACTCTGTGGGTCTGGAGTGTTCATGATGACATGAAGTGGTGGAAGGTGGTGATGACCTTGTGAGAGAGTGTGAGAGTGTGCGTGTGTGTGTCTGTGTGTGCGTGTGTGTGAGAGAGAGTGTGGGTGTGTGTGAGTGTGAGTGTGAGTGCGTGTGAGTGTGAGTGTGAGTGTGAGTGTGAGTGTGAGTGTGAGTGTGAGTGTGAGTGTGAGTGTGAGTGTGAGTGTGAGTGTGAGTGTGAGTGCGAGTGTGTTTGCGATGAGTGAGTGAGGTGTGAGCGTGGGCAAGTGCAAGGTGCAGGGTGTGAGTGTGGGTGTATGTGAATGAATGGAGTGTAATGGGAAAGTGGTGAGAGCAAGAGGAGAGAGAGAGAGAGAGAGAGAGAGAGTGAGAGTGAGAGTGTGTGTGTATGCAGGAGTGGACAAAGTAAAGTAAGTGTGAGAAGAGAAGAGAAGGCAGCGAGTGTGTGTGGAGGAGAGTGTGGCGTGGGGTAAAAAGAGTCTAGTCGAAGGATGAGAATGAGAAGGGGAAAACGAGATAAGAGGCAAAGGAGAGACAGAGGTGAGCTCAGCTCAGCAGTGAGTAGCAAAAAAAGGGAGGGAAAACTGAAAGTGAAAAAAAGAGGCGGAACGAGGAAAAGACGAGAAGAGAGTGAGAGAGAGACGAGACTGAGTGAGAAAAAAGGGCGAAAAGATGAACAGGACGACATTGGAGAGAGAGGTAGTCAAGGCATGGTACTCGTTCATACAGACTCGATTGAAGAAAGGTAAAAATACCGTTCGAATCGTGTGCAATCGACTGGTTCCTTCCATCAATTCATTTTTCATTTCATTCATCAACAAAACAACAACGACAAGGCAAACAAACAATCAGCCGTTGTGAGTTATTTGTGGATAACTGAGCGCGATCTCAATGAAAAAAAAGGTCGACAACTGCCGATTGATTGAGGGGGGCGATGGAAGAGAAAAGAAGTGGGGTCGTTTTGGTTGTGGGTGCAATTGAAAGACAGACAGACAAACATAGACTGTACCCCTGTTTGCCTATATATCCACCGTCAACTGAACTGGTAGTACCTGGTTATTGCCCCTCTCTTTGAGATGGATATGTAATTATGCATCTGGATCACCTAGCATGGAGATATTTTGCCACCAACTTGTAACGACAAGGAATGAGACTGATAGGCATAGAATGATCGACTGATGGCTCGACATGGTTCCACTCCTCCATATCCATATCCAGGTACGATCAGTATTGATGCCATCATCTACATACTACAGCAAAGTGGCTTTGTATGTTAGACGTCTTCGTTCCCCTTCGCCCCTGAATTTCCTTTTCCAGCCAGTCCCCTCATTCTTGTTTCCTTCCTTCCTAACTTCCCAATCCACTACACGCTCTTTCTTTCATTTGATCCTCAACTGTGATCTCTTTTTGCCTCCCTTCCTTTCCCCTCCGACCCACCATGGAGATCACTCTCCTTCAACGATTTGCACACTCACGGCTCGCCACAACAACCTGTCCATGCCTACTCCGGTCAACATTCCTTCCCCTCAACTCTTCAAGATCCACACGCCATGTCACTCCACCACGACTGATCTCCTGGCTCTCTTCTTCGGCTACACCTGCGCCCAAAACACCACAATCGCCACTTCCAAAAGGACGACCCTTGATCGCCCTAGGGATAGAGACCTCGTGTGACGATACCTGCGCAGCCATTGTCACCTCTGACCGGCAGATCCTATCAGAGGTCCTACGAACCCAGCACCACCTCCACGAACCTATGGGCGGCATTGTCCCCAAACTGGCTCATCATGCTCATATGCGCAACCTCCCCTCAGTGGTCCAGGAGGCGATCCAATCGGCAGGCCTAGGCGAGCATGGGATCCTGGCAGTCGACATTATTGCAGTAACGCGCGGCCCCGGATTAGCGCACTCCCTTGGGGTCGGATTGAATGCGGCAAAGACCCTCGCTGCGGCCTTGAACAAGCCCTTGATCGGTGTCCATCATATGGAAGCTCATGCCCTCACAGCGCGACTCACTACCCGCGACCCGGACTACCAGCCAGTCGACCAGGATGTCTCTGCCTCGGAATCTAATGTACCCATCGGATCGGATCCATACCCGTCCTTCCCCTTTTTGACTCTCCTCGTGTCTGGTGGCCACACCTTGTTATTAGTTGCACACTCCGTAAATCGATATACAACCCTGGCAACAACAGTCGACGACTCAATCGGAGAAGCATTTGACAAGACGGCGCGAGAACTCGACATCCCTTGGTTGCCTGGTCGTGCTGGCGGGCCTGGTGCCAGTTTGGAGCAATTTGCTAAGAGCTCAAGCAACCCAGGACGGTATCAGGATCGTCTCCCTATTCCATTGAGTCTTCGTTCCAGCAAGAGCGAGATGAAGTTCAGCTTTGCAGGACTCAAAAGCGCAGTTACTCGTATTGTGAATCAGGAAAAGGCAGCCAGCCCCACAGGCGAGATGGACGAGTCGAAGCGACAGGATCTGGCAGCAGGATTTCAGCATTGTGCGGTGACACATCTCTGTCAAAAGGTAGAGCAAGCACTGGTTGACTGCCACGAACAAGGACTAGATATCTCAAGTCTCGTCATCAGCGGGGGTGTTGGACGGAATGCGACTCTTCGGAGCAGGATGGACGAGGTCTGTGGTCGGTTCGAGTACGGGGGCGCCATCGCCTTGGACAAGATGTCATCCAAGGAGAAGAAAAGGTTGAAGAGAGCATTACTCACTGCAGCAGCACCAAAGGAGTCAGGCAAGGCTGTGCGATCTGTGCGAGTTATTTGCCCACCGCCCAAGCTGTGTACCGACAATGCAGTGATGATTGCGTGGACTGGATTAGAACGGTACCAGCAAGGGCTAGTTGATCCGTACGACATTGATATTGTCCCCAAGTGGCCATTAGACATGCTCGGTACAGGCGTTGTTCCTGAATAAACCTCCTTGAATTCATTGGAACTTGTGGAGTGATAGTACGCGTGGAGATGTTGATGAAGAACTGGGTTCGACGTGAAATGGGAGCCGAACATCCTTGAACAATGATCCGTGTAGGAAAGATCGATTATTGCTTCGTCCATCGCCCTGAAGTAGAGGAACGAGCAACGAGAATTAGTATGATACAAGGGATGCATTAATGTTGAACGCTCGGTTTGCAGTCATTTCTTTCAACGTGAACTTTTTGTACCTCTCTGTCTTCATGTCACAGAGTGGAAAGAAAAAGGTAGAAAAGGAGTATCAAATTGGACACCAGGCGGCGGACCTGGCACGATTGATCGGCATCCTTAGCCATTGATTTGGCCGTGGAGGGGGTGGCGAAGACCGTTTCATCTATAGTTGTAATAGATTATATTATTGTTGCCTGGTTGGGTGCGGCATGGATCTGTCCTCTGTTGTATATGTGTGCGTTTCTGTGTCAAACGAACGGACAGCGAGATCGTTGCGCACTCTCTGTTCGCCATGTGGCGCAATAATAGGGCACTGCCGCAAAAAGTGATTTTCGTTTGAAATGAACGGCCACTCATATCCAATTCAACTCACTTTGGCTGTCCTCTCCCTGAGAAGCAATTGCCAAGCCAGAGTATATTCCCCTCCACACTCATAGGCACCTGCTTCCAGATTCATAATCTACAACATATGGCGATAGTGACCCCGACCTGTGGGTACTTGCTCTCCGCCTTCCTGATCCTTTTTCAGAAAGAAAAGGCACACGTTCACAAAAACAGCCGACTGGAATGAACACCCGTCTAGCGAGAGAGTGACAGACACGAGCAAGAAAAATGAGCTGCAGTTGACAAGGCATTGGGAGAGTCAAGAAGCACAAACGAGATGAATCGTCTCTTTATCCCCTACTGTTTGAACACCCTCCATCCCTCCATCTCTCTCTCTCTCTCTCTCTCTCTCTCTCTCTCTCTCTCTCTCTCTCTCTCTCTCTCTCTCTCTCTCTCTCTCTCTCTCTGTCTCTCTCTCTCTCTCTCTCTTTCTCTCTTCCCTGCTCTTTTTCGTGCCTTCCTTTTCCTGTAGTTCGTTTCTGCTGCTCAAGCCCAGAAGCCAAATCTGTCCCTGCTCCGAGTTGTGCTGCGATACCAAACAAAAAAAAAGTTATTGCATGCATTTGTGTGTTGCAACTCCTCTGGCCGCTTTTTCCGTTCATTACCTTTTTCTTTTCTGGATATTTGCCCTCTCTCTCCTTCTCTCTTCCTACTTCCTTGCTTTCTTTTTGTTTGTTAAGGGGTGAACCTGAATGCAACCAACTCTCTCCGAGCAATAAAAAGATAGCAAAAGGAAAACAATTCCAGAAGCCATCTTAATGCAAGGTACATAGTGTTGAGCATTTTCCCAAAAAGAGGTACAGTACAAGGAGAAAAGTCCGAGAAGGTAGGGGCTTCATAGCTTCTGTGTTGCCTTTTTTTTCTTTGCCCGTGCAGGACGAATTTGACATCTTTGAAGAGTAGGTGTAAAGAGCAACGAAAAAAGAAGGAAAGACTGGGACGTTGGTCAGATACCTTTCTCCTCAAGGCACTGCCGTATCTTTCATCCTTAACCCTCCTGCAGCTCTGTATCTTCCAACACAACTCCATCAACATGGAGTACATTTTGCAGACTTGCCCCCACTTGCAGACTCTTCAGCTAGACCACCCTCTACTTTTTCGTTGCATGGAAACTAGATCAGTATCGACGATAATCACGTCACTGGATCGCCCACTCTTCCGCTGCGGTCTCTCCACCTCGAGAACACCTCCTTCTCTCAGAGCAGTCTCGAGTCCTTGCTTGAGGTCACACCCTACCTAAAGCACCTCCAGCTCCAAAACTTATGCCGACAGGGTTCTGAAGAGAACAACAGCCTAGTCTCGCTCGCTCTCCCTCTCCAGTCTATTCATTTTTCTGTCTTCAGACAGCAAGCCGCCGAGGGTGCCGAGGAGGTTGAGCCCAGACTACTGAGTGGTCCTTCCGTTCGTCTGACTTGATCCCCATCCTCAAGCATTGTCGCCAGGAACTGCCCAATGTTCTCACAACCCTCAGCCTGGTCACGGATAGCGTCAACCAACCTAACGATGCCCCTGCTTTACACCAGTACCTTTACGGGTCCCTCCTTCACCCGAAGACGGGCCAGTCATCCTGCCCGATTGAAAGGATGGATCTGTTGGTCGATGGATGAATTCACCCAGACACGGGGAGAACTCATACCGTCAACCGGGCATCTGGATGTGTCGCAAGCTGCAGACGCTTCAAATCGAAGTCCACAACCTCGGCTCGCCCGCTCACCAAACGTCACCCATCCGCACTCGAGTCCTCTTTGAATACACCTGCTGGTTTCCTAACCTTCGCGATCTGGAACTATGGGAACCATAGAATATCCTTGGTTTCTGTCTGGAGCTCGATGGTGCATTCTGTCTTGTGGCCCGTCTCCGCCTTTTGAAGCACCTTCGCATTGGGTCCGGCGAAAACTTGCACGCCCTCAAGCCTCGCGATTTGAAGTGGGTCACCAAATCCGGTCACTCTCGAGTCAGCAATCTGGATCGGAAGAATATCATGTGCGGTTGACCTAGGTTGATTGCCAAGGAACGCCAACGTGAACAAGAGCGGTTAGATTTTGTTGGCAAAGGAGAGGCCGCGGGCTTTCTTGCACCTCAGGGAGTGGAATCGGCCCTGGTTCAAGTCTTGCGGAATCTGGGGTTGTTAGTATGTGAATAGCTGATGCAGGAACAGATAAACTCTGATGAAGGGTACGAGGGTCTCCCTCGGCTGCGGTCATTGTCGAGCTACAGCGGTAGTCAGAAGCGTCTCGCCCGAGGAGGAGTATCGAAGAGTGATCGTTGCCGCCTCAAACCAAGACTAAGCCCAGTTCCAGATCGACGCGGGTCTCTGAGTTTTTCTACGTACTGCCGTTAGAATATAGCGTTTCTGTCAGTTCAGTGTTATCTGTTTTCTTTATCGTGAGGACGTGAACGGATGTTCAATGAACAGCAGACGTAGATACAGACACACATGAAGTATTAGCATTTTCTATGGGAGAACATCTTTGACCTGTGTCATAGGTCTAGCCTGAACCGGCAAAACAGTTAATAGCCTTTTGTGCGGAACTAACTCCCGAGAAGTGAACGTGCCGATGCTTGCTGTCTGTTGTCCTTGAGTGTGTATGTGTTTGTAACCACTGCAAATTGAGACCATGAACGGTCAGTGTGGATGGTCTACGTCGACTTTGCTTCCGCCTAATGCGAGTTCCCACAAAGTCGACTGTGTGGCTGTTGCTGTTATATCCCGCTCTGTGTAACACTGCACCTCCATTTTTTATTCGACTGAGAGAGAGAGAGAGAATCAGAGAGTGATCGAGAATAACCTTTTCTGTTAAGAACAAGGTCCTTTGGACAGTTGAATCGACATATAAACGTCAACCTTTTCCTCTTCTCTCATCCTTTCATCTCTTTACTTTTTCCCATCGCCACCTTTCTCCCTCCCCCCCCTCTCTCTCTCTTTCCTCCCCGCAACATGTTCTTCAGGACAAAGAAGAGAGCACAAACTAGTCCAACCCCAAGGGTCTTTGAGATCCCAGAGATCCTCGATCGAATCTTCTTCTTCATCCAGGAAGACTTTGTCCTCTCTCACTCCATCGTCCTCGTCTGTCGTCAATGGCTCTGGATGAACCAACACCGCCTCCGTCGCGAGGTCAGCTGGGCCGGTGACTCTAATAACAAGTCCAGCTGCGATATAATCAACATCGATAGGGTCCTTGCCCGACTCCCAAGAGCAACCCGGCTGGTCTGGTCCTCAACAGACGACGTTCTGAAGGAGAAGCACACCCAGAGGTTGATACAGGCCCTTCGAGAAAATAACGACCACTACATCCAGCGACTTCAGCCCATTGCCGCAAATAACGTCGTCATAGTCGGCGATACCAGCAACATCAACAGCAAGAGCAACAGGATCGTCGGTCGCTGGAAGGACGGTCTCCTCAAGCCCAACAACAAGGCCCCATTACCGAAAGGTGTCCTCCATGAGCTTGACCTTCATGGCCCTGCGGCCCTCTTCTTAAGAGTTCTCCCATTCCTCACATCATTGACAACCCTCCAACTCCGTTTGCTCTGGCCGGAGACAATCCAAGTGCACACTGTGCTAAACACTTGCCCCCACCTTCTCACTCTCCATATCGATGCTCCCTCGGTCATCTATCTTCCCGGATCTTGGAAGGCCTACACTGAAACCGTCCTCGGCGTCGAACCCATCAAGAAGAACGGTCTCCTTCCCTTGCAGTCCTTCATCCTTGAGAACGCAAGCTTCGCACAGACCAGTCTCGAAGACCTTCTGGTGCTCACACCACACCTTGCCCATCTGCAACTCCGAAACTTGCGTCCGGATACAACTTCAGTTAACAAGAACTCCTACGACTGGTCCAGTCTCTTCTGTCAACTGACGGCGCTCTCACTACTCCCTCTTCGCTCGATCCATTTCTCCGTCTATGGTCAAGCAGCGACTGAAGACGAAGAGCAAGAGAAGGTCCTCGTGGTCTGTCCTCGATCCTCAGAGTGGGCCTTCAGATCCTTTGACCTGACATCGTCCGTCACCAGCTGCTTGAACCAGTTACGCAATACGCTCACCACTCTGGATCTGGTAGCCAGTGAGGGCCAGGCCGTCAACAATTATGACCTCGCCCTTCACCGATACCTCTGCGCATCCCCTCACCTGCTGCACCTCAAAGCCGCCAACTCTGTCTGTTTAGTCGAACGAATGGACATCCACAAACGATGGACTCCCTTCGTCCGTATCAGCAACGGATCTATCGTCCAAGACCTACAGCCTGGCATTTGGGCTTGCAGAAACCTTCAAACCCTTCACATTCGTGTCCACAACCTTGGCAGTGCTGCTCTTCAAACCCTTCCTATTCGATCCCGGATTGTCTTTGGATATATTTCTACAGTCCTTCCGCAACTTTGTCATCTGGAACTCTTTGAACTCGAGAATGACCCCGGTCTGTCGATCAGCCTCTTTGGTGGTCTCTGTTTGCTCGCTCGTCTCCGTCACCTTGAGTCCTTCCGCCTCGGCACCGGTACGACTCCACAAAAGGCCCGTGCAGGCGATATGCGCTGGATGATTCCCTCAGGTCAGAGTCGGGTCGGTCGAATGGAGAGAAAGGAGGTCGTCGCTACTTGGGGTCTTCTCATGACTGCCGAACGTGGCGCGGAGAGGAGCCGACAGGAGACTTTCCCGGGGTATACATTTATGGACGACAATCATCCTTGCACCGAGCCACAGGTGGTCGAAGGGCTCATCATGCTGGGTCTCCTCGCAGACGTCAAGGTGTTGGTCGATCAAATGAACTCCAAGGAAGGGTACCGAAGCTGGCCTAAATTAAAATACCTTTCGGTGTACCAGAAGCATCCGTCGCGAACGATAACTTGCCTGGAGAAGGGGTTCGAGAGGCTGATGAAGAGGAATACGATGGATATCGACTCGAGGGTGAATGATGATACTTGTCTCATCATGGGCTACGGCGCATAGGATATGCCTGTCTTTAGCCGTGCGTTGGATAGATAGTCCTAAACACGAGTGAAAATAATCGGCACGTACGAAAAATACAACATGGAGTCGTTTGCTGCAAAGGAAAAGAACAAGAGGATGGGCTCTGTTCATGCAGAATGCACCTCGTCTATTTGTCAGTGGGCTCAAGGTACTTTTCGTTTGTCTGTCTTGAATCCTACTAGGGGCGTGCAACAGGCGAACCATTGTCTGGAACGCCCTCCAGGCGCCGTTTAAGTTGCCCTTCAGACATCATGCATTATTCGAGCCAGGCACCATCAGACTGTACACATTGCACAACACATTCAACTTGCTGCAACAGCCGCGACCCTCTCTCTTTCTCTCTCTCTCTCTTCCTCTCTCTTTCTCTCTCTTTTCTCTGGTGCATGATCATTTTGCTTGTTGTTTCTTTCCCACCCTTCGACCCATCCGAAAGACGAGTTTTATTTGTTTACACACACTCCTCCAATCCAATTACAGGTCATTCGTCCAAATGCACTTTATCTATTTCCCTTGACGCCCTTTTGTTCTAGTAAGAAGGCTTCCCGGCCTTCTTTTTTGGATTTTCGGTACAACTTTATTTCGCTTGCCCATCAATGTGGATTGAGCAAACAGTTCCTCCTCTCTTCTTCACACAAGGTCAATAAGGTATTTGGAAGTACTAAAGTCGACGCAGCAACACCTGCCTACTATGGTATATAGCCAAGGGGGGTCGTCGCTCTTTTCCTCTTCTTCTTTAACCAACCAATTAACCATCCATCCATCCACACCTCCTCTCTCTCTCTGCAATTACGAAATCTCAACGATGGGGCTCAAATTCTTCAGTCTCGGCAAGAAGAAGATAACCGCTACCCTTACTTCCTCCTCCACAACCACAACCACTACAAACGACAAAGCACCAGCAAGAAACTCGCCCAGAGCCCTCCAAGAGCCAGCCATCCTCAACCGGATCTTTGATCACATCCAAGACGACTCCGAGACACTGCACCAATCCGTCATCCTCGTTTGCCGTCAATGGTACTATCTCAACCAGTCCCGCATCCGTCGTGAGCTCGTCTGGGTCGACGATGCCAAGAACAACTCCTCCAAATCCTTTGATAAGCTCGTCACCAGACTGCCCCAGGCCACCATGCTCAAGTGGCACTCGAGCGATCCTCAGCTCAAGAACAAATACACCCTCAAGCTCATCCAGGCTCTTGAAGGGAACCAGGATCGCTACCAGCAAAGTCGCAACCCTACTGCTGCCCCTGTTGCGAGTAGCAAAAAGTCGAAGACACCGTTGAAGAATGATAGACACCTCAGCCACCTTGAGTTGACATACTCGGGTCTCCTCTTCCTCAAAGCCCTTCCTCTCCTCCAGTCCCTGACAAGTCTTCGACTCCTGATTGTCGGATCTGATACCATTCGTCTGGTCGCTGTCCTTGCCGCTTGCCCCAACCTTCTATCGCTCCAGCTGGAATCAACTACAGGAACTATCCAGCTCCCATCCCCTTGGGTATCGCCCCCTTCTAATACAGCACTTCTACCCCTACAGTCCCTCATCCTCGAGAACGTCATCTTCTCCCAGTCCGAACTTGAGAGCCTCCTCAAGTCCACCCCCCACCTTAAAGTTCTCCAGCTCCGCAACCTTCGTGACAGCGCAAACGCCTCTGCATCCTTGTACAGCTGGCATGGACTCGTTGCACAACTCCGCACCCTTCAAATCTCTCTCCGCTCGGTCCATTTCTCCATCTATGGTCAGCCCATGGAAGACGAACGCGAGAAGGTCCTCGTCGTCGCCCCTCGTTCAAGCGAATGGGCCTTCAGATCCTTTGATCTCACACCCACCGTCTCGTACTACCTCCGCGAGATCCCCAACTTTGTCACCACCCTCGAACTCATCGCCTCTGGACGCCTGGACCCCGGACACGGTCTTGAGCTCCATCAGTTCCTCTGCTCCTCCCCCCACCTCCTCCACCTCAAGGCCACCCAGTCTGTCTGCCTCATCGAGAGAATGGATATCCACCGCCGCTGGTCTCCCTCATCACGCGCAGGAGTTAACGTCGACCGCACCGCAGGCATCTGGGCCTGCCGTAACTTGAAGACCCTCCACATCCGGGTCCACAACCTCGGCAGCCCAGTCATCCAAGACTCACCCGTCCGTTCCCGCATTCTCTACGGCTACATCTCACGTGTACTCCCTATGCTCCAAGACCTGTATCTCTACGAACTCGAGAACGAGCCTGGTCTGTCACTCGATCTCTTTGGTGGTATGTGCTTCTTCGCCCGCCTCCAACATCTCGAATCATTCCGCCTGGGCACAGGCAAGAACGACCAGATGGTTCGCCCCGGTGACATCAGCTGGATGGTAGCATCGGGCAGAACCAAACTCTCCAAATCCGAGCGCGGAGAGTGTGTCCTTACCTGGCAGCAACTCCTCATGAGCGACAATGCTCAGGAGACCAAACGTGTCGCATCCTTGAACGGCCGTGACTACGTCGGCGAACTTTATGGCTCTTCATCTGTCAAAACCCACATTGAACCTCAATTGATCGCCTCTCTTTCTCAGCTGGGACTCTTGCTGGATGTCAAGGCATGGGTGGACCAAATGAACTCCAAGCAGGGATACATCTGCTGGCCCAAGCTCAAGTTCTTGACCGTGTACCAGCCTTTGACTTCAACGTTTACCCTCGCTAAGGGATACACTCGTGTCGGCAAAGTAGCCGCTTCGGACCTCGATTCCAGAATCAACGACGATATCGGCGCCATGATGCGATAAGATGGTAGCAACACATACTTAACACCTGTAACAATTAAATAATTACCTTTTCAATTCTCTACATTTGGCGTTTGCATTTTGTTTTCATTTTATTGCAGTCAATTACGCATTTCGCAATGATACGTCGTTCGAGATCGATCCAGGCGATGGTTTTTGACTCGCAGATCCCGCAGAAGAAGTGGTGGGTCCTGTATTTGCTGTCGGCGTTGACATTGATGACGACGACGACGACGACGGTCGACGGGTAGAAGACGAAGAACTGGACTGACCAGACGCCCGCCTTTCACTTGCACCGCTCCCTGCCCCTACTCCCGACGAAGCAGCCGCAGATGTACGAGTATCCGGCGAGCTTGTTCCAGATCCGAGTGAGCTTGTTTCAAACGTCGATCCTGCCGTTCTGATGGCCGCCGCTGCGACTGTTGACATGTTATCCGTCACCGACATCATCGTAGTTTCACTTGTGCTGCTACTCCTGGCCACAGTCCGAATCGAGAACAATCGCACTCCAGTTTCATACCAAGCTCCCAACCCCTGCCTGCCCAACTTGCCACATCCGCCGACATAAATCTGGCTCCAGAGTAGGCCCTGAAACCACCGCACAAGCGCCAAATCATCATCGCCTTCGTTGTTACTGTTGATGTTCCCACCCCCAATCCATGTAAACTTGTGGACGAAAATAGGCGGTCTACCAGACTCTGGCATGACTTGTTGCAACATTGGGATGATGTTTGTTCGGATATACTCAAGTACTTGCTGGTCATTCATAGCTTGGATGGATTCGATCTCTGGGATAACGCATTGGAGCATAATCAACAGTGGCTCAAACCGAAGTGTTTTCATCCATCCCTGCACCTACATCAGATATATATATATATATATGTAAGATTCGTATGTAGATGTTAGCAGAGTGTTCAAAATTAACATGCGATATAAGGTGCGGGAATCAAAATTTGCCATACCCATTCTTCGGTGGGGACGAATCCGTTTTGTCCAACATCGAAGGCTGTAGTAGGGCGCTCATGTCTGTAGGACGAGTTATGACTCGTCAGGGCTGGCCGCCGCGAAGTCGTGGTGGCGGTAGTCGTCGTCGTCTCTGTCGTTCCTGCTGCTCTTAGTGAGCTGGATGATTGCTTCCCGTTAACAACTCTCGCATCCTGACGCTCAAGTTCACAGCTTGAGTCCTCTCTCAGAGCGGTTGGTGAGCTTGGATGAAGGTGACGATGGTTCTTCTCCGGGAGTTTTCCTCGTGCCCGCTCTGACAATGTATTGATCGATCGATCCTTGAGGCTCTTCAGCACCGTCGACGGACCCCCTTCATCTTCAACATCACCCTCATGCCCGCCCCCATCGCTCGGAGGAGCCATGATAGAGTCTGAACTGTCGGGTCTGGAAAGTGGTGGCATCACTGGAGACAGCGGCAGGGGTAACGTACTTGGTTCCGACAGGGTTGCTGCAGTCAGTGCTGGTGAAAATGTCGCCAATGAAACCATGGAAACTGATCCAGACGATGAAGCGGGTACATTCGAGGTCGATGTGTCCTCGACGGTAGAACTCTCCCGTTTCAGCAGATGACGTCGTCGAGGATGCTGTTGTGAAGGAGGAGGTGTGGATTCCCCGTGGCTGCTCTGGTGCGATTGCGATCCCCTTCTCTGGGGTTGACGACCCTCCGTTGACTTGCTCACGTGGCCCTCGGTGCTGGTGGCTGAGCGAGTAGCGCTGGAAGAGTCGTCCTTTCGGTACCGCAACTTATGAATATCGTCCAGTCCACGCTGCAAAGTAAACCGCGCCATCGTCTGAATCTTGGGTTCGTACTGAATCAGCGCATACACCAAGTGTGCGTTATCTAATAATCAGATTGACGCATTTCAACAAAAGTAAGCTTCTTTAGTTTGGACATAATGCTGTCTCATACCTCTCTGAGCAAAAGGACAAAGAGAAGTTGACTTACGAGGTGCTTGGTAAAAGAGAATACTCGTCACTGTGTCCAACAGGATCCCCAAAAGCCTGTGGTTGGACTCTTCTGCGAGAAGAAACGACGGAGAAGCAAATGAAGTCGTCAACTGCAAAAGACGACTTGATGCCAATGGTGAGATGTTTTGGATATAAGGTGAGACATTCGAGAGCGTGGAAATCAGAGCCGGGTAAAGCGATCGCAGTGTCCTCTTTGTTGTCGCAATCAGATGTTGAATGGACTATGTGGCGTATAGCGAGCAAATCGAAAAGTATACATACATGTGAGTGTGTTGGCGCATAAACGATGTTTGCACAAAAATAAGTTGAACTTTGACGATGCAATCGCCGCAAACAAGTCCTATACTGTTCACATACGCAAATAAGATAGTCGCCATAGGTGCCATGGAAGTTGTGTATTCGCACATTTGCAGGTAAGGAAGCATGGCCATCGAAGGGCCTGTTGAGAGTGTGGCCGAACGCCCTGTCCTTTGAGAGTGTCTGCAGCATGCACGCGCACATCCTGACCAATCCCGCATGTGCTAATTTGGTGGCGAATAGGAGATATTTAGTGAGCACTCTCAAAAGAACAAATCCTGTTGATCAGAGTAATGACAATGCGCTTCTTACTCGGGTCAAGCTTGTGCTCCAGTGAAAAGTACAGAAGGATGACGACAAAATCCAGAACCCTGTTCGTCTCCAGTAGGTACACTCTAAACCGCTGTATTATGACAAGAAACATTACGTAAGTAACAACAACCGTGCTCGTCACAACGAAGGCCCAGGCACGAACATCCGCACTCCGATATGATGTACCTTGTTGACCTCCAATGTCTTCCAGCAAAGCATAAGTGTTTCGATGTGGCACTTCACTTGCTTGGTAGATCCTGGAAGATATGTGCTGCTCGCCTATGAGCGTAATTAGCCATTGCAAATAAATAATTTGTAAATGTTCATTAAACAGGGTTATGCCTCATAGAGCTCTCGTACCAAAATCCATGCCCGCTACGGTGAGTTGACGTACCGCCATGGGGTTGCTCAGAATCCGATACATGCCATCGGTAAGGAACAGGAAGTCTTGTTCCCGATGGAGTCGTGACAGGTAAAACCGAAACTGGTTCTTGTTGGCACCTTCCAGCGTTCGTTGAGCCTGTTGTTCTGAAGGAGTAGTGTTTGGCACAAGGACATTGGAAGGCGTATCCGAGGAAGAGGAGCCTTGCTTGTTGCTATCGCCTGCTCCGTCTTCAATCCTGATTCCAGCTGAAAAGCGATTCGGTGGGGTTGCTGGTCTCTCGACCACTTGATAGTCGAGCAGGACCACAATGACCTGCAAACAAAGCATGACTAGCAGCTCCCGTTGGTCGTTGAACATGACGTGGTTGTAAGGCAATCCCCACCCAGAAGGGTTGTACTTGAGCGCCGAATTGACCAGACTGCAGAGGATCGCCAGCGTGATCTGACGGTCTGATCCTGTCACCACGGTATCGATCCAGCGATTCTCCGTAGTCGTGATGGCTGTTGGTGGGATGTACATGGACCGTGAGAACAACACAAGCAAGAGTCGCAGGATTTCCGTCCGGTTGTCGTCCAGCTCCTTGGAGGTCCCGATTGGTTTGGAGGATCCAATTCCCGTTTCCCTATCGCAATTGACACACCATCATATGAGTGCATTTCTCAAGAGCACATGTTGCCAGCGTTGTACGTCACGGACATGTCACAAGCTAGGGGTGGTAGCATACCATATGACATAGCTCACTCTGTTCCTTGACTCTAGGGCTGTTGGAAGTGTGAATCCTGAGGTAAAGAGTAGGTCCAACAGTGTCTTGATCAAGCGGTAACCCTGCGTTGTTTCGTCACAATCCTGCAAGTGGGAGGTAGAAACGTCAGCATATGCGCAAAGGTGCTTATTGGCTCATAAACGACGTACCCTGAGGATGAGATGTACTATACCTGGTCCTTTGGTGCGGATGAAACTCGCTCCGAGCGTAGAGGGTTTGGATTTGAAGACTGACCCTCGATCTCTAAGGGTTGTGTTGACTCGTCAAGATGACTGGCGTTGGAACGCCTTCGACTCGATGCCCCTTTGCTGCGTGGGGTCCAGAAGTAACGTTCCTCCCACATCATAAGATCGTCCGACTCGAAGACAAACGGAAAGAGCCTGGTCAGAACACGCACACAGTTCAATAACTGACTAACAGGAGCCTCCGGTGTCAGGAACAGCGGTGAGTCGCATAACGAGAAGAGACGACTCAGAATCTATTTGTTAAATATTGTAGCAGTACCTATCAGCGATCCTATGGTCATTTTTTTCTCAAGTGAAGTAATCATCCTTGAGGTGGTTGGATTAGTGTAGGGTATATGGACTGACCTTTTCGATGAGACACTCGAGATTTTCCCGGGCTTCGTCGCGCACACGTCGAATGTCCTGCGAGCCCACAAGTAGAAACACGTCGTCAGCCGACTCTGGGAGGGTCCAGAACTATACATGTGAGTATCGTAAGAAGGTTCGTCTATGGGTATTTTGTTTTTGTGGTCGTTTGACTGATCGAAATAAAGACGCACGCAAAAGGACACTTGCGACAAGGCTTGTACCTGTTCCCAATACTCGTTCACGTTGGATGGGATGTTCTATATACAAGAAAAAAAGAGTGGTTTACACATATCATATTGAAAGGGCGCTCTCATGTACACGTCAGTTGTCAGTTCAGGTATGGGTTGTCTTCCTTTCGCGTTGCTGTACGAGCTGTCGAGTTGGTTGTGTATATATGCGAGTATAAGCATAAAAAATTCGAACGCGTGCTTCAAAAGGTACGGATAGAAGCAGTACATACCCTTTCCTCGAAGAGTCGAAAGACGCCCTTTTTGAACGCCAGTTTCGAGTCGGCTGCGCCCATCGTCGAGTCTCGGCGAGGCCAGTGGTGTGTTGGTCAGGGCAGAATGGATGGTGAGAGGGCCAGGTGTTCTTATGGTCGTGAAGAAAAGGAAGATTCAGGGGCGGGTGAGAAGCAGAGGGGGGAATGAATAAGGGATGGGCGACGAGCGACAAGGGACTAGACCTTGATTCGAACAGGAAACGCCTGAGCAGCGAGGTGACATTAATGCAGCTAAGTGTTATATCACGTGGAACTGGGAATAGCAACACCACGTGCAATAGCTGCTAGTGACTGCTCGACCTATTTTGCTTTTTTTTTTTTTTTTTCTTGCCCCACTAGCACTGTTGTGTCTTAAGCCCATCAACAAACAACTCGAACTTCAGGATCCCTCTCCATCAAACGACCCCTTTTTTTCTCTCGTTTTTATTTTCCCACACACAAATAAACACACCCGCAACTATGGTCACAACCCGGAATAGAAGCAGGAACCCATCCCTCACACAGGTGGAAATGGAGCTCCCTCAACCCACAAGACCCCGCCGCGCTCGGCAGACCAAACCAAAGCCAGTCATCGTTCAGGACGCGGAGGAGTCAGAGACAGTTGAAAGTTCGTCCCCTACGTCCTCACCCGAGTCAAGGAGTCCACCATCAGAACCCGAGGAGCCTCTGTCGCCAGTGGAAGTCCCCAGGAAGTCGCCACTGAACGTGTCCGTGTCGTCAAAGAAGTCAGAACAGTACGACGAGGAGGAGAACGAGGAAGAAGACGGACACGAGGAGGAAGAGGCGCAGGCAGTTCCCGGTGACGAGCAACAGTCAGAGTCAGCGGAGTCAGAGGATGAATCAGAGGAGGAGGACGACGATGATGATTATGAAGATTTGGACGCACTTTTGGTCAAAGCTCAGGCATCGCTGAAGAGGAAGGCCACATTTGAAGAGAAGAGCAACGAGCCCATGTTCAACTTTCCCAAGCTCCAGACGGGATTGAAGGACAAGAACGTGTACATCACGCAGGAGAACGGACGAGCCAAGGTCGCTGTGGACAATGTCATCGTTGTTGACAAGGGCAGCAAGACTGGAAATAAGGCTGCCCTTGAGACCTGCGAGGTCAACATGAACGCCGAGAAGGTGCACGTCAGTAAGCGTCAGAAGCAAGAGGTAAGCACCACTCATCTTTTTTTGCTTCTTAATGCGGAATTTATCATGTGTTTTCTTTGGCTTCGCAATATACAATGCGTCAAGTACTTTCTTCGCTTTGCAGTCTGCCTTGAGTTATTTGTCACAACGCAACACACCCCATTAACACAGTATTTTCCTCAATGTTTATTGTTGCGACTTGCAGGAGAGAGAGAAGACGACAGGGAAAAAGTGGTTTGATATGCCACAGCAGGTGTTGACACCTGAGTTGAGACGGGACTTGCAGATTTTGAGACTGAGGAATGTGTTAGACCCTAAACGGTTCTACAAGCGTGCGGAGAAGGGCAAGCCCAGGTTCCCAAAGTACTTCCAGGTGGGCACCATTATCGAGGGCAATACCGAGTTCTACTCTTCTCGTTTGAGCAAGAAGGAGCGTGCAACGACCATTACGGGCGAGGTGATGAAGGATATTGCTGGACGGGATTACTACAAGCGCAAGTTTGATGAGATTCAAGTGGTCAAGCAGTCTGGTGGTAAAAAGTTCAACAAGAAGGGCAAGGGCAAGCAGAGCAAGTCCTGGCGCAAGTAGCTTTTTTCATTTCATTTCTTTTCTTTTTGTTTTATTCCATCCATTTACAAATATTATCATACCTGCATTTTCCATACCTTGTGTACATGTTTGTGCATGTCAATATATATATGTGTGTGTATGTGTGTGTATGTGTGTGTTACTCTGCATGTTCCGTCAGCTTGATCAGCCCAATGTTCCGCCACCAAAAAAATATGTCCTGATCTGATGCCATCAATGTTCTTCTTTTCTTCCTGCGCCCCCCGTTGATCGACAACCAGTCAGCTCTTTCCCCAACATGCCTTTGGCTATCCCCATTATTATTGATATGATTGTGGCAATTATTAATGCGGCGTCTTCGCCCTTCACCATCCTTCCTCCTTTGCGCCGCCCTGGTGTGCACAGTGCACAATGCACAATACAGAGTGCACCGACAAAGTGCATTTACCCCTCTTCTTCTCGTTGCCCATGTTTCCACCACTCACTCCTTCAACTTCCTCCTCCCCTTCTCTCCTTCCATCCCCTTCTTCTCTCCTTCTTTGTACGTCCTTCCTATTTGTCTCTCTTTGCCTCTGTATTCTTTCTCTCTCCTTCCACCTTCTCTCCTTCCCCCTTCTCTTCTCCCCTTCAGGCTCCCCCCTTTTCTCTTTCTTCTCTCCCTCCCTCCCTTCTCTCTTTCTCTCTTTTGCCATGACACACATGTACTTTTTTTTTTTTTTTTTTTTTTTTTGATTGCCCTAACTTTTTGTTTTGTTTAATTGTCCATGCTAGTCCGTTTTGCATGAAATGAAGACGCGCAATAGGTGCCACGATCCAAAAATATTCCATCGAAGACCCCAACTGGGGTCCCATCTTCTTCGTCGCTTCGTCTTCCTTCCGAACCATGTGTAAAATTGTCTCCTTGTCTTTTGGAGTCATTTCTTCAAGGAGCCAATTCACTCTATCGGTGGGTTAGATATAAAAAAAAAAAAAACTCTTCCAGTGAACGAAGGAAGAAGGAACAGACATTCACACAGACATGCATTCGTGCCGCCATACCTACAAACAACAAGGAATTGCTCACCTCTTCCTTCTTTTTATTTCGCCCTTTTTGTTTGCCCTTCGCGTGCTTCCTATGCTCTCAATTATCCCCGCCCCTCCCATTTTTTTTTCACGGTCTCCCTCAGGTCACACTCTCCCGTCGCCTGCTGGCCCTGTCAACTTGCCGTTTTGTGCCTTGCCTTGCCTTGTTGCCCTGGTCTGGGCTTTGCCCTGTCTCTCTGTACCTGTCCCCTCTGACCTTTTTTTTTTTTTTTTGCTGGTGCTCTCTCACTCCCATCCCGCCCACAAACCCCTCTCCCATCCTGCTCACGTCTCCACACCTTTTTTTATTTTTTTGCCCGACATACCATTCTTTTCTCATCATCATCATCCTTCTTCCTTCCCATCATCATCTTCCTTCTCTTCATCCCATACTGCCACACAAGCCTTCAACACTCTCTCCCTCCTCTCTTCTGCTCCATCTCGTCACCCTTGGAACCCATACCATTCCTCTCTTCTCTTACATCTCAATCTCGATCCATACCAGTCCACTCAACATCTCTCATATAGAATAGATCACCACCCCACCCACACAAACACAAGCACACATACCCAATACCATACCCCCTTCCTTCCCTTCCTTGTTCCCTTGTTGTCGCTCACTCTTACTTTACTTCTTGTCTCGCAGGTCCTTCTTATCTCCCTGGCCTGTCAGTTGGGTCATCCTCACTTCTCTCTCCTCATATCACTTACCCTTTTGCGCACCTGCTCCACCCCCTACCAGTTATTTAACTAGAGCCACTAGTGATGTCGCAAGTCAAGACTCACCGTGGTTCGCTCCATAACCCTGGGACGCCTCGTTCTCAATCCTCTTCCTCCTTGGCCTCTGCCACTACCACAACATCTTCCCGTCTTCGACGCATTCACATCAATCTCCCCAAGGCAACTGCCACTGCGGCTTCCTTTCTCTCTCCAACGACAGGCACCTCGACTTTGTCGCAGGAAAGGATCCAAGTAGATCGTTCTCGGTATGCAGAGCTTGTCGCCAAGAATGCTACTTCTGAGGTAAGCATAGCCCGTCTTTTTTTTTTTACCCTTTTTTCTTTCGGGATTCTTCCCACTAGCTCAAAGTCCGCCCTATCTCTATGCCACCCATTTGTTCTTGTGCGTGTGTTTTTTACCGTCCTTTCTGACCTTGTTTTCTTGCTCTTTTTGTAATCTCCATTGGCTTCCAATTGGTTCGTTTCCATCTGAAGGCTCTTTTGAAGATGCCCAACGTCGCAACCAAACCTAGGGCCGTTGACGATGTCTTTGACCACCAATCCACCCACCTCTCTTCCCCAATTGCCTTCAAGCTGCCCCTGGTTGCCCCTCCAGCCATCTCAAATATGAAAGTCACCATTGATACCTCAAGTCCATACGCTGCATCCTCTCAACGATTTTCTCAACAAGTATGTATAATATACATTACAATTCTTCAGATTTACAGACTACAAGAATGTCATTTTTCTTATGCTGTTGTTACACCACTAACGGTTTTGTCCCACCATTTTTTCTTGCCCCTTCCACCATTGTCTTCGCACAACAGCGCCCTGGCGTCGATCGCAAACGCCCCAACCAAGGAACAATGAACAGTAAGATCCTCTTTTTACCAACGACTTGTTTCTTTTTCTTAATTCATGCATGCTTCGCTACCCCCTTCTCTTCTCTTCCCTTTGTCTCCTTTCCGTCACGTTCCTTTATCGCTCAAAGACCCCGGTTATTTATCATTGTTCATTTTTTTACAAAACGCTGACGATATGTTCTCATTTTGTGTACACCGCATCAATCATAAACAGACTCCGAAGAGTACGTGTCGAGACGGAACAGCAGCATGAACCCATTAGCGGCCACTTTCACGCCTACGCTGCCCAAGTCGGGCTCACCCGAGTTTGCAGCTGCAGAGGATACCACTACCAGGCCCTCCCCCCCTTCCCGACGCAACACCGTCGACTCCAGGACCAATGTATGAAATGAATTATCATTATTTTCCTTTCCAAATTGCTGTCTCTCTTTTTGCCTCCCACCCTCTCCCTACTCTCTCTCTCTTTCTTTCTTTCTCAGGCACCATCATCATCATCGCCATCATCGTGCATGCGAAATATTCGATTCGATTCGATATATCATGCACGTCCGCAGCCCTTAAGCGACATATCTAAACCTGCAATGTATTGTTTGTTTCTGAACTTAGGATGGCATGGTGACAGGTCTTGGAATCTCGTCTCCTACCGCCACAGCTGTCAACCCTCGCCTCTCAACACAACTACAATACGACTCAAAGACTGCCTCGCCTAGCGTACTCCTGCGCAGCGATCGTGCTACCTTCGATACATCTTTGACAGCGTCATCCTCTGTCCCGCACAACAATACTCTTGCGAGGACAGCAAGCGTCGTTGATTTCGATCCCGAAGTGTTCCGCGACAACCTGATGCGCCAAATCACCGACAGGCTAGAGACCGGGCTTGATCGTCGCTTCAGCCAGCTGGCCTCGGCTCTCCCCACCCCTCACTCTCCCATTGTCTCTGGTCAGCCCTCCACAGGAAAGACATTCTCTCCTTCCGATGCAGCCCTGTCTGTGATGATACCCGAAGAGGCGAACGTGGCCCAGCTTCGATCCTTGTTGAAAGCCGCTAATGCAGAGTTAGAGCGACTCAAGGACAAGAACCAGGAGTTGCAGGAGAACCATCGCCGGCTGGAACGACAGCATCTCGAGGCGACTCACCAGATTGCACGCCTGCAAGATTTGGAACGAGCCCAGTCAACCGTCTACTCCAGAACTCATGGCGATGCGTCGTCAACTTCTTTGGGTTCGCCGTCGATAGATGGGAGGGCATTGGATTCGGTATCTTTGAGTGGCGGATTCGGTCAGAGGATCGGCGGTGGCGGTGTTCAGTCGTCGAGAGGATCCCTCGCAGAGTCCAACCAAACCATTCAGAGGTTAATGAAGGAGGTCGCAGCCCTGACTTCGGAGCGAGATGTGCTGAAAATTCGATCTTGGGAACTTGAGAAGAAGCCCTATATGCAGCAGCCTCCTTACCATGACGTCCGATCGACAGACTTTATTGACCTCGAGAATGAGCGTAACCGGCTGATCGAGGAGTTGGGCCAAAAGACTGTGGCGATGGAGGATCTCTGGAACAAGAACGAGGCACTCATGCTTCGGGCCACGGAGTACGAGAAGCGTGTCTGGGAGCTGGAGAGCCAGGTGACGGCTCTTGAGGCCGAATGCGCTCTATTGCCTAGGATCCGTCTGGACCTTGTTGAGATGGAAGCTAGAGCGGTGGCAGCAGACGCCTTGGTGGTCAAGTTGCAGGCGATGGAGGGGCAGGCCGAGCTGGTTAAGAACTTGCAGGACCGCATTCAGGAACTCGAGACGACCAATGCCGTATTGGATCATTCCAACTGGGATCTGTCAGAGAAGTTGAACATTGCCAACAACCAGCACGGATTGCTGACAAGAGAGTTTGAGTCCTTCCGGTCCAAGGACAAGGACGACCGTCGTCTCGAGTTTTTGACCAACAGGAACCGTGAGCTGGAAGTTCAGCTGTCTGCCGAGCAGAACAAGGCCGCGCCAGACTATAGGGACGAGTACGAGCGTGTTTCGTCGGAGTTGGAGAAGATCAAAATCCGCATGCCTCAGCTCGAAGGTCAGTCCAAGCAGGTGGCCTTGCTTCGATCCAAAACCTTGCAGTTGGAGAAGCAGATCAAGACGATGGAGCAGCTCGAGCCCCGGCTAGAGGAGATGCAACAGCTTCATGAGCGCAACTTGTTCTTAGAGGGAGAACTGGGAGAGCTGGAGCAGCTCCGTGCCCGCGAAATGGAGCTGGAACATGAACTCGAGGCTGCCAAGGCTCGCGTGGTCCAGTTGGAGACCCACAAGACGAGGATGAACTCGTTCTCCGGTTTGAAGCAATTGCAGACTCGCGCTCGGTCAGGCTCCGTCGCCCAACCCATGGCGCCCTTTATCCCACCTACATTGGCTCAGCAACAACAACAACAGCAGCAGCAGGCTGTGCAGGATGAGAGTGATACTGAGGAAGAAAAGAATCGTGGTGTAACTACAGTTAAGGAGGACTTGCGAATCAGGACCAGCCATGGACTGAGCCACCTTGCTCGGTCATCCCAGTCGTTCACTACGACGACGGAGCCCGTCCTATCTCCTAAGCGCGAGTTCCCCCCTACCCCAACCACAGCCTCGGCATGGCCATCGGGCAGGTCTAGTATGAGCATGAGCCACGCGTCGCACAGAATGAGCACCAGCTCGAACACAAGCACCGTCCTTAGCCATACCAGCAACAGCCCCAGCCTCCAGTGGCGAACCAGCCAAGCGACCTATTCTTCTGCCCCCGTCAGCCCTAGCGAGTCTTTGTCACCTTCGATTATGTCGCTGTCGTCATCGTCCTCGTCGACGCTGTCTGATGAGGAATCCACCCCTTGTATTGAAAACAGCAAGGCTTCATTGGTCGACGAACCAGAGTCGTTCCTTGGTCATGCTAGTAATGGAGACGTTGCCATTGTAGGGCTCGCGCCCTCACCCCTTCTTCCCCCTACGTCCGTCGTCCACGTAGATATTTAAAAATAAAAGAAAAACATCAAAAACTATTTTATCCTTAGCATTCCTCTCTTCCTCCATGAATGTACTATCGCGATAAGGGCGTTTGGTGCGACGCCAGAGGGTAAACAAACGATGTGTCAAGGTGACCACAAAACAAGGACAACAAAGTTTATCTCCCCACTCGAAGGCCGTCCACTCAAACCCACGCGCGCCCAAAAAATGCTAATGTACAAATAAATGAATACACTCGTTTTGCGCGTAGTGTCTTACAGCTCAAGCAATCGGTTCATCTTTTCTGTTCATTTTGCTTCAATCCAAAGTATTACCGCCCGATGCTTCAACTGCAGATCATCCTATTGTGCGCGATTACTGCTCTTGATCAACTCCTTTGTGGGCATGCACCCCTGCTCCATCTAACCACTGCATGTATCCTTTACTTATTCGGTGGCCTTTTTTTATTGTCTCTATCTTCCCTCCTTAATCTATCACAGGACAGGTGACAAAGCGATGCTTTATAAAGAAAGGGAAAAAGAGGAAAAGGAGAGGGCAGACCACAAAACACCAACCAGCGATCACAAAAAAAATGAACGCTTGCATGGTATCACAACTACTGCATGTTGTTATTGTATTGATGTGGTCGTACTCGTTTTTTTTTTTCCTTTTGCTCTTTTGCACACCTCCGCCATCCCTGACCTACATATTTGTTTATTTGTTGTTTGTTGACTGTCTGGCTGGCCTAGGCTCTCGCAAACAAACGAACCCCCGGCGAACAAATTTCAACAACAACAAAAGGAACATGTAGACGAAGAACAAAAAAACAACAGACCTCACTTCTCCATTTATAATCTCTTCTCTTCTTCCTCTTCCTCGTCTTCTTCTTTTTCTTCTTCCTCCTTCTCGTCGTTAACTGCTACGTTTTCAGCTGTCACTCCCTTACATCTCAAAAGAAGACACATCCAATTCTCAAATCCACGCCAGATTCATCTCACCTATCCTGCCTACACTCCTGATTACATTCCCACCCTCCTTTCTCTTCCTCGCGCAATCGAGGCTTTGAAAAGTCCCTCCAGTCGCATAACTTTTAATCGTACATCCTTGTGGCTTGTAGCGGCTTGTATGCGATTGGAGACTCAAAACAAATCTCCCTTGTGACATGTAAATAAACAAACGTGAGCGAGCATGTTCTCCCTCTCCCTTTTTCTTCTTATCTCCCTTCTTATGGGTGCCTTCATACTTATGCTCCTACATCACCGCTTGATGTTAGGCATCTACAACGATATCGCTGAGCACGAGGAAGCCGTGCTCCTACGTCATCATCTCAGGAGCCGGCCTCGCCGCACAGACGCGCCGACCTTTGACATCGACACCTGGTCCGACGAAGCATGTATCTCTCATATGCGGTTCGACAAAGACCAGCTTTTGCTGCTCAAACGGCATCTGATGATCCCAGATCTGTTGTGGACCACTAATAACGACATGTTCACCGGCATGGAGGGGCTTTGCATGCTGCTTTGTCGACTGGCGTACCCCAAGAGACTTACCGATGTTGTTGGGTTTTTCCATCGAGACCAAGCTGCGGTGTCGAGAATCCTCAAGGCGATGATCGAATGGTTCCATGCTTCTTGGAACCGCCTGTACGACTGGGACCCAGAACGACTGACACCCGAGAGGTTAGCCATGTTCACGCAGGCAATAGCCGCTAGGATCGGCGCTCATGCAAGAGATGACGTTTTTGGCTTCCTTGACGGAACATCGATCGAGATCTGTAAGCCTACATATCATGAGCAGTGCATGTTCGGCAGCAAAGGACAGAAGCATTATCTTCGGTACAATTTGGTCATGCTGCCAGACGGCATCGTAGCCCATGTCAGCGAGCCGGCTGCAGGAACATGCAATGACTCAGTCATTTTGCAGGACTCTGCTCTTCCTGGCATCCTCGCTCAGTATGCTCATCACCCGGACGGACATGCCCTCAAGCTTTACGGCGATAGTGCATACGCTAGCGATACTCACATCGCAAGGCCTCGCGACCAAGGCCAGAGCCAGGCTGCTCGGCATGTCCTCGAGAACCAAGTGATGGGAACAGGTCGCATCGTCGTCGAGCAGGCCATCGGATACACCAACCAATTTTTTAAACAAAGCAAATGGTCGCAAGCGATGAGGATCATGGACGGTCGTGCGGGACACTTCTTCCGTTTGAGTGTTCTTTTCGCCAACTGCCGCACCTGTATACGTGGCTTTAACAACGTTTCCTCCCAATATATGCCGTACTATGACGACCTTCCTTTAATCTGCCCGCCAACGCTTGAAGAATATCTCAACCCAAACCTTTTCAACCTGGGCGTTGACATCGAATAAACATTTATTTTTCGTTCATCTTCAACAGCAGTTGCGCCATCGATTCCTGGGTGTTCATCAGTCTGTCAAGTGTGCCCTGCAAGATTTTTCGATCCTCTTGAGCTGACTCCAGAGATTTTGCAATGCTGCTGTTAATGTGACGAAGCTCCGCCTGCGACGCCTCGTGCCTTACTCGTTCTTGCTCCCTCATCTCCACGACCATGTTGTTGAACTCTGCCATCCTATCCTGGATAGTGCTGGTCAAGTCAAAGTTACTGAACAGGGTATTGATGCTGCGGCCGGAGAAGGGAATCGACGAGGTGGGAGATCGCACACGTTCCTGACTACTATCCGACGTGATGTCCGAGTCGGTTGCGTCGGAGGTGGCAGAGGTGCCGTGGAGACCCCGGTTTGTGCTCATTGACTGCTTCGCCATCATCCTCCCGGTCATATAGTTTTGACGACGCTTCTCCATCTCCTGCTGCTTTTTGTGCTGGGCATGGGTCTTCTGTCCTTCCTCTCTGTCCACGAGGGCCTCCACTGTCCGCAACTTTTCCGACAAATCAGCCTGAACCGTGCCTGTTGGACGTCTGGTCCTCGCTGCTTTAGCCTGATCTAAATCCTTCCTCAACTGCATCCATCTCTGCCTCACAGACTTGCCGGTGGCATCATCAAAATGGGTAGCCTTCTCCGTCTTCCTCAAAACAATCGAGCCTCGAGTGCGACAGGAATCTGCTACCTTTTCCCAGCAGACCGCAACGTCCTTTCGGGACTTGTTCAAAGGGTCAAAGTCGTCTATCGCCTCCAGAAGAATATTATCCGTCTCGTCTGTTGCCTTAGACTTGGTGCGCTTCGCCTGCGCAAGGGCTTGAGCAGCGGACGAAGGTCCTGGGGCGCAGTCGCATGTGCCCGCATGCTGAAGACATGCGGACTGAATGTTGGCATCCTGCAGCGAGTTCTGTATGGCAGAACGGAGCGCAAACTGCTCGTCGTCTGTCGAATCGCCATCCTCCAGTATGCCGGTGTCGAGTTCTAGAGGATGGTGACCGTCCTCAATGGGAAGGGGGTTGCGTTGTGGAATGGAAGACATGTGTTGGTTGTGCAGGTGGAGATGCGGTAAAATGGTGAACGATGGATGAAAGTGTGGCTTGTATGCTAATAAGCAGAAGGATGTACAAAATCGTACGAAATTGCAGAAATACGAAAATTTGCAGAACTGTCTGTGGCTTGTATGCAACTGGAAAAATGGTAAACAGTTGTGATCGCGAAGATATGCGATTAGAATCGACTTTTCAAAGTCTGGAATGGACTCACGCACGCTAACAACCCTTCCGCGGCACATGGTGTACTGCGGCCTTGTGACATGTCTGACATCGGTCTCGATCGGGTATGTGATTGGCTCGCCCAATATCCTCGAATCCGCCATCCGAGGCATTGGAAGCGACTGTGGCCCTCACGCTCCTTTCACCATCCAGCAAGGGTTTCCCAACTGCTTCCAATTCTCCGATCTCCTCTGGGTAAGTCTGCAAATACCAACCCGTGTGTACAGATGGCTGAGTTGGACGCCAATGGCTGTCTTTGAATGCCGAAGAAAGGTGAAAGGGTAGAAAGAACGGTAATTGGGGGCCTCGAACTCTCGCGGTGCTCGCCCCGCATTTAAGAATATTTAAACATGCCCAATGTATCTTTGTTTCTATCTCCGTTACTCATTCAAACGAACCAATGCCCCCCTCCCCCTTCCTCTTTTCTTTCCTGTTGTTTAGGGCTTCGCAATAGGCTCGTTCTGCTTGGGCGCGCTCGCTGGCAGCTTAGTCGCAGGCAGTCTGCAGAACAAGTATGGCCGCATCAAAGCCCTCTTCCTCTCCAGCATCGTGTACATCCTCGGCTCTATCGTCATCGGTCTTACTTTCCACCAGGTCCAATTTATCTTAGGTCGTATCACCATCGGCTTCGCTTGCGGTCTCGGTGGTGTCGTCGCACCCACGTACCTAGGTGAAATCGCGACTATCCAGGGGAGAGGTATCCTCGGTACATTCCATCAACTCTTCTTGGTAGTTGGCATTCTCCTCTCGAATCTCATCGGCCTTGCATGGAGCACCCCACCTGGGTGGAGGTTCGTCCTGGCCCTCAATGGTATTCCCGCCTTGATTCAGTGCCTCTTTTTGTCACAACTTGTCGAAAGCCCTCGGTATTTGGTTTCGCAGAAGAGGATTAAGGAAGCCGAGCGGTCCCTTCAAATCCTGAGGGGACCCGAAAAGTTAGTCAGCGTCCAAGAGGAGCTTGCTGATATGATCCTCTTGCTCACTGGCAGACGTGTCCCTGTCGATGACGACAAAGATTGCATAGATTCCCTTTCCTCTTTTCCTTCAGATGGTGTGCCACCCCCGGTTCATCGCGGCAACTCTGCCGCCACCCTCCAAAATGATCCTTCTCCCGTACCTCTCGTCGCACTTCCTCCCTCACACCCCGACAAAAAACAAGCCAGTATTAGCCAAGAGCCCTACGGATTCTTTACCCTCTTTCGGTCCGAATGCCGCGGTCTTGCGCTGGTAGGAGTCTCAATCCACTTTCTCCAACAGGCCACAGGAATCAATGGGCTCGTCTACTACTCGACCTCCTTCCTCAGCGACACTTTTGGCCCTGGGAATTCCAAATACATCACCATCGGCGTCACGGTCTGCAACCTCCTATCAACCATCTGTGGAGTCTTCCTCATCAACCGTGTCGATCGCAAGACACTTCTCATGGCATCCTTTGGTGGGATCGCTGCTTCTGCAATGCTCCTCATCATTGGCGCCTATTCTGACGTTGGTGGCCTGGTGGCCGCCGCCGTGTTCTTGTACATCATCGCTTTTGCGGTCGGCCTTGGCCCCATCCCCTGGCTGCTCCTCTCAGAGTTTCTTCCAACCTACGCTCTCTCGTCTGCATCCAGCGCTGCGACGGGTGTGAATTGGAGTCTCAATTTTGTCATTGGCCTGTTGTTCCCATCGCTCACTAAAGCTATGGGCAACACCACGTTTATTCTCTTTGGGGGGATTAGCATCATCGGCGTCGCTTTTGTGTGGTTTTTTGTTCCAGAGACGAGGGGCCGATCCATAGAACAGGTCATGGCCGAAAAAGGCGTCCCTCGTCGATCTCCCTCTTCTTCCTAGATCACCCTTTTCAGTCATACAATAAATATCGGTTATATTGTTAGTGTATTTATTATTGAGACACATCATGGGGTTTGAGAAGAGACAAGGTTGGGGTACGCGTGTAGCCGTTCTTCTTTGACAAAAAAAAGAAATGACTCAATCGAGTTTTCAGTCTATGAGGGTGGTGGAGGAGTGGGTGATGTAGTCGTTTTGCTGCCTCTTCCTTCCATGTGTTACTTTTTGGACGTGGTCGTTGATTGCTGGGGTTGCTTCTAGTTGTAAATGGTGTTCTCGCGAAGATGGATGGGCGTGTTTGATGCTCCAGGGATAACCTTTTCGAGTTTCTACAAGATGTAATAAAAAAGGTCCATATTAGATCTCGATCGGTAGACTACTAAAATGTCTTAATTATCCATAACAATAAACGCATCCGTTTCAGTTATTCACAACAACGGGTAAGACAAAACACGTACCAGCTTGGAGAAGACGCACTCGTTAAAGGTTCTCTCGGGCTTACGGCAGGCATAGTATTCCTGGTTGTGCTTCTCCAAGCACTTGTAGTGAGCTTCCCATTCCTTTTCGCAGTTCTCCCTCAACTTGGTAATCCTAGTAACAATGGTGAAAAGATAAGAATCTGTTAGACCATCAATTGAGCAAGCAACTGGCAGAAACATAATCCTTTCGCGTGGATGGGATTAACTCTCAAATGAACATAGGATGTGGAACGTACATGTCCATGGCGCAGCGTGTGACCTTGCGGCCCTCCTTCAAGCAGTGAGCAGGGTCGTTGTTCTCGTCCTTGCACAGCATGAAATCCTCGTTATAATCCTTGCAATAAGATCCAATGAAGAACGCGGCAGACTTCAAGGGTGCAGAAGTCGTGCCAACCTCGGGGTGGGCAGCCTCAGCGGGGGCTGGGGTAGGGTCGACAAACTTGCCGGTGGTGATATGAGAAGCCTCGCGGAAGGTCGACATTATGCAGTTAGCGGGCTACTATGTGTCAATTGATACAGGGAAGGAGACAGTGTTGTTTGTTGTTGTCAGAGAAAGAGTGAGCCGGATCGCAGGAAGTGGGGTTCGGCGTTCCTGATGTACGCGCAGAGCCGTGCTTTGATGTATGTTTTCCCATGCTTCCAAGTTATTCCATCTTGCAAAAAGAGACGCTTCGTCCTCGCGCGTAAAAAGATGGCGAACCAGGTACGGTGCCATCTGTCCGGGGGTGTAGATCAGCAGTCGGGTTATTATCGTCCCTCCTGAGAAAGTCCATGAAGTAGCAGGCAGGGGCAAAGTGCCCAGTCAACGTACGGGAAGAGTGGAGTATTGTGGGTATGAAGGCGAGTGATCCTGCGTTGAGTGCTTATTTCCTGCAGTTGGATGGGAGCACCGGGACAGAGAAAGGGATGGGAGAAGTAGTGGAGAGAGGATAAGGAAGAAGAAGGCAAGACCGGAAATGCTAATCGACCTGATCAACCCAAAGCCGGACGGACGGAGAACAGGCGAGACACACACATACACACAGTAGACAAAATCAATAATTTAGCACACACGATCTCCGAACTGTACCGTGACGTTTCACTTTTTTTTTTTTTTTTTTTTTCTAAAAACCTAGAAGTCGAGCCACTTGTTGTAGTAGTTGCAGCCAGCAGGGTTGACAGGCCCTCCCTCAGTGCAAAAGTCAGCAACAGGGCACACACCGCAGGGGCAGTCCTGCCACGCAGACTCGGCCTTCTTGTCCCGCACAGCCTTGTACACCCAGTCAGAGTCCGTGTCCATATCTTCGTCATCCCAGTCCTCGTCCACCAAGGCAATAAACCGCTCCACTTTGCCGTCGTACACTAACACATCCAGCAACATCGTGATATCGTCCACGCTCAGATCGACTTGACTGATCCGCTTATCCATAATGTACTTGCGCACCATCGCCGCAGATGGGTACGCACTGTGTGTCGATGTGAAAATGCAGCTCGCGTCCCTTGGGAATGACTACGTAACAAATGGTAACAAAACAGCGTTAGTAAAACAAGAAAAACAAGGAACAGGCAACAGCAGCTTGATTTCAACACGCGGAAAAGACGACGCACCTTCATCAAGATGTACTTGTAGCACTGGTTGGTCAACTGCTCCACAAAGTCAACATCCAGCTCCTGATCAGTGAACCATGGTCCTCCAGTGACTTCCACAGAGGGCGTCAACTCCATCAACATGTACAGCTTCCTTGTAGGGTGCTTCACAGACTTGATTGCTTTCACAAGCGCCTTCTGCTCCAGTGCTCGAAGACATCTCTTGATCACTGCTTCGTGAAGATTCGTCTTTGACTTCAAGTGTTTTGTCCAGATTCCTTCGTTTCCTGATGCCCTGATTGTGTTGTACACGACTTGCTCCTCGCCTTGCAATGCTCCTGCCCTATGGTGTGACAAGAAAGCGCAAAAAGGAGAAAAATGTGTGAGTGTATTGTTTTGTTGAATAGTTCACTTGTCGGCAAAGTTGTATCACTGAGTCATGAATGACAGCAAACGCTGCGGCGCAATGCAGAACGACTTACTTTCCGATCTCTTCCTTTTTCAATGCCTTGTACACCTGCTCGCCTCTGACTTGAAAGACCTCAATGAAACCCTAGGAAAGTCGGATCATGAATAGATGTAAGCTCGTGTCCTCTGTTTGACACAAAACAATGTCCCTAATAGAATCCTGGACACCATGAAAATGCGACGCTTCTGTTATCATTGCAACTCATTTGCATCCATACCCTGCCAAGCAAAGAGTTCATAGCGATGGCTGTGTCCATGACGGGGCTATCTGGGTGGATCCCGCTAAAGTCTGTATAAGTCAAACCCTATTGATGAAAACAAATAAAGATTCAATAATATGAGTACGATGGTTTGAGATGATCTCTTAGCACGACTTCACAACATTCCGCGTATTTGAGGAGCAAGAGCGTACATTGTTGCCAGCCTTCAGACACTCCTGATAGAAGAGCTCCTCGAGGGGAGTAAGGTTCGTCGCCATGAGGATGTATGTATGCTTGTATTGGGTGAGTTGGCACAAGTGGTAGTGGGAGTCTTTTCTGTCTTGCTTCTTGAGTCAAGGGAGAGTTGTAGCGATTAAGTTTCCTGAGGTGAGTGGGTGGGTAAGTGATCGTTGTCGTTGTCGTTGTCGTTGTGTGTGATGCGAGACAGCTCAAGAATGAATGGGAGAAAAGGAAGAAGACGAGGAGGCAAAGCAACAAAAAAAAAAAAGAAGCAAAGCAAAGCAAATAGCTGTGGCTTGGAATTATTTTGGTATTATCACTAGAGTATTGAGTATTGTTTCATTGGCTGATCCAAGCACTCGACGCGTCCTTCTCGCGTCTAGATTGTATCCTCCACCTCCTGTCGTCGATGCCGAGGTTGCTGCAATGGGTGACGGCTTTAATTGTGTTAAGCCCCTTTAAGTCGAATATCAATACTGTCAACATCGCCATCCTCGGACGACTCCCTCGATGGCATCGACTCCCGCCCACAGTCCTGACTCAAAATTCTCTTGTCTGCCACAGAGATCACATCCTGTCCACTCAAGCTGCTCGACGCACCGCCTGCCTCCAAAATACATTTCCCGGTCGTAGTCACCCGGCATCCTTCGTGACCGACCGCTACCTCCTCTCCTTCCTTCCTCACTGCCACCAAACAACGCAAGAGCTGGATCATCTACTATACAAAAGGAGAGACAGGCAAAAGATACGACACCCCAAACACCTCATTTTGTCTCCCCCGCTTCTTCATCTCCTGACCCCTCCCTCTTTATATTTCCCTTGGGAGAACTAATTGATCCCGCACAGTTCATCCCTTGAGGAAACTCCTTGTCGACATTGCATGTCTAGTCCGGTCGTAATAAAAGCACATGTCCGTAGTGTGAATTAGTGCGCCTTCGACATTTGCGAAAGAAAGTGGCTTCGTTTTCCTTCACTCATTCACACGTCCATTTCACATCTGCATTCATTTTCGGGACAGCGTGTTCTAATATTCCCTCTTGCCTCCTAACTCATAGTCATTCATGAAAAGTCTATTGTTCTTAACAACTCCGCCTTTCATGCGGCTACACGACAAACGGCGTTCAGGCGTCTATTGTAACTGTAAACTGTCTGCTCACCAGTAATCCTCAGAACTCATGCTGGTAACACTCATCGTATCACTCGCCATACCTCTATCCTCCTCCGCCTCCTCCTCCAATCTATTACAAGGATGTCTCTTGTCTCGGTTCTCCTCACCAACATCACTTCTCCTGCCCTCCTCAGCTAAGCTCAGGCCTACTCCCCCACCTCCACCTTGTTTCTGTTGGATACTGCTGATGTTGTCGTTGGTGGTCAACACGACCGGTGACTCTGCAAGTGTTGAAATGGACGCCCAGGACTCTGGCCTGCCAGAGGGTGACCTCTGTAGCTGCTGAACCGTTGGCGGATGCTGTTGTTGTCGCCTGTCCTGATGTTGCTGTAGTACTGCACGGAGGAGAGGGTTATGTTGCTCTGTCGACATGTCGTCGCTGTCACTCCTCGATCGAACCCCACGAACTGTCACCACCCGCTTGAGCTCCATCGACTCAGTCAGGGTCTCTATTGACCCCATCGTTGTCCTCCTCCGCTTTTGAGCTAACTCGTCCGACTCTTCCAAGTCATCCTCCTCATCCGACTCCCCGATCATGTCGTCTGGTCGTCCACCGATCAACAGCGCCGTGAACCGACTTGCTTTTTGCTGCCATGTCTGTGGGATAATGTATCCAGGCGAAAAGTAGTCGACGCGGCCATGGTCCTGCAAATGTCCTGGTGACCCTGGTGTTTGTTGTTGTAGTCCGTGCAATTGCTGTTGTTGCAGTTTGTTGATCCGACTCTTGCGCCGACCAGGTGTGATACTCTCGAACCACCCCATCCTACTCTTCTTTCTCTGGATCTCGCCCTTGGACGACGATTTTCGGTTCAGACCATCCTCGCCAACACCAACTTCCACGCCACCCTCCATAAGGGGCATGCGCTTGTAAGTACCGTCGGTATGGACGTTGGCCTTGGTCACCAAGAACAGCTGCTCCAGTCTCTGTCGCTCCACTGTCGTCATCTCCAGCTGCCTCTGTCTCTGCTCCTTGGTCATCTTGTCAAACACAAGCACATTCAGGAACGTATAGATTCTGTTCAGGACACCTACGTTCATGAACCCGGCCCGCCCACCCTTCAACCAACATCCCTGCTTCTCCAAGAATGCCTCCAAGTCGGGTCTGGCCATGGGTCGATAACAAATGGACCCTGGGAACGCTGGTGAGAACTCCTTGGCCGTCAACTGTGGGATCTCCTCGTGGTTCTTGCGGTATAGGTCATCCCAGAAGAGGTACCACCACTGATGACACTTCGTCCTATTGACGGCTCTCATCCGCTCGTAGAGGTACTGGATCGCCATCGACACCGGCCTTGAGGGGTCTACAATCTTGGGGTTCTCCTCTGTTGCCTTCAACAATGGCTCGAGGTCCTTCTGCTTCAAGTTCGGGTTGTCGTACACATTGATGAAGAATGCGTAGGAGAGTGTCCCATCCTTACGAAGAGCCTCGTGGCGGTAATGGCTCTGGTACGCCTGCATAACCTTCTTAACCTTTCGCACGCCTCGAGAGATCAGAGCATGGTTGTCCCGGAGTAACCGTGCCAATGCTGGCGTGACCTGGAAGTCTCGCGTAATCCCAATGACCTCGTGTCCGATTGTCGTCTCATGCAAGAGCTGTGATGATCCTTCGGGGTCCTGGGTCTCGCCGTCAGAATAAGTGATTGTTACTGAGAATCCGGGGTTCATGTTATGTCCCTGCCAGCTCGACATCTTCTTGCGGTGGATGGTAAACAGGCCTCTCTTGTAGCTCACAGGCGCATTGACCAACGACATCTATTTTTTGAATTCACATGGATATGGCGTGTTAGCTGCCAGGGATGCCTGTAAATTTTTAAGAAAACACATAAAGCTCATTGGCAATGACGTGGGAAAAGGATCTTACCTCCATGGTACCGTTACTCTCTCGGCCCTTTTGGATACCTCGGGTCTCCACAAAGGGGCGGACTACGAACTTGCCATCAAGCGCTCGGAGCTGGTACCTAAGCTCGCGTCGCCTCTCAATCTCGGGATCCTGGTTTTGTCGAATGTACCGGTCCAGATCATGCTCCTTCACAAGTGTAACAACGACCGATGACTCGTCATAGACAAACACCACCGAAAATGGGAACGGAACCACGTACGCCTTGCCAAAGTACGTCTTGATGTTCGACGTCATAAACTCGGGCGCGTAGTACATGTCCGGACCGACGAACTCCTTCAGGATAAGAGTGCGCTTCCTGACCATCGCCGGGGTCAAGAACTGACATGCCTGTGAATACGATCGGAGTCCAATCTGGCGGACAATCCGCAAGTTCTCGACGTGGCGCTCTGCAACAGTGCCCTTGAAGTTGAGAAGGTACGGCGGTCGATGCGGGGACTGACTGTAGGCGACAACAGTGTCAGCAGGCATTTTGAACGAGTTCTCGACCAAGAGCGTAGTGGTCCAGGTCTCCTGCCAGATTCGTCGCTTGATATGTTTGAAGTAGTTGAGTCGTGGGTTATAGATCTCCAGGGAGAAATCCAACCGCTGCTGGATTTGCTTCAGCATGACCTGGAACTTTTGAGTTTGCCGGATAGAGAACCAGACGACAATGATACACATGAGTACGTAGGTTGCAATCAGCATGATCCCGAGAGTGTTGACGGAAACGGGACCGACATTGAGGACAATAAAGAGGCCGATAACACTCGTAGCAACCGTGCAGGCTCTTGACCAGTACTCGCTGACGTTCTGCGAGGCATAGAGGAAGGGCTTAGTCCTGTAGACGCGGTAAATCAAGCTGACTGTGAACACGATCTGGAGGCCAGCACGGACAGACTCTATGATTCGCCGTTCGTACCCGCGGAAAATGCAGTTGTCCTTTGAGAACAACACCACAATCACGACCGCGATGAGCTTGTTTAGCATCACCACGACCTTGTACGTTCCATGTTCCCTGCGGTATCCTATGCGACATGGAAGAAAAAATAACATTAAAAACATTGCGCCGATAAAACCAATATCGGTATGATTGGCACTATGTTTGGCTGCCTGACGTTACCATTGTACAAAAAATTGTATGGGCAGTTATCTGAGTTCGTGAGACGCTTATACTCCTCATCCAAATCCAGCCGCCGCTCGCCTTGCTCCGTATACTTGTCAATCCTCGGCAAGTTCTGCACCACCAGTCGTCGTATTGCCAGCGGGAAATAGAACGTGTTCGCGCAGAGAGTGAAAATCGCCACTGGAATGATAATGTAGGCAAAGTTGAGATCCTGGATCTTCATCGATGTCACCCAGCAAAAGTCCGAAGGGTCTCTATAAATCCCGCTGGGTCCCAGGGGCTGGAGTACTGGAAAATCTGCGGTTGTATAGGGATTTGAGATAGGCCACATGGTGTCTGACCAGACGAGGGCGTCGAAGGACAGTTTTGCCAGTGGTAGATACAGTGTTGTCAACAAGAAGACAATCGAAATGGTTTCCATCCGCTGCTTCTTGGACCTCAAACTCCAAGACGACACCTCCAAGCCCTATAAGGAGCAAAAGGGGCCAAAGCCAAGGTCTGCATGGTGAGTTGGTTATAGAAGCAAGCAGGCTAGCGTCGAGTAGACGAAGGCTTATTCAAATATAACGAAAAATGTTACCTCTATGTCGTCGTTGGGGTCAGCCCGGGTCATGATTTTGAAGGTGTAAAGCGCAATCCAGCAGATAAGTCCAAAGATAAACAAGAAGATCATCCCATATCCAATGGCTCTCGGAAAGTCCATCGACAGCACTGCAGGGATAACATTCACTGCGGTGTACATCCACTTTTGGTTGACGAATGTGTTGCCAGAGACCGAGAGGTACAGCCCTACAAACTGCAGAAAGTCGATGATGATCTCAATCCGCATGTATGAAATGCCGATGTTGGACGACTCCCCGCTCATGATTCCGTCGACCGCCGTCGAAAGCATCACGTTCTGGAGTTCCTGGTCAAAGAATCCTGGGGGTTTGGTGATGTTGACCTTGAGCTGGTCCAATGTGATGCCCTCGGGGATCTTGTTCAGAGGTGGGAACATGCCAATCCTGGGATCTGGAGGTGGTGGTTTTTTGGACTTGGAGGGCTGTGGCGGGAGTGGTTTGCTCTTTGTGGACGAGTTTCCGTCTGTTAGTGATGATGTTCCCAATCCAAAGGAGTCTGCCGGGATTTCTGTGAACTTATTCGGCTTCAGCGACGATAGGTATGCATCCAGGGCTGGGTAAGAAATGAGTGGCGCCGTCGGTTGGAAAAGCGCCTCAGAGCTGTCAAGCGTCGAGTTCTCCGGTGCGCTCTCTGATCGCTTTGTGCCGAGTGGCGTTCCTCCTGTATACTTTTGATCGTGTATCCGCAGAGGAAGGCCGGATATGGTGATCTTGGCTGTCTCTGAACCCGAGTGTAGTTTAGAGTCTCCAAACTTCCTGCCAGCGTCTTTCTCCGAGACATCGCCGATGTTTGGGTTGACTGCCTTTTTCAGCAAGCTGGTTTCTTCCCGCGCATCCCGATCGTCAAAAACACCGCTCGAGTCTTCCGGAATTGACTCGTCCAGTGTGCTGGCATGACTCGTGAAACTCTGCACCGATTCCCGCTTGGACTGGTTGGTTGAGGATGTCGCGGCGCTACTGACTTTGGAGTGGACCAAGGTCTGTTGGCTATTGCTTCTGTCCGCTCGACGGTCGACATTCTTGCTCGCCACGTTGGGTTTGAATATGTCACCCAAGTCGGAGGCAACTCCGGGATTTTGGCTCCGACCCTGCCCCACAACCACAGTTCCTGAACCCGATGCGCCCACAAGTTTTGGGATGGCAGGTTTAGACGACACTCCTTTGACGACTGCATACATGATATCTGATCCGCGACTCGATCGGCTGTCGCCCTGAAAAGATTCACCCTGGCGCCTTCCGTCATCGACGGTAGTTATTGTTCGTCGTTCGTTGCGGGGCGAAATGGATCGTATCACAGGCTCGACTGGCTCTGATGTTGGACGATGAGCTGTCCTTTTGGGAGTCGGTCGAGGTGCAGCCCTTCCTTCTCCTGACCTGGACTCTTGTACCACTTTGTCTTGCGATAATTGATCGTTGTTGGAGGCAGTTGGGTTGCTGGGTGTGTTTGATAGGATCCTGTCAAGCCCAGCTGCAGCAGGAGAGTCTTTCGCATCACCTGCAGATGTTTTTACTAGTAGATTGTCACCGTCAAAGTGAGTCTGTTAGCTGTTTAAAGGATGACCTCTCGCATGCACTCTTTTGTTAGTCGCCGGGGTTCTTACCTAATGGCAATAGGACATCTAAAGGACGACCAAGAGGCTCTGACGCAGACACCAAAGGATGGCTCCTGGCCAGGTGGTGGTGATGCTTCCATGTGTCCTCTTTTGACCCAACTGGTGGTATTACAGCCAACTTCATGATTCCTTCCTCGTCTCTTGAATGTGACAGCAAAGCCGACGTGGACGGAGACGACGATGATATAGGAGATGTCGTGGGTGAAGTAATGTTCTGTGGCAGATTGGTTATGATACTGGATTGTGGAGCGTTGGCAGAGTCACTGTCCTTCCGTCGATACCCTTGCCTATCACTTGAAAATCCAGGTCGCTCATTCTTCGATGAAAGACGCCTCAACGTAGGCGATCCAGCGTCGTTGCCAACCCTCTTTAGCATCGTTCTCGGACCCAGAGCCTCCTCTGGCTCGACACTTTGTCGTCTTGGAGGTAACGGCTGCGTTGGTGCTGTTGCCATGCCTGCTGACTGATCCCGTGTACCTGTCGAGATATGAGGCGGTCGAATATGGTGAGCTGAACGCGGTCCCATCACCCGTGATGCCTGTGCTGGAGGTGAGGCTAGTGGGCGAGCATGGATCGTATCGAGTGCATGTCGCTGAGTTCCAAACACCCTCGATTGCACAGGCGCCACTGATCGCAAGGGGAAGAGTGGCGCAGAGGTTCGAGGTGAAGGTGAGGATGGTGTTGAGGGAGATGAAAGGATTGGTATCGATGGCGAATGAACAGGAGGGCGGTAGCGTTGAGGTTTACTTGGGGGCTGTGCAAACCCTGGGGAGGACTGAGATCGGACACCTGCTACAGATCGGGCTGCAGTTATTACCGTTGTTGAAGGTAACCGCTGTTGTTGTTGGTTTAAGATGGGTTGTGGACCTCTTGGTCGTGATGAAGTGGGTGAAGTTCCCTCAGAAGTGACATCGAGGTCGCTCCAGAAGGATATGAGGTTGTTGACGCTGGGCGACTTTGGAGGGTTGTGTCCTGCCATCGGCCTCTTTTATGAAGCGGAGAAGGGGTTGGATGGAGGCGGGACGTCCAAGCGACGTTTGCGATGAATAAAGAAAGGGAAGGAGTGTGTAACTAGAAGGAAGGATTAGTGGCGGATCCTGGGACAGGGTATTGACTGTGTGGGAGAGAGTAGAAAGGTCTATGTAGTAGGTGGAGTGAAGGGACGAGAGAGAAGGAAAAGAGTGTAAGAAAGAAACAACGGGCAGCTAACAGAGATAAAGGGCAAGACGCTTTTCATTCCCTTTGCTGCACTCCTTCCTTCGTGCTTCTACTCCCCCGTTTCGATCGAAGCCTGGATGTTCGTCATCCCCTCTGAATGTGGATATATGTTTTGTAAAAGGGGTTATCACACCTCCTATCACCTTGTGCCTGAAGGGACGGATGACCTATGGTCTGACCGCACATTTCCCACCTGATCTCCTCCCTGTCCCCCTATTATTTCGACCATTACAGCTGTTCAAAATAACTTTTAAAAATACAGAGGGCAATATTTTTACTTTGTAGAGGGCGCACACTTCGCTATCAAAAAGAGTGGGTCTACTTTGTGCGCAGTTTGGCAAGCGCCTTCAACGACCGCATGTCCTGCCGTGTAAACTCAAGCTCCCGCTGTGCCGTCTTCAACTGCCGGTTCAACTCAACCTGCTCCAGCTCCAGTTCTCGGATCCGCTCCAGATGCTCGTCCGCCATGTCCGGACTCCTCATTTCCACCTTACTCTTCAACACCTTGTTCTCCTTCTCCAAGCCCGACAACAATGTGTCGTTCTCCTTCTGCGACAACTCGTAACGGTGTCGCAAATCCAACAAAGTCCTCTCCAGCTCAGCTTTCTGTTGGCGCAATGGCTCCAGTGCAAGAACTGCCTCATGGTGGATTGCCTCCGTTCCCTTGAATGTCTCGTCCCTCAGAATAGCCTGATCCCTCCCCCGATCGATCGACACCGATGACGACGTGAGCGAACTCATTCGATCCAACGCTGCCTGGGACATATCAGGAGACTGTACCGATCCTGCTGCCGTTGCCAACGACCCTGCTGGCCGAGAGAGCATTAGGGCTTGCGCTTTGGCCAACTGGGAACGAGTCTGTGCAACCTCATCCTCTGATTCCTCCAGTCGTTGCTGCAACTCGTAGATCGCTCTCTTCTTTTCGTTCTGGAACTCCTGCAAGAACTGCTGCAGCTTGCCAATGCCGTGTTCTGCTTTGGTCAGCTCCTGTCGCAATCGGTCCACTTCTGACGACTCCTCGCTCGTACCAATAGTTCCCTCGGACTCATGTCTGGTTTGCTGCTGCTGGTTCTTGACGGTGCTCAGTTGGGACTCCAAGTCCTCAATGCGAGTCTTGGACATAATGATCTCCTTCTGCATACCCAGGAAGCGAACTCCTGCCAATGGCAGTGCCTGAACCGAAACACCCAGAGGCTGCAATCCTGCAAGAAGTGTCATCATACTCTCCTTCGCCTCGAGTTCCTCCGGATCTTCCGATGGCGACAGAAGCTTCCTGAAGAGGTCAGCAATAAGCGACACGTGCTCCTTTGCCTGCTCTAATTGGGCCTCCTTGGCGGACATCTCACTCTTCAACGCATCGACTGTCTCTCTTTCCTTCAACAGCTCATCATCCTTTTGCGCGCAGTTCACGGTCGAGGTGGTTGTGATAAGGTCTTGTTCCAGTTTCTCGGCTAGTGACTTGAAGGAGCTTGCCTCTCGCTTGGACGTCTCGGCAATAGCGACATACTCATGCAATGACATCTCCATCTTCCTCTTTGACTCTTCGAGGATTGAAAGTTGATTGATGAGATCCTCTTGCTGCGCCCTTGCCTGCTCCAGAAGCAAATCCTGGCGTGCGGCCTCCTCATCTCTCTGTGTATTCGACTGCAACAAAGACTCTTCCAATGCAACGCGCTGTTCCTGCTCCTCCGCCTTCTGAGCCTTCATGAGGTTGAGTTCCTGGTCCATCGCAGACAATCTGTGGGTAGCCGAATCCAGGTCAACCATCACCTGCTCGATCTCCGCTTGCTTCTCCAACATCATGCTCCTCATCCTGGCAGATTGTCCCTCCAATCCCTCAACCTGCGATCGGTTCATGTGTCTCTCCTCCTCTAGCAAGGCCTGCAGTTTCTCCGATTGGTTTGATCCGAGGCTCGCGGCAATAGTGGCGTGAGCTTCCTGAAGTAGCGCCCTTGACTCCAAGAGTTCCCTGTCCAGCCTGCTATTCTCGTGCTGTTGATGTTCCAGTTGGTGTTGCAGTGCTGACACCCGCTCGCCGTGTGACATCTCTTTCTCCAGAATCGCCGCAGTCCTCTCCTCATTCTGCTGTCGAGACGCCCTGAGTTCATCTAGCACGGCATCACGCGCTTGAATATCGCTCAAAAGTCCAGTAACTCGCTCCCGCAACTCTGCGACCTCTTGTTGGAGTGCTGCTGTTGAGGGTGAGGATGACTCGTCCGCCCCAAGGTTGGCTTCAAGTTGAAGAATCTCGGTCTTCGCCGCCATAAGCTCCAAGTTAGACCGCTGGAGCTGGTCCTCCACCCGCATAGTCTCTTCCTTTGCTGCAAAACACTCCTCTTGCCACCGTGAAGCATTCTCGGCAAGGCGGCTCAGCTCAAAGTCATCACGGCCAGACGATCCCTCATGGGTTCCAGACACCAGACCGTCCTTCATGACCTGAGATGCCAACTCCAGTTCCTTCTTGAGAAGTCGCTCGCGCCCCAGTGAAAGCTGTAGCTCCTCCGTCAGCGACTCCAATGCGGACGATTGCTCCTGTCCAACATCGCTTTGAGAAGGACCGCGGTCTGCAGCCTCCTTGCGAGCAATTTCAAGCTCCTCCCGCAAGACGCTGGATCGCTCCTCTATCTCGGCCAAGGCAAGGCGCATATTGGACTCGGCCTGCTTCAAACTCTCGACAGTTCTGATCGACTCCTCCATCTCGAATCCCAACTCTTTCTCAGACACTCGGGCTGCCGTCAGATCAAGCTCCAATTGAGTCACGCGATTCTTGAGAATCTCTTCCTCGGCTCTTGACAAAGTCGAGTCAGTCTCCTGGCCAGATTTCTCGGTCTCCTTTCCACGAAGAGCTGCCATTTCACTCTGTAGGAGGTTGTACTGGTGTTCTAGCTTAGCCATCTTGAACGCTTCCTCGTCAAGATACTGAGCTTTCTCTTCCTCAAAGGATGCAACAAGTCGTTCCTGGATAACCTTGTAGGCCTCATCCTTCATCGCTTGGTGACTCTTTTGTTCGTTTCTAGAGAATGATTAAAAACAAAGTGGGATTGGCATAAAGCCCATTATTCAGTTTCTGAAGACCTTAAAACGAGGTTTATTCAAGATTGAATCGGGAGGGTCCATGGTCCACTACGCGGGGTTATAACAAGAATGCTCCTTACCGATGCTTATCGGCATCTTCCAGGGCATGCTCCAGCTGTCCGATCCTTGAAAACAGATCACGCTTCTCGGCATCTGAGCGCTTGACCGAATCCTGCAACTCCTTCATCTCCTGACGTTGACCCTTGAGCTGCCGACGAAGCCCTTCAGCTTCCTGCAAGAGTTGTTCGGCGGTGTGGGTATGCTCGTCCGACGCCATGCTTGTCCGACGCGCGTTGGTCTCGGAAGCAGCAGCAGCAGCAGCAGCAGCAATAGCCCGCTGCTCCTGGAGCTCCCTCTGTGTCCGATCCAGTTCATATTGGAGTCGTTCGTTCTCCAAAGCAACCTCCTTCATCATCTGGGCTTCAACCAATGCAGTCTCCTGCTCCTTGCAGATTTGCCGGGCTTGGCCAAGTTCCGCCTCGAGTTGTCGATATCTGCCCACAAGGTCGTCCATTCCAGTGCCCACATGATGATGGTCCGCTTGGGCCTGAGCCAGCGCTGCCTGAAGTCTGTGGTTCTCCAGGCTTACGTCGTCCAGCCGTCGAGAGTGATCTGAACGGGTCTCTAGATGCCTTGCCTCCGCCGCTTGGGACTCTGAGTGTATTCTCGTGAGATCCTCCTGCAACCGCGAGACCTGGAACTGCAGCTGTTCCTGTGATTGGATCTGGACCTGGAGGCCACTTGTCTCTGCCAAAAGCAATCGAACTTGTTCCCGAAGGCGCTCGTTCTCCAGTGCCAAGTGACGGTCCGCCATGACCTCGTCGACCTGTTGTTGGGTCTGCTGCTGCGGCTGTTGCTGTTCCTGCTGTTGCTGCGGCTGATGTGCACCATAGCTTGGTGATGCTGGTTGGTAAGGCACTGGCACTGGGTCGGTTACTGGTTCGTTGTGTAGGGTGGGTAGCTGGTGCGAGATGGTGGGCGAAGAATACTGGTCGCGACTCAAAAGTGACCTACGTCTAGGACTCTCCTCCTGTCGCATCCATTCACCACTGGATCTTGATCCTGCACTTGAATACTTTTGCACCGTCGGTCCTGAATGTCCTCCACTGGACCCTTGAAGGTGGACACCGGAACTCTGCTGTCGCTTCTCTAGAAGTTCGCGAGCCTTCTCCAGCAATCGTTCCTTTTTGTCCGGCTTGGTGCGACCTACTCCTGTCGACCCTCCATGAGCCACCTGATCCGCCAGCAGTGCATGCACAGCTGCTTGTTTCCTTAACAGTACTTCAGGGTCTAAAACGCTTGGACTAATCGCCCGCTGAAGGAGCGTAGGACTGGCTGCGTGATGAAGGAGTGTAGGACTCACCGTACGCTGAAGAAGCGTAGGGCTCGCCGACTGGTGTTGAAGGGTAGGGCTGGTAGCTTGTTGGTGGTGGTGGTGTAGGGCCGGGCTGGCAGTGCGAGGATGGAGTGTAGGGCTGACAGCAAGATGGTGATGAACTGGCGGGCTGGTGGTATGGTGGGGAGCACTTGGGCTAGCCAACCCCAGTCCTTGCTTCGAAACGGCGACGTTGGGGGACTCCCACTTCATATGGGCATTGATCTTTTGCCCGCCAAGATCAACAGGATCTCCTGGCATATCCTCCGACTCTCTATGCCCAACAAAACTGGCGTCCACGTGGGCCTCTGGAGCAGCCGAAATGTCAACCGCGCCGTGTCCTTGCGGCACTGGATGGTACTGCGCCGAATCTCTTTGCGATCCTTGCGAAAGTGCGGCATGGTTAAAGTGGAACGATTGCTCACTTGCAGTCGGGAAGGCAGGCGGTGCAGTCGGTGTATGCATAGTGGTGGACTGGAGGGATAAAGTTTTTGGGACTATTGGGGATAAAGCAAACATGACACATCACATTGATACCGTCAGTATTTAATCGAGACGAGATCTTTCAGACAAAGACACACACCAGCATATGTTGAAGTTACCGTCATCGAGTTCCTTGGATGGCTCTTCTCGTCCGACGTTTGATAAAGACTCGATCGCCTCGCCGCGCTCAGGCACTGCCTCCTCTGTGGATTCGAGGAACATGCTCGATTGCTTGTGTGCCCAATCAAATTTGACAGGTTGTGAGGCTTCCATAGGTGCCGCAGCCATTGTTGGAGCTCCTGCGGCGTCAGGTGTAGCTGGCCAGTTCGAAATTCTGGGTGGTGGCTGGAGCTTGGAATGGTCCTTCTCCTGAGTACGGCGTGGGGGAGGAGGGAGAACAGTCGCTACAGGCGGAGCAGAGGTAGTAGCAGGTGCTGGTGCAGGTGCAGGCGGCGCAGTCGTGGGCTGTGCGCTTACACTAGGGACGGATGCCGTAAGCACAGCCCCTGTCTCGCCCGTGGCAGGAGTTGCAGCATCGGCAGAAGAGGCACCTAAAGTGGCCAAGGACTTTGACGGCGATTGTCCCAAGGGCGAGGTAAACATCGACGTGGCACTACTCTTGACACCCTTGAAGAGCCGCGACATGCCTCGTTCAAAGGCTGCGGATTTGGGCATGTTCAGCAGGTCCTCCACGGCGCTCAAAGTGGAAGGATCAAGGAGGGACGCAAGACTACGTTCTTTGGTTGGAGGACTAGTGGCTGAGGTCACGTTAGTCGAAGGGGAAGCTGTTCCTGGGGCGTCCTCGGCTAAAGAGACCTGATCGAACACTGAAGTCTCAACCTCCACTTTGGGCGACATGCCTTGAGAAAGCTCAGTCGCACCTGATCCGGAGGCAGTCTTGGACCAGTTGGCACGTTCCTGGAGTCTGGGGGACTCCCTTGCCTGAGAAAAGTACTGCGTGTGTGCCAACTCACTGCTGAGCTCCATGATCGAGTAGCTCCCTGGTTGCACGATCGCCTCCGCTGCGTGGATGTCGTGCGTGACAAATGATCCCGTCGCGTTACGACCAAAGCCTGGACTGGTTGGGCTGGGCAAAGTCTCGTCAAATGGAATAGGTTGCGATTGGCTCTGCTGGGGTGGAGGCGAGTTGGATGGCTGAGGTGGACGAACAGGTGGCTGCGCAACTTGTTCCGACAGGCTGTCGATACTAGTAAAGCTGTTGTCAACCTCTTCAAACTGGTTGTTGAATGAAAAGGTTGCGGGCAGGGCCCTTTGCTGGCTCTTGGGGGGTGCAGAAGCGGGGACACCAACAGCATTATGCTCTGGATCTTGAGACGGCCAAGAAGGTTCCATAGGTAATTCATTCGATTGAGGCTCGACGGTGTCAAAAAATGTTCCTCCTTGGGTGCTGGAGGTTCCGAGCAAGTCAAAGGGAGATCCTCCTTGGATTTTGGAGGTTTCGGGTAGATCAAAGGGTGATCTTCCATGGATGTCAGAGGTTCCGAGAAGGTCGAGAGGAGACTCTCCTTCGGTATTTGGGGTTCCGAGCAAGTCGAAAGGGGCTTGTCCTTGAGTATGCGAGGTTCCAAGCAAATCAAAAGTTGATATCTCTTGAGCATAGGATGTTCCGAGAAAGTCAAAAGAAGTGGGCCCTTGCTTGCCAAAAGAAAAGGGCTGTGACGCTTTGTGTAGTTGGTTCGAAGCGGACTCCAGGTGATCCTCCGACTTGTGGTTGTCAACGGTAAATGGCTGGAGTTCTTGATTTAACTGCTCCGACAGCGATTGTTTACGATTCTCAGACTCTGGATTGTCAAAGGCATACGACTGAGGGGTCATGTCGAAAAGATCCGAGACCGACTGTTGGCGGCCCTCTGGTTTGAGAGCGTCCACGGCGAACGTCTGACGCACCATATCAAAAAGGTCCGACACGGACTGTTGGCGATTCTTTGGGGTGCTCATGTCTAAAGCCTGCGACTGAGATGGCTGGCTGAAAAGATATGATATCGAGGGTTGGCGATCATCCGATCCATGATTGTCGAGACCAAATGGCTGAGACGCCTGGCTGAAAAGATCTGAGACGGACTCTTGGTGTCTATGGAGCTCCTGGGTGACGAAAGAAGGCGCGTGGTGAGGTAGTTCCTGGACTGGGGCGGCAAATATATATTGATGGTGGGAATCTTTTGACTGGTGGTCGTGAGGACGCGATGGCTTGGCCTCCTCGGATATAGGAGTAGGCTGTTCATCTACTCCCTGGGCGTCGCTGGACCCTCGCGCCTGTGCGAGTTGATCGTGTTGAGCGTGCTGGTGGGGCGCCTGGTACTGCTCGCTGCCTAATGGCTGCTCGAACAAAGAGTCCACTTCGCGCGCGTTGTTCTGGAAAGTTAAAGGTAAAATGTGAGATTTCGTACTTTGCACCCATTAGCCGAAACCCGTCAAGTAGGCAGCGCTTCCATGCATAGCCATAGAGTGGAAAACACTCACCGTTGTATGATCGTGCTCAGGACTGTGCTGCAGATATACTGGGGCTTGGGGCTTATCGTGCCTCAGGCTGGAAGGGGTGTCCCTGAACGACGGCGGTGGTCGTTGAGATTCTCGAAGCGACACTGGAGGGGCATGCGTGATGTCGACAGTGTCGGTATCATGTTGAGTCTCCTTGGGCTGGGCATTGCTCCCTACGCCAGCGCGATCTACAGTCGACCGTTCTAAGTTACTGAAAAAAGTATCATGAAGGGTGTCTGTCGATGTCTCCATTGTGGCGGTAGTCTCTGACGCGTCCTGCTTCTCGTTGTTGTTGAAGAAACTAGAGGCAAAGAAGTCCTGCTGCAAGGGTTGTCCAAAGAGATCCACCGCATTTCTAGTCACTGTAGCTGCTGCAGATTGGACTGGCGCATGACTCGCCAGAGTAAGGCCCATATCCCGACTGGCTGTAAGTTCGACTGTACGATCAAATTCAGCTGAGGACACTGGGACAGACGAGATGATGGGTTGAAAGGCATCATTGTTTGCTGTGGCGGTCGTGCTGGATGCTGTCCCTATATGAGCTGCAGAAGACCCTGGTTGAGAAAGACCACTAAAGAATGCAGTGGAGTCCATAGCAGAAGGCCCCGAAAAGAAGTGAGACGCGTCTGTGTCATCACTTCCACCAAACAAGGAAGACGAGTCCTGATGATGCAGTGCTTGAAAGACTTTGGTTTCCGTTGTATTCTGATCAACATCGAAACTGCCACGGTTGTTGTTGCTTAGTGCACTGACGACAGGATCGGTTGGCGAGAGTGGTGTCTCGTGGTGATTAGTTGGCGATGCGCGTTGAGGCGTAGCAGACGAAATGGCATTTGATTCGGCTGAAACATCCATCGATTGTGATGCTGCAGTTGGTGGGTCAAAAATGGGCGCTGGCTGACTTGACCGAGATTCCTGAGATCCTCTGAGTGAAAAGACGTCGGTGCTTCGAAACGGAGGAGATGGAATCCTGGTAATCGATTTATTCTCTGGCAACGTTTTGTCCGAATGAGTTTCTTGGTGGTAGATCGTCGCCACCGCCACAGTCGCCGGAGAAGTGAACAACGAACCTACATCCTGTTGAGTAGTGATCGTCGCTGCTGCCGGAGAAGAGAACAGTGAATCTACATCCTTTTGCGTCGTAGCAGCCAATTTGTCAGGCTGACGATGAGTATCCACTGAACGACGCTGAATGGGTGTATATTTGATAGGTGCAGGGGGCTGCCGGAAGAAGTCCGTGGAAGATGGGCCGCTACCAAAGAGAACATCGGCCAAGGGGAGCCCGGCCTTCTCCGAGGCAGAGGTGGGTACAGCACCAAAGAGACTGGAAGTATCACTATTGTCGTCCGTTGACTTGGGAGAACCCAGCTGGGCGCTTAAGGTTCCTGTGTGGCCTTTGTTTATAAGATTCGGAACAGGTTGATGACCGCCTTCCTGTGTGGGTGCCGCACGTCCTGTGGGTGCCACTGGCGGTGGTGCAGGTCTTGGATGGATAACTTCTGGTCGATGTTGAAGTGGGCTTTGTGGTTGGTTAAGCGTGGCTGGACGCGGCGAGAAGGCTTGATTGGGAGGAGGACGTTGAAAATGGGGGGGACGTGGCTGCATCTGGGGCGAGTAGGGTCGAGGGTGCATTTGGGGCGACATAGGGCGCGGTCGCTGCTGATATGCCACTTGCGGAGAATGCTGATTGGCAGGCATGGGTTGCTGTGGATTTTGCTGGTGGTTAGGTCGGAGCTGGTCCTGGGGTCGAGGTGGTGGCGGTCGTGTAGGGTTTTGTGGAGGCATAATAGGTCGCGTTTGAGAAGGCGGATGTTGTTGGCTGTACTGATGACGCTGCGCGGGGAGATGTGGAAGATTCATGGGTGGCCGTGCAGGTCGGATAGGTCGAACGGGGCGGAACTGTTGTGTCTGGGCTGTTGCGGGATTGGGCGGAGGACGAACAAGGGGTCGCACAGGAGCATTGGATGGTCTGTTCACAGGCTGGGAGAGGAAGGAGCCACTGTCACCAAAGAGTGAGTCTGCAGTGGGGAGCTCATCTTGCGGGGGATGGTCGGGTAAGGACGCCGACACCTGGTCGTGGTCTGGAAGCTGGGTAAATGGAAAGAGAAACGATATTTATGGCGGGTGAGCATAGAGGTCGTTGTGACAGTTTGAGTGGTTGTTTGTTAGTCGCGATGGATGTATTACCAGCATGGCGTCTGATTGTATGACAGCTGCTTGAGAAGAAGTGTGATATTAGTGTAGGAGAGTAAGGAGAGGATGTATGGGAGGAGGGGGGGAGAGAGAAGGATGATTGAATGAATGGATTAATGAATGAATGAATGAATGAATGGATGGATGGATAGATGGATGAATAGGTGGTGGAGGAAGAGGATGATGGAAAGCGTGTTAGTGTCGTGGCACGTCACAAGGAGGCAAGGAGGAGGAAAGGAGGAAGACGAGGACGAATACCTTGCAGCCAGGGGATAGAGTCCCGGCAGCTCTGATTGGCTGAGTCTTTCCTCTGCGTCTCCCGTTAGAGCCTTTTTTTTTTTTTTTTTTTTTTTTTTTTCCTTTTCCCAGCCCTGTTACATGTTACATGTTACATGTTCATGTACGGGGTGGGTGTATGCATACTCTGCTCTTTGTCTCTTGTCTATGTTCGTTGTTGTGCTCACTACTTGGCTCCCTTGTCTCTCTCTCTCTCTCTCTCTCTCTCCGCTGCTCTCTCTCTCTCTGTCGGTCATTGTCTGTCCCTCTTTTGTTCCCTTCCCTCCCCTTCCTTTCCCCCCCTCTTCCTTCTTTGCTTGGCTCAACCTTGTATCTTTCTTCTTTCTCTTCCTTTCTTCCTTCCCTTTTTCCTTTCTTCTTCTCTGCTCCTTTTTTTGTCTCTTTCTCTCTCTCTCTCACTCTCTCTCACTCTCTCTCTTACTCTCACTCACTCTCTCTCTCTCTCTCTCTCTCTCTCTCTCTCTCTCTCTCTCTCTCTCTCTCTCTCTCTCACTCTGGCAACGCACTCCGCTCTCTCTCTCGCTATCACTACCATCCTCAACCCCTTCTTCCTAATCACGTACTCCCAACTCCCAACTAATAATACACTACCAACTCAAACTCAAACTCATCAATCAACAACAACCCACAACGGCGATCGATCATCAAACACCTTACTTCCCTCTTTACTTGCACTCTTTTACACCCTGAACTGCCGAGAGTGTGCAAGAGAGTGAGAGACCGACAGACAGACAAAGAGACTTATTAAAAAAAAAACAATAGACAGAGAAGTGAGACCGAGCGCACTTAAAAGACCCTCGTCAACCTCCTTCTCCCTTCTCTCCCGAGCCTGCCAGCCCTGTCCACCTGTAAGCTTTTATGTGTGTTTAATAAAGCACATTCACCCTCTTCATCGCTCCTCGCCATACTCCCTCTCTCCCTCTCTCCCTCTCTCCCTCTCTTTCTCTTTCTCTCTCTCTCCATCACAAAAAAGAAAAAAAGTCAAAGTCGCTTTCTATCAAGGCTAACACTATCCCTTCTTTCAATGGATCGTATCTCATAGACACAACATTATTGCATCTCCCTGCTTGTCCGTGCTCTCCTGGCCTCTCCTGCATACATAACTCCACCTCCCTGACTGTCTCAGCGCAACTACTACTTCTACTACTTCCACAAGTGCTGCAAGATAAACAACAATGTTTGCCCTCAACAATAACAACAACAGCGGCAGCAATACCACCACCACCACAGCCAACAACCCCACCACGGTGACCGTCGGACCAACCCATATCGGTGCTTCTCCACAGCTCGTCCAGAATACCCATCCGGGAACAGGAGGCGCATTCGCAATCGCAGACAGTAACTTGCCAGGATTGAGACCCGCAGCCATGCATGTCAGACCACCCGGCGCAATCATGGCCATCGGGAATATAAACGGACAGTCTCCAGCCTTTCCACAACAACACCTCCAGCCGTATCAGCTACAATCGCTACAGCTCCATCAATTGCAACAGCAGCAGCTCCAACAGCTTCAACTCCAACAGAGACAAGCACAGGCCCAGCAAGCACAGCAACAACCAGCCCAACAAGCACAGTTGCCTACCCAAGTTATGCATCCTCAGACGTTGCCCGCTACCACACAGAGTTTCGCTTACCAGGTGCCATCTCAGACAATGCCCATGTACCAGCCAGGACACCTCAACTCTATCCAGCTGCAGCAACAAAGGCAACAACTGCTCCAAGCCCAGCAGCAACAGCTTCAGCAACAGCATCAACATCCGCAGCTGACTCAGCAAGTTCAACAGCAGCAATTTGCACAGCAGCAACAGCAGCAACAACAGTTGCAACAACAAATTCAGCAGCAGCAGCTACAACAGAAGCAACAGCAACAGCAGCAACAGCAGCAGCAACAGCAGCAACAACAACAGCAGCAAAAGTTGCAGCAGCAAAAGCAGCAAGAACAGCAACAGGAGCAGCAGCAACAACAGGCACAACTACAGCACCTTCAACAGCAGCAGCAGCAACAGCAACAGCAGCAACAACAGCAGCAACAACTCCAGCAGCAAGGACAGCAACAACAGCCACAACAACAACAGCAAGGGCAGCAACAAGGTCAACAGGACCAACAAGTCCTACAGCAACAACAAGGTCTGCAGCAACAGCAGCAGCTGCATCAACAGCAACAGCAACTTCACCATCAGCAAATACAACAGCAAATCCAGCAGCAAATGCAGGTTCAACAACAGCAACAGCAACAGCAGCATCAACAACAACAGCAACAACAACAACAACAGCAACAGCAGCAGCAGCAGCAGCAGCAGCAACAGCAACAACATCCACATCCACATCAACAGCAGCAGCAACAACAGCATCAAGCTCAGCAAGCACAACAACAGCAGGTGCAACAAGTCCAGCAGCATCAACAACAACAAATTCAACAGCAGCAACATCAACAGATCCAACAACAGCAACAAGTCCAACAGCAGCAGCAAGCCCAGCAGCAGCAACAAGTCCAGCAACAGCAACAAGCGCAGCAGCAGCAACAACAACAACAAATTCAACAGCAGCAACATCAACAGGAACAACAGCAGCATCAGCAGCAGCAGCAGCAGGAGCAACAACATCATCATCATCACCAACAGCAACTCCAACAGTTCCAGCAACTTCAGCAGCAACAGCACACCCAACAGTATCAGCGCCACCTTGCACAGCCTACAAGCTTGGCTAATTGGCCCAATGCCTTGATGGAACAACAGAGGTATTGCAATGGCGTTTGAGCTAACTATAGTTTGTTGGTGTTTTTGCATAAGGATATCGGCTAACATTTCCTTTCTCCGCCTTGATGTGATAGTACACTTAATCCGGACTTCCCACAGGATGGGCCTGATCCCAAAGCTATGCTACGTCTACTGGACTTTTGCCGATATCTAGGACACGGTGAAGAGGTAACTAAGGAGCCACCATGTACTTACTTTTGAAGTAAATTGATGTTTGCAACGTGCAGCTAACGACTCTTTGTTTTCAATATCCAAATAGAATCAATCGATCCAGTCATGGCAGGCCTTTGTCAACAGATTTTATTCAAACGAGGGCAGACAGAAGTACACCCTTGTCAACCCTGTGAACAACGACAGCAGGACGTTTGGTAATTAATTTTGTAACGGTTAATATTTAGTTTAATCTTTGCTACGCCTCCGTGTTCCCTCCAACAGATACTAACATTTTATCATCATTTAGAGATCCCGGTGATATCTTTACCCAAACTGTATCACACCAACTATCAGTCAGGAGTCAAGGAAATGAAGTTGACTTTGGATGGCGCTATTGAGCAACCATCCAAGGCACCACTCATCGTGGAATGTGACAAAGTCTCCCTCCTATCGGACTACGCCAGCGGATCGAAGGTAGGTCCTTGTATGGCCATCTTTGTGCAATATCATTTTCGCAAAATGGTTATGCAGGCGACCACAAGAGCTAACAGAACCTGCTTGTGATGACTCTGGGATGAACTTAAATAGGTGATGTCGGTCGGCTCTGTCAGAGTTATGTTTGCGACAGACTACAAAATTGACCTGTTGGAAATCACCATCTCGGACTTTACGGAACTCATCCCGCGCCCCAAGGATGACGCATCGGAGAGCCCTGTGATCGACCCAAAGACAGACTCGAAGAAGAAGAACGCGTCTAAAAAGGCTTCTGCCGCTGCCATAAAAGGCTCCAATTACAATGTTCCCGAAAGTGTCGTGAATGAGTTTGGTGTAACTCACAAGACCATGCGGACGCTTGGAGTGAGTATATGTCTATTTAGCTGTGTTGTCGCGCTGAACATAACGGGACAAGACTTGATGTGTTTTCCACGAAATTCACGTATTAACATCAGCTGAGCACGTATTGCAATTGTACTTGTAAATACTAGATCTCTGACATAAAGTCCAAAATGCCAGAACTTCTGGGTACGACTACAGGTGCAAACAGACGTAGCCCAGGTATGCATGCGCTCCACTCGTCTGAAACGACCTTTGTTGCTGTCGCCCTCAATGGACCTTTGCTAACTGGTTGTCTATTCTCACAACCATAGATTCTTCACTGACATTTAACACTCAAGGACTACAGAATGGAGCACCGAAACATGACATGCCAGGACTTCCAATTGTTACGAGCACTATCTCTACTGGCCCTCCAGCCCAGGCGCCATTTGTGACGTTTGGAACGATGCCTCAAACAGATGGATCGCATATTCTTGCCGGGCTCTCGTCGCCTGGGATCATGAAACGACGCTTTTCCACAAGCCTGGTGACCATTGCTGGAGGAGTAGTAGGACCAGGAACCATGCAGTCGCCTCCTATGGAGACTGCTCAGCCAGGAGCCATTAGCGCAGCAGGAACTCCGACATTGGACTATGCTTCAGTAGGAGGTATGGCGACACATCTCAACAACGTCCAAGGCCCTGGAGGCGCACATGGAGGATTTGTCAACGCATCTGGTTCGTTTACGATACCTTCAGGCGTATCAATGGCACCTGTCGCCCCACCTTCAACTGCCGCACTTCCCGCACCTAACGCCACGAAATCCACAAAACGAGCCAAGAATGCGTCCGTGGCATCGACACCAACACTCTCCAACAAAGGAACTGCTGCCGGCAGCACAACCTCTTCTACCGCAACCACAACCACCGGCCGGAGTCGAAAGGGAACTGGACGAAAGGATTCGAGCGCAAAACGGAAAGGCAGCCTGGCAGGCGAGGCAGCCACAGTCGACGCCACCACAGGATCTCTTACACCAACCATACCGAACGCAGCTGAGACAGGAAGCCCTACCACAAGATCCACGGCCCAGTTCCGGAATCGACCCGCCAAGAATATCAGCTCTCCTGTCTCCATCCCATCGCCTATCTCTACGCCTATGATGTCCGTTGCTCTGAGCGACATTCAACAAATCAACAACGGCACCAATAACACCAACCTGAATCAATTACCAGGGGGGCTGCCTGTCGCTCATCTCAGAGGGATGTCCAACGGGTTTGAAGCCATGTCACCACCCTTTTATTCTGCACTGGCTCCCAATCAAACGATACTTATGTCAACGAATGGCGCCGGAAACCTGGAAATGGACACGACTTTCCAGATCCCACGCACGACCATGGACGAGTCTGAGGAATGGACAGGCGCCTTGGATTTCATGACGGATCCAAAGGGTTTGGACATGGGCGAGTTCATCTTCGAACCAAGCTATGACAAAGAACCTGAGCTGACTGGCTCAAACTCCAACGTCCTCACCTCCACGGATACTCCCAGCGGGACCCAAATCTCATTGTAATTACCACAAATAAAGCCATGTACCAAGTAATGTTTTGTTAGTCGTGAACAGAGGAGATTGTACGGACTTGGGAATGCAGCAAAAGAAAGAAGGCGTGACCTGCTCCTGTAGTGCCTCCTGCTTGCTTGTTTTGTTTGTGTGAATTTTTTTGAAGTTGTCTAGGTAATTGTGACTCTCCTCCCAATGGTATGGTCTTGTCATATGCCCAGCATGGTCCGAACATAGACATCCTCTCCCTTGCCTCGAACGACCGACTCACCACTCAGCAACATGAACCACCGCCCTCCTATTTGGAATGGGAGTTGGATGGAACCATCACCTGCAGGATCGGTCCCTTCATAGGAGTCGAAGAGTCCCAGTCCACTGATATCTGAAATGCATCTGATACGAATGCCCCCTTCTATTGCCCCAGGGCAGACTCGGAATGTGTGTGTGCCCTCTTTTTTTGTGCCTTAGCCACCTAACACTACGTCAAGTCCTCCACGTCCTTGACATACACGCACACTCGGTCAGTAACCAGGTGTGAGGTTAGGCAAGCACGGTGAGGATGGCAGGAAGTGGATCTGAACACACCCTCATATGAAAATCTTTGCCTATGTAACTGGGGTCATTGACTCTGCTCAAGCTAGTGAATCATATCTAGAATCCTCCAGAACCTTCACATTCCCGACTCATATATAAATTCATAGTCTATACCATAGGAAGTTCAGTAGTTCATAACTCACGCTTTTATTAAACACAAACTCTCCCGCAAAGCACAGTCCAGTTCGGTCCAACCCCGTTATAGACTTGATCTTTTCCTGGATAGGCGTCTTTGGTTGCAGCAACCGGGCCTGGATGGTGTTTAGGATCTGGATCAGCGGTAGTAGTGTCATCTCAGTCTTGCCATGCTGGACCGCGCCTCCTTCTCCAGGGTTGTCCCGCCGGGACAAAGCATCGGCAGCGGCATTCTGGGAGCCAGGGCGGTAATGGATGGTAAAGTTGTAGTCAGACAAAGTTTCAGAAGTTACAGGATCATAATATGCACTAACATTGTGCCTCTGTACTGTCACTCCTCACTCTTCATTCCTTACCCTCATGGACATGTAGACGCACATAAATACCCTCTCTGTCTGCACAATAAACACTATCCGTTTCTAGCTTTTCCTACTGTCCCTACTACTATCTTGTCCTTCCTCTCGTCTTTGTCTTTCTCTGCTCCCTGTTCATACGCTCTTGCTCTGCTCCTATTACATAGCAGCAAAGATGGCCTCGTTCTTACCCCTCTGACCCACCTCTGTTTCCATGCACTTGTTTCCTCTCTTCCTGCTCCTTCTTTTCTTAATTTTCCTTTCCTCTCTTTTTTATTTTTCTTTTTTCTTTTTCCTTTTTCCTTCATACTATTTTCTATGTCGGCACTCGATTCTCTTCTCGACGGCATTGACCCCTCACGTCAAGACGCCATTCGCAACCTTTTCAATACGCTCGCCGTCACTGCACCTCATGACCGCACCCTCTGAACGGGAACTGGAAGCCGACCGTCGCCACCTCGCCCGCACATTGGCTCAAGTCCTCAAGCCCCAGAGGCCTCCCCTACTCTGGTGAGATTGATGCGGATGCATGCATCAATTCCATTGACAGTCAGAAAGAATATTTTACGGTCGTCAAGCTCGGTCTCGCTGAATGGGCTCAGTATACGGCCCTGAATCTGGTCAGCGACACCAAGCCCTGGTGGCGCTCATCCGGATTGTCCATTCATACCCCCTGGGATACCTTTGAAACCGACTTCCTCAACTTTCACACTCCTCCCAGCGCCATTGCTGCCGCCCGTGAAGCACTCGCCTTTTACACGCACGATTTTCGCCTCCTAATCCGCCATGTCCCCACCCTTGACAAGGGTACCGCTCTGCACTTGTTTGAAAGAAGGCCTTGAGCCTAACACCAGCAAAGAGGTCAAGCTGAAACAGCCCGTCACCTCGGAAATTGCTATCACCCAAGTGACCCCGATTCACCCCATCTTGTAGTACAGCAACAACCTCACAACACAAGTCAACTAGTTGTGATGCAGGCGAGTATGGTGTAGTACAGCAAGACAGGGCTGTACCCTTTCCTGCGAATGAAGGGAACCGTTCAAAGAGCCCCATGGTGTTGGGGCATCTGCTTTTGGGGTCGGAAGAAAGGAATGTTGATGAAGATAGTCGTTTGTTGGAAGCAGAAACTCGAGCCTTGGCCATTTCCTATTGCCATTTATGTGGATAGCAGTCCTTTAGGGCTAGAAAGTCACAATTCATTTGACGTTTCTTTTTTAATATTTGATAACCTTCCTTCCTCGCCTCCTCTCTCTCTCTCTCTCTCTCTCTCTCTGTTGCTGACATCCCCAAGGCCCCCAAGGTTTTTAAATTCCCATACTTTCTGATCTGTTGTTGAAGTACACGCGCTGCTATACTGAAACTAATCATCTCTCCATCCGTTCCTCCCTGATTATGTTTTATCCTAGCACCAGTCCCTTTTCAGGTGCGCTTAACAATCCTTTCACACAGATGCAGAAACATCCTGTCGTTAGCGGTTTGCTTCTTTAGCTCTAACAGACTTAACGAGTCCTTTCGGACTTCTGGTTTGCCGACCGGGAAGTGACCGCGACAGTGGTGGTCTTCTAAGGAGCTCTTCATGGCATATGCCGGGAAGGCGCCATTGGCTCCTTTGTTTGATATACGCATCTGGATTACGCAGAAACATCCTGTCGTTAGCGGTTTGCTTCTTTAGCTCTAGCAGACTTAACGAGTCCTTTCGGACTTCTGGTTTGCCGACCGGGAAGTGACCGCGACAGTGGTGGTCTTCTAAGGAGCTCTTCATGGCATATGCCGGGAAGGCGCCATTGGCTCCTTTGTTTGATACTTATGCATCAATGGAACTTGTGGTACGTATGTGCTTGTTGTGACCTTATTTAACCATTGCAACCTCTCAATTTGCATAGAATATTCATATGTCACAGGCGCATTTGGACTGGGCCCTCAAACAAAAAAAAAGGAGCATGTCTTCTTCGCGAACTTCGTCATTCACTTCGAGTTTTCTGACCGAGATTCCGCGATCGCATCCTTCAAGACCCTTTTACAATCTTCAAGAATCCCACTGAAGCGTCGTCAAGTTTTGAATGACGAATTCGACAATTTCCGGAAACACCATGAGGAGCAATTCTGGACGACGCGTGCGCTGAAACTCAACTCAAAGAAGAGTGCGCAGAGGCTCGCATGTGTGGCACAGGATACAGCGGTCGATGAGGCATCAGCAGCATATGGTAATAGAAGATACCGACGCATGTAATTGCCAGTTGCACAACCGTCTTGTTCTTATTAAATGATCTTCTTCATATTCTTATAGTTCATAGGAGAAATGATATTGCAGCAAGCGGCCTAACTGATTCACAGCGCGCTGAAAGCATTGGTATGATAGAGGTTTTGTCAAACCGGACATGAACTCTCTTTTATGTCCTTTACTTATCAACACCACTGACAATGTCTTTAAATTATTTGTTGGCTCACAGGAGACATACCCGATCCTTCCTTGCTGCCAGTCGAATCTAATGCTGATGCAGGACCCGAAGTTGCAGCTGTTGGAGAGAGTGCCCATGGTTAGTAAACTTCTGTTTTACTTGTAATTATTTCATTAGCTTTTTCCGTCTTTCTCTGAGAAAACAATAAAAATTAATCACGAAATGCCAGGGTACTGGTGCACACATGTAAGTTAAAATAGCGTCCAACAACTTACCAGTTCAAGAGGCACTCATGTACAAGTTGGGACTCGATGTGCCGTGGACGCTTGTCAAGCAGATCCTGGAGGTCTTTAAGCGTTTCCACGCGTTCGAATTCATCCATATAATCTGGCGCCTCCTTGGAATACGGTGACCCATCCGGGAGATTGTCGCAGATTTCGATCCAGTCTTTCTTTGAGAACAGCTGCCGTGTAATCTTGTCACTCAAATCGACCATGAACGAATGAATAGGACTTTGTAGAGCAAATTTAGTCATCTGTTCCTTTGTTTAAACAGAAAAAAACATCGAGAAAGGAAAATAAACATACTGTAAGTCCTTCATCTGCTTTCCAGCCTCGAACAGAATGTCTTCGACTACCGTTCCAGATTCCAATGTCCACTTCTCCCTAGGCTAGAGTAACGGCGCTGAAGTGACTTCCTCCTATCGTCGGTAAACTGTTTACGAGTAGTCAGTTATTCAGTTAGTCAGTTAGCAGTTGAGCGAACCCCAAAGAAAATTGCAACACATTGCATCTTACTTGTGTACTGCCCTTCCGTTTCTTTGTACGAGGTGATTGCTCTGCGTTCGAGTTCTGAGCATCACGTTCATTGTCAGGGCCAATGTCATCGTCGTAGGCATCGTCATAAAAACCACGTTTCGACTCTGTCGGTCCCATAGTAGAATATGGGAGAGAAATAGGGGAAAGATAACAGCATTAGATATGATCATGAAAGCAGCAAGGCTTTATCTGTATGAAACAAATGATCCCTCGCCGTTCAATGTTGCAGATAGCTTATCGGAGAGTTGGTGGCTGAAGTCTGCGTGGGGTGTGTGCACCAACTTAGCAAAAGGAGTGCCAGGATGTTTTATAATACCAGGGGAAGTAACCGGTCATGATTCATCCGCAAGAAGAAACGATGAGCGGGAGACAACGTGCGGGAACGAGAGGAAAAGAATGGGGACCCGGGCCGATCTGGTATGGAGGACTGTTACATCACCGGAGACTGACTGGGCGATAGCGGAGGCTGCAAAGGTCTGGTGTCCTCAGGGTAACAAATACATCTCGGAGAGCAAGTTCAAGCTACCAAGACAGCTCCATGATGTTTTGATTGGTCGAACGATGGAAGTTGGAGGGGCGAACGAATTTCGAGATGTCATGGTCTCAGGCTTGATCATTGGAGGTATTGCAGTTCTTTTATGTCTTTTCATTGTCGTTGAAACCTATAAAGTATATGATCCAAGTTCTAACAGATGCTTTTTATGGAATTGTAGGACCATGCCTCCAGCGTATTGGTCTTTGTTGGGGAGCGGCTGGTGACAACGTCACTAGGATAATCAAGATGGATGCGACTAGACTGGACGCAAGGGTCAGTTACTTGTCAACCTCTTTACTGGCCATTCACGAGCTGCTTTGTTTCAGGGTATGTTGAGGTCGTTTGTTTTTTTTGAATGTGCCAAGACTTCAACTCGCGATTGATTGTGGTATTCTTATTCTGTTTGTTTGAATGCACAAAGGCTTCAACGATTCAATTGATATCTCTGTACGGGCTGGCTGCCAAACGTCATGCAAAGCAAAGAAAACGGGACCGATACAGGAGTTTGGCTGGTGCTTTATTAGAGCCGAGAGTCTCAAGGCTAAGCCTTCTTCAATCTTCACCGTAATACCACAATAGCGATCTCAGTCTCAAGCGCAAACAAATAAAGCGACAACTCAAGAACTGGAATCAAAGTCAAGCCCATTCAGTTTTTAATCCGCAATTCACCACGAGGCATCCCCGTAAGGGTGCATGAATAGAGAGAGAGAGAGAGAGAGAGAGAGAAGTGGTGATGTATAAGCAAGTGGATAAGGGTGGGTAAGGGATGCATAATCGCGGTTGGGGGAGGATTTCATCATCACATGTCTTACGCTTGAGAAGAATACATTGTTGCAATTAGTGCAGTGAGCAAACTAGAAAGGTTGCCCGTGGGCGACGCCACGGGTGCCGGGAGTTGTTGTAAGGCTTTGTGGTGTTTATTAGGGGATGAGGGGTTGAAGAAGAAGCTCGTTTGAAGATAATAGGGTACCTATTGCCGATCTTGTGGAATTTTTCAGAATACTGTAGTGTGACTGAGAACTTTTACTGCCTGTGGCCAATGGGATGCTTGGGATGTAGAGTTCACATTGCTGATCCGTAGCCCCGCTACTCGTACCTGACGGGTTACCATAAAGAACAATATCCCTGGGCCCAGCAGGGCCAAGCTGACTCCGCTTGTAAGATAGTCGTCTTGATAGCTGAGGAACCGTCGCGCTGGCATTGCTCACTCGCAGTACCCTGCGCTTGCTGTTCATGGTCTTGAGTGTGGGAAATACTGTAATCGTTGTTGGGGTTGGACATCCGCCCGAGAAGGATCGTGAGACAGAGTCTGTGCCTGCATTTGTACTTGAGAACGACATTCCGACTCTGTCTGCGGCTCCGGTAGGTGGTGTTGTATGAGCGGCAGTTGCGGAAGGAAGGGCTGCTGTTGTTGACGATGTTCATTTTGTTGAAGTTGTTGATGGTGTTGAAGTTGCTGTTCGAGGGGTTGAATTTGAAGCTGTAGCTGTGGTTGCTGTTGGAGTGTGAGTTGATTTTGTGAACGCTGTCGCAAAGGTGATGGGAGTTGTTGCTGTTGTTGCTGGTTATCCAATAATGGAGGAGGGGTGTTAGAGTATTCCTGAGTGTCAACTTTACTCAAAAATTCATCCTGAATCCTCATGCCTACTTCGAACAAACTTCTGGTGCGCTCCTCTCGTACTGCCAAACCTCTCATCACTCCGGCCACGACCCCCCTCCAGTTGACCAAAGCGGATGGCCACGACTCCCTCCAGTTGACCAAAGCGGGTCTCCATCGTTCCCTGCAGCATGTGAGACAGCTGATCGATCTTGGTTCCAACAGTGTTGATGCCCGCCGTGAGGGTTGGTCCATCGGTAACAACGTCGGTGCGGATTATGCTCGCCTGGAGCCGAGAGTCCTCAATGGCTTTCAGAAGTTGACTTTGGAAAGCCAGAAATCCCTGCGACGAGAAAACAGGCAAGGAAAGAAGACTATTCTGCATCGTCTCGCCTTTGCAGTTTGGTCTCAAGTACAACGCCGCATCCTAAAGGATCACCCTACGCATATGAACAAGTAGTGTGCGTGGTGGTGGTGTAGCTGTTACTGGCTGCGGACTCGGGCAATACGCGTTCCCCATAGATGTCGGCGTCAGTGACCGCGTTTGGATCCTCCTCGTTCATCAACCGTCTGCATGTTTCTCGCCAGTAGGGTTCCGATCGATCTCCGTCGTTGTTAAATGCATCCTCGATCCAAGGAAAGATTGCGATAAAATAAGGTTTAGACTCACTTTGTAAGTAACGAGACAAGAAGAAGGTTGTATTAGGGCCCACCAGGAACGATCTCTTATGTCGTTCCTGGTGGCTTAGTTCTAGCTAGTTCATGTCTTCATCTATCTATGATCCACAAGGCAAATACGCAACAACTCCCTCCTAAGGGAAGGCTGAAAGCCGCCCTGAGAAGAAAGGAACGCGTGTGTGCTTTGTGGTGTGTGGTGTTTGGGAAAAAAAGAAAACCCAAAGGAAAATAAAAATAAAAAAGAAAATAAAAATACACTGATCTGCAAAGGAAAACAAAAGAAACCTTGTCAGTCGTGTTGAGGGTCAATAAACCTCTCATGACATATAGTACATATCACTCGAGGCAAAAAAGCAAAATCCTCGTGAGGGGAAACCCAAAGGGAAAACCTCATGCGTGATTATAAGGGGAAAGCTGAAAAAAACCCCTTCTCTCCATTCACTCCATCTTGTGGTGATGAGGATTACTTTCGACCACGCTTGCGCGTGCGAGTAGTCCTTTTCTCCGTGCTACTCTTTTCGACAGTCTCCTTAATTAAGCGCTTGCGTTTGCGGGGTTCTGATTGCACTGCTATCTGTGCACTATCATTTGGGCTGCCATGCTTGCGCGTGCCCCCACTTATCTCATCACTGATCGTATCATTCATTGGCTTATCTTTCGATCGATCTTTAGCCTTCCGTTGCTTTGAAGCTGACTCCTGCTCTTCGCTCCTTGACTCATGTGTCTTCAACGTTTGACGAGGCTGCGGTAGAGATTGTGTAATTGGTTGATCGCGGGTCTTCCAATAGTCTGTGATACACTTTCTCTCAACAAAGTTCTTTTGAGGCTCCCAAGTTCGTTCCTTGTATCCTTTCCAACTTACGTAGTACTCTACTCCCTCCCCAGGAACATCCCTATGGTCGAGAATTTTTTCCACTTCGTAAGTTTCTGTTTCCTCAAAGTCGTCCAGTACCAGCTTTAGCTGTGATGGTGCGAAATTGCGCCCCAGTAATTCTCCTGTCCCATCTTTGAGAGCATAAGAACCACCAGTGGTGCGGCGGACAACAGTGTAGGGGCCCTCGTAACGAGGCGATAGCTTGTCACCCCTAATAGGATCCAAAGACATTACTTTTGCTCCATCTGGGAACTCAATGTGCAGTACCGTTCTGTTAAAACGCTCAATCATTCGCTGTTGAGTGTCACGTGTCTTGGTTTGAATTGCTGGGAAAACAACCTTGGTCATGTATTCAAGGCGTTCTAAGAGCACTTCATGAGAAGGAATAACACCCTTTTCATCCGAGAGATTACTCAGTCCATTAAATCGCCTTGCAAAAAACAAAGAAAAAGGCGAAGAGTTGTGAAGAGCCACAATTCTCGTGTTCATGGCCAGCTGTGCCATAGGAACATGTAATGCCCAACTTTGTTTCTGGTCGTCGATTTCTTTTCTGATAATGCTACACGCCGTTTTGACGTGGTTCTCGGCAACACCATTGCCTCTGGGGTGATAAGGAGTGACCAACCGATGGTCCACACCTAAATTAGTAGTCATTACTTTAATTGCCCCATTGACAAATTCTCTGCCGTTGTCAGATTGTAGAATGGCGGGAAAACCGATCAAAGTAAATGTTTTGAACAACACCTTTGCGACGGTGAGTGCCTCCTTGTTCGGTATAGGTTCAAGGAACACAAATCTTGTACAAACATCGACTAAGATGAGAAGGAATCGATTACCTCCGCTATCCACAGGAAAAGGTCCGGCTAGATCAACAGCCATGTGTTCTCCTGGTAACTGAGCATGAACGGCCTTCATTGGGTGGTACCCTTTGCGAGCGATATTGTTTCGCTGGCATTGTTGGCAACGTTGAACGAACTCCAAACAATCCTTGGCTAGATTAGGCCAGGTCTTGTCCACTCCGTGAATGTGTTTTACCATGGCATTGGTCCCAAAGTGACCAAGTGCATGGGTGTCGGCTAGGATAGTTCTCCTTTCAGAGACCTTCACTGTTTGACGAGGAGTAGTTGAATCCTGGATCAAATGCATGTATCCATAAATCTTTGTCGGCGCTGAACCTTCTGTTCTTCCCGTCCACAACTCCGGCGGGAACTGGCGAGACAAAGCGTCTGGAAGCACATTAAGCACGCCAGGGCGATAAACAACCTTGAACGTGTATGACCAGATCAACTCCTGCCATCCGGTGAGCATTGAGTTCAAGTCCTTTTGCGTATGCATGTAGGTGAGAGCTCGATGATCCGTGAAGAGCGTGAAATGGTTGCCCCACAAATAATAATGTAGCTTCTTGAGGGCGAACACAATCCCGAGTAGCTCCTTTTGAGTAGCCGAATATCTCCTTTCCCGATCCTGTAACGATCGCGCTACAAAAGATATATATTTAATATTCTCAGGTTCACCTTCGCCTCCCGGTAACTGATACAGAACCGCTCCGACACCAACATTTGATGCATCTGTGGCAACATAAAAGGGTAGGCCGAAATCCGGAAAAGAAAGTACTGGAGCTTGTGTGAGAATATTCTTTAATGAATTGAAGCACCGTAATTGAATGTCGTTTAATACGAAGGATCCAGGTACATTGCGTAGCGCGTCCAGCGGTGCCGCAACAGTGCTGATAAGAGGCATATACTCCCGAAAAAAGTTGAACGTGCCCATGTACGACTGAACCTGCTTTCCAGTGGTCGGCGGGCTCCAGTCCTGAATGTTCACCAACTTATTCGGGTCCACACGTCTGCCGGCGGTATTAATTACAAATCCAAGTAATGCTACCTGCGTGCTATAGAATCTACATTTCTCAATGTTGATAATTAGTTTGGCTTTGGTCAGACGTTCAATGACAACCATAACATGCGCAAGATGGTCCGCTCGATCCTTCGAAGCAATCAGAATGTCATCAATAAAATTGCGGACAAAATCCAAATCGCCGAGAATCCTTGACATTCCACGTTGGAACAGACTGGACAAGGGCTTCAAGCCGAAAGGGGCTTTCTTGAACATGTACTGTACTCCATTGTGCGTGAATGCTGTAAGCGGTCTGTCTTCCTTATGAATCGGAAGTCGATGATAAGCCTGACGCAAATCCACCGTCGAGAACACAGCATTGCCTCCTGCAAACTGCATGATCTCTGATATAAGAGGTACAGGAAAATTGTCATCAGGTAAGTGAGCATTGAGAGGGCGTGGGTCAAGACAAACACGATAAAGGGTTTTCTCACCATTTGCATCCTTCTTTGCTGCGAGCGTCAGAGTGTTGTTGTGACGATTACCAGCCGGTGCCAGTGTAATTACATCGTCCTGCAACCAGCGATCTACTGCGTCATCCAGAATGGGTCGTTGTGACTGAGCGAACACTCTTGAACGTCGATTCAAAGTAATGCCCTCCGGTACAGGTAAAAACACCTTCATCTCCGGAATTGGGCAAAAGCTGGTGGAAGGGATCCTTGCGTTCTCCTCCAGTAGCTCCTTGACGCACTCCATAAATGACTTCTTTTCCTCGATGTACTCCCGCGTCGTCTCCACAGGGGGTGTCATAAGAGGTATGAGAGTCGGCTTCTCGTCCTCAACAGGCATAGGTACTTGATCAGGAGACTCTACTGGGTCAGGTAAACCTATGATGTTGAAGCCATACCGATGAAAGAGATCCATACCAATAGTAATGGCATGGGGTTGATCAATAACCTCGTATGGTGCGCAAAGCAAATTCTTTCCACAGATAACCTCCATGTTCTCTGTTTCGCCGATGCGTGCAATAGTCGAAGTATCCGCTAACTCGATGTACCCTTTCATTTTATTGACAGGGATCGAATATTTGCTGACTATTCTTGAACTGATGAACGAGTGCGTGGCGCCTGTATCGATGAGCGCTCGGTGTTGTTCTCCGTGGATGGTGACAGGAACAAAAAGACGATTGTCTGGTTGGTTCTTGCGTTTGACCGATCCGTACGCAACTTGCACAAGAGAAAAATCATCGTCACCGAATTTAAATAACGGGTAGCCGTCACACATCTTTGCAACAGGGTTGTCTTTTAGCGTGTGTCTTTCAAACGCTTGAGCGAGTTCGTCATCCTCGACTTCGTACGAGCCAAAAGCGCAACCATCATCTTCTTTACTGATTACACCAACTGCCCCATACTTGATCTTCGCTTTTATAATACCAGCCATTTCAGCACTTCTCCCACCTTCCCCTCCGTCGAGAGGTGATGGAGGAGGTGAACCTACATGAACCGACATTCCAAAGCGGGACTCCGCATTCGCTTTTCTCTTCTTTCTCCTTTTCTTCTTTACAACAAGATTGCCCTCCACACTGTTTTCAGTATTACTGCTGGTCGCCTCACGCATCACTTTATTCGACTCAACCATGGGTAACACATCTATCTGCGCCGTCACCAGAGGGGTTACATCAAGCTGACGAGGATCCTCGTTGGCTTTGGTTGTTATTGCCTGTGTGTGTGGAATAGACATGGCACTGTACTTAATAACGCAATCTTGTTCTTCTTCAACAACGTCCAGTAGCAAAGCAGGATCAACGGACGTACCATTATACGGATGGCTTCTTCCTTTGCCACGATTCTGCCATCGTCCCTGCGGTGCTCCTCTACCTCGATTGCCGGGATACTGACCTTGATGGCCGTTTGGGTAGCTGTTATGGTTGTTGTTGGCGCTGACGGTATTGCTTCCTGACGATGCTCCTGCATTCGTCTGAGCGGCCACCGTCTTCTTTACTTGCTGATGTTGCCTATGGTGTTGGCTGCCTCCTTGGTTGATGCCGTCGCTCTCCTTGGACATTCTCGCCT